GTTCTAATTGGGGGGGACCGGCTCCTCGGTTAAACAAAGAGGGACGTCTTGCACCTGTACCAATCCGCCACCTCCCGCCCCCGCCACCCGCCCCCGCCACCCGCCCAGGAGGCTGCCGGCGGAGGCGGGGCGGGCAATGAGGTGCTGGCCCCCGCAGACCGCCTCGCCCTCACAGTGCTGGGGGGAGGAGAGCCGGGGCAGGGACAGCAGGGGGGCCAGGCGTCAGCTCCCAGGCAGCATCAGCAGCAAGGAGCCGACGGCGGCGGTTCCTCTTCAGGGTTGCCGGCGGCGGTGCGACGGCTGCAGCGGTGGCGGCTGCATGAGGGGGAGCGGGGTGGGGAGGGAGGAGAGAGGGAGCGCGAGGGGGAGACGCAGGTGGAAGGGAGGGAGGCGGGGAGAGGGGAGCAGGCGGAGCGGGGCGAGGGGGCGCTGGAGCGGCACCAGCGGTCGCTGGCGTGGGTGCTGCTGTGGAACAGAGGTGAGGTGGGGGGGGGAGGGAGGTGAGGTGGGGGTTAGGGACGGCGGGGTTTTGGCTTTGCGTTGTTCCATTAGCTGTTGCTAGGTGGCACTGTTTCTATTTCGCGCTGTTGGGTCGGCTCAACCCCCTTCAGCCCATCCCTCCCCCTTCCCCTAATTTCCCCTATGGTTCGGACTATGTTCACCCCTCCCTCCCCCTCCCCTCCCCTCTCGCAGGCTGTGCGCACTTCGAGGGGCGCGGCTGGGCTGCAGCGCTGCGCTTCTTCTCCGCCGCTGCTGCCTTCGCGGGGGGCCCGGGGGAGGCGGCGCGGGCGCACCAGTCGCGGGCGCTGTGCTGCCTGGCACTGCAGCGGCCCAGGGAGTGAGTGGGGAGGGGTGGGGGGAAGGGGGGGAGGGGGGAGGGGGAGGGGGAAGAAACTACGGTAGCTAACCGTTTGGGGGGTGGAAGTATAGGGGGGTGGATAAGCCGCACTGGCCGGGAGTGAAGATGGGGGTTGGGGAGCTGCAGCGGCCGAGGGGGTAAGTGGGGGACGGGAGGGTTAGCGGAGGGGTTTGGGGAATGAGGCGAATGAGGCTCTAACCCCCCGCCCCACCTCCGCCTCCTCCTCCCCCGCACAGCGCTTTGGCCCTAGTGGATCTGGCAGCCGCAGCAGCCGCCACTGCAGCGGCCGCCTCGTCCGCTGCTGCTGCTGAGGGGGAGGAGGCTGGCGGCACGGGAGGCGGCAAGGCGGGTGGCGGCGGCATCCCTGCAGCCAGTGAGTGAAGAGGAGCCCGGGCACAGGGTGGGATATCTTTTACCATGCCTGCTCCGGCCCCTTCCCCATGCTTCTCTCCCGGCTCTCGCCCCGCTCTTCCCATGCCCCCTCCCTCCCCCTCCCCCTATAACCCAATCCTATAATCCAGCCTAATGCGGAATCCCCAAACCGTCTGTCAACCCCCCTCCCGCAGTCACCTTCCTGCGGTTCAAGGTGCTGCTGGTGGCTGGTGACGTGCGGGCCGCCTGCACGCTGGCTCCGCAGCTGGCGGAGGCGGAGGCGGCCAGCCCGGGCATGCTGGCGGTGAGGGGTGCTGCCGAGGGGGTGTGGGGTTAGGACAAGGAAAGTGCATGGGGGGGAGAAGAGGGGAGCAATACATGCATGCAGGAACAACGGCAACGTTGACGTTGTGATACGGACGTGCGGGGCGTGCGGCCGGAAGACAGCCTACTCCCTTCTGGCACTGCGCCTGAGAAGCGCTGCGCCGCTTCTGTTGTTTCCTCCCCTAAACCCTAAACCCTAAACCCCAACCCCAACCGCCACTCCCCCCCCAGGTCGCCTGCCAGGAGGCAACCTCCGCTCGCGCCTGGCCCGCCGCCAAGCAGCTGCTGCTGCACATGCACGCGGCGGCGCAGCGGGAGACGGATCGGGAGCGGGAACAGCAGGGGCAGGGGCAGGGGCGCATGGGGGTGGGTGGAGGAGGCGATGAAGGGGTGCAGGTGGGTGCAGCGGGCGCTCCCTTCACCCGCAGCATGCTGTCGGAGGGGCACGTCCTGCGGGTGCTGATCCGCTGCGTGGAAGACGAGGCCAAGCAGGCAGCTAAACAGCAACAACAAGCGCAACAACAACAGGGAAAGCAGCAGCAACAACAGCAGCCGGATTCACGACAACAGCTGCAGCAACAGCAGCTGCAGAAACACCAAGAGCTTGCAGAATACGTAAACCTGGCCGCAGCGCGGCTGGAAGAGGTGGGCGTGGAGGCCTTCTTTAGAGGCGTGGCAGGACCAGACGAGGCGGCGGCGACGGCGCTAGCTGCTGCTGGCGGCGGCGGCGGGGGTGCTGCTGGCGGCGGCGGCGGGGGCGCCAGCAGCGGTCGCCATTCCAAGAGCATTCAAGAGCAGTTGGAGTGGTTCGCTTGGACGGCTTGGAATGCGGGACTGGCAGCGGGAGCGGCGGCGGAGGCGGGTATCGGAGCTGGTGGAGGCGGTGGCGGCGGCGGGCATGGAGGAGGAGGAGGTGGAGGAGGTGGCGACGGCGAGTTGCTGCGGTCTTGTGCGGTGCTCATGGCGGCGGCGGGACAGCTGTTGGGGCGCTTGCAGCCGAGTGCGAGGGTGCTGGGCTGTCGCAGGGTGGGTGGTGGAGAGGGCTCTTTGGGCAGGGCGCGGTGGGGAGGGAGGGGATTCGGAAGAGCCGGGGGCTGTGGGCGACATGCAACTGGTACACACCGCTGGTAGGGGGGAGGAATGTCGTACAGTGTTTGGGAGGGCTCCTTTCGCTTGTGTGGGGTAGGTATCCTTCCCCATGTGCCTATAAACGTAAGCTCCACATTCTCCTCCCGCTTCCCTAGGTGGCCTACGCGATGGCGGGGGCAGCAGCACTGCAGCTGTACCAGCGGGAACTCCTGCACGGTAGTGGCGGCGGCGGCGGTGGTGACGGCAATGCTGACGTCAGCGACGGCGGCGGCGGCCAGCAGCAGGAGGAGGAGGAGGAAGTACGGCAGCAGGCGCTGCAGCTGGCGGCGCATGCCGTACGACATGCACGAGTGGCGGCGGCGGATGCGGTGGCGGCGGCGGTGGCGGCTGGCCGGCAGGCGGGGCCAGCGGACAAATGTGACGTCATGATCACGTTAACGGTGAGGCGTGTAGGGGGTGTACGGCGCCGCAAACTGGTGGCAGTGGCATTCACACCGCACACCCCATGGGGCAGCATGTTAGCCCACGTTCCCCTCCTTCCCTGCCCTCTCCTCTCATGCTAGCCCAGCTTCCTCCCTTCCTTCCTCTCGCACGCCTCATATGGCACCCCTCAGGACCTGCGGGTGCTCCTAGCCCAACGTGCCGCCGCCCTCGACATCCTGGCAGCGCTGCATGCCGCGGCTCGCACCTTCCCGCCTGGGCCCGCCAGCCCCCTAGCTGGCGCCGCCCTGGTGCCCATTGCAAAGGAACTAGCCCACCTGGCAGAAACCACATCAAGGACAGGGCTGACGGCGGCGGCGGTGGCGGAAGGCGGCGTCGTACGGCAGGATGACGCAGCGTCGTACGGCGAGGCCGCCGTAGCGGCGTACCAGCAGGCGTTACAGCGGTTGACGGCGACGGCGGCGGTGGATTACGAGATGGTGGCGGAGGTGGTACGGAGCCTGCTAGCGCTCGCCGGCGGCGACGATGCGTCCCGACTTGCCGTACTTCGGGAGCTAGCGGGACTGCTGGCGGGGGCGGCGGCGGCGACCGGCGGCGGCGGCGGGGGAGGTACGGCAGCAGCCGCCGCCGCCGCTGCTCGTCGCAGTGGAGGCGGCGGGGGCGGGGGGTGCTACCCGCAGCTGGAGATGGAGGCCCTCGTGAGCTCAACTTGGAACCGGGGGGCGCACCATGCGAGGTTCGGGAGGTAAGGGGGGGGGGTCACAGAGCATACCGAACCATAGGAAACCACAGGTTGGGGCAGGGCAATGGGGAGGCAGGGAGGCGGGGCGGGAGGTATGATGGTGGGGGGATGACATGTAAGCTGTAGTGAACATCGGAACCCTCAACGACCAGCCTGATGCCAGGCGCCGCTGCCGCATTACGCCCCCCGCATCCACCTTCTCATCCATCCATGTTCCCGCGTGTACCCGTATCCCACATCCCCAACCCCACTTCCTTCCCTCTCCCACCTGGTCTTGTCTGTCCCATTACACACCCCTCCCCCCAGGTTATCACTGGCCCTAGACCACATGCGTACGGCGCTCGCCCTGCTGCGACATGCTCCCGGTCTGGATGCTGCGCACCGTGGCTGGATGGCGGAAGAGGTGCGGCGCCTGTCATCACGAATTACCCAGCAGGCGTGGGGGCAGCAGAGGCAGGGGCGGGGGCAGGCAGGGGGAATGGGGGCGGCAGGGGCCGGTGCGGAGGGAGGAGGTGCGGTTGAGGTGGAGGATGAGCTGGCGGGGTGGGTACCGTGAGGGGGCTACATGGGGGTGTGTGTGTATGAGGGGGAATTATAAATAACGTGAACAGTATGGGGGGGTGGGAGGGGATGTTCGTCCGGCTGCCGGGTGGTGGCTACGTAGGGGGATGCATGGGAAGTTGAGGGTGGCCCATGGGTCGGCATGTGCAGTCCTAACACGCCACCTCCCACCCATCTCTTGAGGTTAGTGGTAGGAGGTAGCTTGATAGGAGCCAGGAGACCGGGAGGCGTGTGTTGTTCCGTGTACAAAGTCCCATTCCTTTCCCCGTTCGCTTTTTTATTACTGGTTGGCTTTTTGCAGCACGTGTTTGTAGTGGAGTTATTGCCAAAGTAGCAGGATGCGCGCTGGGACTTGTCGGGTACGGTAGGTTGGGAGGCCCTGGGAACGATTAATGAGCTGAGCTGCTGAGGATATGACCCCAGGGTCATTAGGGAAACAACCCTAGAGGCGCAGACAATGCACTGATGCTGCGTGCAAGTTGCTGCCAAGGGTTCCCCTTGCAACGGCTTGCGTGTCTGAAGCTGAGAGGAGCTTTGCTTGCACTGATACAGTACGGAAGCTTTGTGACTAAGGACGTTTGTCGCTTTTCATGTTTTTGCTTGTGTTGCCTTCTTTCGAAGAAAACGAAGTGCTGTATAGATGTGTTACCAAAGCAGCAAGGGACTACTTCCAATCGCCAAAGATGCATCAATCACTGCACCTTTACTATGAGGTACTCCTCCTTTACCTCTCACAGGTTGATATCGTTTATTAGTTGACATCCTGCCTCACCATCCAGCAATTTTAGGTTTACAGCTGCCCATTACCTAGCGATTAGGATAGCGGGCGTTGGGCTTTCGGCATTGATTAGCTATTAATTAGTATACAGGATGTACACTGCCGTGGTACCTGATCGGCCAATGGCAAGCAAACGCAAGGTAAAGGGTGGGCGCGGTCTTGCATACAGAGTCATTAGCTAGGGCTTGACTTTGATACAACTGCTGCAACTGAGAGTCAACATAACCAGTCAGAACGAGGAACGCCTAGTATTTCATCGTTCTTCTTGTGCGTGAGACCACCTGGAAATGCAACACACGGAAGGGCAAGCTGGAGGATGGCTCAAAAATGTACATCCTACCAGCACCACCTTGCGTACCCTATCGCAAACGCTTCTTAACCCCGTCCTTCCTCGCTCATGTGCTTCACGGCCGCTGCTTCAATCCCTTCCAACCAACTCGCGCCTGGCGCTTGCTGCCAACGCGGCCATGCTAGGCCTGCGTTGCGCCATGGCCGCTGGCCCGCCGGTCGCAACCGCTGCAGCAGCCGCGTTCAGCACCGCGGCCCCTCTCGCTCCGCCTCCGCCTGGCATGAAGCCCGCAAGCGCCCCTGAACCAGCACCACCTTCAAAACCATCTTTCCGCGCTGCATATGCCGCAAAGGCACGATTCAGCGAGTCCGAAAACACCATCCCCCCGCCCCCCGGCTACGATGCCTCCCTGCCACCTGGAGTGGAACTGCCGCCGAGCCGCTGGGCGGGGCTGGGCTGGGTCGTCCCGGTCACTTGCCTGCCCCTGATGGCCGGCATCTACTGGTGGCAGAAGGTGCGGTTCTAAAGGGGTACACGCATGCATGAGTTCCCCCCTGGTGCATGTGCAGCTGTGCACGTTTAGGGATGGCTGAATGACCCTTCCGCTGATCCCAAACCGGGAGTAATGCATGCGCGGGATGGTAGCGGATGAACGCCAGCTCCCCTTACCCCGCCCTTCCTACCGGTATTTACCCCACTACCTGCCTGCCTGCCTTTCTTCCTGCCTGCCCAGGAATCCGACAACGACTGGGGCCGGCAGGTTCAGCAGTCCGTGCACGACATCAAGCAACAGTTCAAGCCGGCTGCTCGCTAGCCCGCCAGGACCGCGCCTGCCCGCTCCCCCGCCACCAACGCGCGCCCACTCGGCACAGCTGTGCTCGGCACAGCTGTGCTTTGGAGCTCCCGCTTGCTGCTGCTGCTGCTGAGGGGCCACGACCGCCCTGTCCGTCTTAGCCTCGGAGGGTGTGCGGTTTGGCTTTATGTACTTTTGAAAGCGATAAGTGTGAAAGGTCCGTTGCGAGTGAGTACTGACAGAGGAGTGGCCCGAGGTATGTAAGTTTAGAGTGGTGAATATTATGGATGCTGATGTTGATCTGGTGTGTTCAGAAATCTGGGGTGTGTGCCCTTGGCACTAGAGCGTTGCTGGTTATTGCCCTTCTGGGTACTGCCGCAGCGCTTAACCGCTGCTGGAGATACCTGCTTAGCCTTGACAGGAAGGGCAAAAGAATCCTCGCACGTAAGAGTATGAGTTGGCATAGTGGGGTCACCGATCGGCCGTATGTGCGGCACGTGTGTTTGTAGTTGCGGAGCGTGTCACAGAGTGCCATGGATGACCCATGGGTCACCAGATGCGGCCGCCCTAGTTTCCATGCTATGGAGCCCTTGCAAGAGTTCTATCGTACATTTTGCACGGCTATTACCGGTAAGGTTAGCCTAGATTTCCAAGCCTTTAAAACACGTGCCATACCTCTCATGTTCGACACGACATGTACGAAAGGACATCAAATCACGGTGTTTCCACCCTTAAGAAAGAGATACGGACAAAGCCTGACACAAGCTCTGTCCCTCTGACCTAACACGGACACGTAAGACTGCGAACCAATGCTAATCATACTCGCTCAGGGCCTTGGCTAACGAAACAACTAACGCGGTATCCATTGCAGTAGTACAAGAAGTACACGAAAGTAGTTCAACATGAATCCAAGACAGTGCCAGACAATCCCATAACAGCAGGTCAGGAATGACCTGGTCTCGCCAGGTGGGCTGGTGCGTTAGTAAAAGCACAGAGTGGGTTGGTGCAAACAAGGAGCGCATAACGGCGTAAGATCCAGCGGGAGACCCCAATCAAGCCGACACATCAGTGCTTGATAAACTCGGGTCGAACGGACCCAATGTACGGCAGATTGCGGTACTTTTCCGCGTAGTCGATGCCATACCCCACTATGAACTCGTCGGGGCACTGCGAGGGAGGGAGAATCGCAGTCGTGTGGGTCAGAGATGGGCACATGCAGTTTCAACAGCACTAACACAGGGCGCATCGTGTACAAACGGGTAGCTTTCCTGGAACACACGCGTGCGTGTCGTGCGAACCTGAATCAGCAAACCCTTCGCGTGTCTGCCGTACACAATGACAGCACCCCGGCCGGCTCAAATGGGGCTTCACACACACACACACACCCAGTTTTCTTCACACACACCCAGACAAACCCCTCACTCCTGTCACCCAACCCCACTTGACTGTCGTTCATCTCTCTTCCTCTCCCCAAACCCCACACCCCCCCGGCTCACTTCAAAGCCCGTGTAGTCGGCCTGCATAGGCACCCGCCGCCGAGCCTTCTTGTCAAGTAGCGCACACACCTGAGGCGGGGCGGGGCGGGTGGGAAGGGCGGGGATGAGGGTGGGGCGGGCAGGTACTGGGTAGGGAGCGCCGTGAAGGAACCGAACAGTGCGGCATGGCGGAATGGGTAAGGCAACAGGCGGGGGAGTAATGTGGCCAGGAGGCCGCCCTACGGGACGATAAGCTCTATTGATATTTGGTTGATACATACCAATTATGCGCATACCATACTTTCGAATCCCTACACCTCTACACCCTCCCATACCCCGCCTCTGCCTGCCCTCCCAAACCACCCGCCTCCCCGCCCGCCCCCTCCCCACCCGCACGCTGGCCGCCCCCGCCTCCCGCATCAGCGCCACCAGCCGGCTCAGCGTGTTGCCGGTGTCAATGATGTCCTCCACCTGCCCGGGGGGGAAGCACCCGGGGGGGGCCGAGAGCACAGGCGGGCAGCAGCATACCGGTATGACCCCGTATGAAGCGGGCTGCCTGAGTCAGCACAGCACACCGTGAAGACGCCTAAACCCTATATACCATCATCAATACGATCATCACCACCATCAATACCACCACCACCACCCTCATCACCCGCTCCCCGCCCCTCACCAGCAGCACATGCTTGTCCCGCACGCTGCCCCAGTCGAAGGCGCTGTCCAGCTGCACCACCCCGCTGCTGCTGGTGCCGGAGCCGTAGGAGCTGGCCTTGAAGAAATCCACCTCCAGGGAGCCAGGGTGCGGGTAGATGTGCCGTACCAGGTCTGCAGGCAGTAGTAGTACGGCAGTAGTAGTACGGCAGTAGTAGTACGGCAGTAGTAGTACGGCAGTAGTAGTACGGCAGTAGTAGTACGGCAGTACCGGTAGTTGTAGTGAAGCGGGGGATGCGGGCGAAGTCGTGAGTGTTGTGTTCGCGTATCGGCTAACGGTACATGTACATGAGGAGTACCGGTAGTGTAGACAGCAAAGGTGAACAGCAACAGGTGCGTCAAGGTGCTGAGGGAGCACATACATGGGACCTATCCCACCCCGGCTAGGTGTGTCCCACCCCGGCTAGGTGTGCCCCACCCTAGCCGTGTGTCCTACCTGTGGTGAACATGAACGCTCCTTTGAGTACCTGCAGGGGGGCACACGGGGGGGGCCACAAGGGGGGCACACAGGCGGGAAGGTCACCAGCAGGCGGCATGGCAGCATGTCTGGGGGTAACAGCGCAGCAGGACGGGCCGCGACTGGCACTGATGCGGATCCCCAGCACTAGCACCCCCCGCCCCACCTCCCCACCCCTCCTTTCCCCCCCCTCACTCACCCCCAGCACCAGCAGGTCCCGGTGCTGGTACTCCTGACCCACCAGCCTGGGGGGGGGCCCCAGGTAGGGGTTTAGCGTGCGAAGGGGGGGGGGTTCAGAAAGGAATACCAAACCGCACGTGAGGGCAAGACAAAGGAATACCCGCACACGCCACCCACGTCACGTGGGACACGCGCGTATCGGACTCACGGACGAACCAGAGCCGATCATGCCAGTGGCCACCACCACCAACAAAAGGCGTGGCTGCTGCCAAAACACACAGGCGTACTTGTTTTTTGTGTCATGTCGCGCGCAATGTACGACGTGCGCGCACGCATGCATGCATGCGATCTGGCCACTGTGTGCACATGTTGGGGCCACCTCAGCAACAGGTATACCGGTGACCTGATACCGTGGTGCCCTCACCCCACCCCACCCCACCCCACCCCACCCCGCAGGGCGCGGTGTGGTGTGATGGTCTCACCTGCCTAGCTCGGCCACACGCGCCTCAATCTCCTCAGCTGAGAAAATGATCTGACCGATTTCCGGGTGCTGCGGCAGCTGACGAGGGTGGGGGTGGGGGTGGGAGTGCGTGTGGGTGGGGGGCTGGCTGCGGCATGGCAGTGGGCGCCGCTGCTGCTGCTGCTGCTGCTGCGGTCGCGGTGGGCTGGGGCGCTGGTGGGGAGCAGTGAGCGGCCGGCGCAGTGCGCTGCTGGGGAGGAGTGCGGTGGCGGGCTGGCTGCACCGACAGCTGCGGTGGAGGGGGGTGCTGTTGGGCAGGTGGAGGGGGGAGGCCATGGCGGTGTGCATGGCTGCGGTTGGGTTGAGGAAGGCTTGGGCGAGGTGGCGGGGGTGGCTTGGCTGCCGGACACTGAGGTCGGGAGGGAGACGCCGACGGCGATTAAGTCGAGAGTCCTAGGATTACGGAATTAAAGCTGCAGTCCTAAGGTGCGTAGTCTTAATGGGGAGAAATGGTTAAGGAGCTTTGGCACTAAGGCTGTGCGCGTAGCATGTTCATCGGATACGTCAAGGAATTTGTTTAAAGCCTAGCCTCAAGCAAGCTGGTGACCGTTTGACGCTCAGTTTGAATGCATGCGAAGGCTATGAGATGCTGCTTGCTGATGGTCATTGATCGCAGGCGTGTACAGTGTCGTACCGCTTACTGCGCGTCCAACCAGAGCCCGCCGGTATCCTCACGTACAGGCGCAGAGCGCATTGGGTTTAGGAGCCTCCATTAGGGCGTGTGAGGGAGCCCGTGTACCAAGGCGTACAGTGCCGAACAGCATCATCTCAACCCGTTGGGCCTCTCCTCGCCTGCCTACTCTAAAACTTTTGCTGCGGTTGCGTTTACCCCATAGTGACATTTGGACGTGGATAGCTTGGACTGCGCTTCCGACACTTCGCGTGAAAGAAGTGCCAGTATCTATCCTGTCTTTGCCTACAGTATACAGCGACAGTATACAGTGACAGAAGCAGTAAGAGATCACACAGAAATGGCGCAAACGGAGGGACAAGCTGGGCGATTGCTCGGTTCTGCGCATTCTCCCAGCAGCTGTGTACAGGCCCCGTCGCAGTCCATCCTAAGCTCAGGAATTGCTCGTTCATGGGCTTCCCGGTCGCTGGTACCAAGCCTCCGCAGCGGCTCACGCGTGATGCTCGCCGCTAATGCAGCGATGCTGGGCCTGCGTTGCGGCATGGCCGCTCGCGCGCCTGCCGCGTTTGCTGGTTCAGCTGCGTTCAGTACCGGACCATCCACGACTCCCAAGCCCGGCTTCGCGCCAGGCGCTCGTGGTGCGCCTGAGCCCGGCCAGGCCGCTCGTGCCCCGCCTCCACCTGGCGCCAAGCCTGCGTCCGCCCCCGCCCCCGCATCGGGAGCAGCTGCAGCTGCTGCTGCTGCTGCCGCAGCTCCCAAGGCTGCAGCTGCCACAAGGCCCCCGGTTGCCCCCAGGCCCAGGCCAACCGTGGTTGAGGAGAACACCATTCCCCCGCCCGCTGGCTATGACGCCTCGCTGCCTGCGGGTGTGGAGCAGAAGCCCAGCGGCTGGTCCAAGCTGGGCTGGGCGGTGCCGCTGCTGGGCTTGCCCCTGATGGCTGGCCTCTACTACTGGCAGCAGGTGGGTGGTGGTGGATGGTGGTGCAGCAGGGCGGGCTGCGAGGAATCGCCTACGCTAAGAATTTAAGTAGTGGCGCGTGTTTATGGCTTGTCGCTGGCTGGGTTGCTTAAATCCAGCACAGCACAGCAGCACCAAGCTCTTGTGATGGCAAGAGCAACCAAAGCGGTAGGCCCTTGTTGTGTTCGAGGCCTGAAGGCCAAATGGAGTGGTGCAGCAGCAGCAGCACACGTGTAAACCTCCCCGTCATGGCACACGTTGCTGCTGGTTCCGACAGGCGGTGGCTCAAGAGGTGATTGCGATGCGCGCGAACACTGCCCGCGTGCGCATGCCAATCCATTTACGCCCATCCATCTTTCCCCCCTCCCCCCTCCCCTCCTTCTTAGGAGTTCGACAAGGAGTGGGACCTCAAGGTGCAACAGGCGGTGCAGGAGATCAAGCAACGCACCCGACCCGCCAGCCGCTCCGCTCCCGCACCTCCGCCCCCGCCGCCAGCCGCACCGGCCCCTGCCCCGGAGCCGGCTCCCGCCCCCGCTCCCGCCCCAGAGCCCCTGGTAGAGGAGCCGGCGGCCCCTCCGCCGCCCCCGCCGCCTGCTGCTGAGGGCGCAGCAGCCGCTGCTGCCCCCGTCGTTGCTGCCGTGGAGGAGCAGCAGGAGGAGGTGGCTGCCAAGGCGCCGGAGGCTGCAGAGGAACCCGCTTCAGTGGTGGTGGCGGCGCCGGAGGAGGCGCCCGCGGTGGAAACGGAGGCGGTGGCGCCCGCAGCGGTTGCAGCAGCAGCGGAGGAGCAGGAGCCGCCAGCGGCGGAGGCAGCGGGTGCCATCCTGCAGGCGATGGAGGCCGCGCAGGATGCCGCCGCCGCTCCGGCTGCTGCCGCCGCCGCCGCCGCTGTCATCGCGGCGGCGGAGGCAGCGCCTGACGCTGCACCGGCGGAGGCGGAGCCTGCCAAGGCTGCCGAGGCTGCAGCCCCTGCCGCTGCCACTGCCACTGAGGAGGAGGCGGTGGTTGCTCCCGCACCGGAGGCGGCAGCACCGGCCGCAACCGCCACCCCCGTGGGCCCCGACGCCGCCGCGGCCGCCGCCACTGCCCTGGCGGTGCTGCAGAGCGAGGCGGCGCGCTCGGACCCGCTGCCCGCGGACCTGCCTGCAGGGTCCCTGGGTCTGGAGGGCACGGACCTGAGCCCGCTGGGGCTGGTGCGGCACGCGGTGTCGTCTGCTGGCGGGGCGGTGGTGGACTGGTCGCAGTGGCCGGAGCGGTATGCGCAGGTGGGGTGGGGGTGGGGGCTGGGGGTGTGCGACACTGGCACGGGGGGCTTGTTGATGTTAAAGTGCGTGCGTGCGTGCGGGGGTAAAGAACTAGCGTTAGGGTGCTCCCTTTCCCTCCCGCTCCTTCTCCCAGTGCGGAAAATCCATTTCCTCGTAATTCCCTCTTTCTCCTGCACCTCTTCCGCCCTTGCTTTCCCCATCTTTTCCTCCCTCCCTCCCACACCCCTAGTTTTCCTTTTTCTACCTCCCTCACCCTCCCACCTCTCCACCCGCCCGCCCAGGCCGTGGCCGACTCCAAGGCCATCTTCGAGGCGCTGCTGGCCGCCGCCCGCTGGCACGAGGCGCGGCTGTCGGAGGCTCGGCGCGAGGCGGAGGCGCAGCGGCAGCGGGCGGAGCAGCTGCAGGCGGCGGGGGAGAGCGCGGTGGCGCGGTTCAAGGCGCTGCTGCGGCAGTACTCCGAGTCCAGCAGGGAGATGCTGGAGATTGAGGTGAGGGGCGGGGGGCGAAAGGGGGGGGGAGGGGGGAACATGCGCGTAGGGGAAAGAAGTATAACCATGCGTTAAATGTTGTGCATGTTGGAAACACTTCTTGAACCCTCCTCATCGTACTCTCCTTCTGACCCTCCTCCCGCCGTACGCCTCACCCGCCCTCCCGCCCCACAGGTCCGCCAGACGGAGAAGCGCACCCGCCTGGCCTCCGAGCAGACCCGTCTGGCGGAGGCCAAGGAGCGCGGCGAGGCCCTTGAGGCGCTCCGCATGGCGCTGGGGGCGCTGAAGCTGGCGCATGAGACGCGTGTACGGCAGGCGGCGGCGTCGCAGGCCGGCCATGCGCTGGCGGCGGGCGCGGCGGCGGTGGCGGCGGCGGCGGAGAGCGGCGCGCCGCTGAGCGCTGATAACGGCGCGGCGGCGGCGCTGCGGGGCCTAGCTGCGGAGGATGCGCTGGTTGGGGCGGTGGTTGGGGCGCTGCCTGGCAGCCCGGTGGCCACGCGGGGGCAGCTGGTTGAGCAGTTCCGGGACCTGCGTCGGGACGTGGGTGCGCTGAGCCTGCTGCCGAGGGAGCGCGGGGGCATCCTGGCGGTGGCGGTGGCGCGTGTGGCGGCGTGGCTGAAGGTGGGGCGGGGGCGTGCGGGCTACTGGACCGCGGGAGGGGAGGATGGGAAGGTGGAGGATGGGAGGATCTAGGCGTGATGCCAGGCGGGGTGTCGGGCTGATGGGATGCGTAGTAAGGTTCTCGGGTGGCGCTCTTTGCTGGCGGCCGCCGCGGATGCGGCCCCCGCCGGTTACAGCACACCAACGTCACCACTCATCTGTCTGTCTTCATGTGCATGGCCCTCTCATTGTCTCCCTCGCGCAGGCTGATGAGTCGAGCGCTGTGCGGGTGCTGGGTGGTCAGTACGGCGCCGGCGGTGTGGACGCGGCCCTGGCGCGCACGGAGGCGCTGCTGGCGGAGGGCAAGCTGCCGGCGGCGGCGGAGCAGCTGGCGGCGGCGCTGCAGGGTACGGCAGCTGAGCCGCTGGTGGAGGGCTGGGTGGCGGCGGTACGGCAGCGGGCCGCGGCGGAGGCGACGGTGGCGGCGCTGAATGCGCATGCGGCGGCGACTTGGGCGTCGCTGGCGTGAGGGGAGGAGCTGTGTGTGCAATGCGGTGTGGGATGCGGTAGGGAGGGAAGCGGAGAGGGAGGTGGGAGGTCTGGGGTGATCTATCTACCTGGAGGGTAGAGGGTGTGGGGGTTGTGTGGTTGCTTTAGACGCCAGGGGTCGGGAAGCTGGTGATGCACATCATCTTGTCATGCCCTATGTGTTGTTGAGTCCATACCGGTAGTATGCGGGGGGCTCTTGACAGCGGAAGCAGCCATGACAGTAGCCTTTGCGCGGTTTCGGTGTGATGTTGCAGCGTGTGGCGGTGTCACGACTTTGCCGTGGATGAGGTGGAATGCGGCAGGTGTTGACGTGTGGAGGCGGTGCAGCGGGTCACGGCTGTGCGTTGCTGTACTTGATGCGGTGGAAAAGAGGCGTTGGGTGGATGTTCGGAAGCAAGGGGCAGTTGTTGTGTCCTCGTTTGGAAGGTTCAGTGCGGACAGCATGCGTGCGGCGCGCAGCAGGTGCAAAAGCCCTGGTGCGGATGGTGGCAGTTTGGTTGTATCGCGGGATGTAATCGCAAGCTGACAAGCCGGTTTATAGAGGAGCTCATATGGGGTGCCGATGGTATGGAGTGAACGCCCTTTTTTGCCGTGATATTTGGCAGGGCTTGCTGTTTACGTCTCCACTGAAACTGCACAAACCCCAAGGGGCAGATGAAGATGTACAGCGGTCTTGCAGTGTGTGGTAATGTTGGCAGCGGATACCGATGGTGTGTAATAGCAGGAGTGAAAACGCACTGGGACAGTGACGTCACTGTCCATTCCGTGGCGGTGGCTGACCAGGGAAGACCAGCAAGGACGCCGCGCACAGCCCGGAACACATGTCCCGAACAGGAGTCCACGGTTCCAGATCCCAGCGTGCCAGCCAGTGTTACCATGCCAGCTCGAAGTTCATCATTCAAGGAGCCAGATCGGGCCATTCCGGTGTGCCCCATGCCAACGCAGCTACGCAGCACAGCGTACACAGCCTTCACAGACTACGGAATACGGCCCGTACAGTGTACTGTCCCATACCAAGGCAACCCTGCTCTCTATCCTGACTTGACTGTGTACTGTCCACCGAATATCAGCTCCCCAACCCGCATCTGACAACTACTGACAATAAGACCTGACCAGGTGTCGTACTGCCTTTCACCTGCTCGTTAGGCTCGCCGGCGAAAAGCGCACCTCTTCCTGAGGAGTTGTGCCCTCCTTATCGTATTAAGGACCAGGAAAAACACAAAACTGACGAGGGTGGGATTTGAACCCACGCCCTTACGGACTAGAAGGTTTCCGCCAGCACAGCTGGCTAGTCCTGAATCTAGCGCCTTAGACCGCTCGGCCACCTCGTCTCCCCGGATGATGATTAAAGGAATCTTGACACTTATAAACGGGGAGCGCGCGTAAGCCCCTCGTTCCGTGCAACGGGTGTCCGTTATGCCTCGATAGCGCCACATCTCCGTGGCCGGGCAAGCGCAACTTAGTCCACACGGTGTGTTGCGTCACCGACGAATACGAAGGACATGCGGCACATACACTTCAGCCCACCGTTCGACATGGCCGTACATTTCAAGAGTCGCAAGCTCGCAACCCATGTAGGGTAGGGCGGGGGATAAGGGGGTTACTACCAACAACACGGGGTGAAAAGGGAGTAAGGAGCCGCTGGGCACAGCACTAGCGGCTCCGCACAGGAGTGTATGATGACCATAGATGGCCGCTAAGGACCGGAGACTGGGGTACAATGGCTGCCAGCGCGGAGACACCATGCCATAGGAAGGGCTTCCCCAACGCTTACAAATTGGTCTCCATGGCAGTAGGCGAGGCAACCGCAAGTGCCCAACGTTGAGACTTATGCATCACCAGTGCACACCAAAAACTGCTTGACGCTACAGTACACATGCTGCAGTGCGACCGCGAGCAGTGACCTCACCTCCCAGAATGACGTAATTGAACCCTTGTTGCCATTGTCGGCTAAACGCCCAAAGGGGGGTCGTTTTCCGTATGAAGAGATGTGGTTTCTGAGAGGCTTGATGCCAGCGATAGGCCAGCGAGTCCTGCACAAGCTTTCGCGAAAAGCGAGCACAAGGAAGCCCTTTTCCCTTGTATTGGTTCTCTGCATTCTGCAGTGTTGCCGGCATGAGGCAACAACCGAAAAGCTCGCACTGATGAGAGCCCAAGCGCAAGCCGGCAACATTAGAGCAGCAAATCCTCCAGCGAAGCAGCGGTTGACAACGCGTCCACCTAGTCATCAGGCTTTGTTAACAGCGCCCCAGCAGGGTAGATCAAGCTCGTTGAACAAAGGGATGTGGCGTAAGGAGCGATCCACATAATGCGAGAAAGGGCTGTGTGGATGATCTTGAAGCGTTGAAGTTTCAATTGCCAATGCTTGGCATTTACACTGTACGAGTGTATGAATCTAGAAAACATTAAAAAGAAACTTTGAAGCGACAAAACATCTGCTAGACGTGTCATCCGAGCTCGTCAACCGGAGGGCACTGCGAGTACGGCTGAAGCGTTGGACGAGCTCTCAGCAGGGAGACCAACAGACCATGCGGATTTTGCGAAATGTCAATGGCGAGACGTGTTAACGCACAATAGGAAACATCCCCGCTGCTAATTTGTAGTTTGGTTGCGTGTGTGACTGCAACCTTCCTGGAAAGGGGCACAACCCTCACGGGTGGAGTGTATCCTGGGTGTGGGAGCGCCACCCGGCTTCCGGGCGGCAAGGAGATGCTGTGGGGTCTGAAACCTACACGCACGCCGGACCCAGAACTACCTCACCCCCGGGTGAGATAACGCGCGTGGCCAAGTCCCATACTGATTGCATTGTCCATACTGCAGTTTGACCGTACATTACCAACTCTTCGCATGTTGCCGGCGCCCTCTTTACATACCGGTACATTCATGCTCCAAGAAATGGCACAATGTCCATTCGGTTCCCAGTCTAGGACGTTGCGCTGTCGGAACTGTCGGTTAGGGAATGACAAAAGCCTGAAGTGCCGTGATCGCGAAAGCCTCGCTCAAGGCACCGGGCTGCTGTTCCAACTTAACTTTCAGGTTCTAGTTCTATTCAACAATGTCCATAACAAATGGCGATTTCATGCGGTGACATGTTGCAGTTGTAGCAAGTTACGCGACTTTCGCGCGCAACAAAGCAACGAAAATGCCTACACCAGATCTGCGCCCCTCTTACCGACTTGTATCAAGCGCTCTGGAACAGGCTGCCCTCCTACTAGGCTGCTCGAGCCCTAGCGCGCAGAATGCCCAGCAGCAGCAACAACAACCAAACCGACAGCGAAAGCAGGCTCAGGCTCAGCGCAGCCGGCACCGCGGCGAGGCGCAACGGCCCGCCAGGGCAGGCCAAGGCCCGGCCGCAACTTCACCTCTCCAAGCCAGCAGCCAGGAGCTGCTTGCAACGTGTTACGAGCTGCTATCCCCGGGCATCAGCGCCCTATCAGAGGCTGCGTGCCCGGAGCCTCATCGAGCAGTCGAGGCGGTTCCCCTCCTAGCGGAGCTCCGCATCGTTCCGCGGTCCGCCGCACTCCTGACAGCTCTCATCCGCCAAGCATCAGTCCCAACTGCTGCCGAGCCCGGAAGAGAAGGCTACCTTGCAACATCATCCGCAGCAGCAGCGGCGGCTGCAATTGCTTCCAATGCTCCCGCCTCTCCTGCCGCTGCAGCTGCTGCTACCGCTCCCACGTTTCTTGTTCCGGGACCAACGACGGCAACACCCGAAGACTCCGACCCCGGCCACCACCACCACCACCAGCACCAGCTGCAAGCCCTCCTAGCGCTCGCAACCCTGCTCCTCAAGCTCCTGGGCCACTGCGCCGTGCTGCTGCATGCGGCCTCCCCCTCGGCTCCGCCGCCGCCGCCGCCGTCCAAATCCAAGTCAGCCTCCTCCGCCTCCACCTCCGCCATCACTGCAACCGCCACCACCACCGTCTCCGCCTGTGCGGAGTTGCAGCAGCAGCTGGGCGATATCGCAGTCGGCAGCGCAGCCGCCGCCTGGGTGCATGTCGTACACTCCCGCGCTTGGCCTCTGTTACTACTGCCACGGGCTCCGGAGTCGCCGCTGCAGCTGGATGAGCAGCAGCAACAGGCATCCTGGCCCCCGTCGCCATCACCACCACCACCAGCAGCGGCTGCATCGACATCGACAGCATGCACGTCATCATCATCCTCATCTCCCTCTTCTTCCGTGTCTCCGGCGCCCTCACCGCCCGCCCAGGAAGCCTCGACCGGGGAAGGTCACGCCCCACACGCCTCCGAACCACCCTCGGATCTGAACCCGGGGCCGTCAGTGGGGATCAGCAGCTGCACCACCAATGTAACCACCCTGCTACGACAGCAACAACAACAGCAACAACAACCGCGTCACGAGCCTTCCTCGCCCGGTGCTTCACCACCTCCTGAAGTCTCGAGGACGCCTGGGAGACCACCGCCACCACCACCGGCACCACCACAACTACCACCTGCTCATGCAGCCGACGTGCAGGCGGAGTCGGAGCATGAGCTGTGGCAGCACTCCTGCGCCCTGCTGCGCGCGGCAGCTGGCTTGCTGGGTGAGCTGGCGCTACTCGGCACTCGGCTGCTGCGGCTGCCGCCCGATAGCAGCAGTAGCAGCACCTCACACCACCAACAGCAGCAGCAACAGCACAATCTGCGCATGCAGCGGCTACCCAAGCAGCCGAAGCAGCAGACCCAGCAGCAGCAGACCCAGCAGATGTATCTGGACTGGTGCCAGCAGCTGCCGGCGCTGCTGAGGGGCAGCGGTCTGCTAGCTGCCCTGTGCGGTGCGCTGCTGGGCGCACCCCCGCAGCCCCCGCAACCGTTGTTGGGAGTGCGTGTGGTGCATGAGGGGCACCTTGGGGGGCAACATGACGACAGCCACCATCACCATCCCCACCAAGCCGGTGCTGCTGCTGCTGCTGTTGACGCTGCGACTTCTGTTGCTGCTGACGTCATGATTTTGGAGATGCGGCCCGACACAGCAGATCTGTACGAGGCAGTCAGTGTCGTACTGTGTGCCATGGGGCAAATCATGTTGCTGCCCGGCTTACAGCAGCAGCGACCGCAGCAGGATGAGGCGCTGTTGGAGGCGCTGGCTGCTCCCCAGGTGGTGGAGCTCCAGAGGCTGCTGCTGGAGCGAGTGGTGGCGGATGGAGGAGGGGGAGGAGCAGGAGGATGCGATGGGGGAGGCGCAGGTAACGGCGAGAGAGGGGGCAGTGGCAGTGGCGACAGCGGCAGCAAAGGGGGCCGCAGCTGGCCCCTGCTGGACCACCACCCGCACCTGGAGCGCGCTGTCATGTCGGCCATTGCCGGAGGTGGCAGATTGCCGGGAAACGGCAGCGCAACTCTCCAGGAAGCACATGCGCTGATCCTGAACGTGGTGTTGGGCCTGTGGGTCCCGCTGCTGCGATCACCTCGGCACTCCCCGGCCCTACCCGACGAGCCCTCCCTGCTGCGACTGGGGCTGCGGTTGTTGAGGTCGTTGTGCCGGCTGACACATGGCGGGGGCGAGCGGGGACAGTACGACATGGGCAGTTGTACGGCCCAGATGGAGCGTGTCGTATCGAGCTGGGGTCATGTGGTGGTTGTGGTACGGCAGGTTATCAGGGGCCGGATCTTGCTTGGATCTGCTGAGGAGGGGCAGGAGCAGCAGCAGCAGGGGCGGGCGGCGGGGAGGGCTTCAGTAGCAGAGGGCGGCTTTGACGCCGCTTTTGCGGCAGGTTTGCGGCTTGGGGGGACAGCCGAAGTGGCAGCGGAGGGGGAGGAGGAGGGGGAGGAGTTGGTGCTGGATGGGGTGGAGGCGTGCGTGTGGGCTGTGGCGACCGCGAACGAGCTTCTACTGCTGCAGCAGCAGTCGCAGCAGTCGCAGGGGGGTGTGGGTCTGACTGAGGAGGAGGCGGCGCCGCTTTGGGAGTGGCTGGGGCTGATCTTCGACTGCTGGTCGGGGCTGACAAATCAAGGTGGGGCGGGGTGGGGGTGCGGGTGACGGTGGCGGTGGGGATGGGAGGTAGGTAGGGGTGATGGACATACACTTGTTGCCTGGGCAGCTGCGAGGGAAACAAAGGGGCTCGTTCCGAGGCACCAGGGGCTGGCTGCTTTGTTTGCCAATACACAGACGCCGCACGCCGCACACCCACATTGGGTTGAACACACGCGTTTTTCTTAACACACACGCGTGTGCGGCCAGTTCTTAACACATACTCTCACTCCCCTGTCCACACTTACGTCTCATGTGTCCCCATACGCCCCCCCAACCCACCCCGACAGTCGTGCCGCGCCTGTCGCCCTCCGCCCTCCGAGCACTGCGGCGCCGCATGCGTGCTGCACGGCTGCTGCGAGTCCTGGACACCCTGCTCCGGCGCACCGCTGCAGACGCAGCAGCAGCCGCAGCCACCTCCTCCTCCTCCGCTGCTGCTGCTGCTGCTGCTGCTGTGGATACGGGCATTGCTGACGCCGCAGCCGCTCTGGCTGCCGTGCTGCAGCACACGTGCCAGGTGCTGCAGCCGCTGCTGCTGCTCCAGGAGGAGGGAGGGGAGCAGCTGCTGCAGCAGTGGCCGGAGAAGCCGGAAGGGGGGGAGCAGGCCAGCGGGGGTGGAGGTGGTGAGGGGGAGGATGATGATAAGCGCCTGCATGGTCCCAGCAGTAGCGCTGTTCTTGGCGAGGATGAGGACGGGGATGAGGACGAGGATGACCCATGGGTCGCCGTGCGGGATCTTGGGCTTGTCGTCACCACCTGCAAGCTGGCGTTCCGCGAGGCAGTCCTGCTGGAATCCGCACCGCTCGGAGGGCCCAGCCCGATGTCATACCCGGTTGCAGATGCGTTAGCCGCCCTGTTGGGCCTGATCCTAGATTCCAAGAGCGGGCTGCTGCTGCTGCTGCTGCTGCTGCCGGCGGCGCGGCAGTGCGCCGCACCCCACCTGCGGGCCTCCGCCGCCGCCGGCCTGACGGAGGCGTTGACGTTGGCGGCCCGGGCGGCATGCGTGCTGGCGGCGCCGCTGCTGCTGCGGGCGGCCGCGGCGGCGGCGGAGGGACGTGCGGAGGAACGCGGACACGTGAGCACTGCAACGGATGACCCGATGGCGGAGTCGGCGGCAGCTACTGCTCTGCAGCTCGCCGCCGCCGGACTGCGAGCCCTGACGTCGCTGTACGACAAGGTGCCGGCGGCGGCGGCGGCGGCGCTGCTGGCGGCGCAACCTTATCGGCTGCTGGCGGCGCTGGGGGAGCTGCTGGGCGGCATGCCTCCGCAATCGCTGCCGGCCGCAGCAGGTGCAGCGGGTGTGGGTGCGATGCTGGCGGCGGCAGCAGAGGAGGAGGAGGAGAGGCATCAACGTCAGGCTAATACCTGCGTCGGGCGATTGGGCAATGAGGTGGTGGGGCAGGTGGTGCGGTTGCTGGTGGCGATGCTGGCGGGGGCGGGCGGTGAGGAAGAGGAGGGCGGAGGAGGAGAAGGAGGAGGAGGAGGGAGGACTCCGTCAGCAGCAGCGGGCGCTTCAGGGAGCATTGCCCCTGAAGCGCTGTCGGGCTGTCGTGCACATGCCTTGGTGTTGTTGGGCGCCGCCGTGGGGGGTGCTGCTGCTGCTGCCGGGCCTGATGTCAGCACTGCGTCAGCGGCAACAACGGCTTCTTCCCCTTCTGAGACCGCAGCAGCAGCGGCAGCAGCAGCAGCAGCTGCGGTATCTGCTTCAGGTTCGGTAGTTGCCGCCGCCATTGGGCCGGGTGGGAGTTCGGTTTGCGGAGGTGCCGTCGCGCAACTGCTGCGGGGCCTTACGGGCTGGCGCACAGCGGAGGTGCGGGCGCTGCGGGTGCTCCGTCAGGCGGCGGCGGTGGCGGTGCTAGGGACTGTACTGCCTGGTGGTGGGGGTGGGGGTGGGGGTGGGGGGGTGTTGTTGGAGCGGGGGGCGCGGAGGTTGCGAGGGGTGTACGGGGGCAGTAGCGGAGGTGGTGGTAGGGTGACGGCAGGCGGTGGCATGGGAGGCGGTGAGGAGGGGGAGGAGGCGGTAGGGAGGGCGTTGGAGGAGGTGGAGGCGGCGATAGCGCAGTACGGCTGCTTTCAGGGCGGCGAGCAGGGCGACACCAGCAGAAGTAACAGCAGTAGCGGTAGCGGTAGCCGTACGGGTTTGCTGCGATCCAAAGCCGTACCAGGAGCTCCAGCAGCAGCAGCAGCAGCACCAGCACCAGCAGCAGCTTCAGCTTCAGCCCTGCTGCCGCCGCCCATGCCGGTGCCGCCCGTTCGCTCGCAGCTGCTGCAGCTGTGCGCGAACCCGCTGTGTGGCAGCTACGGAGGCGCGTGTGAGGGCAGTTTGAAGCTGGGGAAGTGCTCCGGCTGCGGGGGGGCAGTGCAGTACTGCTGCGGGGAGTGTCAGCGGCAGCACTGGCGGGCGGGACACAAGCAGGAGTGTGTGCTGGTCAAGGGACGGGCACACGAGAAGGGTACCGGTGCGTGAGGAGAGAGCTTAATCGGGGGAGAGCGGAGCCGACAGGAGGGGGTGTGGGGGGCGGTCTAAGCAGTTTCGTTGACGAAAAGGGTTTGCTGGATGCAGCTGACCAGCCAGACATGTCGGCGCTGTGTGTTTTACTTTGTTGCAGCTCTTTTCCATGAGTTGTGGGTGGCACTTGGCGGTTGCCTGACGATTGAACTAACCGGTTGAATGAAAGAGCAGACATGTGGGCTTCGCCACCTGTACGGCACGAAGACTCCGATCTTCCTACCTACTTGCGTCGGAACATACACGAGCAGGGGTGGAACAAACCCGCACACAACAAACGCGCTTGGTCAGCAAATCTCTTACACGGTACTGCCGGCCGGGGACCCGCTGCGTGCTGGGAGCAGCAGGGGGCTGCTGACAGGGCAGGAGAGGCTCGACATTTGTCATCGCCCCCGGCCAAAGCATCCACTGTAATAACGCATACAAACGACCCGCCGTGCAAGGCAAGAAACGGGCACGGGCACGGATGTACGTCAACAAGGGTTGACCGCTTGTGGCAGTAACCGTTTAGGCTTTTTTGGTTTCATAAGAAAGCACACACACAAACAACGGAACAGCAGTAAAACGACTTATAACACACAAGCAATGCGTACTGTATCCCAGACAAGCAATCTGGGAGCGGGGGCCACCATCTTATGCACATGCGCCTGTGCAAGGATGGACATGAGGTGGGGAACCCTTGCCAAGCAGCCCCCATGCTGCAACTCCCACAGCTGCCCCCACTCCGGAGGCGGTACAAAGCAACATGTCGTATGGAACATGTGGAGCAAAACGCGACCGCGCAATTCAGCCTTCCACCTACAACAAGGTGTAGCAGCTAATAGGTATACCCCCCCCCCAACATGTCGAAAATACCACAATCACATCACACCCAGACTACCTAGCATAACATTACCTAATAATGATGCCATGCGGATCCCATGATCATCTGCAGCCTAAAACATCAAAACACCAGCAACCACATGCGTGGGATTAGGATACGAACCTAACCGTCCAGGCATCACTGCATCAAGCTATTACCTCCTCCGCGCTCCTTATCGCGAGAGCTCCTTTCCAGCCCCCTTTATTCCCAATCAGGGGGCGTGAGAACCCCAACCTGCGCTCTACAACCCCAATCAGAGGGCACTGCGTCGCCATCCAATCGCGAGGCAAGCCAGTGACTCCGCAGAGAGAGGGCAGAATCAAGCATCCAGCTGCTGCACAGCAAAACCGGGTAAGCCGCAAGCTATCCTAACCGCATTGTCCATGCAGAAGCAGCAGCAGCAACACCCCACAACACCACGCCACAACACCCTTACACGGCGCTGTTACGACAGCAGCAAAACGCATGGCGGGAGTTGCGCCGGTTAGTGAATCGAATCGAAACGGACACTTCGTAAACTAGCTGCTCAGACAGCTAGCATGCATACTGTACAACCGATTAAGAATCGCCAAAAAAGGAACACAGCGAAATAAACAGAGGCCAAGCCACCTACCCACACCATCAGCAGCACATACAAACACAACAGCAAGCAAACCCGCTCTTTCCACCGCTCTCCCTCTCTCTCACAGTCTTTTCACTCCACGGTTATGATACAAGGGTTCTCGTGTCACATACACACTCACGTTTTCACACTCCTTACGAAAAACAATGTCACGAAAAGGGCCTACAAGGCACCGCAATCATCATCAGCTAGGCAGGCAGAGCACAACCCCCACGCCAAGCCCCAGCAGCCTCCTCCTCCTCTCCATTTCCTCCTCCTTTTCAACTCCCTCCCTCCCTGCCTCCTTCCAACCACATTCCCTCCTCACAGCAACGCATTCACAGTGCGCCGCCTCGCTCCCCCCAGACCCTGCTCCCCTCCCGCTCCCCCGCCCCCGCCGCCCCCCTGCCCGCAGCTGCCCCGCTGCTTGCGCGGGTCCATGAACTCCTCCCCCGCTGCCGCGAACAGCCGCCGCAGGTTGTAGACGGTGAGGTGCTGCAGCGAGGGCACCGTCACGTCGGCGGATCGCAGCTTGTAGGCGGGGTAGTCGGGGGAGCAGGCCACCGCCACGGCCTGGAGTGGGGAGGGGACGGGTGGGGAGGGATGGGAAAAGGTGAGGAAACTCAGAAGCTCCCAATGCCCGAACTGCTCACATGTTGCATACTCACATGATGAAGCCTTATTACATGGTTACGGCGGGTTACGGTAGTTAGTTGTTTCCTTTTTACCTCCCTCCTGTCGTCTCCCTCGTGCCCCTGCTCCCTCCAGCGCCTGCTCCCCCCCCCCTCCCCCACCTTCATGGTGCAGTTGTGTGCCGCGGTGACCGCCTCCGGGGTGGCGGCGAACACGGCGCACATGTTGGGCGGCCGCCGCAGCCGCAGCGAGGCGGTCAGGAAGCGCTGGGCAGCCGACTCCAGCTCGTCCTCCGAGGTCACCTGGGCAGCAGGGGGGGCGGGCAGGAGGGGGCAGGGGGGCGGAGGGGTGAGGTGGAGGACGGAAAGGGTACCGGTAGTATGGGAGGGAAGGAAGGAAGAAGGGAACGCCGCATTAACAACAAGTACATGCCATGTTGCGCATGAAGGCCCCACCCCGCGCCCGCCTCACCAGCACTTGGAAGTGGTCGTGCAGGTGCAGCCGCTCCAGCGCCCGCCGCACCGTGCCGCGGTCCAGCGCCGACACCAGCGCCACCGGCACGTTGAACGACGTCAGCGCGCCCAGCCACTCGCGCACTCCCGGGGGCGGACCACCACTGATACGACTGCCGCTAACACCAGCACTGCCACTGGTGCTGTCAGCAGCTGCAGCACTGCGGCCGTCGCTTGCAGCCCCCGGCGACTCCACACACGCCCACGTGGACACAGCCTTGGCTTCAGCGGAGGAAGCGGAGGCGGTGGAGGAGGTCGCTGCGGCCTGCTGCTCCCCCGTCTGCCCCCGCTCCTGCCCCCCCACCGGCACCTGCTCCCCCAGGCGGCTCAGCTCCGCCGCGTAGGCCTCCGCCAGCTCGTACGCCAGTGCCCGGGCCTCACGCATGCTGGCAGTCCAGCCTAGCACCTGGGGGTGAATGATGGGAAGCAAGGAAGGAGGAGGTGGAGGTGGTAACTAGAGGGGCTACCGCGGTACTGGCCAGGTTTGAGGGGAAGCGTGGAAAAGGAGAAGTCGTGGAGGATAGGATTTGCAGTAGAGCTGCCGCGAAGGGGGTGCCGTATACAGAGCCCACGCTAATGACGTAATGAGCCAACTCCTAACCGACTCCTACCCAACCCGACCCACATCCATGATGATGCGCTCCGGAGCCGTGTTATGCATGGCCAGACGAGCATGGGGGTGCAGCCTGAGACCGCGGCTCGCAGCCACTCGGCCCCAGGCTCGGCGGTAGGCGCCCGCTGTGTCCGCGATGACGGTGTCAAAGTCAAACACGGTGCCGTACGCCTCATCTGGGTGCAGCTGGAAGCGGTGCCGCAGCGCACCTCCAGGGCGCAGCTGTTCGTTAATAGCGGCCACGTCAAGACACCGGGGCTGGCCGCCTGCTGCGAATTGTAGGAAGCCCTGGACCATGGCGTGGTAGGGTTGCAGGTGGTGCCGAATACAGCAGTTAGCATAAGCAGCTGCAGAAAATGTTTCGTTGGCGCGTCGATTACGGTGCAAAAGCTTGGTCAGCAACAATGGAAGGTGCGATGCGTTTCGGTAGGAAGAGGCGTCGTAACGGCTGTTTGCGGTGCGAACACAGCCGACGCAACAGTGCCCCCTTTCGCCAATAGGAATCGCATAATTACAAGCAGGCAAACCCCTACCTCGCCGTATTCAGCACCAATTTGCGTCGGAGCAACGAGCTGAGCGTAAGCGCGACGAGCTGCTGCCGAGTATGAGGTTGATGGTTGGTCCTCGGCTTCCTGTCCGCCAAGGTTGTGAGCCCTTGCCAAGAGCCTGCTCGGCTTGGGTTTCCGGGGCTGAATTGTTGCAACTCTATCGCAAGCCTTTCGACCCAAACCGCAATTAAAGCGGTTCCTATTTAACTGCTGCATGCTCGTTGTACTTCGCAACGCTTGGCCCGCTGCTGAAGAGCAATTAAGGAGCCTTTGTTTAGTAAACGCACTTTGCTTGGTAGGCACCTTGCTTGCTAGCAAGGGTTGCTATAGTCATGCACCAGCTTACTCTATTAGTCCGCAATTTACCAAACTTGTATGCCCAGGACGGCATAGTGTCGTCCATCTTTCAACGGCAACCACACGCATGGAACCTAGGGCCCATGCGATGTGCATCCCCGGCATGTAAACTACTACAACCCCTTACTTGTTGTTCTAACTTTGTAACATGGTTGCGCGACGAAAGGTTGCTGCACGATGCACTGACATGACTGGCCGCAAGTAAAGGGTCGCTTTTCCTAAGATAGTTTCCTTAGATAACCGTGTCTCATGATGCGGGGCCTTAGGGTTGTTGTTACAGCGGGGAGGCTTGGGCACCGGGCCTTTCTGAGCGATAGTGTTGCCCAACACCAAGCCCTACTCGGGAACTTTACGCCGATTCTCAGACTTAGGGGCCTGACGTCATCATGCGGGATTCGCATTGCCCGTGCCTTTTCTATCCAAGCAAACAGCAATGCCAAGGACAGCTCGAACCCTGTCATCCAACGCTATTTGCAGATGGTGGATGCGGGAAGCTTGCAGAAGGACGAACAGCAGGTGAGCGGGCATACGTGTCAGGGATTAGATATGACAGGCGGGGGGCGAAAAGTCGTTCCTGAATATGTGTCCCGGAATGCCCCTAAGAATTGTGTGGTCGGTATCGCAGGAACGGGGTTTGTTCCCTGCAAACTCTTCCTTACGCACCCCCCTTGCCCTTCTCTTGTGAAAGTAGTAACGGGAGTCCCAAACTTGTGTACTGCTAGGCCTCATGGCGTTTGACGCTGTTCCCAAGTAACAAGCTAACAACCTCTCCCGCTCAAACTCTATCCCTCTGCGGCCCTCCCCGCCCCCCTTCTTTTACGCCCATGACTCCTTGACCAACAAATTCCCCATTTCCCGGTCCTCGCGACCATGCAGTGGGCGCTCGTCCAAGAGCTGGGCAGGTTGTACGACGAAACAGTGCAGTACAAGGCCCTCATGGACAAGTACCATACAGCCACGGCAGAATACAAGGTGGGTCGGGTCTGCCGTACCCTTGCACTTTCCGCCGTGCATCCTTGCTTCAGTTGCAACATGGCAAAGCCATGTAACATCAATATATTGCTCCCATATCCTCATTTTGGTGTCGTACAACTTCCCGGTAGTCATCTACACCACTAAGTGTGTTCGTGTGACTGTATGTGTGTTTTACCCCCCCCCCCCGCTGCCCGTACAGGCCCGTAGGTTGCAGCGGTTGCAGGAGCTGCTCGAAGAAGACCGACTGCGGGAGGAGCAGCAGCAGCGGGAGGAGCAGCAGCGGCGGCAGCGCAAGGGGCTGCTCGCCACCCTGCTCGGGTCGCCCCCGCCTCCGCAGACCGCCGCCACCGCCAGTGACAACAACAGCGATGGCGTCGGTGGGTGTGGAAGGCAGCACTGCCAAATGTCGTACCGCCCTCTCCACCCGTACTGCCCCTCTTGCCGTACTCGTCTGCCCCCGAGCGCATGCGCCCCATGCCCTCCCCCTCTTCACATGTGCGCGCCCTGCCCATGCAACTCCCACCACCCACCCTCCGGAACCACTCACAGGTCTGGCTGCCTGGCTGCGCTCCTCCCTGGCCCCGCTGCTGCCCGGATCAGCGGCCGCCGCTGCTGCTGCTGAGGAGGGCGGTGCCGCTGCTACCGCTGCCAGCGCCGCTCGTGCCCGTCAGGCTGCTGCTGCGGCGTTTCGGGAGGAGCGGCTGACGGCGGAGCTGGGGCCGCCGCCTGGCGCCCCGCAGCCGCCCCGGGGTGGGTGAGGGGGGAAGAAAGCAAAGAAGAAAAGAGGGAATAGTGCTAGGGGTGGGAAAAGTTGGGGATAGTGCTAGGGGTGGGAAAAGATGGGAATCGTGCTAGGGGTGGGAAAAGTTGGGAATAGTGCTAGGGGTGGGAAAAGTTGGGGATAGTGCTAGGGGTGGGAAAAGATGGGAATCGTGCTAGGGGTGGGAAAAGTTGGGAATAGTGCTAGGGGTGGGAAAAGTTGGGGATAGTGCTAGGGTTGGGAAAAGATGGGAATCGTGCTAGGGGTGGGAAAAGTTGGGGATAGTGCTAGGGGTGGGAAAAGTTGGGGATAGTGCTAGGGGTGGGAAAAGATGGGAATCGTGCTAGGGGTGGGAAAAGTTGGGAATAGTGCTAGGGGTGGGAAAAGTTGGGGATAGTGCTAGGGGTGGGAAAAGATGGGAATCGTGCTAGGGGTGGGAAAAGTTGGGGATAGTGCTAGGGGTGGGAAAAGTTGGGGATAGTGCTAGGGGTGGGAAAAGTTGGGGATAGTGCTAGGGTTGGGAAAAGATGGGAATCGTGCTAGGGGTGGGAAAAGTTGGGGATAGTGCTAGGGGTGGGAAAAGTTGGGGATAGTGCTAGGGTTGGGAAAAGATGGGAATCGTGCTAGGGGTGGGAAAAGTTGGGGATAGTGCTAGGGGTGGGAAAAGTTGGGGATAGTGCTAGGGGTGGGAAAAGATGGGAATCGTGCTAGGGGTGGGAAAAGTTGGGAATAGTGCTAGGGGTGGGAAAAGTTGGGGATAGTGCTAGGGGTGGGAAAAGATGGGAATCGTGCTAGGGGTGGGAAAAGTTGGGAATAGTGCTAGGGGTGGGAAAAGTTGGGGATAGTGCTAGGGTTGGGAAAAGATGGGAATCGTGCTAGGGGTGGGAAAAGTTGGGGATAGTGCTAGGGGTGGGAAAAGTTGGGGATAGTGCTAGGGGTGGGAAAAGATGGGAATCGTGCTAGGGGTGGGAAAAGTTGGGAATAGTGCTAGGGGTGGGAAAAGTTGGGGATAGTGCTAGGGGTGGGAAAAGATGGGAATCGTGCTAGGGGTGGGAAAAGTTGGGGATAGTGCTAGGGGTGGGAAAAGTTGGGGATAGTGCTAGGGGTGGGAAAAGATGGGAATAGTGCTAGGGGTGGGAAAAGTTGGGGATAGTGCTAGGGGTGGGAAAAGATGGGAATTGGATGGCTGGTGTTACGGGGTAAAACGGGCAGGGGGAGCAGGCTGATGATGGCGGGTAGGCGGGCCCACTGGATATACCGGGGGAGGGGGGCACCTCACCAACCCCTCCTCTCCCCGCCATTCCTTCCTGCGCTCCTCCCTCTCACCCCACCTCACTTCTCATTTATTCTCTTCCCCTACTCCCCCCTCAGGCCTGTACGTGTGGGGCAGTGTGGGCAGCGGCAAGTCCATGCTGGTGGCCATGTTCTACCAGGTGCTGGCTGAGAGCGCGCAGCTGCCCGCCACACGTTGGATGCACTTCAACGCGGCAATGCTGGAGGTAGGGGGGAGCCGCGGTGGGGAGGGGGCGGGGGGGGGGGGGGAAGACAAGAAATACCAAATGTATGCAAGGGCGGGTGGGCGGTGTTAAAGAGTTAAAAACAATTGGGATACAAGACACCGTTGGAATCCGGGTGCTCCACTTCTTCCCCTTCCTGTCTCCCCCCCCCCAGATCCACGCCCGGCTTCACCACCTGGACTCGGAGCGCTGGCGGCAGCGGGACGCGCGACTGCGGGCGCAGCAGCTGCTGCAGGAGCAGAAGTGGCAGCAGCAGCAGCAGGCTGCAGCAGCGGCAGCGGTTGCGACGGCAGCAGCGGGGACCGCGGGGGATGCGGACTCGGATGAGGAGGAGGACGAGGAGGGCGAGGAAGAGCGGGTGCAGGTGGAGACATGCAGCGGTACCTTGTCCTCCTCCGTGTCCGCCTCCTCGTGTGCCTCTTCCTCCTCTTCCTGTGGCTCTTGCTCCCCAGACCGCCAGCGACCCACGGGTCATCAGCCCCCGCAGCCCCCGCAGCAGCAGGCCGCCTGGGACCCGGCGCTTGACCCGGAGGTTCGCAAGCAGCGGGAGGCGCGGGCAGCCATGCTGGCTGTGAGGCGGCACATGAGGTGGGGGGGTGGGCAGGGGGGCAGTGGCTAGGGTACTAAGAGAGCCAGGGTCCGGCTTGGATGTTTTGAGTGCAGCTTGCTGCTCTGCCAATGCCAGCTAGCGACCCATGCCGTCCGGCGCCCCCTCCCTCCTCCCGCTCCCCCTCACCACCCCCCCCTCACCTCCTCCACCCCTACTCCTACCCCCTCCCTTCCCCAGGCTGGCCAAGCTGGCTAGCAAAGACCCCCGGTCGCTGGCCGCCGCTAATGCGCAGGTGGGGGCGGGGCGGGGTCGGGGTCTGAGGACGCTGTTGCTCTGCACTGCTGACAACCTCAGTTGCCGGGACACCGCCCCCCAGTGGTGAAGCCCTGTCAAACAGTTTGTCAGTTTCCTCATCTTTACCCCCCTTCCCCCCTCCCCCCCCCCCGCCCAGGGTATGCTCCGCACCGCCGCCAGCTTCATCCGCGGCCGCCCCGGCGACCCACTCAGCGGCTGGGTGGGCGGCGGGTCGGAGCCGCTGGCCTCCCTGCTGTACTTTGATGAGGTGCAGGTGACCGACGTGTTCAGTGCGGTGGCGCTCAAGGTACGGCACCCGGGTAGCCTAAGCCTCGTTCACCCCCCCCCCTCTGTTACCTACTGCCGGCTTGTGTGTCGGAATCCCCCACCTGCACCGGTTGCCCTCCTCTCCCCCCCGTCTGCCCTGTCACACAGCTTGTTAGTTGGCTCATCGGTTCCCTTACTCCCCTCCCCCGCGTGCTTACAGGATAGTGTCTCCGAATGCGCTCACTGCATGAGTCGGGATATGGGATTGGGACTCCAGTTGTTTCACTTATTTAATTCCCCCCTCCTCGCCTCCCCCCTCAGGGCCTGATCGAGGCTCTCACCTCCGCTGGCTGTGTGGTGGTAGCCACCAGCAATCGGGCGCCGCACGAGCTGCCGCGACACGGGCTGCACGAGGACATGTGGGGGCACTTCGTAACAACGTAAGCAGGGGGGGGTGGCAGGGGGGAGGGGGAGAAGAATACCGAGAGGAGGGGGGGGTGAAGGGGGCGGGGGGAAGGAGCGTTGCAGGGAGGGCGTGGCAAGGAGAGCGAAGGTGGCGTCAGTGTGGAGACGTGTGGGTTGTGCTACCTCCCTCCCCCGTGCTTCACTCCTACTGTGCTTTACCCCCCTCCCGCCCCCCCTCCCCCCCCCCAGGCTGCTTCAGCGCTGCTCGGTGTACGAGCTCTCCGCCGCCGCCGACTACCGCCGCACCCTGTTGGAGCAGGGCAGGGCGGCCATCGCAGCAGCAGCAGCAGCAGCCACAACACCCGCTCCCTCCTCCTCCTCCTCCTCCTCCCCTCGCTGGCCCCCGCTGGCCCGCAGCTACCTGCAGCCCTCCGGACCCGCCAGCGCGCAGGAGCTGGAGGCGCTGTGGGCAGCCATGAACGCCTCCTCCTCCTCCTCCTGCTCCACCACCACCGCTGCTCCTGCATCTCCTGCCACGGCAAGCAGCCCACTACCGGTTACCCCCCAGCACCCCCAGCAACCCCAGCACCCCGAAGAGGCGGCGCTGCTTGTCCCGGTGCTGTTCGGTCGCAGCCTGGCCGTGCCCCGCTGCTCCCCCTGCGGCGGTGCCGCGTGGTTCCCCTTCCCGCAGCTGTGCGGCCAGCCGCTGGGACCCGCGGACTACGTGGCACTGGCTCAGCGCTTCCACACCGTGTTCCTGTCCGACATACCCGCCATGTCCATGCAGGTGCGGGGGGGGGGGGGGAGGGGGTAACAATAAGGGAAGCAATGAACAGGAACAGGGGAGGTTGCGAGGGGGGAGTTGACACAACGTGCATGTGGTGGGAGTAGTAAGCTAGTAACTAAGTAAACTAACCCACCATATGTGTTTGTCCAGACACACGCAACCTGTCTTGTTCCGACGCATACCGCCAGCCTTCTCAACACCCCCCGTCTCTCCCCCCTCCCGCCTCCACCACCAGGTTCGCGACCAGGCCCGCCGCTTCATCACCCTCATCGACGAGCTCTACAACGCGCGCTGCGTGCTGGTGGCCTCCGCCGCGCTGCCGCCCGAGCAGCTGTTCGCGGGGGCGGAGGGGCAGGAGCCCATCCTGGATCTGGAGGGGCTGCAGTTCGAGACGGCGGTGGAGGGTGCGTGCTGGGAGGGGGGGCGGGATGAGGGGGACGGAATCAGTTGCGGGGAGCTCTGCTGGTGAAAGGAAGCGAGGGGAAGTCTTTCCTTTTTTCAGTATGGTCACTTTCGTGTACCGGTAGCCGCCTTTGCTGCCTTACCTAAGCAACTGTCCTTCTCCTCCTCCTCCTCCCGCCATCATCATCACCCCCTCCCCCCCCAGATGCGCGCCTGCGTCGTGACGCCACCACTGCGGGCGGGGTGGCCCCCGTGGCCGCCAGTCCCACTTCCCTTGCGCTTACGGTGGGGGCGCTGGGGGGCGCGGAGGAGCGGTTCGCGTTCCGGCGGGCGGTGTCGCGGCTGCTGGAGATGCAGTCGCCGCAGTACATTGCGGGGGCGCTGGCCATGAGGCGGGGGCAGCAGCAGGGGGGGCAGGCGCAGCAGCAGCGCGTGTAGCGGGGGGGTGAGGGGGAATAGGGAAAACTGCGTTTAGGGGTTGGAGGGAGCGGCTGTAGTGGAGTTCAAGGATTGTTCGTGGTGATAGGGCGTAACGGAGGGCGTGCGGCAGGCGCATTATAAGGTTGAGACGTGGGGACTGCGTGCTAAAGCAGAGCAGGCCAGGCAGCGAGAGGGCGAAGCGAGCGGCTGTTACTTAAGCGTACGCTAATACTGTGGAGGGGTGAATGAGGGATCAGAGCGCTGTGGGAGATGCGGGAGTGCGGATGTGTGCGATTGTCATTTCACCTAATTCGTTTGGGGTATGGATCTGGAATTGGACTTTGGCCTGTTTCTGTTCAGGGTCAACTGTGGGTACTATTGAGGGTGTGTTTGGGTCAAACCATGTGCTGTTGATGAAGGGTTTTGGCCTACACTACAGAAGCTGCTAAATTTATTCGAGCTGATACGGCGAACATGTACGAGAGCGTATGCGTTACAGTGGAACTGTGGAGTTTATATTGTACGGGAGCGTGTGAGGGAGTTGCGTGCGTTTTACCTGAGAGTGTGTAGTAACGGCTCAACTTAACACGCCAGAACCACATGTTCTCCTGGCCTGAATACTACGCCGAAATTGTTCATTTGTGCCGTACTAAAGTCATTATTGAAACTATGTTACGAGATATTTACTATGCGAGGGGCAATCTGAGCGCTAAGTCTAGACAGTATTACTTGCTTTATTTGAACTTGCTACTATGGAAGCTGTGGCACTGTATGCAATACCGCCCGCAAGTGCAATTCGGTTAAAACTGGAACGGAATGGAACTACCATGGAGTTGGACGCGGCTGGAACCTGAGTTGGTTGTGGTTGGTACTTCCTGCTGTAACAAACAGGGGCTGGCACAACTGGTCGCTAACTAGTGACCTGTGACTTCATGGGCAAGATTCAAGACCATAGCAGTGAGAACTACCGCAGCCCTGACAAGTGCTGTAAATGCTGCTGCAACGGTGGCTGCCCTGTCGCTGCTCTGGCCGCTGCTGCTGACGAGTCGAGGGGCGCTGGCGCCGAGAGGCGCTTCACCCAGGAGCTGAAACACACACGCCCCACAACTCCCCCACATCACCGCAATCCACACAGGACACAAATAACCACGAAACGGAAGTTAGGACGACCGCACAAGTCCATGGAAAGGAACAACTGAGAGACAAAACGCAAACCAGTAACACCGGACCCCATCAACCAACAACCGTTCCCAATGCCCCCTCCCCCCAAGCGTGGCAACGTAGTCCCTCATGCCTGCAACTGCACAAGCCCCCAACCCATGCCTGAAATAAACCCAGCAGTACACCCAGATGCCACCCTGTGGCGGCTCCCGGGCATTTGGCAATCTTTTACCCTACGCAACGCGCATACGGCATGACAAGAACCCCCGGATACGGAATAGACCCTTTTCCCATGAGTGTTACGCAACGTATGCCCTGCTTGGTCGGTAAGACCCCTCGGGAATAAGATGCCCCCAGAGAGCCTCCCATCGCTCCGTACCCAACCCGTATCCCAAAACCCCTTCCCTTACCCGCAAACGCTGTTCCAGGATCCCAGCAAAATCCGGGATGCGCACTCCCCGTGCTCTATTTCCATCCATTCCCAACCCGCAACCCGCAGACTGCTTAAGCGGGCTACATGCACTTGCCTAAACTAACTAACCCATGGCGCCCAGGTAGCGAGCATTACCAGTCCCCCCCCGCCACGCCTCTACCCCCCGCGCCTTTCTGTCAGGCAACACATCCCTCCCCAAATGCGATGAGATGACTCCGTACGCCAATGTACCCAAACCCCCCCCACTACCCTCCCTGCTGAGACAACACGTCCCGGAAAGGGCAACCATACATCCCACCCGGGCATGATGAGAACAACACTAAAGACCCCATGCGTAAACCAAATCGCCTATCCATACAAGTAACCCGATAGCCCGAAATCCTGGTAGGATGGTGCGCGCTCTACAGCATGGTATACTCGACATCCATAACCCCCAATGAACGCGCAACCCAAATTCCCCAATCGTGGACTATGGACTCTGCCGGTCTGCTCGCATAAACCGGTAGCTCTAACCTACCCCGTATCGTATCCGCATGAGACGAACTCAACCCATATCCCCCGACCCACCCACAGCAGAAGCTATCCGGACCCGAACCCGAAATACCCCAAACCCCGAGCGCAAAGCCCGTACGACCCACGCATGCGCCGCGTGACCCACACCCTATACCGCGCATGCATCCGTGGACCTAGCCGGACGTCACACAGTCCCAGAGCCAAAACACGTGCAGCCCAACCCTGTCCCAACCGGCCCAATGAAGCCCCAGCCCCTTCCCATGCATGCAGACCCCCCGGGCATGAAGAGCACGACGGAAGGCCCAACAGGCAAATCCCGTGACCCAGCCACCCACATGCCCTTTGTAACCCAAAGTGATAGGGGCCAACCCACATCGCCAATGGCCCTTGCCCAGTATCCAACCGCGCCGCTCATGACAATAATTCACACGGAACGCACCACACGCCACGTACGATTGATGGACAACGTGAATCCCCCACTATAGCGCCACTCACCAGGAAATGCTGCGCTGCTGCTGCTAAGCTGCTCCAGTAACTGCTGCTGCTGCTTATATTTTGCTGCATATGCTATTTGTTTTATTATTGACACGAGAAGACTCCGATTATCGCCCGTTACAAAGCCACACCGCAGTGGCGAAGAGAACAAGATGCAGTCCTCCGCGCCAGCCCAGGCAGCCCGCAGCCCGCTCCTCCCGTTTACTTGAGCGGAATGAAGCGAGAAGAGTGCGTGGCGCCAATGCCTGGGCGTCCGTGCTTGACGGGCTTGTATGAGATGGAGAACTCGGCCAGGTAGTGGCCGACCATCTCAGGCTTGATCTCCACCTGGTTGAAAGTCTTGCCGTTGTAGACACCCACAACGCTGCCAATCATCTCCGGCACAATAATCATGTTGCGCAGGTGAGTGCGCACAGGCTCCGGCTTCTCGCCGCTGGCGGCCAGCTTCTTGACCTTGCGAAGCTTGACAATGAACGACTGGTGCTTCCTCTTCAGGCCACGCTGGAAGCGGCGGCGCGCACGGGCGTGGAACAGCTGAACGTAGTCGCTGGTCTTCATGTCCAGCAGCTGGTCCAGGTCCACCCCGCGGAAGGTGAACTTGCGGAAAGTGCGCTTCTTGTCACCAGTGTCAGCCATTTTGCCTAGCGTAAGAAACACGAGCCTGACGGCGAGAGGAAAGAGAGAGCAGAGAGGACTTCGCGCCCTCTTTTGGGCGGCGGGGTACGACGCGTCGGGCCCTGTACGGCGAGCTTTGCAATTTCCTTGGCTTTGCAGGCTTACCTCCCTGCTTAGAGTCTAGGTAATAGAGGCTGGCTTGCCGGAAGAGTTGTAGTTAAGCTTGTACAGTTGGAGCTCCAACATGCAGTCTAACCTTTGCTCACGCTTGCAAGCTTCCACACCAACGAGGTATTTCACTATTATTTGCAAACTGGAGCAAAGCCTCGAGGAGCAGAGCTTAGGAAATGGGACTATGAAACCTCATATCCTTGCGTTTCCTGGCTACAATACAGGATAGCAGTGAGGCGTCGCGCCAATGTCAGGACGAAGGCGCTCTTTGGCTTTGGGTAAGCCAGGATTGTGATCTTGCCGGGCAGTAAGTCCGAAAATACCAAAAAAAGTGCACTATTCCTCCATTGCCGCAACACGGGGGACCTGGCCTGTTACATGTCCCTTGCTTTTGTGTTAAAGTACGAAACAACAAAGGACAGCCGTTTTCGCATCCATCTTGTTGTCAGCTATCGGATCGCATTCCGGACTGTCGTTTTGCAACATCCTCCTAACCTCATCGCGTCGCACTGCGGCCCCTGTCCTCACATCCCTGCGCCTACCCGGCAACCCTGTCCCCATTCCTTACCCTTCTCAGCAAGCCCAAGTCCGAAGTAGAGAGCGAGCGGGAGGAGCAGTGGCGGTTGCAGCAGGAACTGATTCAAAAACGCAAGAGCGGCCAGCTCATTAAAGAAGCGAACGATAGGCGGCGAAAAGTCGCGGTAGGTGGGGCTGGTACCGGTGGCATCGGTACGACAACCGTGGCGGCCCTTTCACAGCGCGTGTCCCTTCCTATAATGCTTTGCAGCGTGTGGGTGACAGGACCTGCCGGTGTCCAGCTGCCCGTGTTTCTGGCCTCCTGGGCCATGCACTCCCAGCCCACATCCAGAAGAGTACCGTGTGCTCTCTCCTGCTGGTCCGTGTGCTCTCTCCTCAGTCCTCACGTAGCTCCTTGTCGCGCTGCCCTGGCGTGTCGCCCCTGCCCTCCCCCCTTCTTCCCCCCCCCCCTCCAGGAGGAGCTAGCCTCGCGCAAGGAGGTGCGGCGGCGGGAGAAGGAGGCGCTGGCACGGGGGGAGATGCCAGACACGTTGCAGGGGTGGAAGGTGAGGAGAAGAGGAGGAAGAGATGGTAGAGGGGCGTAGGAGACGGGGAAGGGGAGTACGGGGGAAGGGTGGAGTGGATGCGGATCCTACGCAAGCGCCCTTCTTCGTGGACATGCATGATGTCCTGTGCAAAGGTGGTGAACCCAACCCGACAACCGTGTGTCGTGCCGTACCACCGTGTGTTATCGCTGCAGCCGTACGATAACGAGGTGGACGAGAAGGCCAACAGCGGCATCGTGGTGCCGCTGCTGCCCTTTGGAATCAAGAAGTACGATGAGGTACGTACGGCACATGGGGTAATGTGCTGGGTTCTGACCCTATGACGTGGTTATGGGGTGCGTAGGGACGACCCGAGTACGGCTGACAGCAGAGAGGGGCAGGATCGGCGCATTGCCGCGAGGCCTTGGAGTGCGGCAGGAGAGGGGCTCCAGTGCCTGGCCTGCCTGCCTGAGTACCGGCAGTCATTGAAATGGGTTGGCTTACATGGATTCCCCACCACAGCATTCTGTAAACGTTGACGATCCCTGCCATCCCTGCACCTACTCTCCTACTCCTAATCCTGCCCCCGCCCCCCAGGGTGAGCGGTTCGACCTGCGCAGCCCCTACAGCGACGCGGGCTGGGTGGACCCGGAGGAGCAGGACGCGTGGGCGGGGCTCAAGAAGATCGGATCCAAGATCTTCAACTTCAGCGGCAAGAGCGAGCCAAGTGGGTGTTGAGGGCATGCGTGTCTGCCCCTTCTCGCCGTTCCTCAAGGCCGTTGGGTGGCCGCATTGTTTGACACGCGCCTTCTCTCGGGCTCTCACGCACGCAGCAGTCCCTCAGCAGTGTGATGAAGAGCGGTAAAGCCCGCCGGATGGGCCTTCAGTTCGTTATCGGCCAATCACTCGTTCGTCTCTCCTCCACACGCTACCCAGCCTTCCTCCTGACCTCCCCCTGCTCCCCTGCATTTATCCATTTTACTCCCCGCCCAACCACCACCACTTCCTTGCTTATTCTTTCCCCCCTCCCCCCCTTCCAGCCGAGCTGAAACCCATCATGTGGGCCACCCCCTTCACCAAGCGGCGTGGCGAGCAGGAGGACGAGGACCAGCCGGCGGCACCGCAGCCCCAGAAGAAGAAGCCGCAACAGCCGCCGTCTCGGGCGTCGCAGCAGCCGCAGCAGCAGCCACGCTTTGGGTTCAAGGGCAACAAGTAAGGCCCTTCCTGCCTAGCCAGCTAGCGCCCGTAATGGCACAGAGGCAGCAGCACCCGGCCCAGCAGCTCCCTTTTAGTTTCCGGGCCACTCGACCCAATCAATTGGTACACAAGCCAGGAACGCGTATGGCCCTGCTTCAGGCGGTGTGCTTGGTGTCGTTAAGGTGGTGGTGGTGGTCGCTTGGAGAGCCGGCAGTGCCACCACCAGCAGCAGCAGCAGCAGCGGCCCTCTTGCGTCTGCCGTACATCCGTCCCAGCGCTGCCGCCACCCCCATATGGGCGGCACAGAGGGTGAGGCCCACCGCTGCGACCAGGGAGGGACCGCCGGAGAGCTGCACGCCTGTTGCGGGGGAAGAGGGGGAGGAGAACCGTGCGTTGAATGGCAGTGGAGGAGGAGGGTAAGGAGGAAGACCCAGGGGCCGAGCTCAGCAGGGTAGGTTGTGATGCATTTCTGCATATTGCGGTGACGAGAGATGTAGGGAGGGAAGGCGCGTGGAGCGTTACGCTGCTCGGATGGAAGAAAACGGTATCGAGGGAAGTGTGATTACTGGAAGCGTGAAGAATGTACGATAGCATAAGCTGTACCCTGTACGATAAGTTGAGCCTAAAAGATGTTGCGAGTGTCGTTAGGGTTTTACCTAATCCCCTTGTGTGAGTTATGTAGCACGGACGAGTGTACAAGGTTGCAGTTTTCTGCGGTTTCCTTGCTGCCTTGGCTGCACTGTGATGTTGTTTGATATGTTTTGATTGAGGAGTTGCTCGAATGTTTAAATTATTTTGTTGGTGGTAGCCGGTGGGTCCGGAGGGATTGTTGCCAAGTTGTAAAAGCACTGGAGGCCTGGTGGTCAGTCTGCGAGTTGCGTGGAGAGCGAGTCTAGGGAGGCGGGATGAGGGAGTCACGAACATTCGCTAGGCGTTAGGATGAGGTAACGTGACGAAGGGAGGAGAAATGCGGTTGCGTAGTGTACACCTCTGGGGCAGAGGCGCTTGTTTCGAGGTTGGAACAATCCAATCATCTAATCGGCGCTAAACACAAGGGGTTGTCCCCGGTGCAACGTGTAAGAACGGTACCCACCCTGGAATGCTCCACCCCTCTCCTCCCGCTCACATGCCCGGAGGAGTGTGGTTATCTCCCAGAGACCACCCTCTCCCAGCTTCCCCGGTGCGCACCCTAACAATCCACGACTCTTGTGGCACCCTGCCGCCTCCTATCCCCATTGCCTTGCCCTAACCTGTGGTTTCCTATGGTTTGGTATATGTTTTGACCCCCCCCCCAGAACACACCCCCTCCACCCCTCGATCCCCCCCCACCCACCCAGGGGGTCCTCTCTCCAGGTAAGTTTCCCGTAACGCGTCTCGCTGACTTATCTGCTTGTATGCCCAATAGCCCTGTTGCCTTAGAATTAGTGGCCGGCGGCGCGGCACATGCCTTACTAGTGTTCCTATGCAAGGCGGCTTCTTCCCCAAGTCATCTCGGTTTCTGGTAAGTAAGCAATTGGTAAGCCTCTGAGTTTCTAGAATAGTGTCTCCGAATGCGCTCACTGCATGAGTCGGGATTCGGGATTGGGACTGTGTTGTTGCACTTATTTATAATTTTCCCACCCACTCACCTACGATCTGGAACAGCGCTGCCGCCGCCGTGTCGCCCACTCGCTGTACGACAGTGTCCAGCACCAGTTTGGCGCCGTACTTCTCCGCGCGGGGCACCACCGTGAAGAGCACCTCGCGAGAGGGGCGGGCCAGGGAGTACTGCACCACCTTGCGAACAAGCTCCACGACTGGGGGGGGGGAGGGTGGAGAGAAAGGGAAGGGAGGGATGATGGGACGTTTCCTGGGTGCTGCATGATGTGTCCAGCGGTGCTGCTTACTGGGATACTTGTTGGGTTAGGTTGTGATGCATCACACGTTCTTCTACATATCCATTAATCCATACCACATCATAAATTTGCGGCTGCATGGAGAAGAATAAAGATGCACGCGCCGCGCCTTAGGCCCGCACTGCGACCCATCAGCCCTCCATCACCCCCCTTCCACACCACCGGCCCCCGCCCCCACCCGCAATGGTTGCCGCCTGCGGTGCCGCCGCCACCGCCGCCAGCCCAGCTAGCGACACCGCCGGACCCACCAGCAGCGACCACCCCACTCCCAGCCGCGTCAGGGCGCGACCTGCGGGCACCCCCGGGGACGGGAGGGGGGGGAGGAAAAACAAAACGAAAAGTGAGGCAACGGAGCCCCAACCCCACAGCCCGACTCAGGGAGGGGAGGGGGGACAGCAGCAGGGTGGTGTTGGGAGCCAGGAGGGGAAACATGGCGGGGGGGGGGGGAATAATATAATAAATGCAAACAATTAGAGTCCCAATCCCATATCCCGACTCATGCAGTGAGTGCATTCGGAGACATTATCCTAGAAGCACGCAAAACACGGGGGGGAAAGCATGTGGGGAGGTTTGGGGTGGGTTGGAAGGAAGCAGAGCAGTCGTTGAGTATGGCCTTTAAACACCCCGCCCGCCCCAGTACTCACCCGTCACCGCCATCTGCGCCGCGAATATGAGCCCCGCACTGGCGGTGTTGAGCGCCGCTATGAAGGCGATTCGCGCCTCGCTGGCCGCCAGCTGGGGAGCAGCGGCCAGGATGGAGGCGCGCAGGAAGTAGAGGGTGGCGGATGTGGCGTAGTTGAGGGTGAGGAAGGCACTAGCGGAGAGGAGGTAGGGCGAGCCGGCAATCAGACGGAAGCCCTCGGCTAGGCGGGCGGCATGGGAGGAGAGGGAGGAGGAGGTGGTGGGGGGTGGCTGGGAGGAGGCAGGAGGCGGGGGAGGTGAGGCGGGTGCGAAGGGGGAGGAGGAAGGGGAGATATATCGTCGCATTCTGCCGCCCAGGCGACGAAGCCATCCGGGCTTGCTGGGGTCGCTGCTGCTGCTACGGGTGCCGCCGCTGCTGCTGCTGCCGCTGTGGCCGCCTCCGCTCCGCCGGCGCTGGCGGGGGAGGTGTTGTTGTGTGCTGTGTGCGCCCTCCTCAGCAACGTAGACACTCACGGAGGGGCGGAGGCCGCTGCCGTACTGCTCCTTGCCGTGCGGATTCGTGTCGTTACTGTTGTTGCTAGGCCCTTTGCTAGTTTCATTGCTATTGGGTTCATTGCTATTAGGTTCGCTGCTGGTAGTGCCGTACGAGGGGCGGTGCGAGGCCTCCGTCCCCACCGCTACCATGGCCTGTTGGGCGGGGGGGAGCGGCGTGTCCGGGCGAGGGGGGCGGGGTCGGGAGGTCTGGTGGATGGGGATAACGGCAGTCAAGGTACCGACAAGCTGACCCCACCCACAACACATTTGCAGGGAAGCCATTCACAGCTGTCATTCACAGCTGCCATTTACAACGTCCATTGCCATCCAGGCATCCGGGCACTCGTCCTTTCTCGCACCCCTCCGCCAGGCAGCGGCAACACACGCCCCACGCCCCACCTGACACGCCGTCGCAGCCCTCAGCAGCAGCCCCGCCGCCGGCAGCAGCAGCCACACACTTGCGCCCGCCGCCCCGCACCGACTGCATGCCGTACCGAACCCCAGAGCTGCTGCGGAAGCTAGCAGCTGCCCCAGCGTGGCGCCTGCAGAGGTTGGGAGGGAGGGAGAGAGGGGAGGGGAGAAAAGAAGAAATCCCATTGTGAGAGGCGAAGAGGGAGGGAGAAGGAAGGAAGGAATGGAAGAGGTGTGGCAGGGGTAGGCAGCAGGTGGTAGGCTGCCCCCCGGCTGCCTCGCTGCCACGGCGTGCGGGGTGCGGGGTGCCGGCAGCGGCAGCGGGTGCCCCCCTACTCGCCTGCGCCCAGGAATCCGTACAGCTTGGTGCTGGCGGCGGCCGTGAAGGTGTCCGCACACACGGACCAGAGTGCGCTGGTTGAGAGCAGGCTCTGAGGGGGGCAGGAGGGGGGGGAGCGGGGAGCGGGGAGCGGGGAGACCAGGCTTGCTGGGTTGGGGCGTGACGGGAGGGAGCGGGGAGGGAGCGAGGATGTCTGGTACGGCGGGGCTTGCCGGGCGGCTACGGAGGCACCCCCTGCCCATCTCACCCCCCTACCTGCAAGCTCAGGTACACGTAGAAACACACACGCACGGCGTTGCCGTACCAACTCAATGGTACCAACCGCCCTCGCCGCCGAGTCGCCTCCTCCTCCGCCAGCTCCCCGACCACCCCCTCCACCGGTACTGCACCCGCACCGAGCTGCCGCCGCGCTGTGTCCCCCTGTGCCGCCCCCTTCACCGCTGCTGCTGCCTGCTCGTTGAGTTCCTGTCGTTGCGTCTCCCTGTGCTGCCCTCCTCCTTCCCCCACCTCCCCCAGAGGCTGCTGCTGCTGCGGCTGCTGTTGGAGCAGCAGCGGTGCGGGTGGAAGGAGGGCTAGGTAAGCCGCTGCAGCAGTGGAGGTGTGCCCCGCAGCTACATCGCCCATGCGGGCGGGGGCTGTGGGAGCCGGACTCCTTGCGAGCTCCAACACCGGTGATGAGGCCGGAGTAAGTCGCAGCAGCCGTGTTAGGGCCCATGGGTCGGGGGAGGTGAGGAGCAGCGGCAGGAACAGGACTGCGGCGCAGGCGAGGGGATTACATGGGATGGAAGGGAAAAGGCAAAAAGCGCGCTTTGAGTTGAGCACTTGTACCGTTGCACGTTGTTAGTAGGCACCGGTAGCAGGAAGATGAGAGCACGGCGCCCGCATATGTTCCTGTGTGCGATCCCGGTGCCCTCCACCCGCCACCCACCCAGAAGGCACCCCGCCATCAACCTGCACAGCCGCCTGAAGCCCACCGCCCTGGGGTGGACCGTACGACAACGGGGGGAGGGGGGAAGTAAGTGAGAACTGAGAAGTGCAGCATTCTAGTATACGGTATCTGGACCCCGGCCCCACCTGCACCCCGAGGCAGGGTTGACCACGTACGCGGTGACCAGCGGCGCGGCGGCGGCGGTGACGAAGAGGGAGGCGGTGAAGAGGCGCGGAAGCAGCGCGGGACCTGGGGGCAGCAGACGGGGCAGCAGAGGGAGGGAGGGAGGAGGGTGAGAAAAGGGGAGGGTGAGAACGGAGGGTGGGCTGTGCTCAGCCGCTGCTGCAGCTGCTGTGGCGGCCGGGGTCGCCGCTGCTGCTGCTGCTGCGGGCGGGTGTGGCTGATGGCTCCATGGGGCGGTAGGAGCTCGTGAGGATGGGGCCACGTTGGGTTCGCATGACCGCATGCGGAGAGTCTAAGGGAAACACAGTTGGATGGTAACGTGGCGCAGCAGGCAGAGGTGGCAGACCCGCATTGGAAGGAAAGCCGGCGCCTCCCTCTCCCCTCAGTATTTCTCGCGGCTCAGTTTACCCTTTAATCCCCCCCTCTCCCCGCATGAGCCGCATGGCGCACCCAGGGTTAGTGCCACATCTTCTCGAAGGGGCAGCAGGATGAAGTACGATGACAGCACCTGATGGGTTAGCGGGTAGCGGGTTGAGAAGGAGGACACAACAGGTGAGGGAGGTGCCGCTCAGCGGGTGTCCAGGCCGGAGTTTGCAAGGGAACACGCCGGTGACAAGGGGGGGGGGGCCGAAGCACGTGCAATGTTGGACTGGGAGGTGTGCCTAGCTACAGCCTTCCCGGCGGAAGCTGGCTTAAGACTTCGCTCAGGCCCTCCGCCCCGCTGAGGGTTATGCGCATGTCCGCCTGCTGCCGCTTATGTGTTACGTCCCAGCAGTGCACTCCTGGCTGGCCCCCGGACGCCTCCCCCCTTCCTCAGCCACATCATACCCCCGACACGCCATGTCAAGCGGTCTTGCAGCAGACTTACGAAGGCGAAGGCGGTGAAGCCATGTCTGGCTGCAGCGGCCTGCGTGCGATGAGAGAGAAAGAGGAATGGGAGATATGAGAGAAATCAATACAGGGTTGACTGAGGCAACGGGGCGGCACAGGGGGTTCCGTTGAGGACATGTTGCGAGGGTGCTTGGAGGAGTGGGAGCGGCCGTATGCCGCACATGTCGTACACCTGCTACGTACTGTTCGTACCTCGTGCGGTGTCAGCGTGTAGCCGGATAGGACGGCAAGCCATGGACGCATGTTCCCAGCCACTTCCGGGCGCTGGCCACGACCCCAAGAAGCGCGCTGGATTGGTGGTTAGGTAAGGATTGACGTGGTTACAAGGGGCTAAGAGGTAGGGAGGGGGCTCGGTGGGGATACGGCTTTGGGGTTGGGCCTCGGGTGGTACACGTGAACACGTAGCTGATGGGAGGGGTCTCGATTGGCTTGGTAGGTGGGGTGACTGACAAGACGACAGCGGGAAAACCAAACTAGAGCCGAAGCTAGGGTGATAGTGGCATTAGAAAAGTCTGGTAGCTGATCATGAAAAAGTCCAGGGCTCTGCGCTGGGGTGCGTCGCTGACCACGACAAGGTCGCGGGATGGTGGGCAACGAACAGCTTAGTGGAGGTCCGTCGGCACGAATTAGCCGGGACTGAAGAGTCGGTCTACCCTCGACCGAACATGGTTGTCACTGTCTTGAATTCCTTGTCGCGGCTTGCATCGTTACGGATGCGTCCAACAGGTCGATGACCGCAGAGTTGCTGTTAAGTTCATAAACAACTTCATTGCATGCACGATTGTGGAGTTTGCGTTAATCGGGCGTGAAGCTTGCAGCAGCCTAAATTCAGCGTCAATGGACGAATCGAATGCTTGAGTCAGCCTATGGTGCCTCCCCATATACATGTCGATATACGAACAATAGAGATCAGCTTAGAGGCATGGTTCAATTCGCACAAAGCAGCAAACGCAGAGCAGTTAGTCAAACAGCTCTGTTACCAGCCGTACAACATGACTGTCCCAATCTCCCAATGTCCCAAACGCTGCGCGCCATGTCCTAAGGCTGCTGCGGAATTGCGTGCCTTGCTTCGTAATTGCAGTTTTCTGAGTGCTGTCAAACGTTTGGGTAATCTACCTTACCAAACCGCACTCCACACCCAAGGCATTGGAAAGCGCGGTGACGGCGGGTGATGGCGAGGAGGCGGAGGCGCAGGAGCGGACCAACCTTGGGTTGGAAGGTGAGAAGAAAGAGGGACGAGCAGCAGGACAAAGGGTGTGCGCATGCTGAGGTTGAATCAGGACGGAGCTATTAGGGATACATTTGAGGTGGCGGAGAAATGGTGCAGCGGTGGTGGGGTGGCAGAATTGAACATCGGAGACATTAGGTGTTACAATCAAGACGAACGGCGGTGGTAATCCTGATCCGGTAATCAGGTCCCGGGTCCCGTTCAGTCGGGCCGTTGACGGAATTGTCAACATGAGGTCATCGTAACCCACAGCAAGAGTGGGGCCTTTTGCATAAATTAGCCGCGCGATTGTCCATAACACAGTACGTTTGGGCCTACGCATGAATACAGACCATGGAAAACTCCTGCCTTTCCTGGTTTCTTTGCACGGTGTGAAGGTCACATACGGTACGGCACCCTCATGGCACCGCATAAACAAACATATCCCATGTGACCTCCAAAAGAAGATAAGTAGCGGTGGAATATCCGCACATGTAAAATAACGTATCACTTTCTTCACATCACAACCACGGAAACATCACACATTCAACGCACGTGTACGGCACTTAATCCTTCGGCATGAAATATAAACCGCTACTCACACCCCACTCGCAGCGTCGCACCCTGCATACTGTATCACTTTCATAATTATCAACCCCAGCCATTCATCGCATCCACTCTCATAACAATCATCATTATTCCTCCCGAACCGCAACACTCACGCTTGCGAATGCGTGGCACCCATGGCGCTGTTGTCTGTGCCTACACGCCGCTCTGCCTCTGCACGCTGAACACGGGACATGAGCTCATTGCTGAGAGGAGGGAGGAGCCGCTGCTGCTGCTGCCTAGTGCGTCAAGCCCCAGGCTCTGATCCACCCGACAAACGCCTGGACTCAGCCGCTGGGAAGCAGCCGCAATCGCATCCACCGCCATCCCAGCAGCAGCACCTCCTTGCTCGACCGCACCCGCCGCCTCTCCTCCTCCTCGTCCGCCCCCACACGCGCCCAGTCCCTCCCTCGCCAGCTGCTCTGCGGTCACCACTCGAACGTATGGCGCCATGTGTGACCCATGGGTCACTGTCAAGATGGGTAAGCTAGAGCTGCCGCCGATGCCACCGCTGCAGCTGTGTTGCTGCGGCTGCTGGTGACACGGTGACTCATCGAGTGGGATGTGCATGCGGCTTGGGCTTGGTGGCTTCCCGCCAGTGCACGCAGATGTCTCCGCAGATGTCTCCGCCCCCACCCGCTCCCCTGGTGCACGCCCTGACTCGCACCCAGTGCCCCGGCGGTGCTGCTCCCGGCGGCCTCCGGGGCCCTCCCCAGCAGGGCCCTCGCAGCCCCCCAGCAGACTGTGGACCAAGCAGGGCCACCGCGGGCGTCCCGTGGGTCTGCATCACCGCACATGCAGGGGGGCCCTCAGGGCGGGAACCACACCGGCCGCACGGACCGGGAAAGGATGGAAGGAGGCAGCCAGTACAGGTGGCTGATTTGCTTGCATGGCATACACGCATATTGGCATCTATATGATTCCCAGTCCAGGCTTGCCAACCATGGTGGGGGTGCACAGCGGTAGCAGCATGGCGCCGCAGCCGCAGGCCTGGTGCCGAGCTAACAGTTCGGATGGTGAGGACGTGTTATGCGCGGAAGTGGCTAAACGCATGAGGGCGAAGAGGAGAGGGGTGGTGGGGTGGTGGTGGCAGAGAGGCACCTCGCAACCGCATGGCTCACCCCGCATGCGCCCCCTCCGGCAGGACCACGCAGACTTCCTTTCCAAGCCTGAGGAGAGGAGGGGGGAAAATTATATAAGAAGTGCAAACGACTAGAGTCCCAATCCCATATCCCGACTCAGGGGGTGGTGGTGGTAAAAAAAGACCAAATCATAAGAGACCACAAAACAAGGCGAAACAAGGGAGGAGCATGCCTGTGCATGTTTTTTTTACGCGCCGGTATGTATGAGGTACGTGCCGATGTCCTAGGCCTTGTGATTTTGAAGAGGTCCCTCTTAGCACGGCTACCCGTACCGGACTCATCCTGTACATGGTGGAACGCAGGTACCCTTGCACCCACCGCGCATCCTGGGCGTCCTTCCTACCCACCATGCTGGCCCACATGCCCCAGGAACCCTAAAATTATATCCTAGGTACCATCGGGTGGGCTTCCGTTTCAGACCTGACACATGCCCCCTGCCACCAGTCACCCCGCCTCTCACTGTCTTGCATCCCACCTGATCGCGGTGTTGAGCTCCAAGATGCACCAGGTGCTCTGCAGCGCGCTCTCGCTTAGCAGCAGCAGCAGCACACGGCTGTCCGACACGATTCGAGGGAGCTGCAGCGTCGGCGCCCTGAAAGCAGGAAGGGGGGATTGAAGAGGTGGAGCGGCGGCACGCTGTTTCGTCCAGCTAAAGGACGAAATGGAGGCCAGACCTTCCATATGACAGCATGAAGACATGTGCCAAAAAATGGAGTGAAACAACCACCAGTCCGGTCGGCCGTTCCCGGATGGTGCGCACGATTACCCGTGGCGGACCTGTGGTGCTGGTAAAGAAAGACAGTTTTGCCTCTTTTGACCAGCTGGTCATGAAGCCATACAGCTTCTTTGCTTGCTTCGCAACGGCGATAGCTCAGAAATGCGTCCCAACATTGTGTTGTTGGAGATCGCGGCTGCCATCCGTCAGCCTGAGAAACGTAGTCTAAACCTTCGCTCGCAAAGGCGACATCATTTACGCCTGACGCTTCTGCCGCAGCAAATAGAATTAAGAAGGATGTAGTGACGGCGAAAATTTGAGCCCAAGCCCCGAACATGTGAAGTGTTAACCGCGCCTCCTGCCATTCCTCCGAAAGGGCATGCCTAGTGTTTTAGTATAACCGTTGTGCACGCGGTATTGTAGTCGCATCGCGATGGCGTCAAGTCTGTACAACAGCGTGACAGCGGTTGGAAGGGTTTGTCATGCCGGTAGTGCGTAGTAGCTCTGCCCAACTGGTAGCACACGTACATAGCGAGGTATACTGCTTACTACTTTATCGCGAGTGGGTAAACCCCCATGCATCCTAGGCTTGCAGCTGTCCTTGCCTCAACATACCGGTGGTGCTTATAACACCCCCGATCAGCTGTAGATGTCGTCTTTACCGTGCTACTGCCGGTACGACGCGAACTCCCTTTGCACCTCAATCAGAGGCGCTTTCCCGCAACAGCTAACCAGCGGCATCCGGGCAACCATCCGGGCATCGGCCCCCATGCCAATACCTCCCCACCACGCTCCCTAATCGCCCGCTTAATACCACAGCACCTCTGCTCTGTTGCCACCATTCAATATCACCCCCATGCCATTGTCACCTATGCGAAACAATTTACCCCACGACGTCAATCATGCAATAAGACCCGCCGCGGACCACACACGCCCCCTCACAGCGGCGGTCTGGCTGACGGCAACAAGTCCCCCCTCCGCAGCCCCGCCCGCAGGTACGTGCCGCTGCGCCCGCCCGCCTTGTAGTCCAACTGTAACGGCCCAACCACCATGTCCTTGGCGGCGGCTTTACACATGTCGTACACCGTGAGCGCCGCCACCGCCGCCGCCGTCAGCGCCTCCATCTCCACGCCCGTCTTGCCGTCGGTGCGGGCCAGGGCGCGTATGATGACGCTGCGGGAGGGCGCATCCAGGTGCAGCTGCACGTCCACCTGTCGTATAGCATGCCAGCACATAGCATGTCAGCACATAGCATAGCACATAGCATAGCACAGCATGACATGTGGACAGGTAAACAAAAGCGCCCATTGTTGCGTGACGTGGGCTAGGGCTAGGGCTGTAAATGCGTGCCGGTATCTGCGCTAGACCGCATCATCGCAGCAACAGCGTGCGACAACATGCCCCCGGGCGCTCACCTTGCTGATGGGGATGTTGTGGCACAGCGGGATGAGGTTGGCGGTGGCCTTGGCGCCGCCAATGCCGGCCAGCTGGGCAACTCGGAGCACATCGCCCTTGGCCAGGCTGTTGGCTGCGACCGCCTCAAAGGCATCACTCAGGGAGACAACGCAGGAGGCCTGCGCCTCTCGGGTCGTGACGGCTTTCTGGGGGAGTGGCAGGAGCGGCAGGGAGGGGCGGAGAGCGGGGAAGGTGTGGAGAGCGTGGGAGTTGGGGAGGGTGGGGAGTAGGGAGGAACATGGCTTGCATGGGCGTGAATGGGGCTGGAGAGGGAATGAATCTGTAGCTTGTCCTGTTATACGCTTATACCCAATTGACAACACGCCCAAGGACTTAACAGATCTTCTATCCTGTCAACCGACAGAAACCGCTAACCGACTGTTCCTAACGTCCTCTAACCTGCGAGACGTCCACCATGCTTGCTGACCCAGATGAATCGATGTGAGTCAGCCGCCGCTGTTGCTGCTGCGGCTCGTCAACCTCTCCATCCCCTTCTCCTCGCCCTGCTGAAAACGGCTGTAACCGTTGAGTCCTAGCTTCTTCCTGTGACTCGCTACTAGACGCGCTCCATTGTACGGCACTGCTGTCGTAGCTGTTACCGTACGGGCGGTGCGGCCGACCCAAATCCGGCCGACCCTCTGCCTCAGCCTCATCTCGCGCAGACGCTGCAAAGCCGTGGTTTGGCCTATGGGAGGGTTCTAAGCTGCCGCGGGCAGCCGGTGTGGTGGCATTGTGTTGAGTTGAAATGTCCGGACTGTTACCGCTCTTCCCGGGCCTTCTTTGGTTGGGAGTGGGTTCAGCAGCAGCAGCAGTGGTGGCATGAGGCCGGGCCTGGGAACCTTTGTCGCCGCGGCCGGTATTCGGGGGATGGTCGGCAGCAGCGCTATCAACGTAGGCGACGCCGAAGAAATCGTTCAGTTCCTGCTGATATAGCGATACAGGAAAGCAAGGAAGTACATGAGATACCGGATTTCAGTTGCCGACCTGAGGTCCGGATAGATACCAGCTGATGGCGAGGATAAGAATGTTGGATTAGGCAGGCCCCAACCAACTAACGCGCGTAGCAGCGCTTGCCCACCTGGTTTAGCTCATCAACGTCTCGGCTTGACGCAGTGTATCTTATTAGTTGATTGGCCACGCATGCTGGTTGGTAAGCCGCGAAGGCAAGCACGCGGTTGCGGACAACAGCGAACATGGAGCAGGTGGCACTTACTGGGTAAATAACGTAAGCACTTCGTTGATTTACCAGACTCCGATCTGCAAAGTGCAAACTGATTAGGTCTTGTCAAATGGTCTCGTCAAACGGTCTCGGAGCGCTTGCTTGCACTTCCCTTTAAAAGTTGGTCGTGCGCATACCGTTCAATTGTATAGCGGCATAAGATGTTCATAGCTTACCGTGAATATCATACACTGAGTTGCTACCGGTAGCCCTCTCGCAGCCTAACGTCGCTTCGGTGCGGGCACTGCGGGGTCCCCACCCGAAGCACAGCGAATGGGGTCTGTTATGCGGGGTCATCTACGCTCGTCATCGGCCTAACCGCGCAAATGTCGACAACGCGCAACGGCATGCCATGTTACGCTCACCAAGGCCTTGCATAGCGCCTTGCGCAAGGCAAAGGTTTGATAGGACAGCCCGATGAGAAGATATTAAGCATGTTCTCGTCTCGAAGGTATGTTTGCAGGGGTTGCAACCGGGTGCAGGCGACTGCTCGTATCCAAAGGTCCAACCGTCGGTCCTGGCACCCACCGACGGTCCCTGACCAAGCTGATAAGGAGTGGCACTGTTAGCATGTATACTCATAAAAAATCCGTTCATTTGGGCCGGTGATGTGTTGCTTAGTAGGTTTGCCTGCTCCCCAACGCATGCTGCGCGGCCAGACACAGCGTATGGCAATCTTTATTTCTTCTCATGCTTCAGGGTCGTTCTTTAAATACCACTTGACATCCCCGAAAAACGCCATGTATGCCACTAAATTTACATTCATCGCCAGTCCTGTTCATGCCTCGCCTAATCTTCCATCCACATTATGCCTCCGCCGCTGCAGCTTGGAGTCCCAGCTGAGGACTTGCAGCAGCTCAACAACGACGAGTGCAACCACCTTTCACTTTGCTCCGTTAAGCATGTGGAGGCCCGTGTGTCGGAACTCATGTCGCGCATGGAGCCAGATTTGGTTACGTAGCTGCTAACGCGCGTGCCGGGTACCATCCTCAGCGTCAAGCCCAACACGCTTGTGGACCGGTTTCATGCGTTGGGGCTGATGCTGGGAGTTCCGGATGGAAGTGGTGGTCAAGATTATTGCCAAGACGCCCAATCTGCTCCAGCGTTCGCACCGCAGCCTGGAGGGACACCTGGGGAAGCTGGCTGAGCTGCTAGGGTGAGGGGGGCTGAGGGGAACACTTGACACGTTGCAAAGCTACAGCACAGGTATTTAACTAATCCTCTTGTCAGCGCAATATATAATTAAAACGTATACTTACAAAGCCCCTCCTTCCATGCACGGTATGTGAAGTACGGCCTTTCCATTGTGCGTCGTTCCCGTGCCATCCCGTCCCTTCCCATCTTCCGTCTCTCTCCAGCGACCGGCCGCACGCCCAGGGCAGGTAGCCCGCTGCGGCCTGGCGGAGCAGCACCATTTTGAACTCCAGCGTCTCCGTGCTCTGCTGCATGACGCCGAGAGGGCGCCACAGCAAGGTGTCTTGCTGTGGCGCCCTCCCGGCGTCATGCAGCAGAGCCCCGAGACGCTAGAGTTCAAGATGGTGGTGCTCCGCCAGGCCGCAGCGGGCTACCTGCCCTGGGAGGGGGAGCTGGAGCAGCTGTATGTCGTCCTCCAAGCTTGGCTTCCTGCTGGCTCTCGGTACCCGGTCGCTGTTGCGGCTGCCGTACCTGGTGGAGGAAGGGTGAGCGGGCAGGCAAGGGGGTGGGCGGGCAAGGGGGAGGGCGGGCGGGCAGGCAGGCAAGGGAGTGGGCAGGCCGGAGCAAAGGGGGTGGCATACTGGACTCCCTCCAACGAGACGCCTCTCATGCCCCTAGGAAACCCTAACGACAGCTGATCGTACGCGTACGGTACCAAAGGGCAGTGCCGGTGTGTGTGTTTGTGTTGCAATGCGGTTAACACATGGTGAAAACCCCCCTAACGACAGCACTTTGCTAGTAGTCAATGCCTCCCACCTGCCTGCCTTCCTCCTGTCCAGGGAGAAGCGCCGCCCGGCTCTGCGCACTGTGATAGCAAGGCCGCCAGGCCAGTGGGACGAGGAACACCCCGACTTCCAAGACTGGCTGGCCAGGCAAACCCTGCCGAGGTCAGTGCCCGGCCAGGAGGCGGCTTGGGAGCCTTGGGAAGACGTGCCTGCGCCGGGGAAAGCTCCGCGCTGGGGCCGGAGGCTTCTGCCCCCCCCCCCCGCCGCCACTGATTTGGGGCTTCGTGGGCTTTGCGACGGCCAGGTCGAACGGATTGTTGCGCCGTTTGTGTTGTCACCGGTAGTCCATAGCTTGCTACGTTGGCCTGTTAAGAGGTTCTCGGTGACACGAAGCACTGTTTGGGTCGGGTAGCGTTGCATGTGGCAAGCAGCGCCTGCATGTGGCTTGTCAAAGCAGAGGACCTGCAACAGGGGCCCGTGTCTTTGCTATGTTGTAAACTATTCGTGCAGGGTACTTACCGGTACGCGTTTAGGACTCCCCACGTCTCCTCAAGTATCCCCGTATTAAAGCGGCGGCGCAATGTAATACTGGGCGTTTTGTACTGGGCGTTTGTAGCGTTTAATGTGCTTGGCATGTTCCCCATCCTGCTGGCATGCGCACCGGGGAACACACACCTCACATCTCCTCCCACAGCGCCCTGTGAGTTACATGCTGACATCCGAATACGGTAATACTCGCCGCACCCCGGCGCGCCTCACCCTACCCGGTGAAACCCCCAAAACCTCTTCTTCTGACATCGTAGCTAGGTGAAAATGCTTCAGCTGCCACGCCCCGCCGCACACGCTCTCACTCCTCTCTCCCCCCCGGGGGGTTCGGTATGGTCTTTGACCCCCCCCCCCCGGGTACCAACGTCCTTCCCGCTCACACGCCATGGCGCTAGCGGGCATCAACACGCACGCAGGACCCAACATCATCACCGCCACCATCCCCTTCCCCATCCCCATCATCCTCGTCGCCGCCACTACTTCTTTCCCGGCAGCAGTCCTCGCAGGAACTTGGCAGTCTTGGTGAGGGGGCTGGCGGCTGCGGAGGCGTTCAGGAAGGCCAGCTCCAGGTCGCCGCTGCTGGGCCGCCGGGGCATGGCGCCAACCTGGGGGGGTGGGGGGGGTGGGAGGATTAAGACCATAGCGAACCACAGGAAACCACAGGTGTGGGGGGGGGGGAGACGGAGGGGAGCGTTTGGGTTCAGACAGGAGGTTAGATGGGGGGCGGACGTCCAACCTTCCTCAGCAGGGACCCCCCTCCGTCTCTCTCTTTCCACCCCAACGTTCGGTCTTTGGTGGCCCCCGCCTCCACTTGCCATGTTAGGTTGCTAGGATCTAGGACGGCTGTTAAAAAGGCCTGGTAGTACACATTTATGCGCGGGAACGGTGATGGCGGGTTAGGCCTATAGTCCTGTTCCCCCTGTAGTTCTGTCTTATATCTTCTCCCGCGGCAGCCTCCCACCAGTCACAGGTGACAGATTATGCTTCTCGTGGACTCCAACCGTCCGGCTGGCGCTCCTGATATACGGCCAGCGCCGTTCGGGCGTTCGCGGGGCCGTCCATCGGTTGCACAAGGCCCTTCACGCCGGACGTATCCGGAGTATTATGGGTACGTGTTTTATCGTGTGTCAGTCTGCGTTGTTTTTTATGCGTGCTCGTGTTGTGCTGTTCCTGTTGTTTGCCTATGCCCAACGGCGCGGTGGGTCTCCAGCTCACCTTCAGCAGCCTCCACACATGCCCAAGACTATGGTAAGGTTACTCCATAATTGGTAAGTTCGGTAAGTTTAGCTCGCATTGCTTTAACCACCATTTCGGCTCGACTCACGGTTGATTCCACCAGGGATTGTCAGCAACTTGTATCATTATCATACCACACTTTGGAATTTCTTTTTTCACCCCCCCCCACCTGCACGAACTCCTCCCCCTGCCGCAGCAGGATGCGCCAGGGCGCCCCCCGGGGAGCTGCAGAGGGGCCGGGGGGGTCCGCGGAGGTCAGCAGTACGGCACCCTCCTTGCGGCCTAGCAGACCCTGTACGGCAGGAGGGGGTTGGGGGGAGGGGGCAGGGTAGAGCCGCAGTGCGGTCACTTCTGTTAATGGGCGGTTGGGCGCAACGGCAACGACCCTGGAGGAGGTGCCCAACCAACACTTATCCTTTTGACACCTGAACCTGCCTGAACGGATGATATATTCATGTACCCCAGGGCAACGAGAGGCACACCGGGACATGCCGCTGAGGCCTCGGCTGGGGCAGCGCCGGTCCCAAACCCCACCCCCCCCACCCGCACGCACCTGTATGGCGCACAGCAGCAGGCTGTACCGCACCTCCACCGACTCCGCCAGCCGCTGGTACTCGGGGGGCAGCTGCGGGGGGGCCGACTGCCCCTGCCCCCCCGCCCCTCCCTGCAGCTGCCCCCACTGCGGGTTGAGCAGCACCGCTGCGGGGCCGCTCCACACCTCCTCCAGCAGCTGCTCCACCAGAGCCACCTGAGAGGAGGAGGGGGGGAGGGAGGAGAAGGAAACCCAATGTGTTTATTGATTTATACGATACTTGCAAACTAGGTGACAAGCCCCGAACGTGCGAGCCACCTAGCGGGAAGGAGGGGAAGGGCGGTGAGGGAAGATTGATATAAGACGTTACCCCCCCCCTAAGCTCCTCTCCGCTCCTTTACAACCGCCTTCGACAAAGGATACGGTTCTGCCTCTTCTTCCCCCCTTTTTAACCCTCTCCCCTTTCACCGTCACCTCGCCCTACCATTGCCATTCCGCTCTTCCCCTCCCCTTCCATCCTCTCCTCCCGCACCCCTACCCCTCCCACCCTTTCCCTTCCCCTCGCCCTCCCCTTCCCCTCCCCCCGGCCCCCCGGCCCCCCACCCACCCCCTCCCTCCCCGTCCACCCACATCGCTGACCGCCGGCTCCACCAGCAGCAGCACCCCGCCCAGCCGCCCTGAAGTACGACACGCCTCCCGCAGACCCAACACCTGCTGCTGCACCTGCACCTGACCCCCACCTCCACCTACTCCGCCTTTACCCCCCCCACCCCCCCCACTGCGGGCTAGCTGCAGCACATCCTCCCGTGCATGCACGACAGTCCAGCAGTGGGGCGGCAGCCCCTTGCTTTGCTTGCCGGGGCGGCTGGGCGCTGCGGTTGGTGCTGCGGAGGTGGAGGCGGAGGAGGAGGCGGGTGAGGTGGGGGCGGGTGAGGAGGAGGTGGTGGAGATGAGGCGGTGTGTGAGGTCCAGGGCCGCCTGGGCGGAGGGGTCAGCCACGGGGATTTCAATGGAGAAGCGGTTGGAGGGCTGGGAGGTGCTGCCGGGTCGGGAGGGGCCGCTGAAGCCCTGTGTGAGGGGGAAGGGACCGAAGCAAGGAGGGCAACAGGGGGCGGGAATGGGCGGAAGGGAGCTTAGAGGAGTCGGAAAGGTGGCGGGTAGGGGTGTTGGGGTGTTCACAGGGTTGGCATGGCTGTTGGGGTATGGCATGGCATGGGAGTCGGGGCCAGTGCATTTGGATTATGTATTGGCTAGCAGGTTGGAACACAGTTAGCAGTTGCTGCTTGAGCCCACCTTTGCTGCCTTTGCTGGCTTGGAAGCCAGCAGCGGCGCTAGGGCCGGTAGGAGGCACTGCACGGCTGCCTCCACGGCTTCTTGCTGGGATGCTGGCAGAGAAACAACAACGGCGGGTGCGGCCGAGGGAGCTGCTGCTACCGCTGCCGCCGGTCTGGCTTTCGGCGCCAAAGGTGCAAAGCTGGTATGTCTCAGCGGTCCTCCGACATGCATGTTGGAGGACGGCAGCGAGGGTGCCCTTTGCTTGCCTTGCATGGCGACAGAGAACGTTGCATTTTGTGAGCGGCGATGTCCGGAAACACTATGCGAACAAAAGGGGCTCCTGTGAATTAGCTTCATTTTACAGAGGTGGATGTGAAAAACGAAAAAACAAGTGGGACATACTCTTAAATACTGGGTAGGTATAGCTAGGAAATCGAGTTAGGCTACTCAGTCATTGACGTCGTGGTTGAAACGTGCAAACTCTTACAGATCCATTACACGCATAGAACGGTTGGTGTATGACCTTGTTTCTGCTTACTTCCTGATGGCGAACAGCTGTCTTTCCTCGGGGATGCAAGCTCAAGTTGGTTTCGGAGTCCAACGAGATTAGGATACTGTAAAACAGCTGGCCGTCCATAGTCGTCGGGTGCTCCATGCTTCAGTTTGCGCATGCACAGCTCGCTTTTTGCAACAATCCTTCCTTCCTTTTCCCTGTGCCGCTCACTACTAGCTGCTGCTTGCACGATAGCGTTTCTAAACACTGACAATTAGAGACTGCTGAGTATATGACTTAAGAGAAATGCAACAATTGGGTACTTCGCCTAAAGCAGCGCCAGCTCCTACCGTCACATGCAGCAGGAATCGCTTACTCAATTGCGTCCCGCTTCGAGCAAGCAATGTGTCGCGGACAGATGCAGCCCCGCAGCAACAAGAGGAGCGAAGACGACAAGAGCATCAAGCCCCAGCTGTGATCCTGGACGATGCGCGGACTCAGAACTTCATGAATTGGGCGCGAGGACCAGCAAGCATTCGCTTTTCGGGCGTAAAGCCGTCTACATTCGCCGGCATTCGTGGATTGCTAGCATCTAAAGACATATCCAACGACGACCTTATCGTCGAGGTCCCTCGCCGGTCGGCATTAGTACTCGCACCCAAACAGCGCAACTCCTGCCAAGGACTTGTGACAGACGAGTGGTGGAAGAGCGCGCCTTGGTTTGCAAAGCTAGCGGCTATGATCCTATGGCACAAACGACAGGGCGCGCAGTCGCCGCTGGCTCCATGGATAGCGCAGCTGCCATCCAGCACCGGGGTGCCAGTGTTGTGGAGTGACTCGCAGCTGCAAGCGCTACAGTACCCGCCCCTCATTGCTCAGGTGCCCTTGAGGGGCGAATGTGTGCGGGGAGGGGGTGTTTATGTGTGTGTGTGTGTGCGGCGAGGTGGACATGTTGTAGGGTTAGGGCAGCGTTGCTCTAGCTGGAGGGCTGCTTGATGTGCTTGAAGTCCCCGGCTAGGCGCCCAACTCAGGCGCCTGCGGGCGTCAGTCCCAATCTGCGCCCTAGCCCCCAGATCCATGCCGGTATCCAGGGAACCACCGCTGTTTCACCCACCTCCCCTCGGCTCCTTTTCCTGCTCGTCACAGGTGCAGGAGCAGCGGCGGGAGTGGCAGCAACTGTACGACACCTTCCTAACCTCCGCCACAACCGCCACAACCGCCGCCAACCAACAACCAAAACCCAAACCCACCTCCTCACCCACCTCCTCCTCACCCCCTCCCTCCTCACCCCCATCCCGTGAGGAGTTCTTCTGGGCCATGTCTGTCGTACGCAGTCGTACCTTCAGCGGTCCGTACATTGGATCCAGCCTGCCCGACAGGTTGCGCCTTCTGGGCCTTGTGGGCGCGCTGATGGCTTGCAACACCGCGCTAGGACTAGCAGACCTGCCTCACAGCCTGAGTGCCGCGCTGGCAGTGGTGCTGTTCAATGTGCTGTACGAGGTCATACTGTCACGGTCGCTGAAGCAGCATGCAATCTGCCCGCTGATAGACTTGTTCAACCACAGTAGCGCCGTGCAGGTGAGGGGGGGTTGGGTGGGAGTGGAGGTGGGGTAGAGGGAGTTGGTGAGGGGAGGGGCTGATGGAAGGGGTGGAAAACCATGCCGAGCCATGGGAAACCATCTGTTAGGGCAAAGCAATGGGGCTGGGAGAGGGGGGGGGGCATCCTGGGGTAACTGACGCGTGGGAAAGGGTGAGGTGTGGGGTGCGTGTCGAAAGTAACTGGCCGTAGGAATAGGAATAGGCGGGTTGGGTTTGTCGCATAAGAGAATGAGGTTGTGAGGATATGGAAGGGGGTGCCTGGTTGTACATGTGTTGCCCTCACCTGATTTGGTGTTCGAGGCAGTGGGAGCCGAGCTAAGGCGTCTCGGGACATCCCACCCATTCTTCCTCACCCAAGCGTTTTCCTCCTCCCCTATCTGCCCTGTCGTACAAGCTGCCTGTCTTTCTGCCGTACCCGACCCCACAGAGCGAGGTGTCGTACAACTACTTTGGTGACAGCTACTGCGTGGTGGCGTCCCGGGACGTCAAGCAGGGGGAGCAGGTGGGGGCGGGCGGTGGTTGGGGGTGGGAGCAGGTGGGGGCGTAGGTGCGGGGCCGTCACTCGCAGTGTGTTTCGTGGAGGCAGGGTATTGGGAGAGGGGGCCTTATGGTGCGGACAGCTGGGGCGTTGACAGGTAAGGCTGGACAGGTGGACAGCAGCGGAGCAGCTAGGCACGGCCAGGAGGGGGGCACGGCCCCTCCCCGGAACCTCCCACCGCCCCGCACCCACTCCCTCCGCTGCCCCTCCCCCGCCCCTCTCCCTCCCTCCGCTGCCCCTCCCCCGCCCCTCTCCCTCCCTCCGCTGCCCCTCCCCCGCCCCTCTCCCTCCCTCCGCTGCCCCTCCCCCGCCCCTCTCCCTCCCTCCGCTGCCCCTCCCCCGCCCCTCTCCCTCCCTCCGCTTCCCCCGCCCCTCCCTCCCCCCCTCCCTCCCTCCCTCCCCCCCTCCCTGCAGGTCTTCATCTCCTACGGCCCCCAGTCCAACGACTCCCTGCTGCAGTACTACGGCTTCAGCGAGCCAGCCAACCAGCACGACACCCACATCCTGACCGACATGCTGGGAGCATGCAGGCGACTGCTGCTGCGGGGGGAGGGGGAGGGGGAGGGGAAGGAGGATGCGGCGGGGGGTGGCTCAGCTGCTGCAGCGGCGGCCCCCGGGCGGGTGGCGTTACCCGCGGCATGCAGTGCTGCGGAGTTGGAGCGGCGGCTGGGGGTGCTGAACAGCTGCGGGCTGGCGGCGAGGTTGCAGCAGGTGAGGGGTGGGAGCTGGGGTGGGGTGGGGTGGGGGCGGGGCCCTGACTAGGCGGTTGTGTTGAGGTAGGCGGCAGTTGGGGGTGTGTGGGGTTCTGGGGGTGGGCCTTCCCACACACACCACTTCCTTACCCCCGCACTCCTCCTCCCCTCCCCTCCCCCCCCACACACACCGCGGACCGTATCGGTAGGGCATACGAACCAACACTTTGTCTTGTGGCGCCCTGCCAACTCCTAACCCCATTGCTTTGCCCTAACTTGTGGTCTCCTATGGTTTGGCATGGTCTTAGACCCCCCCCCCACACACACACACCCAGGTTCCCATCCAGCGCGGCGGGCTGCCCGGGGAGGCGCTGCAGGCACTCAGGTTCCTGCTGGCACCCGACCAGCTGGCGGAGCAAGGTGAGGGGGGGGGGGTGAGGGGGGTAAGAGTTAGAGGTGAAGTACTGGATCCCTATCTGTCCCGTTTCCGCCGTCCTCCTCAACATCATTATACTCCTCCATCCCGCTCTCCCTTCCCGGTGAGTTCCTCCTTACCCCCTCCCCCCCTCCCCCCTCCCCCCTCCCTCTCCACACAGGCGTGTCCTCCTTCTCCCGGCCCGGCCCCCCCGAGCAGGAGGCCCGCCTAGCTGCCCTGCTGGCCGCGCTGCTGATGGCCGAGATGGAGGGCATGGGAACCAGCATGCAGGTGGGGGGGGCGGGGGTGGGGGTGATGGGGTTTTGTGGCCTACTTCTGCGGTACCCTGCAGCACCCGAATTCCTCCCCTTCACCTTTTGTGTCCTCCTGCTTGGGTTTACTAACACCTAACAACCCCTCCACATGGGGTTGCAGGAGGACCTCGCCCTGCTGCAGGGCACTGCTGGCAGCAGCGGCAGCAACAACGGCAGCAGCAGCAAGCGGCGGGGCGGCTCCTCGCTGCTGGGTGCGGAGGAGGCGGCGGCGGTGGCATTTCGGTTGGAGAAGAAGCGGTTGCTGGCGGCTGTGCTTGACAGCATGGCAGTGGGGGAGGAGGGGGCGGGGGCAGCGGGGGCTGCTTGATGGGAGGGGAGGTGGGGGAGGAGGTTACTAGCGAAGCAGGGGTAGGGGGTGGTGCGGAGCGGCAGGAGTAGCTGAAAATGCTATACCGTATCACATGAAGAGGGGTGGCTGAACAGATGGGTATAGGCGCCCTGGGGTCTAGGTAGCCTGCAGGGGGAGGCTGCAACACGCCTCTGAGCTGTTCGTGTGTGTTCATTTATGTGAGGTCGCAGGAGTGGTACTTGATGGCAGCGGGGGTGATGTGGGTGGACAGCATTGGTGGGATGCATGCAGGGTTGGAGGTTGTGTGGACTCCTGAAGAGGTGCAAGTCTGGAGTGTTTGAATTGCACAGCGCAACGCAGAGGTGTGAGGGGCTACGGTGATTGCAGGAACGCGACAGTTAGCGCCGGATATGCTCGTCGCCTCGCGCTGATTAGGCATGTATCCAAAGTGCGAAAGAGTTGCGTAAAAGTTGTACATTGGAAAACGGTTAAAACATGTTCAGCAGCGATGTAGGCTTGCTTACGTAAGCTGATGTGCCGCGGTTGCCGATGTAGGCACACGCACGGAGCCTTCCAGAAATGTGTACGTGCGGTATGCCACTTTCACGCATTTTCCCTGTAACAGCGTGTGCTAACTTTTTGCTATTCGCTACCAACGCAACTTTACTGCAGTAACACGACAATTCCTGGATCTTAAGCGCTCCAGTCATTTCCCCAACATACCCGTTTATAATCCTTCATACAGTAGAATCCAGCTTCCGCGAAGGCCTTACCGCTCATCCCACACACATATGTTGTTCTTCTTCATCGGCGGCATCGCTCCCCGCACCCGCACCCTGCGCACCCTGCTAGGCCAGCGCTGCCCCGCCTGCGCCGCCCCCTCCACCCTGCGAGAGCGCCGTACGGATCAGGTAGCTTGGCTGGCTGGGTGTATGTATGACTTCTTCTTATTTGTAATGACCGGTACATCCTTACTTGCCTTCCTACGGTTTGTTACTTGCCTTCCTGTGGTTGGGAATCACAGCGGAGTAACGTGGTAACGGCCCTAACGGTCATCCATTTGAACCTGCAGGTGCTCAGCGTCTTCTTCATCCCGCTGTGGACGCTGCGTCAAGGCATCCCCTTCCTCAGCTGCGACAACTGCGGTTGGACCTCGGGACCCTCGGCAAGCCTGCTAGAAGAGCGGGAGCAGCAGCAGCAGCAGCCTCTGCCCCCTCCGCCGCCTCCTCCACCCAGCCTACCACCCTTCCGACAGCCGCCGCCGCAGCAGCAGCCGCATGCAGGCTCACCCCCACCGCAGCCACCACACGGACTGATGTGTCCAACTTGCATGCGGCCCGTGCAGCCTGACTTTGCCTTCTGTCCCTCTTGCGGCCGCGCCCTCTAAAGAGGTGTTGGGTTAGTGTCAGGTGCTGCTCCGATAACGGTGCAGTGCGGGCTGAATGTGGTTAGGGTGGTGTGATGTGATGTGGTGGACTGCAAGGGGGGAGGGTGGCCCCCGTCTGCTGCTTTGTCGTTGCATTTGCCAATACGCCAAAATGCCAACAGTACGGTTGCTTCTTCACTGCTGTAGTCGTTGCGTTTGCTTGTAGTCACTGCTGCATCATTCAGCGCTCCATGATACCGTTTTACCTTACATGTTGAAGCCATAAAGCCGTCGGTGCAGGTGGGCTGCAGATGGGGCCTTTTTGTTGATGTGGAAGACCCATGGGTCGCTGGGATGCTGCTGTTTCATGTTCGGAGGTTGGTTTGGCCCTTCTGGGGCGACGACGAGGCTAGAAACTCACTCATCACCCAGGATAGAAGCATATTGTACTTTACTTGGTACAAAAGGATTCGTGTGGCCGTCCGCTTTCACCATCCGCCTCATCGCCTTGTGGGTGAGGCAACTTGGGGGTTCACTTGCAATCCAGCAACTCGCATTACCAGGTCACAGCCTCCCCTAAGTGTGCAGGGCACAGCCAGGTCCTGGGCACACCGCTTGGACTAGTGTACATGTAACTGCGAGGAATGCTCCTCCTCCCCTGCCTGCCTTCCTGCTTTCGCACAGTCGAGACTACTGAGTTGTAGCAACGGGGTCGGTATGTACTTGTAACCCTCCGTCCCTCCTCATCCCCCACCCCACCGCCCCAGCAGCTGTGTATCGCTCCACGTCCCCCTCGCTCCACTCCTCTCTCCCTCACCTCCTGCCTTGATGATGCCCCTCACTGGTCTCTTCTGCCCCCTACCTACACTCTCCCTCCCATGCAGACGCGTACTACACCTCCAGCAGCCGCTCTCACCTCTCCAGCCCTCTCCTCTCACCCGTCTCCCCTCCCCCACCTCCCCCACCTCCCCCACCTCCCTCACCTCCCCCACCTCCGTCACCCCCGTATCTCCTTCTCAAACTTATCCAGCCGCTTCACCCTGCGCAGCCCCCGCAGAACCAGTAACCCAAACACCCCCGACCCCGCCAAACACAACCCTGCAGCCACCTCCAGCGCACCACCACCGCCACCAACGCTGCCTGCCCCTATTGCTGCAGCTGCAGCCCCCATACCTCCCGCCCCTCCCGCCCCGCCCCCTCCCACTCCCGCCCCTGCCGCCAGTGCCAGTATGGTCCCCAGGTTGAGGAGGCCCAGGGCGGCGACGGTGTGGAGCGTGGCCAGCTGCCGGGGGGGGAGGAGGAGCGGGGGACAGGGGTTTAGGAGATGGAGGAGAGGGGAAGGAGAGGGGAGAGATGGTGTCGGGAAAAAGGCAATGGTGGAAGCAGGCTATGGGAGGTCAGCATGAGGGGAAGAGCGGCACTGGATTGAGTGGAGGGTGATTGGAGAATGAGGGTGAGGATTAGCCAACATTGTCTGTGAGGCAAAGGAAGACACCAGCGGGTGCCCACCCCCTATCCCTTCGCCATCCTCTCCCCCCTGCTCGTCAGTTTCCTATCTTATTTACCCCCTCAACCCCCCCCTCCTTACCTGCATCACCCCCGCCCTCCTGTCCGCCCGCTCCCCCTCCAGCGCCCGCACCCTCAGCTTCACCTCCCCCCCCTCCAGCCGCCCCAGCAGCTCCTCCATGCGCGCGATGCGGTCGGGCATGGCGGCGGCAGCGGCTCCCAGCCGGCTGGCCTGCTGCTGAACCTGGGGGGGAGGGTTGGAGGGGGCGGAGGGGGGGGTTGATGGGGGGACGTGTGTATGGGATTAACCGCAAGGGGGAGGGAGGGGAGGGGGAACATGTGAACTAACAGCAACTGCTACTGGCTGCGGCAGCCAACCCAGATGCATGCATGCACATACGTCGCCGCTCTTCTTCCGTAACACTGTCACAGCGCTATCCCACGCATGCTCCCCTCCCGCATCCGCCCCGTCACTTCCTCCTCAGCAACCCCCCCACACCCCACCAGCACAGCCCTACCCCCTCATTGGTCCCTCTCCCACTGCCCCCACCACTCCCCTCCCTCCCCCCCTCCCCCCCTCCCCCGCCTCCCTCACCTGTTCCAGCAGCATCGCTCCTCCCCCTGCTCCCCCCACCCCCACTCCCGCCCCCCCTCCCTCCCTCGCCGCCAGCAGCTCCCCCGCCAGCGGCGCCGCCACCCGCCCGAAGCTGAAGTGTGGGTCCAGTCCCTTGCACAGGCCCTCCAGGGTGGAGAAGGCGCGCAGCACGAAGGTGAAGGTGGCGGGGAACCTGGGGGGGTGGGGTACGGGGGATACCATGTGTGGGGCGGAGTGGGGTACGGGGGATACCATGTGTGGGGCGGAAAGGGGTACGGGGGATACCATGTGTGGGGCGGAGTGGGGTACGGGGGATACCATGTGTGGGGCGGAGTGGGGTACGGGGGATACCATGTGTGGGGCGGAGTGGGGTACGGGGGATACCATGTGTGGGGCGGAGTGGGGTACGGGGGATACCATGTGTGGGGCGGAGTGGGGTACGGGGGATACCATGTGTGGGGCGGAGTGGGGTACGGGGGATACCATGTGTGGGGCGGAGTGGGGTACGGGGGATACCATGTGTGGGGCGGAGGGGACAGGGTAGGATGGGAGGGGAGGGGAAGTGGCCCATGCAAGTGAGGCGGCGCTCGTGGAGCGGAGTGGGAGGAGGCGGTGGAAGTGGTGTGGCAGCAGCAGGGAGGGTAGCTAGCTCCAGCTAGTGGGGCACGTGCGGAAGGCATATGCAGAAGGCAGGCAGCAGGGGCTTGGAGACCCCCAACCATCCCCACCCCTGCCAAGCCCTCCCACTTTCAACGTAACCCCCCCCACACCCCACCTGAAGGGCTGGTCCACAGCGATTGCGAACAAGTCCTCTCCAATGGCCTGAGACGGAGGGGGACGGAGGGAAAGGGAGGGTAACAGGGGGTGCATGTTCCGCACAGCGACCAAGTGATTGCGCCCAACCCAACCCGCGACAGCCCCCAAACCACGCCTATCCCTGCGTCACCTGCTCCTCCTCCATCTCCTCCCTCCCCCCCCCCGCTCCCCCTCACCTGTATCGTCTCCTGCCTCTCCGCCTGCCGCGCGATGTTGTCTATGAAGTAGCGCAGCGCCCGCCGTACCGAGGTGGTGTCCCCGCTGGGGCGCAGCACCTGCAGCGACACGAGCGACCTGGGGGGGGGAGGGGGGAGGAGGGGACGGAGGAGGAGGGGGGGAGGGGGGAGAGAGGAGGGGGGGAAGGGGGGAGGAGAGCGGAAAGGGAATGAGAAGGGAAGCACTGTCCCAGGGGAGGAGAGGGAGGTGTCTATTGGGTTACTCGAAACGGGCGGTAATGCGGGTTGAGGGAGAGGGAAGGGGAAGGGGAGGAAGAATAAGCAATTCTTGAGCCATGGCTGTGTCCATTATTACCCTGCACGTCCCCGTGCCTTGTTTTCCAAGTCCCACTCCTACCCCATCCCACCCCCACTCCCCACCCCATCCCCCACCTGAGCACCAGGTCGGTGTCCTTGCGGTAGACGCCGTAGAACACATCCTGGGGGGGGGGCGAGGGGGAGGAGGAGGAGGAGGATGGGGAGGAGTGAGAGGAGGAGTGAGGGGAGGGGGCTAGAAGGAGCACAACGCCATCTGCCTCCTATACACATGCACCCGCCACCCCTGTTCGGGGCACCACACGCCCCAAAGTACTTCCCCCACGCCTCTCCCAAACCTCCCTGCACCCCCCCCGGTCTGCACCCCCCTCACACACCATGAGCCGCTCCCGCACGTCCGGCACGATCTCGCCCATCATCCCAAAGTCGTAGAACAGCAGGTCGCCTGGCGCCAGGAGGGTGGTGTGGTCGGATGGGATGGAGAGGTGGGAGGGAAGATGTGAGGAACGATGCATTGAGGTGGCATGTTCAGGGTAACAGCCCCCTGTAACACAGGAACCACCTTAGCCCTATCCTTCTCACAATCTTCTCCTCCCTCCTAAAGGTCCCCTGCATCCCTGCCTGCACACGCACCTGTGCGGGGGTCCACGCTGATGTTGCCCGGGTGCCTGCGTGATGGGGTGTGAAAGGGCATGAAGGGGCGTGAGGAGCCGTGAAGGGGCGTGAGGGGCGTGCAGGGGCGTGAGGGGCGTGCAGGGGTATGAGGGGCATGAGGGGGCGTGAGGAGCCGTGGAGGGGCGTGAGGGGCGTGAAGGGGCGTGAGGGGCGTTAAGGGGCGTGAGGAGGCGTGAAGGGGCGTGCAGGGGCGTGAGGGGCGTGCAGGGGTGTGAAGGGGCGTGAGGGGCGTGAGGGGCATGAAGGGGCGTCAGGAGCCGTGAAGGGGCGTGAGGAGCCGTGGAGGGGCGTGAGGGGCGTGAAGGGGCGGCAGGGGTGTGCAGGGGCGTGAGGGCGTGAAGGGGCGTGAGGGGCGTGAAGGGGCGTGAAGGGCGTGAAGGGGCGTGAGGGGTGTGGAGAGGCGTGAGGGGCGTGAAAAGGCGTGAGGGGCGTGAGGGGCGTGAGGGGTGTGAAGGGGCGTGAGGGGCGTGAAGGGGCGTGAGGGCGTGAAGGGGCGTGAAGGGCGTGAAGGGGCGTGGAGGGGCGTGAGGGGCGTGAAGGGGCGTGAGGGGCGTGAGGGGCGTGAGGGGCGTGAGGGGCGTGAGGGGCGGGAGGGGCGGGAGGGGCGGGAGGGGCGTGAGGGGTGGGAGGGGTGGGAGGGGCGGGAGGGGCGTGAGGGGCGTGAGGGGCGTGAGGGGCGTGAGGGGCGTGAGGGGCGTGAGGGGCGTGAGGGGCGTGAGGGGCGTGAGGGGCGGGAGGGGCGTGAGGGGCGTGAGGGGCGTGAGGGGCGGAAGGGGCGGGAGGGGTGTGGAGGGGCGGGAGGGGCGGGAGGGGCGGGAGGGGCGGGAGGGGCGGGAGGGGGGTGGAGGGGCGTGAGGGGTGTGAGGGGCGTGAGGGGGCGTGAGGGGGCGTGAGGGGCGTGAGGGGGCGTGAGGGGCGTGAGGGGGCGTGAGGGGCGTGAGAGGCGTGAAGGGCTATGAGGGGCGTGAGGGGGCGTGAAGAGGCGTGAGAGGCATGAAGGGGCATGAGGGGCGTGAAGGGCTATGAGGGGCGTGAGGGGCATGAAAGGCGCGGAACGGCACGAGGTGTGTAAAAGGACATGAGGGGCACAAGGGGCGTGAGAGGCGTGAAGGGGCGTGGGGGGCACGAAGGGGGGAGAAACAGGAAGAGCCCATGCGCCTGGGTGGTGATGGATACATGCTACTCAGAGCCGGGGCATGTGGGTTACCGGTATATGGCTTTGCCTTGCAAAGCCCACCCCAAAGCAGCCACACGTGACCCCCGCTTCCTTAACTCCCCCCCTCTCCCCCCAAGTGACCCACGGGTCTGCATGGAAGAACCCATGTCTCAGCATCTGCACCAGGTACGCCTCCGTGGCCCGAGCTGCCACCCGCTGCAGGTCCACACCCGCGGAGGCCAGGCGGGGCACATCGCTGATCTTGATACCTGGAAGGGGCAGGTCAGGGTGGGACAGGGTGTTGGATTGGGAAGGCGCAGCTGGTTGAATGCAGGGGAATGAGGAGGTTGAGGGGAGGTATATGCCGGTATATGGAGAGGGGGCCCGAGTTTGGCAGGAACTTGGCCCTGCGTTCCACGTCAACCTGCACCAATTACTAACTCCCCTCCTTCCTCCCTCCTCTACCCTCCCAGGCCCTTCTCCCTATCAAGCCCCCCCTTTCCCCTCCCTCCCCCCATTTCAATTTCTTCTTCTCCCTCCCGGCCCCCCTCCCCCTCCCTCCACCCATCAGTTTTCCGTTTTTTACCCCCCCCCCCGCCACCTGGCAGGTACTCCAGCACCAGCACGCGGGGGCCGCAGTACTGCCAGTACACCCGGGGGGCACGAACCCAGGGAAGAGAGGAGGAGCGGAAGTTGCGCCTGGGCATGGGGAGGGCGGAGAGGTGGGGGAAGGGAGGGGATGAGGGGCGGAGGGGAAATAGAAGGGGTGGCGGGGTGGCGAGGTAGGGTGTATTGCAGAACGAAAGCACTGACCCCACCTGAACCTGTCGGCATTGCGCCCCTCATTGAGGTAGTCTATCTCGCGGTACAGTACGGCAGCGCACTCGGAGTAGATGGAGGTGAAGTCCCTGAGGGGGGGGGCGGAGCGCAAGGTAGGTGGGGCAATGTGCGAGAGCGACAAGGACTGCCACACACATAGGGCACGCCGCATACACATGTGTATGCCCTTCCCCCCCCCACCCCCCCCTCACCTCCCCTCCTCCCCCCTGTCCAGCTGCTCCGCCAGCGCCCGCATGTTGGCCAGGTCGATGTCGAACAGCTGCCGCAGCCCCGGCCGCTGCACCTTGACCACCACCGCCTCACCACTCGGTAGCGTGGCGCGGTGGACCGAGGGGGGGGGGGGAAAGAAAATTCCAAAGTGTGGCAGGTGGGGGATGTAGTATAGCGCATGCTGGAGCTTACTACTTGCTGTCTGATTTATACTAAGCATATGTGCTTACTGTGCGTCTGGCACTCGGCTGTCATTCTGATGACAGGTTGCATGCGTCTGGACATGTAACGGGGATATGTCGTCTGGTCATATCGTAGCATCTGTGCTGCTGGTGTAATGTAATCTGTTCATTACCTACTACTGGTTGGTCTTGGAAGCATTCTGGTTTCCGTCCGGCATCTGTAACTGTACGGCTTCATAGCCGCCCTATATTATTCTGATCTACCAACCGGTGGTTATCACCACCTCCAGTATACGGACTACTGGAACGGTTACTTATCTCAAGACTTCAAGACTCAAGGATACTACAAGTGGTATCTTCGCCTCTTTCCTGGAACTTCCGCTGCGCCTCTCAATGGCTGCCAACGAAGAACAGATGGTGGCCGAAGAAGAGATGCTCTGTGACGAGGATCATTGCTACGCTTGCGGAAGGCCTTTTGAGAAGAGCACCCCGGTTGCTCAACCCAATCCTGCCGCACAGACTGCGGATGAGCGCCCTAGGCCTCGGGCTAATCCGGCGGCTGCCGCTGTTGCTACGGACGAGGCCGGCGCTGGGCCGTCGTCTAGCGGGCGCGACCATGGACCTGCTCCTGGTGGCGAGGTTCTGCGGGCTCAGACGGATCCGGAGTCCGACGAGGAGCCTACGCCGAAGCGCAACCGCAACAACTCTGGTCGTGCGGCCGCCAACGCGACCAAGGCGGGCAAGGGCAAGGACCGGGCTGCTGTCCTGGCCAGTCGCGAGGGGAAGGACCCCAAGGAGTTCCTGCGCAAGTACCGTTGCACGCGTGAGGAGTTCTGGCGCCGTGAGGACAACAACCTCTGCTGGTACTGCGCCTCGCCGGACCACCGGGCTGCTGACTGCCCGAACAAGCCCGACGACGCTGACGACGGCAACGGCAAGGGCAAGCGTCCGTTCAAGGGCAAGGGCGGCAAGGGCGGCAACGGTGGCAACGGCAAGGGCAAGAACAAGACGGCTGCTTAGGGGGTTGCCCAGGAAGGTAGCGAGGGGTTGCTACCTGGGTTCCTTTCACTACCTGCCAAACCTGCGTTTCTATCTGACTGGCGTGAGACGCGGGTGGTGCTTCCTACGGTGCTAGAGGACGTCGAACATCTGGTCGGTCGGCGTTTCTCGTTTGATGCACGGGTGGTTCGTGCTGGCTTTCGAGAGCTCTGTAACCTGTACGAGCCGCGCGGACGTTCCCTCTCATCTGTTGACGTAGGAGGGCACACGGTCTGGTCTGTCCCCTCTTCTGTTCGGGAATTGCAGTCGCACCTAGAGCATTACCGCAGCTGCAAAAGCCGTCGCCCTGACACAGCCTTAGGTATCTTGTTGCCTGCTCACTACGTGCCTAAGGTATCTGAACTCCTTACAGGTATGCAGCGGGTGGTGCGTTTTCCAGCGGGTATGAGCCTGTTCAACGGTCTAACGCTTGAGGGCGAAGCTAGGGCCATGCCGGGTTTTCCATACGCTGCTGAAGTCTGGTACGATACACCATCTCCCGCTCCTCCTGTGACTTCTGAGCCCCGTGCTACTGCCCTCCGAGTCACTGCCCTGTCCGCAGAAGGTAGCCTGCCGCTCATCACTGCTCGGGCTGGCGGGCTCAGCCTTACTACGCTTCTGGACTCTGGGGCTACGCACGACTTCATCGGCAAGGATGTGGTGGATCAGCTGGGTCTTACTATCCGTGCTTCGCCCTGGAAACATGTGACCTTGGCCGATGGAGGTAAGCAGGCCATCTTGGGGCAGGTCACGCTGCGACTTGCTGTGGGGGCGGTTAGGTTGTCTGTCCAGCCGCACGTGTTGCCTTCCATGACTGATGCGGCGTCGTACATCCTGGGTACGGCTACCATGAGGCAATACGGCTTATCCTTGGACTTCCGCACACAGTCTCTTGTTCTGCGCAAGGGACGACTACTGTATCGTGTGTCCTTCACGGCTCCACCCGAGCGTTAGGAGGGAGAAGACCCACCCTGCGTTAACTTTGCTGCCGCTGCTATCTGTTCGCATGCTGATCCTGAGCGTGTTGGGCGTAAGGAGGCTACCCGTCTCTTGCGCAAGGGGGCACATGGGTTGCTGGTGCGTCCTCGCTTGTTTGCTAACGCTGCTGCCCCGCAAGCTGAGAGCGTTGAGCCTGCAGTGAAAGCGCTTCTGGAGGAGTACGCCGACGTGTTCCGTGAGGTCCCTGGACTGCCACCCATGAGGCCGGTCGACCACACCATTCCCCTGATGCCCGGAGCACAGCCTGTGTCGCGGCCCATGTACCGCCTGAGCCCCAAGGAGCTGGATGAGGTAAAGCGGCAGGTGACTGACCTGTTGGCTAAAGGTATGGTACGTCCCAGTACTTCGCCTTACTCGTCGCCTATTCTGTTCGTGGGTAAGAAGGATGGTTCCCTGCGCATGTGCATTGACTATAGGGGCCTGAACGCGAGCACGGTGAAGAACCGTTATCCACTGCCACGGGTGGATGACCTGCTTGACAAGCTTAAGGGGGCTCGTTACTTCTCATCTGTTGACTTGCAGCAAGGGTATAACCAGATCCGGATTTCTGAGTCGGACATCCCTAAGACTGCTTTTCGCACCCCTTTCGGTCACTTCGAGTTTACGGTACTAAGCTTTGGCCTAGTCAACGCCCCTGCTACTTTCCAGGCCTGCATGGATCGTATGTTCGGCGACAAGATCGGCAAGTACGTTGTCTGCTACCTTGACGACTTGCTGGTTTACTCGAAGACGCTCGAGGAGCATCTGGACCATCTGCGGGTCGTGCTGGACACTCTGCGGCGGAAGCAGCTTTATTTACGCTAAGCTTTCGAAGTGCCACTGGGCGCAGCCGCAAGTCGGATATCTTGGGCACATCGTGGCGTCGGACGGTGTACGCATGGACCCCCGTAAGACGGCTGCCGTACGGGACTGGCCTGTGCCTAAGAACCTGCAGGAGCTGCGTAAGTTTTTGGGGCTGACCAACTACTTTCGTAAGTTCATTCCGCGGTACTCTGCTGTTGCCGCACCTCTCACTGCTCTGACCCGTAAGGATGCCTTTTCGAAGCCTGACGCCTGGACTGCTGAGTGTCAAGCTGCTTTTGACGTCATCAAACGTGTTGTCTCTGAGGACATTGTGTTGCGTTTCCCTGACTTCTCGCTGCCGTTCCGTGTTGAGGTGGTTACTGATGCTTCCTTGCATGGTACGGGTGCAGTTCTGTTGCAAGAAGGGCGGCCTGTCGCCTATACTAGCAAGAAGTTCTCATCTGCTGAGCGCAACTACACCACGGGCGAACAGGAGTTGCTTGCCGTACTGCATGCATTGCGTGAATGGCGCTGTTACCTGGAAGGCAATCCCTTTACCCTGAAGACTGATCACAAACCGCTAACCTTTCTGCAAGGCACGCCAACTCTGAACCGCAGGCAGGCTCGCTGGATGGAATACTTGGCTCGCTTCAACTATAAGTGGGAGTCCTGCAAGGGAAACCTTAACGTCGTGGCTGATGCCTTGAGCCGTCACCCTGCCCTGCATAACCTGGTGCTCGCGGTCGTGACTCGTCGACAGGCTGCGAAGGCGGCTAAGGCTGCTGAGCCTGCAGCAACGGAAGGTATGGCTCTTGACCCTCCTGCTGCTACGGACGCTGCGCCGCTGCCTATTCCTGTCCCCGCTCTGCCTGTTGAGCCTGTTGCGCCTGTTCTGCCTGACCCTAGTCCTGAGTACGCGAAGGATTTTGGTAAGCGCATTCTGCGTGCGTATGCCACTGACCCATGGTTCACTGTTCCCATGCGGGTCCGCTGTCTGGGCATCCTGGCTACTCTCGTACTTTGGAGCTGGTGCGTCGCAAGTTCTGGTGGCCTCGGTTGGCTAAGGACGTGGAGAACTTTGTGGCGAGCTGCGACAGCTGCCAGCGCAACAAGGTCCTGTCCGGTAAGGGCCATGGGCTTCTGCAACCTCTGCCTGTTCCTGATGCGCCTTGGGAAAGCGTGTCAATGGACTTTGTCGTGGCGCGTCCTAAACCTGAGGGGGAGTACGACGCGGTGCTAGTTTTGGTGGATCGGCTGACCAAAATGGTACATCTGGTGCCCACTACCACCACCTGCACTACTGATCTTGGCTCGTTTGTTCCTGGATAACGTGGTTCGGTTGCATGGGCTGCCTAAGAGCGTGGTGTCTGACCGCGGTCCGCAGTTCGTGAGTAAGTTTTGGAAAGCGCTGGCTGAGCTGCTTGACTTCCGTGTTAACAACTCGACTGCTTACCACCCCCAGACTGACGGACAGACGGAGCGCATTAACCGGGTACTGGGTGACATGCTACGTAACTTTGCTGGACGTAACCCTAGCACTTGGGACTCTCATCTGACTGCTGCTGAGTTTGCCATCAATAACGCTGTTAACCGGTCAACTGGCGAAACTCCCTTCTTCCTGAATTACGGTTTCCACCCCTCTGTGCCTCTGTGGCGTGAGCTTGAGGTATCTGTGCCTGAAGCCAAGACGTTCGTTAAGTCGTTCGTTTCACGCATTGCTGACGCTAAGGCTTGTCTGGATGCTGCCCAGCAACGTAGTTCTGAGTACTACAACCGGAGCAAGCAGGACGTTACCTTCGAGCCGGAGCAGCTGGTCATGCTGAGTACGAAGAATCTACGGCCGCAGGTGTCTGGTTCTCGTAAGCTGCTGCCTCGGTGGATTGGACCTTACCCGGTGGTACGTATGGTGGGCAACGCTGCGGTTGAGTTGCGCTTGCCTGAGGATATGCGCATTCACCCCACCTTCCACGTGTCTCTGGTACGGCCTTATCGCGGGGATTCTGCCACGTCTGCTGCTGAACCGGGTCCTGTTGCTTGGGTACGCAGTGAGCCTCTGTTTACTGTTGAACGTGTCTTAGATTACCGGCTTCGCAAGGTCGGCAAGGGACGCCGTAAGCGTAACGTGCATGAGTACTTGGTCAAATGGGCTGGCTACTCCTCTGAGCACAACAGCTGGGAACCTGCTAAGAACTTCACCCCTGATCTCGCAGAAGAGCTGACTACTGTTCGTCTCCGTGCTTCTGGTCGGCGCGAGGACGCTGCCTCCTAGAGGGGGAGCACTTGTAGTATAGCGCATGCTGGAGCTTACTACTTGCTGTCTGATTTATACTAAGCATCTGTGCTTACTGTGCGTCTGGCACTCGGCTGTCATTCTGATGACAGGTTGCATGCATCTGGACATGTAACGGGGATATGTCGTCTGGTCATATCGTAGCATCTGTGCTGCTGGTGTAATGTAATCTGTTCATTACCTACAGATAATGAACAGATTATCTGTAGGTACTACTACTGGTTGGTCTTGGAAGCATTCTGGTTTCCGTCCGGCATCTGTAACTGTACGGCTTCATAGCCGCCCTATATTATTCTGATCTACCAACCGGTGGTTGTCACCACCTCCAGTATATGGACTACTGGAACGGTTACTTATCTCAAGACTTCAAGACTCAAGGATACTACAGGGGAGGGAGGGAGGTGGGGGAGGCACGGTGGCACGGTTGCAGTGTGGCACGGACTAGCCGGCTGCTTTCCACTTGGCCATTTCGTGGCATGTTTCTCCAACCACAGCGTGAATAACACACTCCTACAAGCCATATAAGGTCAGAGAGGTCAGGAAGGTCATCAGGGCCCCCGCTCCTCGCCCTCCCTCACACCTGCCCCAGGCTGGCCGCTGCGATGGGTCGCGGGTCAAAGTCGGCGAAGAGCTGACCCACGGGTCGGCCCAGGTCTTCCTGGATGATGGCTAGCGCCCGGGAGGCGGGGAAGGCGGGGACCCGGTCCTGGTGGGGGCCGGGTGGGGGGTGGGAATAGGAAAGGGGCGGGAAGTGCTTGTTGTTTCAGGTAAGAGAGGGCTGTGGCAACAACAGGCTGGGCGAACGCAAGGAGAGCTCGTCGAGCGGCTTCACTGCTGATGTGGCTGGAGGGTGGAGGAAGGGCCGCAGCAGGGCGGCAGCAGGCAACCTACAGCCGCAGCTGGGTAAGCCGCGGCCGCAGCCTACACTGCTGCATCCCCGCGCCCCTCCCATCCACCCCCCCACCCCACCTCCACCCCCCACCTGCAGTGTGGACAGCTCCTGCACGAACTCAGCGGGTAGCAGGTCGGAGCGGGTGCTGAACAGCTGGCCGACTGGGGGAGGGGGAGGGAGGGTGGGGGGGAGGGGGGAGGGAGGGTGTGGGGAAGGGGGGAGGGGCAGGGGGGAAGCATATAAGGAGTAAAGCGACTGGATTGCAAGTGTACGCGGCGGCAGGCCCACCCTTAACACTCACCCTTGATGAAGGTGGGGCCCAGCTGCAGAATGCTGTTGAGCAGGTACCTGCGGTGGAGGGGGAGCTTGGCCTTGAGCAGGCGGCGGTCCCGGTGTTGCACCATGGCGACTACTTTGACCCTGAGCAGGTCACACGAACATTGCTGCGTGTGCCGCGTATGCTGAGATATCAGAGCCGCAAGGGGCAGATAGGTGAGTCAAAGTGGGTCTGCAGAGGCGAACAGGTTGGGGTGGGGTGGCACAACCTTGTGTGGCACAACCCTGTACCACTGCCGGTTTCAACTCCTTTTTACCCGCGTGGTACACATAAGTCTTAATCTTAATGGTTCACCCGCACTAAATGTGAACCAGTCCCGTCCGCTGAGTACTTCTGCCTCAGTTGTGCATCGCGGCTGCTCGATGCTCTTGGTAAGAAGTTGGTGGAAGTGATGGGTGACTGCAACTATGCCGCTTGCTGTGGGCATACGGCGTAAGCAGGTGCGCAACAGCTGGACACATGTGGGGCCCTTCATTCAGCGCTTTCCAGTTTTCCTCCGCGACCTTGCCTCGAGCTTTTTCCTCATCGGCACCTTGCCTTGAGCTTTTTCCGCATCGGCACATGGCGACTGCACCGTCATGGCCTGAACCTCTACGGAGAGTAGTAGATAGTAGTAGTTTCCGCAGTTCTGGGGATAGTTTATGCGAGTGTGGATATTCACGGCTAAAAAATAGTACGACAAAGAAGATAGATAGGTTTTATTGGGTCTCGGTGCTGGATTCAGAGTCTCGATGCTGGATTCCGTGTAGCTGCAATAGTGAAGAGAGTCTCGTTCATGAACTTGATGCCGGTGGTAGCAAAACAGAGATACCTGGTCAACGCCCAACTACCCGCCCCCCCCGTGAACAGTGAGATTACATTACTGTAATTTCCTTGTGCGAGTGCACACTGTTGTGGGATGAGGGTTCGGGTTGTACATATGGAGACAGAGAGGCACATCGGTAAGGTGCTTACAACAACACCAACCAGGGTGGCAGAATGTTAACACAAACCCCTCGAACCATACTAAACACTGAATGAGTGGACATTCCAAAACAGGATGCTCATATCTGCAGTGTGCCGCAGTTGATCAGTGCCGCAGTTGATCACCATCAGCCTCATTTGGTGTACGTTCTGAAATGGGCAACTTGCGTAGCTCTGCGCACTGTGTAAACATGTAGCACTCAAACGGAAGCACACGGCCTCACACGAGCATATCAGCGCCGATAGATAACATTCTCGATTGAACTGACGCGGGCCTGCAAGTTGAAGAGAAGTGTATGCAAGCTCCTTAGCTGCTCCTGAACTGCAGTCATGTCAGCTTCTTGCCGATAGCCCGATGATGATGTTGGGAATTGTGTATCCACTTGCGACCGGACACGCCTGCAGTGCATATCAAAAGCAGAATTCAATCTTGAATTACTTTTACGACTTTCTAAAGCATACTCCATGTACCCTAGGTTCGTCCGAAGGTCCAGGATGTCCGCCTGAAGGCCTGTCCGAAGGTCCTGGATGTCCGCCTGAACGGTCGCCTGAAGGCCTGTCCGAAGGTCCCGGATGTCCGCCTGAACGGTCGCCTGAAGGCCTGTCCGAAGGTCCCGGATGTCCGCCTGAACGGTCGCAATGTCTTCCCGCAATGTTCTGGCCCATGCCGGTGGTTCTTCTGTGACGTCCCCCATAAATCACTTTCTGTAGGCGAAGAATGTTATTGAATACAAATGGACGCAATATACTGTGTCAAGAAATGTGGAACATGTGCAAAGTCGTTCTGAGGCATGATCGGCGGTGGTCCACTGTTCTCTGTCGGGCCCACCCTGGACGGATGGGTGACAGAGAACTGCCAAACAAAGGCAATTTTCAGCCTGATAACAACTCAGGGTTTCAAAGCCAAGTATTGGGTTGATGTTTTCAATTTTCTAGCAAACTATGTGCTCATTCTCTGACACCGGCACCACCTAGCTGCCATTATCAAGCCCAAACTTATATGTAATTGCTGTTAATTATAAATCTTTGGATGTAATATTTATCCTTCAACACAGTGCCACGGGTAGCCTGGAATTGAGTCCGCCGAGTCATGTCCAGCGACGAATCAGGGCCGCCCTACGAGGATTCCAAGGAGGACTATGACTTGGACGGAGATGTAACTTTTTCGTTGCTTCATCGCCGGCGTTCCTGGGAAAGCGACGATGGCGACGGTGACGACACTAGCAGCAGTGATAGTGGGGGCTACGCGACAGCAGAGGGGGGGAATCTGACGACTTTGAGGAAGGAGCCAGTTACCATAGGGACGTGGAAGAGGGGGCAGCGCTTCAGGGTGTCGGTGTTGGTCGGTCACTGCGGGAGCTGGAAATGTTACCCACGGGTTCCCACACAAATAGACGATAAGGGTTATAGGGCCCTAGTACCCCCAGTACCCCCATCGATTCCATGTGACCTCCTACCACCACGCCCGACTCTCCTAGTACCCCCACTACCATCCGCCCCTAGCACCCCTACCACCCCAAGCACCCCTACCCCTACCGCCCCCTGCACCCCTACCGCCCCTACCGCCCCAAGCACATGATGGTGACGTTCAGGGCCCTGTTGACGCCCCTCCTGCAACACCGCCAAGGGTCAGCGACACGGCTCCACCCGGCCACCAGCCTGACATGATGAAAATCATCAGCCCAGCCTACCGTGAGCAACAACTTGTCATGGCCACAAAGCATCCTGATAAGCTGGGTTACTAAGCTGCTGGTGCAGTGTGAGGCATGGTGGATTGTATTGCAAGGAACCTCAGTGCGGGCATGGTGTGAGGCAAGGTCGAATTTCGCGACGGGAAAAGCACTCCCATACTCCTTTTAACGACTACTATAAGGAACTGCAATAAACTCAAATCGGGTTTCCGGACCCCCACCCGGGCAGGCTCAGACCCTACCCTAGAGGCCCCTCAAACTGACAACCTGAAAACACCGTGCGGCGCACTAAGCGGAGCCGTAAGGTTCTGGTGAAGGTGGGTTGGCCCATCACCGACATCGGTGACCGCCTATGAGGTAGCGAATTATGACGTGCTGGTTACCGGTCGCAAGCATGGCACATGCCGCGCTTGCCAACTACCTTAACCCAGTACCAAACTCCAACCTTGCAAGTCGACAAAGTTCGTATAAGTATTACAGACCGCGTTTCCTATGGACATGGGTGAAAAACCCAAATCCTGCTTTCTCGGGCGGGCCAGGGTGCCCATGCTATTCGCCGTTTGCTGTTACGAACAAGCTACTAGACCACTATTAATTTATAGAGGATCCTCGGCGCAATCCTCCGGTTTGGGCTTGAGAATGGCAGCTAGGTGGTGCCGGTGTCAGAGATGAGCAAACTTTGCAGATAAATCGAGGAATAGCCACCCAATACTTGGCCTAGACCTCCTGAGTCGGCCTCTGGATAAAAAAGCATTACTTAGCGGTTCTCTGTCAGCCTACTTGGCGCCAAGCCGTCAAGGGAGGGCACGACAGAGAACAGTGGACCAGCGGCGTGCGAGCCGTTCTCAGAGTCAATGTCGATGTACGGCGCCGCACCGCCGCCAGTCCGTTCAGCAGCCCATCCATCACCACAGCGAGCGCGCGCTCCCACAGCGCCGACTGCACCTTGTTGCTGCTACTAGAGATTCAATCCGCCAAATCCTCCCAAAGACAAGGGGTGACAGCTAGGTATGCATGCGTGTAACAAAGACGGGTTAAAGTGCTCACACGGCGGCATTCCTGAACACGGTCCTGCTTTCCTGCACATCTGCTACGGTTGCTGCTAACGAATACCGATACGCGCTGCTCCGCTCCATTTCAGTGCCTTGTACTTATGAACAATACGAACGTAATATTGCTACCTTGGAGAGAGCGTCAGCCTGTGGCGTCAGTTGCCCCTGCCACACAATTTTTGTCTACATTCAATCATTGCAAGCGTTCTGACAATGCACGGTTATTTAAGTCATACGTGTGCTAAACGTTGGGTGCGTGCAGCAAGAGCGTTAGTAAGCGTGCGTATCAGCTCTCAGGCTGTTGCACCCTAGTCCGCAGTCAGCAGTCCAAGCCTATACCTTAACACATCGCCTAACTACAAGTATTACATCACTGGTAGGTTGTGTCCCTCCTCTCCTCTCTCCCTCACCTTCTGCCTTGTTGATGCCCCTCACTGCTCTCTTTTGCCCCCTACCTCCTTCACATTCCCTCTCCCATGCAGGCGCGTACTCCACCTCCAGCAGCCGCTCTCACCTCTCCAGCCCTCTCCTCTCACCCGTCTCCCCTCCCCCACCTCCGTCACCCCCGTATCTCCTTCTCAAACTTGTCCAGCCGCTTCACCCTCCGCAGCCCCCGCAGCACCAGCAACCCAAACACCCCCGACCCCGCCAAACACAACCCTGCAGCCACCTCCAGCGCACCACCACCGCCACCACCGCTGCCTGCCCCTATTGCTGCAGCTGCTGCCCCCATGCCTCCCGCCCCTCCTGCAGCGCCCCCTCCCACCCCCGCCCCTACCGCCAGTGCCAGTATTGTGCCCAGGTTGAGGAGGCCCAGGGCGGCGACGGTGTGGAGCGTGGCCAGCTGCCGGGGGGGGGGAGGAGGAGCGGGGGACAGGGGTTTAGGAGATGGAGGAGAGGGGAAGGAGAGGGGAGAGATGGGGTCGGGAAAAAGGCAATGGTGGAAGCAGGCTATGGGAGGTCAGCATGAGGGGAAGAGCGGCACTGGATTGAGTGGAGGGTGATTGGAGAATGAGGGTGAGGATTAGCCAACATTGTCTGTGAGGCAAAGGAAGACACCAGCGGGTGCCCACCCCCTATCCCTTCGCCATCCTCTCCCCCCTGCTCGTCAGTTTCCTATCTTATTTACCCCCTCAACCCCCCCCTCCTTACCTGCATCACCCCCGCCCTCCTGTCCGCCCGCTCCCCCTCCAGCGCCCGCACCCTCAGCTTCACCTCCCCCCCCTCCAGCCGCCCCAGCAGCTCCTCCATGCGCGCGATGCGGTCGGGCATGGCGGCGGCAGCGGCTCCCAGCCGGCTGGCCTGCTGCTGCACCTGGGGGGGGAGGGTTGGGGGGGCGGAGGGGGGGGTTGATAGGGGGACTTGTGTATGGGATTAACCGCAAGGGGGAGGGAGGGGAGGGGGAACATGTGAACTAACAGCAACTGCTACTGGCTGCGGCAGCCAACCCAGATGCATGCATGCACATACGTCGCCGCTCTTCTTCCGTAACACTGTCACAGCGCTATCCCACGCATGCTCCCCTCCCGCATCCGCCCCGTCACTTCCTCCTCAGCAACCCCCCCACACCCCACCAGCACAGCCCTACCCCCTCATTGGTCCCTCTCCCACTGCCCCCACCACTCCCCTCCCTCCCCCCCTCCCCCCCTCCCCCGCCTCCCTCACCTGTTCCAGCAGCATCGCTCCTCCCCCTGCTCCCCCCACCCCCACTCCCGCCCCCCCTCCCTCCCTCGCCGCCAGCAGCTCCCCCGCCAGCGGCGCCGCCACCCGCCCGAAGCTGAAGTGTGGGTCCAGTCCCTTGCACAGGCCCTCCAGGGTGGAGAAGGCGCGCCGCACGAAGGTGAAGGTGGCGGGGAACCTGGGGGGGTGGGGTACGGGGGATACCATGTGTGGGGCGGAGTGGGGTACGGGGGATACCATGTGTGGGGCGGAGTGGGGTACGGGGGATACCATGTGTGGGGCGGAGTGGGGTACGGGGGATACCATGTGTGGGGCGGAGTGGGGTACGGGGGATACCATGTGTGGGGCGGAGTGGGGTACGGGGGATACCATGTGTGGGGCGGAGTGGGGTACGGGGGATACCATGTGTGGGGCGGAGTGGGGTACGGGGGATACCATGTGTGGGGCGGAGTGGGGTACGGGGGATACCATGTGTGGGGCGGAGTGGGGTACGGGGGATACCATGTGTGGGGCGGAGTGGGGTACGGGGGATACCATGTGTGGGGCGGAGTGGGGTACGGGGGATACCATGTGTGGGGCGGAGTGGGGTACGGGGGATACCATGTGTGGGGCGGAGGGGACAGGGTAGGATGGGAGGGGAGGGGAAGTGGCCCATGCAAGTGAGGCGGCGCTCGTGGAGCGGAGTGGGAGGAGGCGGTGGAAGTGGTGTGGCAGCAGCAGGGAGGGTAGCTAGCTCCAGCTAGTGGGGCACGTGCGGAAGGCATATGCAGAAGGCAGGCAGCAGGGGCTTGGAGACCCCCAACCATCCCCACCCCTGCCAAGCCCTCCCACTTTCAACGTAACCCCCCCCACACCCCACCTGAAGGGCTGGTCCACAGCGATTGCGAACAAGTCCTCTCCAATGGCCTGAGACGGAGGGGGACGGAGGGAAAGGGAGGGTAACAGGGGGTGCATGTTCCGCACAGCGACCAAGTGATTGCGCCCAACCCAACCCGCGACAGCCCCCAAACCACGCCTATCCCTGCGTCACCTGCTCCTCCTCCATCTCCTCCCTCCCCCCCCCCGCTCCCCCTCACCTGTATCGTCTCCTGCCTCTCCGCCTGCCGCGCGATGTTGTCTATGAAGTAGCGCAGCGCCCGCCGTACCGAGGTGGTGTCCCCGCTGGGGCGCAGCACCTGCAGCGACACGAGCGACCTGGGGGGGGGAGGGGGGAGGAGGGGACGGAGGAGGAGGGGGGAGGGGGGAGAGAGGAGGGGGGGAAGGGGGGAGGAGAGCGGAAAGGGAATGAGAAGGGAAGCACTGTCCCAGGGGAGGAGAGGGAGGTGTCTATTGGGTTACTCGAAACGGGCGGTAATGCGGGTTGAGGGAGAGGGAAGGGGAAGGGGAGGAAGAATAAGCAATTCTTGAGCCATGGCTGTGTCCATTATTACCCTGCACGTCCCCGTGCCTTGTTTTCCAAGTCCCACCCCTACCCCATCCCACCCCCACTCCCCACCCCATCCCCCACCTGAGCACCAGGTCGGTGTCCTTGCGGTAGACGCCGTAGAACACATCCTGGGGGGGGGGCGAGGGGGAGGAGGAGGAGGAGGATGGGGAGGAGTGAGAGGAGGAGTGAGGGGAGGGGGCTAGAAGGAGCACAACGCCATCTGCCTCCTATACACATGCACCCGCCACCCCTGTTCGGGGCACCACACGCCCCAAAGTACTTCCCCCACGCCTCTCCCAAACCTCCCTGCACCCCCCCCGGTCTGCACCCCCCTCACACACCATGAGCCGCTCCCGCACGTCCGGCACGATCTCGCCCATCATCCCAAAGTCGTAGAACAGCAGGTCGCCTGGCGCCAGGAGGGTGGTGTGGTCGGATGGGATGGAGAGGTGGGAGGGAAGATGTGAGGAACGATGCATTGAGGTGGCATGTTCAGGGTAACAGCCCCCTGTAACACAGGAACCACCTTAGCCCTATCCTTCTCACAATCTTCTCCTCCCTCCTAAAGGTCCCCTGCATCCCTGCCTGCACACGCACCTGTGCGGGGGTCCACGCTGATGTTGCCCGGGTGCCTGCGTGATGGGGTGTGAAAGGGCATGAAGGGGCGTGAGGAGCCGTGAAGGGGCGTGAGGAGCCGTGAAGGGGCGTGAGGGGCGTGCAGGGGCGTGAGGGGCGTGCAGGGGTGTGAGGGGCATGAGGGGGCGTGAGGAGCCGTGGAGGGGCGTGAGGGGCGTGAAGGGGCGTGAGGGGCGTTAAGGGGCGTGAGGAGGCGTGAAGGGGCGTGCAGGGGCGTGAGGGGCGTGCAGGGGTGTGAAGGGGCGTGAGGGGCGTGAGGGGCGTGAAGGGGCGTCAGGAGCCGTGAAGGGGCGTGAGGAGCCGTGGAGGGGCGTGAGGGGCGTGAAGGGGCGGCAGGGGTGTGCAGGGGCGTGAGGGCGTGAAGGGGCGTGAGGGGCGTGAAGGGGCGTGAAGGGCGTGAAGGGGCGTGAGGGGTGTGGAGAGGCGTGAGGGGCGTGAAAAGGCGTGAGGGGCGTGAGGGGCGTGAGGGGTGTGAAGGGGCGTGAGGGGCGTGAAGGGGCGTGAGGGCGTGAAGGGGCGTGAAGGGCGTGAAGGGGCGTGGAGGGGCGTGAGGGGCGTGAAGGGGCGTGAGGGGCGTGAGGGGCGTGAGGGGCGTGAGGGGCGTGAGGGGCGTGAGGGGCGTGAGGGGCGTGAGGGGCGTGAGGGGCGTGAGGGGCGTGAGGGGCGGGAGGGGCGTGAGGGGCGTGAGGGGCGTGAGGGGCGTGAGGGGCGTGAGGGGCGTGAGGGGCGTGAGGGGCGTGAGGGGCGTGAGGGGCGTGAGGGGCGTGAGGGGCGTGAGGGGCGGGAGGGGCGTGAGGGGCGTGAGGGGCGGAAGGGGCGGGAGGGGTGTGGAGGGGCGGGAGGGGCGGGAGGGGCGGGAGGGGCGGGAGGGGCGGGAGGGGCGGGAGGGGGGTGGAGGGGCGTGAGGGGTGTGAGGGGCGTGAGGGGGCGTGAGGGGGCGTGAGGGGCGTGAGGGGGCGTGAGGCGCGTGAGGGGGCGTGAGGGGCGTGAGAGGCGTGAAGGGCTATGAGGGGCGTGAGGGGGCGTGAAGAGGCGTGAGAGGCATGAAGGGGCGTGAAGGGCGTGAAGGGCTATGAGGGGCGTGAGGGGCGTGAAGGGCGCGGAACGGCATGAGGTGTGTAAAAGGACATGAGGGGCACAAGGGGCGTGAAGGGCGTGAAGGGGCGTGGGGGGCACGAAGGGGGGAGAAACAGGAAGAGCCCATGCGCCTGGGTGGCGATGGATACATGCTACTCAGAGCCGGGGCATGTGGGTTACCGGTATATGGCTTTGCCTTGCAAAGCCCACCCCAAAGCAGCCACACGTGACCCCCGCTTCCTTAACTCCCCCCCTCTCCCCCCAAGTGACCCACGGGTCTGCATGGAAGAACCCATGTCTCAGCATCTGCACCAGGTACGCCTCCGTGGCCCGAGCTGCCACCCGCTGCAGGTCCACACCCGCGGAGGCCAGGCGGGGCACATCGCTGATCTTGATACCTGGAAGGGGCAGGTCAGGGTGGGACAGGGTGTTGGATTGGGAAGGCGCAGCTGGTTGAATGCAGGGGAATGAGGAGGTTGAGGGGAGGTATATGCCGGTATATGGAGAGGGGGCCCGAGTTTGGCAGGAACTTGGCCCTGCGTTCCACGTCAACTTGCACCAATTACTAACTCCCCTCCTTCCTCCCTCCTCTCCCCTCCCAGGCCCTTCTCCCTATCAAGCCCCCCCTTTCCCCTCCCTCCCCCTATTTCAATTTCTTCTTCTCCCTCCCGGCCCCCCTCCCCCTCCCTCCACCCCCCCTCCCCCTCCCTCCACCCATCAATTTTCCGTTTCTTACACCCCCCCCGCCCACCTGGCAGGTACTCCAGCACCAGCACCCGCGGGCCGCAGTACTGCCAGTACACCCTGGGGGCACGAACCCAGGGAAGAGAGGAGGAGCGGAAGTTGCGCCTGGGCATGGGGAGGGCGGAGAGGTGGGGAAGGGAGGGGGGGGCAGAGGGAGGGGATGAGGGGCGGAGGGGAAATAGAAGGGGTGGCGGGGTGGCGAGGTAGGGTGTATTGCAGGACGAAAGCACTGACCCCACCTGAACCTGTCGGCATTGCGCCCCTCATTGAGGTAGTCGATTTCGCGGTACAGTACGGCAGCACACTCGTAGTAGATGGACGTGAAGTCCCTGAGGGGGGGGCGGAGCGCAAGGGAGGTAGGTGGGGCAATGTGCGAGAGCGACAAGGACTGCCACACACATATGGCGCGCCGCATACACATGTGTATGCCCCCCACCCCCTCATCACCTCCCCACCACCACCACCACCCCTCACCTCCCCTCCTCCCCCCTGTCCAGCTGCTCCGCCAGCGCCCGCATGTTGGCCAGGTCGATGTCGAACAGCTGCCGCAACCCCGGCCGCTGCACCTTGACCACCACCGCCTCACCACTCGGTAGCGTGGCGCGGTGGACCTGGGGGGTGGGGGGAAGGAGGGGGAGGAGGAGGGGGAAGTGTTGGATATACCGTCCTTAACGAAAACGGAGGGATGAAGCTGACGCGGCAAAGGAGAGGGGGCAGCGGAAGGGCGGCAGACTGGCGGGGGACTGCAAAGCCGAGGTCCCGGTCAGTCCGGGCATGAAGAGGCCAGCGGGGTTCCCGCCGCCCCTGCCCTTTCGCCCCCTCTCGCCCTCCCTCACACCTGCCCCAGGCTGGCCGCTGCGATGGGTCGCGGGTCGAATTCCGCGAAGAGCTGACCCACGGGTCGGCCCAGGTCCTCCTGGATGATGGCCAGAGCTCTGGAGGCGGGGAAGGCGGGGACACGGTCCTGGTGGGGGCCGGGGGGAGGGGTCGGGGTAGGAGGGGGTAGTAGAGGGGCCCGGGTAGGGGAGGAGGTTAGTGTTTAAGGGGATACGCAAGGTGGGGAGGTGCCCCGCCCATCCACCCCATCTCCAAGGGCTCCAACCCTTCATTCAATGCATGATTCTTCTTCTTTCGCATCCCCCCCTCACCTGCAGTGTGGACAGCTCCTGCACGAACTCGGCGGGCAGCAGGTCGGACCGGGTGCTGAACAGCTGGCCGACTGGGGGAGGGGGGGAGGTTAGGGAGGGGGGAAGTATATAAGATGTGAAGCAAAATCACGCGGAGGCAGCCCCCCCCCCCCTCTACACTCACTCTTGATGAAGGTGGGCCCCAGCTGCAGAATGCTGTTGAGCAGGTACCTGGGGAGCAGGAGGGGGAGAAGAGGTACGGTAGTAGGGGGTGGGGGAGGGGGCCGCACACATTTAAGAGGGCATTATTAGGAAGGCAGAGGAGCTGGAGTACCCGGCTCTGTACCCGCCGAGCCAAGGGAGGAGGGAACCGCACCCTTTCACCCATTCCACACCCCGAATCCCGTGTGGACACGCCTGTCTTCCCTCCCTACCCTTCCCTCCTCTGCCCCCCTCCCCCCTACCTTGCCAGCCCCCTGCCCCGCTCCCTCCTCCGCTCCTCCGAGTACCCCCCCGGGTAGCTCCACCGCTGATCCAGCAGCCACAGCCGCAGCCGGAACACCCCGAAGAAGGCCCACGTGTCCAACGTGCGCTGCAGGGGACTGTAGCGGTCCTGGGGAGGGGAGGAGGGCGAGAGTGTAAAGGGGTTACGAGCCTATCCGAGGACGGCTGAGGACGAAGTGCCCCCTCCAATGCTCCCCTAAACACCAGCGACCAGGGTTGCCACCAACAACAAAAAAACTTCTTCTTCTTCTTCTCCACCCCCACCTCCAGCTCGTCAGTTTCTTCTATTCACCCCCACCTGCGCCCATTTGAAGTCTGACTCCTGCGGCCTCCCATCCACCTCCTCCGCCTCCACAACCACCACCTCACCACCACCGCCACCACCCGTGCCGTACATAAAGCCGTTAGTGCGACCATTAGTACGGCCGTCATAACGGTCGTCAATGCTTGATACGCTGGATGGCGTGTACGACAGGTTGCCGTTACTGCTGTTGGTGTTTCCGTTAAAGCCGTTGCCGTTAACAGCACTACGGTCCTTGCTGTCCCAGACACTGCCGCTGCTGCCGCTGCTGCTGGTGTGGCTGCCTGCCGGCTTGGCGTCGGGTCCCGGCATCCCTGTTGTGTGACCGGAAGCAGGGGGTAGGGAAGGGGGACAGGGCCGCAGGAACAGCCTCGGGAGGTGGGGGTGGGGAGCGGCGCCTGCTGCTGCTACCTAACTGCCGCAGCTGAACATAAGGGGCACTACCCTGGTCAGCAGCAATAGACCAAGCCCCTGCCCTCCACCTCGCCCGCCATTCCCTGCGCCCCCCTGCCTCATCCCGTCCCCCGCGCCCCCGCTTGACGGAGGGTTTGGCGAGCACCGGCGCGCCCGAACAGGAGCCCTGCGCAGGTACCGCTCCCCGCACACATGCCCCGCGCGCAGTACATCCTTCCTCGCGGCCAGCTTTCGTAGCACATACCGCTGGACACCCCTCCAATTGCCGCCCCCCGCCTTCACAGCAAGCCGCTGCTCACCTGGGCCCAGGGTCCGCATGACGATGACAGGGCCCTTGTTACCATTTTTGCTGCCTGGAAGACGCACTTGTATGTTATTGATAGCTTAGAACTGTCCCATGAAATTGAGCTAACATGTACCTGCAAGGATGGGTCCCACCCTTATCTTTTACCTGTGGCAGTTGCAGCAATGCGACGCGGCAGAGGCACATAGCCGGCCCTCAAGCCGTAAGATGTCCTGTTATGTAGATTGTGAAGCTGTGTTAGCAAGCATGCATTCATTGCGAGGTTGGGCGACGGGGCGAACCTTGATGGCGTCATCCGTCGCAACCATTTGGACGAAGACCGATACGCGCTGCTCCGCTCCATTTCAGTGCCTTGTACTTATGAGCAATACGAACGTAATATTGCTACCTTGGAGAGAAGCGTCAGCCTGTGGCGTCAGTTGCCCCTGCCACACATTTTTGTCTACTTTCATTCAATTATTTCAAGCGTTCTGACAATGCGCGATTATTTAAGACATACGTGTGCTAAACGTTGGGTGCGTGCAGCAAGAGCGTTAGTAAGCGTGCGTATCAGCTCTCAGGCTGTTGCACCCTAGTCCACAGTCAGCAGTCTACGCCTGTACCTTAAAACATCGCCTAACTACAAGTATTACATCACTGGTAGGGTGTCAAATTTGGCTACCAAGGCGGTAGGGTAAGGGTCCTTCCTTTCACGTCGTACGACTTCTTCATGCGCTGCTACTGGTATTCGCTGCTCCCCATTCCGCCCAGCTTAGAGGCCTAACCGGGTACCTTCGGCACAAACCGGTAGCTAGTTTTGATGAGCCATGTTACATTGGAAACAGAAGCGTGGGTAGGGCTATTACACATGGCGGCCCAGTAGATGACCAGCCTACCACCCAGAACTACACCCCACAACTTCCTAACACCCTGCACCAGGAGTTGCCGTACACTCATAACGATGCAACCTGGTTTACGTATTTGTGTCGTACAGGGCCGCGAGCCTACTCCAATCCTGTCTGCATGCTGCCCAGCCAACCGTGTGGCGTCAGGACGTGTGTGCAGCGCAATGTGTGCTGCTGCGGGCGTGCCAACGGAGCAACCAATGCGCCTCCGCAAGTCCATGTGCCGCACAGCTCGACACCACTGTTTGCCGGTAAAGCCTCGTGGCACGTGGCTCGGCGAGTGATTGTCCTGGGTGGCCACGTCAACAAACGGAACAGCCACTCCTCTAATCGGCCACCAGTCCACCAGGGCAAGCCCAGCAGTCCCAGGAAGCAGTACCGTCCACTACCAATAAGCCAGCACTGCCCGTGCGCCGCTCTCTTGTGTCAGAAAGCCACCTTCACCCATTCACAGCGTACGTACTGCAGGTATGTACGGTACGTCACAGCAGGAAGCACAAGCCTCATCAACGGACGGCAGCTCCGCCGTCCGCCGTCTTTACCCAATTCGCTACTACCAGCAGCAGCTGCATCAGTAAACAGAGGCTGCAGGGGGGGAGCGGTGGACGGCTGCACGCGACCTACCACACGAGGCCCAATACGCTCCCACCCTTGTAGACTGATGTAAACGTCTGTAGGCTTCAAGGACCAATTCACTCAGACACGTTGTCCTTGCTTTCTTCGCTCCCATGTCACAGCCGTGCAGCATACCTGAGACACTAACAACATGTGCAATCAATGTACGAACAAAAACAACAGTACTACAAGGTATCACGTGGTCACGTGGAAGTTGTTATGTCTTATGAGGGCTTTGGGTGCTCCCTGGTTCCCTCCGGATAGGGCACTAAGGCGGCCGCCCAGGCAGGCAGGCCCAGTGGACACCACCACCAGTAACCCTAACAGCGTGCCTTGCCCTCCTCCTCCCCTCGCTCTTCCCTCCTGTGATCATGGCAACGACACCAGCAGCTGCTGCTGCTGCTCATTTACTAACCAACAGCCCAGCTTAGGCAGCCGCCGTACAATCCCGCCCCCAGCCGCCCCAGCACCGCAGGGCCATTGTTGTCTGTAACCCCTGCTGCTGTCCTGCTTTCTTCCGGGCCCCCATCGAACCCGCCTTCCCCAGCAGCCCGTGCCCCTGCTCCAGCCCACCGCCCCCCTCCTTCCCCAATATTGATGCCACGACTGCTGCTGCCGCTGCCACTATCAGCAATGCGCCTCTCCAGCCCTCTGCATGGGCGCTGCTGCAACCCGACCCATGCAGCTCTCCACGCCTCCAGGCAGCTCCATCCACCCAGGCACCAACAAGCACTGCAGCCCAACCGCCGGCACTGCTGCCACTGCTGCAGCGGCTGCCGCCTCCGTTGACACCACCACGAACACAGCACAAAGCAACAGCAACTGGCTGCTGCTGCTGCGTACCTGGTAGCTACTGCTGCTGCCGACGTGGCGCCAACAAGCCGCCACGGCCTGCGCGCCCTACGACCAACCAGGCCTGATGCCCCCTCCCCCGCCCTGCTCCTACTTGTCCTTCTTCGCCTCAGAGGAGGCCCCAGCTGCTGCTGCTGTGGTTCCCCCTGTAATCGCCTTCTTGGAGCGAGCCGCCTTCTTCACCCTCTGCATGCGCGGAGCGAGGGCAGCAGCAGCAGATGCGGCAGTGCACAGCAGCAGCAGTGGGAACACAACGTCGTTAGATGCTATCGTGGTGCGATGCCACCCAGGCATGCGGACAGGTACGCGTCTCTGCCATGGACCATGTTCTTCATGGCAAGCTTGCGTGCGGGGCGGCCGGAGCCCGGCAGCAGGTGGGACGCGGGGCCCCTACTAGGCCCTAGCGCACTCGCCCCACTGCACCAACCCTATTCAATACACACGCGTCAGCCCAGCCACGCACCTTCACTGCCGCCCGGTGCTCCCAGAGCTTGGTGCCCGCGAACAGCGCTCCGATCATGCCGCCATTGAGGAAGAAGGCGGAGAAGAAGGGATTCATGGCAATGAGCCGCTTGTAGGCCTGACCGAAGTCGCTGCGGCTGAGGGAGCTGCTGTCCTCCGCATCTAAAATGATGGCAGGTGAAAAGGTTTGGGGGAATTGCATGGTTGAGGGTCTTGCATGATGGAGGTTTGTGGCTTAAGTGGTCAACAGATGGGGTTGGTCAAAGGTGTATTAGCCACCACCGCCCAATCGCTGGGTACCTGAATAGAAACATCTATGTACTAGAGGCGTAGAGCAAGGTAAACTCGTAGCTAGCGCATGGCAACGAGAATGCGCTCGGCTAGCCTATTGTGCACGACCACATACCTAAAAGAATATGTATCCCAATAGCGCCAACCACAAAGAACGCTAGCGCAATTGGAAGAAGGGCGATGCAGCCGGCAAGCACGATTGGTCTAAGAGGAGCGGGCGGGTCCTTGGATTTGGGTGCCATTTGTAGTTAGGTTTTGTAGGTGTATGTAACAGTAATAGTTTGTCTGGGGTTATCTCTATGAGTTCCACAGGTGTTGCATTTCACGCTGTCCTTCTTCTAGATGATCTGTCGCATGTTTTTCTTTGCATGAAATCCGCAGGTGGTATAACATATACTCATAGCAAACACAACTTCTAAACGAAGCCCAATTGCAGGGTCTAGAATACGACTATTAATATACACCCATGGCCGAGCGCTTAGCACCATCGACACGGCATCAATTTAAACACAATGGACAAGTGGTCTATGAGTGGGACCAGACATTTAGCGAAGTTAACATCTACGTAAACGTTCCGCCGGGCATCAGCGCCAAGCAGCTGTACGTCGATATTAGCACGAAGCACCTGCGGTTTGGCGTCACCCCCAACCCACCCTACCTCAATGTAAGTGCTGTCTGTACGAGGCTCATACCACATGGTGTGTTGATGCATGGCAGGATTAGGCTTTGAAGCATTCCCTCCCCGCCACCCGCCTCTTGTCTCCTTGTGCTTTCACATCCCCATCACCCCCTTCACCTCCACCACCTCACCACCAACTCTCCAGGAGCATGCAAGCTCCTTCCGCCCTTGCCGCTGTACAACACCCACCCCACCTTTCCTCCGCTTACCCTTCCCTCCCATTCTCCCCCACACACCCCCGCCTCCACCTACGGTAATCCCCCCGCCTCCTAACTCCCTCCCCCCCACCCACCCCCAGCAAGACCTGGCGGGCAGTGTGAAGGCGTCGGAGAGCTACTGGACTCTGGGTGGGTGATGGGTAGCCGGGGGCATTTGAGGAGAAGGGGCGGGTGGGGCGGTGCGTATGTATGTGTGTTTGGCCGGGGCAGGTTATAGTGGCTTGGGGTGGTGGTATTTGTGGGGAAACCAACCGAGCCCTGTGGGGCTGGCAGCTGCTGGGGGCTGCAGACGAAGGTAGGCCTGGAGGGAAGGCGGGCAGGAGCGGAGAGCCGTTCCGAAGCCGAACCTCGCTTGCTAGCCCTGAAGACGTGCGGTAGAGGACACCTGCACGTGTGCGGTCACTGTTCACTGAGCACCCCTGCCACGCCGCTCGATATCCTTTGCATGTTCTGCCCTCCTCGCCACACTCCCCCCGCGCTCTCCTCTCCTAACCTCCCCTTCCCTCCCTCACCCCACCGCCCCCATCGCCTCCCCCTCCCCCCCACCTGCCCAGAGGACGGAGTGCTGCACGTCTCCCTCACCAAGCTGGACGATGTAGGGAGGGGTGGGGTGGGTGGGTGGTAGGAGGGAGGCAGGGGGGTGTACGGTACAAGCGGGTGTACGACGGTACCCACATGGAGGCAGTACGTGCACCGCCACCTTGCGTGGCCAATACACCACCAACGCGTCCCTCCACTCCTTTCCCTGCTCCTCCACTATTCTGCAGGGCGAGCCCTGGCCCAGCGCCCTGTCCGGGCACCTGCTTGACCCGGTGGCGCAGCAGGCGGACACGCAGCGGCTCATGCTGGAGCGATTCCAAGTGGAGGTGGGAGGAAGGGCGTTGGGGGGAGGGATGGGGGAATAGATAAATTGAGACGCGGGGCGTGGGAGGGGAGCGGACAGGGCACTACTCGCAAGTCGGGAACCGCCAGATTGGGGCGGGGTAGTGGGCGAGGAGATGCAAGGGCTGGCATTTGCACGCCGCCTGCCTGCCTGCTTTTACGTCTGACCGTGTACCGGTGTACCTTGCCTGTTCGGGAGCCCCCACAGCTGCTGCTGCTGCTGCGTAACCCACAGCCTGGTGACTGCCTTGAGCTGTGCCGTCCTTTGCCGTCCAACTGCTGTGTACTACCGCTTCCCTCCTCACCCGCCCCTCCACCCCTCACTCCCCGCACCACCACTTCCCCCCCCTGGCCCCCAGCACCCCGGGTTCGACTTCTCCCAGGCCACCTTCAATGGCCAGGTACCCAACCCGCGGACCTTCATGCGGGACCTAGACGGGGGAGCGCAGGAGTGAGGGGGTAAAGAGGAAACAACTAACTGACTGAGGAGTGAGGGGGAGCTGGAGGGGGGAGGGCCGGGGGGAGGGGAGGAGCTGCAGGGTGGCTTAGTACCGTACTGGTGGTCTTGGCTGTCATGGTGCCGCCGTGTGTGGGGGCCTGGCGGGCAGGGAAAGAACGAGTGAGCGCAAAGGTAGCGGAGGGATGAGCAGCTGACAGCGGTAGGCAACCAGTGGGAAGGCAGCCAGCGGGGACACCCTGCATGGCCCCCTGAAAAGGCGGGATGAGATGGTGTTGGGTGGGTAAGGGCGGTTGGAAGGAGGTAGCGGTAAAGTGGCCCATGGGTCTAACAACTTCAATGTTGACAAGACAGCTGACCACATGCAATGCAGTTTGACGTTAAGGTGTGGGGCACTGGAGGCTACCGGTATCCGCAGCACACCTCATTTGGACTCTGTTTCAAGACAGCACCCCTATAGGGGCCACAGGGTTGCAATTCCAACCATGTGGTTTTTCGTAAATGGATGTCAACGTGTGCATCTTCACAGCAACACCTCCCCAGCGCATGGTGCTTCCAACGCATGGTGTACTTCCCCACCGGAGACGTCAGCACAGTACCGTAGACTGTGCTGACGTCTGGCATCAGCTACATCATGTACGTTTTCATTACGCCCCTACAGCGCTAATCTGTGCCTCCACTGCGTTCCTAAACCCTTCGCACCCCGCCTCGCAGTGCGCCTCCCTGCGCGCTGCCCTCATGTGCGGCCCTTGACCAGCCGCCGCCCTCCCGCCGCCATACCTACCTACCGGCTCCTCGCACCCCACTCCCTCCTCACATACACCCACCCTCCTCCTCCTCCTCCTAGCGCTACCACCATGCAGGTGCTGCCCCACCTCCATCCCGCGCCCCATCCTAGCTGCCTGCTAGCCCCGCCAGCAGGAACCCCCCTCCCCCAGCTACCTCGCAGCAGGGCTGCCACTGCCAGGGCGCTCGGCACCCGCCCTCTATTCCCAGTCTATCTCTACCCCCAGTCTCACACATTCCCCTCCCCTCTCTCTGTCAAAACAGTCCGTCCAAAACACAGTCCAATAAAAACACAGTCCAATCAGGCATCAAAAAGCGGAGCCCCTCCCTCCGCCTACGCCTGCCCCTCCGCCCCCGCCCGTGCCGCCTGCGCGCAAAAGTGCTGCAGCGTCAGCTCCAGCTGAGCGGGGTCGAAGTCCCCGGTCACCACGCAGTTGCCCAGCGGGCCGCGCAGCAGGATCAGCCGCAGCTTGCCCGCCAGCACCTGGGGGCGGGGGGGGTGGAGGTGGCGAGGTGGGGCGGGACGTATACACAGTGACGCATGGCAGGGGGTCGTGTGAAGACCGCTCCCTCCGCATACCCATCCCCATTGCCGTGCCGTAACCGGTATATGACCGGTACAGGTTGTGGTATGGCATAACCTATGCCCCCCTCCCCCCTCCCCCGCCCCACCTTCTTGTCCACCGCCATGAGCTCCCTGAACTGCGTGGCGCTCATGCAGGGCGGCGGCAGGGTGGGCAGCCGCGCCCGCTGCAGCAGCGAGCGGATGCGGGAGAGCAACGAGGCGTCGATCCAGCCCTGGGGGAGGGGGGGAGGAAGGCGGGGAGGGGAGGGGGAGGAATTAGATACACTGAGCATGGGGACAAGCAGGGTAGTCGAGGTGGATGTAGTGGATGGCAATGGAGAAAGGCCCAGGCAGGACACCAGCAGCGCACACCGCCAGCACATCTGAAGCGCCAGCGGAACCTTTGCACCAGCACCACCACCACAACCCCAACCCGCACGCCCTCTCCGCCCCCCACCCCTCCCACTCACCATCCTGTACGACAGGTCCGCCGCCATTGCCGTACCCGCCGCCACCGCCTCCCCATGCAGCCACACGCCGTACCCCGTGCCCGTCTCGATGGCGTGCCCGAAGGTGTGCCCCAGGTTGAGGGTGGCGCGCACCCCCTCGCTGGACTCCCGCTCGTCAGCCGCCACCACCTCAGCCTGGCAGCGGGTGGGGTAGGGGTTGGCATGCAGGGGAGGTAGAAATAGGGTTGGTATGCAGGGGAGAGAGGAGGCGAGGGAAACCCCAGCGGTCATAAAGCAGCGGTTAAGGGCCCTCCTTGCCCCTGCCTGCATCCGGGCATAGGCGGATGGCGGTTCCCCTCCCCTTCTCCCCACCTGCCCCCTGTCGTCCCCCCCTCCCCCCACCTTGTTGATGCAGGAGCGCTCCACCGCGTATGCAATGGCCTCCGGGTCGCGAGCCAGCAGCCGCTCCATGTTGGCCTCCAGCCACTCGAAGAAGGGGGCATCACTGGGCAGGGAGTGGTAAATAGGGACGAAGATTCCGCATTAGGCCGGGTTTTAGGATAGCGCGTAGTCAAACTTGTTGGGTTAGTAGCAGCACACAAAGTACAAACCAGGGTAGGGAGGGGTAGGGGGGGAGCAGGTAAGGAGCACGGTGGGTGTGCCCCGGTGTGCCCGCTTCACCGCCTGCGCGCATGCAGCTCCTCCTCCTCCTCCTCCTCCTGCCTCCTTGCCGCCACGCATCCTCCCATGTACGTCCTTTGCCCCCCCCCTCCCCTCCCCCCCCTACCGGCCCCTCCCCTACTCTCACCGAATGAGTCCGTACTTGATGACCTCGCTCAGCCCGCTCGCCAGCTCCCGGTCCGGCAGGCTGCCCAGCGTCTCCGTGTCCACCAGCACCACCCGCGGCTGGTAGAAGGCGCCGATCATGTTCTTACCCAGCGGGTGGTTGACGCCCGTCTTGCCGCCCACGCTGCTGTCCACCTGCGACATGACGGTGGTGGGCACCTGCACGAAGTGCACCCCCCGCTGGTAGCAGGCGGCCGCGAAACCCGTCATGTCGCCCACCACACCGCCACCCAGTGCCAGGAAGGTGGTGCCGCGGTCCATGCGGCACTGCAGAGCCTTGTCCCACACCTGGCATCGGGGTGGTACGACATGGGAGGAGGGATGGGATGGCGAGGAAAGGGGTTTAATAGGGATACATATTCCGTATGGGCTAGCGCAGTAGCTGCCTGCCGTACCAAACCTCCCACCACGCATTGCCCCCCCCCTTCCCCTCCGCCCGCCTCACCTGCCCCAGCACCTCCATGTTCTTGTACTCCTCCCCGTCCGGCAGCACCACCTCGTCCACCTGCAGCTGACCGCCCTCCAGCAGCGCGGCACGAACCCTGGAGGGGTAAGAGAGATACCAAAACCACTGGTTAGGGCAAAGCAATACTGGGAGGATGGAGGGAGTCCAGGCGGCGACAAAGCCGTTTGCTAACACAGGCCTCACAGGAACGTGTTCCCCACCACCTCCCTCAGACTAAGTGATGCAGCACGGCCGTGTCCTCACCCTCCACCTGCCTGGCGATACCAGGCTACACCAGGATACATGGCTAAGACTTAGCCGGTAGGCAAACTAGTAATTAGCTAAAGAAAAGACTACACAGCAGAAAGTAATTGAGGTTAGAGGTGGGGCTGGCCGAAGCTGCCAAGCACTGACAGTAGCTGCAACGTGTGGAAGGGCTCATGGAAGCCTTTTCCCTTTCGTCTTTCCCCTCTTTAAGCTACGGTCAGAGCCTCACCGTTCAAGGTATAGCGGCGCGATGGTTTCGTTGGTAACAATCAGCACACGCTTGCCGGGGATGTGCTTTCGCAGCAGCTCGCCATGCTGCAACAGCCCAGCGCCGATGTAAATTGGATACGAGCGATCACCCAGGTCCACCTCCACAGTCTTCATCACAGCTGGTGCCGGGGCTCGCTCCGGTGCGGCCACAGCGTGGAGGGCAAAGCGACGGCTGCTCGTCAATGGCTCCAATCGCTGCTGCTCGCGCAGCCGCTGGACCAGCCGGCGGTTGACGCCAGCACAGACGGTGACCCGCCGTGACGTGGTCGAAGTAGACCAGCCGCTGGAACTGGAGCTGGGCGCGGTGCTAAGGGTTCCGAGCGCAGCAGACGATGCGTCCGGCACGACATTGACACGCGGTGCCTTTACAGGAGCACGCGCTGTGTACGATCCGCCTTTTAAAGGACCTTTATAATGCAGCGAGGTCTGAGCCATTATGGGAGGAGCTAGCTTTAAGCGATTATAAATTAGAGCTGGCTGCGGCTAACAGTAAGGTAAGTGGGAAGGGCGCCAATGCTAATGGCTGCCCGTGTCCCTTCAATTGGAATCAGCAAGGGATTGTATGCTGTGGCGTAAGCTGTGCTGAATCACTTGCTCGTCCAATCCCATTCCATCCGGTTCATTGACTTTTGGCAATTCTTTTCCCCCTAAGAGCTTACCTTATGAACCCTGTCATAAAGAGGCTCGTAGGGTAGCCGGTGTGCATCTTACTTCACTACCCTGCTTGCGCCCCAACAACCACACACGTCGTCTCTTGCAACTTGATGGCCCCTACGGCCCTAAAGGGCCCGAAGGCCACGATCAGCTGCGCTCAAAAATCTCCTGCTTGCAAGCCTATGACGATGAGCTCGGCAGCAATGCGTCGTGCATTGCCGCTCGTTCGGCAACTTGCTGGTATGTCCTCTTGCAATCCCACCCATTTCCTAATAACCTATCCACGCGACGGTATCTTCTGTGGATGGATGCCTCTTTGAGCACTCTGCAAGCCACCACCCTGGGTCGTTGCAGGTCGTTCGGCATTGGTGGCTGGCATGCCTGCCGGGCTTCGCGGAGTCCTGGCCAGCAGCAGCGTCGCCACCAGCGCCACAGGTGCGCGTTTGCAGCCCATTTCGATCCCTAAAGTCCCCAGGCTTCATTAACAGTCCCAAACGCCTTTGAAGCCCTAGCGTTAGCGGTGGCATGCGTATGCTTGCAGGCTGCCGAAAGCCTTGTGCGTGAAAAAACGAGGAATCTTCCGTGCCGTCCTGATAAGGACAAGACTCCTTAGCTTCATCCCCGTCATTGCCCGAAGCTCCACTGTTCCGTGTAACCCGCCCCTTGGGCCCAGGCCTGCCGTATTTCCATGCCGTACCCTGCCTGCCGCGCAACCCCCCACAAAGAGCCCACCTACTGCACCCCCCCCGGGTGCTGCATTGGTCCATGTCATCCTCACTCCCACACCACAGCCCGCCCTCGGCGCGGTACTCACCTCCCATTCACATCCACCACCCCCAGGCGCCTCCACCTCCACCACCACCCTGGCTGCCCCCACCACCGCCCCCACCTCCGCCGCCTCAACCGTACCAGGACCCGCCAGGAAGATGGTAAGACAGGACCGCAGAAGGCATATGCCATCTTGACGCAACCACTTCAGAAAGCAAACATGTGTGTTGCTGTCATGCTCAAGCCCAACCCTCAACCCTCAAGCACGCCGCTTTCCGCCCGCCCTCTCCATCCCCCATCCCCTCCCCCTCTCCTCCCCTCAATCTACACACATTGTGTATTCTTCCCCCCCTCCCCCTGCTATCCCCCCCCCAGAGCGGCTCCGAGATCCGCGAGGCCTTCCTGTCGTTCTTCGAGTCTCGCGGCCACACGCGGCTGCCCTCCTCCTCGCTGGTGCCCGAGGACCCCACGCTGCTCCTCACCATTGCCGGCATGCTGCAGTTCAAACCCGTCTTCCTGGGACAGGTGGGGGGACGTGGGGGAGGAGAGGGGGGGGGCGGAAGAGGGTATCTGAAAACCAAAACCACATGTGAGGGCAAGCGGAAGGAAGGGGGAGGAGAGCTGGGGTGATGGCAAGGGCCAGGGCTAGGGAAGTGGTGCAGAGGTTGTCAGGAGCCATGGCTCAGAAACGCCACATCTCGCCTCTCACACGTCATGCCCTATCCCACTCCCCCCCCCCTTGCCTCTCCCCCCTTGCCAGGCCCCCCGCTCCGTCCCCCGCGCCACCACCACTCAGAAGTGCGTGCGCACCAATGACATCGGCAATGTGGGCGTCACCGCGCGGCACCACACCTTCTTCGAGATGCTGGGCAACTTCTCGTTCGGGGACTACTTCAAGGAGCAGGTGGGGGGGGGGAGGGGAGGGGACCGAGGTACACCAAAATACAGAAGATGAGGGAGTATGGGGGAGAGGGAATGAGAGGACAGAGAGAGGCAGACAGCTCGGCTGGGCTTCACTTTGGCATCTGGACCTACCTTTGCAGCTCTCAGCTCCCAATGCGGGGTCATCCCCATCGCTTTCTTTAATAGATCCCCGTTTTCAGCCTCCCCTCCCATCCCTCCCCATCCCCATCCCCATCCCCCCCCCCTCCTCCCCACTGCATGAGTCGGGATATGGGATTGGGATTTGTTGTTTCACTTTTATATAATTTTTTCCCCTCCTCCCCCCTGTCAGGCCATCCGCTGGGCCTGGGAGCTGAGCACCGGGGTGTTCGGGCTGCCACCCGAGCGCGTGTGGGTTAGTGTGTACGAGGAGGACGGCGAGGCGGAGGCCATCTGGCGCGACGTGGTGGGGGTGGCCCCGCAGCGCATCAAGCGCATGGGCGCGGCGGACAACTTCTGGTCCAGCGGACCCACGGGTCCGTGCGGTCCCTGCTCGGAGCTGTACTACGACTTCCACCCGGAGAGGGGCACGGAGGTGGGGGGGGGAGGGAGTGGAGGTGGGGAGGGGAGGGGAGGGGTTTCAGGGGTTGGTCGCAACGAAGTGTTGACGGGTGTTGGGGGTTTTGAGGTGCTGGAGAGGGTGGGCACTGAGCGGGTGCAAGGGGCTTTGGTTTACCGTGCGAACCCCATTCACAATACCCTACAAATGAATTAAATCTCCCCTCTCCCCTCCCCTTCCCCCCAGGGCGCCTCCCTGGATGACGACTCGCGCTTCATTGAGTTCTACAACCTGGTATTCATGCAGCTCAACAGGTGGGGCCGGGGGAGTGTGTGTGGAGGAAAGAGGATGGGAAGAGACCAACCTTGCCACACATGTAGGCTCTTATCCCCGTTCCCTTGCCCCAATCTGTGGTTTCCTATTGTATGGTATAGTCTTTGTCACCCCCCACCCACCCCCTCACCCCTCCAACCTGTTGTCCGCAGGAAGTCCGACGGCAGCCTGGAGCCGCTTGCCGCGCGCAACATCGACACGGGCATGGGGCTGGAGCGCATGGCGCAGATACTGCAGGTGGGGGGGGAGGGAGGAGCGGGGGGGTCAATTACCATACCAAACCACAGGTTAGGGCAAAGCAATGGGGATAGGAGGCGGCAGGGTGCCGCAAATACAAAGTGTTGGTTAGTATTCCCTACCGATACCGAAGGGGGAGGGCGGGAAGGGAGGAAATTAACTTGTGGGGGGAAGGGGGAGGGGAAGCGGAGAGTTACCGGAAATCAACACTTAGACCTGGGCCTTCCCGCCCCTGCCTTTCACTCTGCTACTCCGTTCGCTTGCCGCGCGTCCCCCCCTTTCCCCCCACGCCCCTTCCCCCCCCATCATTAAACACATTGGGTATTCTTCTCCCCTCCCCTCCCAGGGTGTCCCCAATAACTACGAGACGGACCTGCTGCTGCCGCTGCTGCAGCGCGCGGCCCAGCTGGCGGGGGTGGGGGACTATGCCAGCGCGCCGGAGGGGGTCAAGACGGCACTCAAGGTAGGGGTGGGGGGGTGGAGGGGGGTTGGAACTCCCTCGAGGAGTGGGAGGGGTGGGGTGACGGGAGGGAAGGAAAGGTGGAGCAACGGAGAAAGGGGTGCGGGCGGGGTGTGTGTTTGTGAAAAGGCTATGCACAGGCGGGAGCGGATCCCGCCTCCGCCACCTTGCCTACCCGCAGCCTCCCCCGGTCCTTACTCCGTAAATGCCTTCCCCCCCTGCCTCCCCCCCGCCCCCCCCCCCTCCCAGGTCATTGGCGACCACACCCGCGCCGTGACCTACCTGCTGAGCGACGGCGTGACTCCCTCCAACACGGGCAGGGGGTACGTGCTGCGGAGGCTGCTGAGGAGGGTGGTCATGAAGGTGAGGGGGGGGGGGAAGGTGTAGGTAGTGGGAGGGGGAAGGGGGGGAGTAGAAGCCAACTGGGGGAGGGGGGAGGCTGCGGAGCGGGGATCGGGCAGGCGAGAAGGGAGGCTCGGGGAAGGAGCGTGCATTAAGGGGGAGGTGAGGGGCGAGCGGGCGGGTGGGGTCCGTGCAGACACCGTACGTGCATGAGGTGGCAGGTGGTACGAACGCCGCATGCATGGAAGGAAGGAGGGAGGGAGGGAATGTACAATCCAGCTGCTTTTCAGATGTCCCCTCACCCCTTCCATCCGCTCACCGCCATCTGACCCCCCTTGCCCCCCCCCCTCCCCTCCTCCCCCTCCTCCCCCCCCCCCTGCAGGGTCGCCTGCTGGGCATCCGCGGTGTGTTCACCCCGCGTGTGGCGGAGGTGGCGGTGGCACTGTCGGGGCCGTGTGACCCACGGGTCGCGGAGAACGCGACCAGGATATACGAGGAGATGGCGCGGTGAGGGAGGATGGGAGGGAGTGGCGGAAGTAAGGTCACCGGTAATCTACTCGCCCTCTCAGCTCTTCTCTCACTTTGGCCCACCTTCCAATACCCCCTACCCGCGCTACCCCGTGCTCCCACCGTGGGTTTAACACCCTAAGGGGGGAGGAGCTACCCTCAATCCAACCCCCTCCCCCTCCCCCTATAACCAGCCAAGTGCGGAATTTCCAAGCTCTATAAATCACCCTCCTCCCCTCCCCCCCCTCCCTGCCAGCGAGGAGGCCCTGTTCGCCGCCACCCTGGAGCGAGGCCAGAAGGTGCTGCAGGAGATGCTGGCGGCGGCTACTGCTGGCGGCAAGGCGGGTGGTGGCATGATCAGCGGGGCGGACGCCTTCCTGCTGTACGACACATTCGGTTTCCCGTTGGAGCTGACTGCGGAGCTGGCTGAGGGGCGGGGTGTGGGGGTGGACGTGGGCGGCTTCGAGGCGGAGATGGAGGCGCAGAGGCAGCGGTCCAAGGAGTCCAGGTGGGGGGGGGGATGGGATGGGTGGTGGTGGAGAATTAAATGAGAGGTGGGGTGTGTGAAGGGGTTAGGTAAACTGAGCTGTGAGGAAACAATGACCGTGACCTCCGGCAGACCCGTGGGTGATGGCGTTCCAGCAGAGGGGATGGGTGAGGGTTTGGGGAAGGGGAGAGGGGGGAGTGAGGAGGGGGCTGGGGCTGGTTAGCATGGTCGGCCTTGAACGCGGACGCGAAAAGGGTTATCTCCCCTTCTTGCACCTCCACCTCACCTCCTCACCTCCTCCTCACCTCACCGTCCTCCTGCCCCCCCTCCTCCCCCCATAACCGCTAACCCATACTTGTTTTTGTGGCACCCTGCCGCTCCTATCCCCATTGTCTTGCCCCAACCTGTGGCTTCCTATGGTTCGGTATGGTCTTTGACCCCCCTTCCCCCCCTCCCAGGGAGACGGTGGACCTCACAGCTCAGGCGGGACTGGCGCAGCTGGCAGCGCAGGTGGGGGAAGGGGGGGGGAGGGATGAGGTGGGAGAGGGAGGGGGAGGAGGCGGCTTCATTGCATAGCGGTGTGGGGTTGCTGGCGGCTACCCGGGGGGGGGCTTCCTGCAGGGGTGGGACCTTTGTGGTGGGGCGGGCATGGCGCCAAGTCGGAGAGCATGAGGTGCCATGTTGCGGCTCACCGTACTACTGGGAGGACGAGGGGCGTGTGGCGCTACCGCTGAGCGGTGGGCATGCGCCGACTGTCGGATGGCATGCCCGTAGAACCTCGTCTCCCCTCCTTCCTGTCCTCCCCCCTTGGGCACCTTACGTGCACCGTTCACTTGCCCCTTCCACCCGCTCCACCCTCTTCCTGACCCTTCCTTCCTTCCTGCCCCTCCCTTCCTCCCCCCCCAGGTTCCCCCCACGTCCTTCACCGGCTACCACTCCACGCACGGCAGCGGGCTGCGGGTGGTGGGGCTGATGCGGGAGGGGGTGGCGGTGCAGGAGGTGGGGGCAGGTGAGGAGGTGTATGGGGGGGGGCAGGAGGTGGGGGCAGGTGAGGAGGTGTATGGGGGGGGGCAGGAGGTGGGGGCAGGTGAGGAGGCGGGGTGGTGGGGTGTGGGGTGGGGGCAGGAGGGGACTAGGAGAGGGACCGAGGCGAGGGGGCGTGTCAGGGCAGTCATGACGGAGGAAGCACCAGCCGCACGGGGCTGCCGACCCCTGGGGCTGGGTGGGGCTGAGGTGTCTTGATACACGCATGCTGCCGCCGGGTGTAGGTGCAAGGTGCACTGGGCCCCGCCTGCTGCTCCCCTCTTCCCCCACCCCGCATGGGCTATACCCACCACCACTCCCCCTCCCCCTCCCCCCCGCAGGTGACCGCTGCGAGGTGCTGCTGGCCTCCACCCCCTTCTACGCGGAGGGGGGCGGGCAGGTGGGGGACGTGGGGCGCCTGCAGGCGGAGGTGCAGGTGGAGGCGGAGGTAGGGCAGCAGCAGCAGGAGGCGGCAGCAGGGCCTGACACTAGCAGCACCAGCAGCTGTGGTGCCCCTCCCAGCAGCAGCGGTGGTGTCGCGCAGCTGGCGGTGTTGGACTGTCAGCGGGCTGCTGGCGGGGCGGTGGTGGTGCACAGCTGCAGCGTGCTGGAGGGGCGGCTGAGGCTGGGGGAGCAGGTGGGAGGGGGGGAGGTGGGGAGGGGAGGGAGATCTGAGGGCATGATGGCAGGTGCCTTGCCCTGGTGGGGTTGTGCCTGCACACGGAAAGACCAGCTCTCAAGCGGGGCGGGGGTCCCATAAGACACCATACTGCTGCAGAGGGGGCAGCAAGGCTCCCCGAGCAGTTGCGTGTGCGTGTCGTTACAAAGCCGCTGGCCGTCAGTGTGTTGAGAACACTGGTGTGTTTGTGGTGCGCTGGCTGTCACGGACCCCCGCCCCCTTCTGCACTGGTTGTCTCCCTCTCCCCAGCATGCGTCCCCCCTCTCCCCTCTCTCCCCCCCACCCCCACACTCCCTCCTCCCTCCCCCCCTCCCTCCCCTCCCCTCCCCCCCAGGTTTCCGCCCATGTTGACGCCTCCCACCGGCGGCGAGTGCGCTGCCACCACACCGCCACTCACCTGCTGCAGGCGGCACTCAAGCGGGTGCTGGGGCCCGACACCTGCCAGCAGGGCTCGCTGGTGACCCCGGAGAGGCTGAGGTGGGGGGGGGAGGGAGGGGGGAGGGGGGGAGTCAAAGGCCATACACAACCATAGGAAGCCACAGGTTAGGGCAAAGCAATGGGGGTAGGAGGCGGCAGGGGGCCACAATACAGAGTGGGGGGGAAGGAGAAGAGGAGGAATAATTGATAAGTGAGGGAGGGGGAAAAGGGAGTTAGATCCAAAGCAAATGAAAGCACACATTTCAAGGGCAAGGAATGGGTATAGTAGGCGGCCTCAGGGTGCCTCCATAAACAAGGGAGAGTTAATGTCGCTTACACCCCCTCCCTCCCTGCTACTCCTCCTTCCTCCCCCAAGGTTCGACTTCAACCTCTCCCGCGCCCCCACCCCCGCTGAGCTGTCCGCCGTGGAGGCGCTGGTGAACGGCTGGGTGGCGGAGGCGACACCCGTGTCAGCGCAGGAGATGGAGCTGGGGGTGAGGGGGAGGGGGGGGAAAGGGAAGGGGGAGAGGAGGGGGGAGGGAAAGGGAAAGGGGGGTGGAGGGAGTGGGAGGAGGGAGGGGAGGAGGCGTTATGGGCTGGTACGGCGACACGGCCGACAAGGGGCTTCCAGTGCTGGATGAGGAGGGATGCAAGGGAGAACGGCCTCCCCTCCGGTGCTGAGACCCCCTTCCTCCTCCTCATCTTATTTGCCATTCTCATTCAACAACATTGGGTATTCTTCTTTCTCCCTCCCCCCTTACCCCCCCCCCCCTTGTTGTTTGCATTTCTTATATAATTTTTCCCCCCTTTACCCCCCCCCTGCAGGCCGCCCGGGCCGCGGGCGCCCTGGCCATGTTCGGTGAGAAGTACGGCGCTGTGGTTCGTGTGGTGGGGGTGGAGGGGGTGTCGCTGGAGCTGTGCGGGGGCACACATGCGGGCAATACGGCGGAGGTGGGCGCGTTCAAGGTGAGGGGGGGGGAGGGGGGGGAGAAGGGGGGGAATGAACGAGAGGTGAAGCAACCGGAGTCCCAATCCCATGTCCCATGTCTCATCATGCAGTGAGAGGAGGGTGGGGGGTAATGTATACCGGTACGGGTATATAACCCCACTCGTGGTTTCCCATGGTTTGCTCCCATCCCTGACTCCCCCCCTCCCACAGTCAGTGTTTCCTCGGGGCTCAGCTTGCCCAACCCCCTTCCTCCTCCCCCTCCTCCACCCCCCCTCCACCCCTCCACCCCTCCTCCACCCTCCCCCTCCCCCCCAGATCCTGTCCGAGGGCGGTATCGCCAGCGGCATCCGGCGGCTGGAGGCGGTTGCCGGCCCCGCCGCGGTGGAGTACCTGGGTGGGGCGGAGGCGCTGCTGCGGGAGGCGGCGGGGGCGCTGCGAGTGCGGCCGGAGGAGCTGCCGGGCAGGGTGGTGGCGCTGCAGGTAACTGGGGGGGGAGGGAGGGGAGGGGGAAGGAAGGGGAAGCAACGGAGTCGCAATCCCGTATCTGATGTCTCATGCAGTGAGGGGTTGGGGAGGGAGTGGGGAGGACGAGGGGGTGCAGAGGAGGGGGGTAAAAGCCTTCAGTAATGCAGTGGCAGTGAACTGAAAGGGCACGCGGGCCCCCTCCATACACACACACGCAACCACGCCAGGAGAGAGGTGTCGCGGTTGCTCTTGTAACACCCAGCCCGGCATCACCCGGCTGGTTGCGAGGAGGGAACAAGGGCGACCAGGGGGGCTGTCCCCGCCGCCGCCGCCATCTCAACCCCACCCGCCACAGCCCCCAGATGACCTGTCCCTGGCCCTGCCCCCCTCCCCCCCCACCCCCCTCCCCCAGGGTCAGCTGCGCAAGGCCGAGAAGGAGCTGGAGGGGCTGCGGGCGGAGCTGGCGGCTGCACAGGCGCAGGTGGGGGGAGGGGGGTGGGGGGGGAACTGACTCGGGTGGGGGGAGGGGGGCTCGGAGGGGGGTCTGGCGGGGGGCCCGGAGGGGGAGGCGGTGGGTGGGTTTGATGCGCCCGTTTGACACGGTGTTCACAGCTGGGGGGGCCTGTGTAACATGGCGGGATGAGTTCATGTGAACAACCATCCCCGGCACGTACATGTGCACCGCCCACATGTTCCCAGCCAGCCAGCCACATCCTCAACACCTCCCCCCTAACACCCGCGCCACCATGTCGCATGAACTGACCCATGTCACGCGGATGTCCGCTTCTCCCTCCTGCCACCCCCTCCGACTGACTCCCCCCCCGGACCTCGCACTCTACCCCCCGCGCCCGCCCCCCAGGCCCTGGCCTCCCGAGCCGAGCTCACCCCCCGCGGCTGCCGAGTGGTGGTGGCGGAGCTAGACCCCGGGGTGGAGGGGAAGCCGCTGCAGGTGCGGGGAAGGGGGGGGGAGGAGGGGGAAGTGGAGGGGGAAACGGGGGGCTGTGGCGGTTGGGTGTTTGTGGGGGAGGGGCGCGTCCGGGTGCTTGCACACCCCCACCTCTCCACAAGCTTCCCCGCCTAACCCACCCTGCATGCGAGCAGCGGCACAGCAGCTTGCTAGCGCGCTGCCCCATTACCCACCACATCACCACATCCGTGTCGTCCAAAGCATGGCTTTCCTTCTTCACTTCCCCCTGATTCCTTCCCGTTTGCATTTCTTATATAATCCCCCCCCCCGCCACCACAGGAGGCCGCCAGCCGCCTGCTGGACAGCCTGGGTGAGCCCGCCGCGGTGCTGCTGGCCTCGCGCTCGCCCGCGGGGGACAAGGTGGCGTTCGTGGCGGCACTCAGTCAGGGGGCGCTGGGGCTGGGGGCGGCAGGGGCAGGGGCGGCAGGGGAAGCAGCTGCAGGGGAAGCAGGGGGAGCCAAGGGGAAGGCAGGCAAGGGTGGCAAGGGCGGCAAGGGAGGAGCGGGTGCAGGGGGGTTGCAGGCGGGGCACTTGGTGGGTGCGGTGGCGCGGGTGTGTGGTGGGGGTGGCGGGGGCAAGGCGGCGCTGGCGCAGGCGGGCGGGCGGGAGGCGGGTCGCACGGGGGAGGCGCTGGAGCTGGGGAGGCGGATGATGATGGAGGGGCTGTGAGGGGGGGGGATTGCACGGGGGAGAGTAGGGAACGGGAAGGTGAGGGCGAGAAGGAGTGGGTGTGGGAGGGAGGGAAGAGGGGTATTGGCCACCCGCAGGCTGCATGGGAAGCAATGGCAGAAGAGAAGGGAAATGGTCGCTGGTTTTTCTTTGTTTGGCAGGGTGCAGTGTCGCGGGTAGGTGGGTAGGTAGGGGGTGCCGAGAACGCGGGTGGGGGAAGCCTGTGCTGCGACTGCCGGTGTGCGACGCCATGACCCATGAGCAATGTGCGCAGGGGCGAGTCAGGAGGTGGGGCCGGTCGAACCCAGCGAGCTAGCTGGCTCGGTGCCTATGCGATTTAAGGATCCTGGCCGCGAGTCGGAACGTACGTGTGTATGTGTAGTTGAGTAGAACAAGAGCAAGCAGTTGGGATAGCTTCGCATGTACGTACGTGTGTATCGTCGGTGAGTCCCCCAGGCATCCACCGCACGTGCTAGCTAACGCTTATAAACCCACGCTCATGCTGGCTCACGTACGAAAAAGAGGGTGCGTCTGCAGAGGTGTGCACCGGTGCATGCAGCACCCGCTGTGATGGGCTACAAGGCCACCGGGTGGCTCACACGCACCCTGTCGGCGCACTTGCCGCACATTGGCAGCACAGCAATGACCACCTCCTCCTCGCTCCTCCGTGGTACCCCCTGTGGTGGAAGCTGTGGCACTAGTCCTCTAGCGACACTAGTCCTCTCAGCGGCAGCAGAGTAGCGCTGCGACCCCTGCCACCCCTGCCTGTCGCCCCCCCCCACTTGCTTTGCCCTAACCTGTGGGCCTGGTATATCTCTGATTGAGACTCTAGTTGTTTGCATATATTATACAATTCCCCTCCCCTCTACACCCACACTAGCAGGGCACTCATCCTTGTCGTCTCAAGTCAGGACAGCAGCTCAGGACGTCCCCGTGCAGCACAGCCCTGCCCGAGGCACTGCTTTCGTCACTGTTAAACCCTACCTCACCGCCTCCACCCGTCTTTCAATAGCAGTACATGCTGCTCCCCTCCAGGGAGTCATCGCTCGCCAGAACAACCCTCACCCATCACCGAACCTCACCCTCCTCCCAATCTCCTTCACCCCTCACCGGCCCCGCCTGCCCCACCACCTCCCGCACCAAATGTCCCAGCCCCATCTCACCCAACGTTCGGGCAAGCACTGCCGCAGCCATGCCCCGCAACCCCCCCTCACCCCCTGCTGCAGCTGCTCTCCCCCCCGCCCCCGCCCCCGCTGCCCACTCCCCACACAGCGCCTCCGTGGCTCCCCGCGCCGCCGTCTTGAAGTCCTGCTTGCCCAGCATCCGCCTGCCGTACAGGGGCGTCAGCAGGGCCTTCACGGCGGCACATGCGGCCGCTTTGTCGTACTTGAACACGTCGTTCTTTGTCTTGGGGTGGTGGGGGTGGGGGTAGTCCGTGTCGTTGTGTTGCAGGTGAGGTGCTATTGCTGCTGCTGCTGATGCCGCGCCTGGGTCGGGAGCAGCGGCAGCGGCAGCTGCAGCAGCTTCCGAGGCCTCACGTGACATTGGCTCCTCTGAGTGCCGCTTGTGGTGGTCGCGGTGGTGGTGCCGGTGGTGGTGGTGGGGGTGATGGTGGTGGTGGTGGGGGTGGGGGTGATGGTGGTGGTGCCGGTGACTGTGCGGCTCTTGCTTGCCGTAGCAAACAGGAAGCAGGGCGTGAGGCGCGCTGGGGTGCGAAGGCCCCGGGCCCTCGCCACCACCACCACCACCGCTGCCGTTGTCGCCCAACCATCCGTTCGCATCAGCCCCGTGTCCTGGTTGCTGCTGCTGCTGCTGCTGCGTGCGGTGCCAGGGCGGTTGCAGGTGGCCGGGAGGAGCTGGCGGGCAGGGGGGTGCGGGTGCGGGTGCGGGTGGGGGTGCGGGTGGGGAGCACAGGGCTGGGGGGAGGAGGAGCGGATGGGTTGGGGGCGGGTGCTGCTGCTGGGGTGGCATGTGTGCTGCGGGGCGGAGGGGCGAGTCGGGGGGCCGGGCTGCTGATGGGGGCATGGAGGTCCGCTGGGAGGGGGGTGGAGGTGGCGGAGGGTGGAGCCCCAGCGGTGGGGGTGCTAAGGAGGGTGCTGGCGGTGCGGCTGCTGTTGCTGCTAGGCAGCATGCAGAGGATGTCGCCCCTGCTGCTACTGCCGGCGGCGGAGGCGGCCGCACATCCAAGTGTGCTGAAGCCGCTGGGAGTGCCGTCGTCCCCACACCACCGCCTCCGCCACCTCCGCCGCCGCAAGAGGTGGTTGTGCATGTACAGCCGCCGGCCCCCCCGAGGTAGGAGGCTGGCAGCAGTGGGGGCAGTGCGGGACTACCCCCGCCGCCGCCGACAGCAGCTCCTAGGGCGCTGCTACTCAGACCAGCCCCAGCCCCGCCCGGCACAGCTGCTACCGGGTGCGGGGGTGGCGGCTGCCGCCTGCTGAGGCCCCCCACCAGCGCACCCGGACCCAGCCGCCGCAGCAGCTCAGCGGCGGAGGGCGCCCCAGCGGCGGAGGTGGCGACGGTGGTGCCGTAAGCCCGTACAGCACCCGTACTACCTCCCCCGCCGCCATCAGCGGCTGCACCCGCCGCTGACCCCCCGGCGGGGGGCATGCCGCGTCTGCCGTTTGCCAAGGAAGCGAGAAGGGAGCCGCCGCCGCTGCTGCCGCCGCGACTGCTACCCCCGCTGCCGCCGCCACGCAAGCGGTCCAAGGTACGCCAGGCAGCCGCCTCCACGTCACCATCACCGCCGCCGCCTCCGCCAGCGGCCCCCCGCTGACGTCGTACGGCAGCGGAGCCGTCCTCCACCACCCTGTCGTACGCACCCGTGCCGTGACCGTGTCCGCCACCCCTTCCGCCCCCTCCTCCTCCTCCTCCTCCTCCGCTTCCAGCTGCCAACCCTCTTGCCGCAGCAGCTGCCTCCTGCGCCCGTTGGGCCCTAAGCGCCTGCAGCGCCCGCTCTCGTGCCGCCGCCGCTGCTCCTGCTCCAACCGCTGTTGCCGTACCGCTGGGACCTGCTGCTGCTGCGGCGGGTCCGGCGGCGCCACCGCTGCCACCGGCGTTACCCCGTTCCTGCCCCTGCCCCTGCCCCTGCTGCTGGTTCCTGCGGTACTCGGCTGCCAGGGTGGCCTGTCCGAAATGCTGCCGGTCCTCCTCGCGCATGGCCTGCAGGCAGGGGGCAGGAGGGTCAGGGGGGGGTTGCAGGGGGGTCAGGGGGGATCAGGAAAGAGTAATCAAACACAACTGCAGGGTTAGGCAGATGGTGAGGCAAGTGAAGTAGGGAAGGGGGGCGCGAGAGGGGCGGGGTGGGCGTGGGGTGAAAATGAAACCAGACAGCATAGCACGCGCATCACAGGAGAGAAAGCCCCGCCCGTCACACCACCCCACCGCCCCACCAGACTGCATGCGTTCACCCGCAACAACACCAGCTCTCCCCTCCCCCCAGCCCGGCTTACACACCCAGTCACCTGCCACTGCTGCCGCATCTGCTCCACCCGCCGCTGGTCTGCCACATACAACCGCAACCTAGCAACCGTGCGCCGCTGAGCCAGCGGCACGTCATCCTCCTCGTCCGCATCACCGCCGCCGCCGCCTCGGAAAGCGGCTGCTCCCCCCGCCGCCGCCGCGCCCCCTCCTCCTCCTGCCCGCCCCCCTGCCGCTGCCATGCTGGCTGCCGTCCTCGCTCGCACTCTGGCTGCGCTACCCAGCTGCTCTCGGAGCAGGGCCCGTGAGGGAGTAGCAGCAGCAGCGGCAGCGGCACCGCTGGCGGAGGCGGAGGCGCCGCCTGCCGTACGGCGACGGCGGCGGCTGGCGGCGGCCCCACCCCGGGCGCGACTGCGACCGCGGGCGCTGCTGCGACGGCCTCGACCACGGCCTCGACTCCTGCCCGTTGTAGTCGTACGACGACGGCGGCGGCGACGGCGGTTTGTGGTCGTTGTGCCACCGCCGTCAGCGCCGCCGTACGCTCCGACAGCACCCCCGTCCGCCTCCTCCTCCTCTCCATCCCCGTCATCATCATCATCACCTCCTTCTTCTTCCGTGGACCCCTCCGCCTCATGCTCATGCTCATCCCAGTCGCCCTCCACCCCGCCCTCTTCCACACCGCCACTGCCCCCATACACCTCCTCGCCCTCACCCCCCTCATCCGACACCTCCGTGCCCACCGTCTCGTACCCAGATTCCTCACCACCGCTCCCCAGGATCACTACATCGGAATCCGAGGAATACGCTGCCTCTTCCGCCGCCGCCGCTGCTGCGCGGCCCCTCCCTGCTGCACTTCCACGCCCACCGCTGCCCCGGCCCCCACCACCCTGCCCCTGCTGCCCCTGCTGCTGCAGCCGCCGCTGCCTCCTCGCTGCGGCCGCCAGCAATGTCCGCTGCTGCTGACACTCGGGGCAGTACCACTCGCCTGGGAGGCAGGAGAAGGGATAAGGGGTGGGTGGGTGGGTGGGAGCGGAGCAGGTGCGAGGGAGGGTGACTCCCCGGCCTCTTCTCCGCCCCCCCCCACGCAGCCTCCCCACCCGCTAGCTGCTGCCCCGTTACCGCCACTATCCCCCACCCCCCCTACCCTCGGGAATGTCCTCCAGCTCCACGCAGTAGGTGTGGTAGCCCCGGTCGCAGCCTGGGGGGGGGAGGGGGAGGGGAGGGGGAGAAGGTCCAGGCGTGCGGGTTGCCCAACATGACACCACCACCACTGGCCCTTCAGCAGGTGAGACATCAGGGGAGCGCTGTCCGACCCGGCCTGCCCCCTCCAGCTCTCCCGCTCCCGCTTCCTACCCCATCCCCCCCCCCATTAGTGCCTCCGAATGCGCTCACTGCATGAGTCGGGATATGGGACTGGGACTCCAGTTGTTTCACTTATATAATTTTTTATCCCTCCCCCCCCCGTGTCCCTTCCGCTCACACAGCAGGCGGCCCAGAGCACCCGCCCCCCGCCCTCCCCCGTCCGCCCTGCTAGCTGGACTACGCACTACAGCCACTTGCTCGTCCACCCCTTGAAACCCACTCTCCTTCCTCCATTCCCCCGCCCCCCTCCCTCTCCCCCCCTACCATCGCAAATGAGCAGCCGCACATCGTCCTCCCCGCTGCCGCACACCTGGCAGCGCAACGCCTCCAGGTCTAGACCCAGCAGCTCGGCGGGCTGCCAGCGCTGAGGAGGGGAGGGGGAGGAGGGGGGTTGGGGTTTTACACAGGGTTGGCACACGCAGCCCTAGTTTGATAGTCCCCAACCACCAAAACCCAAAACAACACTCTCTCTCTGCCTTATAAAAGGGTAACCCCTCCCACCCCCCCACCTGCTTGCGGTCCTCCACCAACCGCGTCTCCAGCACCACCCCCTTCAGCCGCTTGCGGGGACCCTCCCCCGCGTCCGGGTCGTCAGACGCATCCGACCCGCTTCCCGCCGCCGCCTCCCCAGCTGCCTCCGCCCCAGCATCTGCCCCCGCCTCCGAGGCCGCCGCCTCCTCTCGCGTGCGCTTCCGCCCCGCCTGCCCCTGCTGCCCCTGCTGCTGCTGTTGCCCACGGCCCCGGCCCTGCAGCAGGCGCTTGTGGGTGATGACGATGAACCGCTCCTTGCAGAGCGGACATCGGTTCTCCGTGTCGGCCCAGCGGGAGATGCAAGGGAAGCAAAACCTGGGCGTGAGGGGTGGGGGAGATGGATGCAGGGGGCGAGAAATGTGAGTCGCGGCGGGGCGGGGTTCGCTGGGATGGGCCGAGCGAGCGTCGGCGGTTAGGACTAAGGAGGAGGTCGCCATCATTCCAGAGAGCATCGAGTAGATTGGCAAGTTTTATTTGTTACCTGTGGAGGCATGAGTCCAATTCGCCCAAGTCTCCTGTTCGCTCGTAGCAGATGCTGCACTGCACGCGCATCTTCTCTTAGCGTCCAGAGCCAGACGAAATGGGCCAAACTCCAACTAAGCGTTTCCTATGTAAGATTTCATTTGCATAAAGCTTTACGGCTAGCTCAGGCCAAGAAAGCTATATTCTGGAAGTACCCTGTACATTGCCGCAAACCCCATTCAAAGCAAAGCATACTTAGGCATTAGCGCCCAGATGGGTTAGGCATACCAGTATGCGATTGCGTCTCACCCATGGAGGACATGTACAACATGTTGGGCTACGCCGTTAACGCCCACGCATCACGGCGGACACAGCCGCTGTCCTTGAATGGCTAGGGCATAATACTTGGGAAATTCACAAAGAAGACCCATCGGACTCCTTACCCCTTCTGTTGGGGCACCTTTTTGAGACAAATCTGCAATCTGCCTTAATAGACACGCTTGCTTCAGCTCACGTAAAAGCCCGGCAACGTTGAAAGGTAGATACATACACTGCTGAGGCGGGCGTGATCGCCGCGGCAGGCTTCTAGACCTGCGAAATGGGGCGCTCACGCTCGCCAAGCCCTGCTCGGGGCGGGGACCGCAGCAAACGCGACCGATCGCGCAGCAACGAGCGCCATACCAAACGCAGCAGGTCAGATAAGGATGATCGGCGTGATGAGCGCCGAGACCGCGATGAGGACCGGCGAAGGGATGAGGACGGCCGGCGTGACAGAGACAGGCGCGATCGTGACCGAGACCGTGAAAAGGACAGAGAACGGGATCGTGATCGCGACCGGGACAGGGACCGAGACCGGGACCGAGAGAAGGACCGGGACCGCGAGCGCGAGCGCAGGGACCGGGATGGCAGGGATGGCAAGGATCGGCGTGAAGCTCGCGAGGACGGCCGTGATGGCCGCGACAGCAGGCGCCGATCTCCCAGTCCTCGGCCTAAACAAGTGGGGGAGGAAGAAGAGGAACAACGTGGTGCTGCTGCTGCCACCAAAGATGAGCCTAATGATGCTGCACGCGCTGTGTCTCCAGGCGCCGCTAAGAAGGCTGAGGTAGGTTAATACCTCCTAATCATGTCGTCCAGGATAGAGGTGAAGCCTAATATTCGTGCGTCTGAAACGGTACATCCATCCCCTCCTTAGTGCACCCACCGTCCCTGGTGGTAAGCTCGTGTGCTTGTAACCCCCCCTCCCCGTCCCCCCCACACATTGCGACATTGGGTCTCCTTCACCCCCACCCCCTACCCCGCAGCCGCTCTCCCTGGAGGAGCTGCTTAAAAAGAAGAAGCAGCAGCAGGAGGAGGAGGCCAAGGTGGGTGGGGGGTGCAAGAAGGGGGGCGGCTTGGAAGCAGGCACGGAGAGTGCTTGCATGCACTGGGCTCAGGTTACACAAAGTAAGTAGGTGGGTTGCACTCATCTGAAAACATATCGTACAAGGGAGGGCCAAGAAGGCCGGCTCGCACAAGACCCCGCGAGCTGCTCCATACCGCCGATACTGCCCTCCCACAGCAACGGCCGCATGCAAGGGTGTGTGCATGTGCATGCATGCACCCACCCACAGCTGCGGACCAGTCGGCGGTGTTTTCGGCCCGCAGTCGCTGAGCGCCCCGCGCTGCGGCGCTCTAGCAACCGCCGGACAGCAGTCTCCGTCCTCCGTACCCCTGTGTGTAACACTGCATTGGCCCCCCCACCCCCACCCCCCACCACCTTGCATGCATATCGTTGTGCATGCAAGCCCCCACCCCCACCCCCCGGTGCGCACTTCCCCCCGGTACGTAACACACCTTGGATCGCTCCTGCATGCCTCCTGGCGCAACCTCACCTCCCTCCCTCCACGCCCTCCGCACTTCACCCCTCCTCCAACCTCCCCTTGCACTCCTCCCGCTCCTCCCCTTCCCCTCCAGCCCCGCTTCCTGACCAAGGCCGAGCGCCAGGCCCTCGCCCTGGCCAAGCTGGAGTCGCAGCGGGCGGGCGTGCAGGCGGCGCAGCAAGCCAAGATGGACTCTGCGCGGGCAGCAGCAGGGGGAGGAGAAGGAAGAGGAGGGGGAGGAGGGGGGATGGGTGCGGCGCTGCCGCCGCCGCCGCCACTGCCGCCACTGCCCCTGCCGCCACCTCCGGGAGGCCGCGAGTGGGACCGTGATAAGGAGCCCCGGGACATCAGGGGCCGAGGAGGAGGAGGGGGAGACAGGGAGCGGGGTGACCGGCGGGAGCGGGAGAGGGAGCGCGGCGGACGGGATGATGAGCGCAGGTGCGGCGGGTGTCAGTGGGTAGCCGGGTGATTGGTGATGGAGCGGCGGGGCGATGAGCGGGCTGTGTGTGGTGTGGCGTATGACGGAGCTTGTTGAGCCGGTTTGTGTTGTGCGCTTCCTGAGACCCCAGCCGCGAGCCCCGCGAGCCCCGAGCCGCATGGGGGGCACCGCCCACCGTCCCGCATGGGCAGAGACTCATGGGAGGGCCGTAAGGGGGGGAGCAGCAGCGCCGCTGCTTCTGCTTCGGGTGACAGCTCGCCCAGCCTGTTGCATGTGGCCAGAGGCAACATAACCCCGGAGCCGCACTCACCCTCCTCCTTACCCCCCTCGACCCCCATCTCCTCACCCGCCTCAACCCCCTCCCCACCCCCACCTGCCCAGGGGCCGAGGTGACACGCCGGGCCCCGGTGACGGCCCCGGTGGCACTGCAGGCGGTGTGGCTCCCGAGCAGACCGCAGCGGAGCGGGAGCGGGAGCTGGAGATGATCAAGCAGCAGTACTTGGGGCAGGAGAAGCTGAAGAAGAGGGTGAGGCGGGAGGAGGCGCGGTTGCTGCGTCCACTTGGCGGCGTTACTGCTTCCCTTGTTGCCGCCCTTCCGCGCCCCACCCCCTTACCTCCTTCAACCCCTGGCCCCTTCCCCCTGCACGCCCCCCATGTCCCTTCTGCCCTCAGGTTCTGCGCCCCAGTGAGAAGTTCAAGTTCAACTTCGACTGGGACTCCAAGGACGACACCTCCCGCGACCTCAACCCGCTCTACAACAACCTGCATGGTGGGGCTGGGGGGGTGGAACGCGGCAGCATGGGGCGGGGAAAAGAAGAGTGCATGAAGAAGGGGGGGGGGGTGAAGGTGGTGCCGCATGTTGGATAAACCGTTCGCGGATGATGGCCAACCGAGTGGCCCTCCGCCGCATTCCCAACCGTCGCTGAGTACACCCCCCTCCCCCCCCCTCCCCACCCCCAGAGGCCGCCCTGATGTTCGGTCGGGGCATGCGAGCGGGTATCGACCGGCGCGAGCAGAAGAAGGCGGCCGCCACACTGGAGGCGGAGCTGATGAGGAAGGTGTGGGGGGGGCGGGGGGGGGAGGGACCATGCCTGACCACAGGGAACCAGGAGTTAGGGCACAGCAATGGGTATACCGTATAGGAGACGGCAAAGTGCCACAATACAAAAGGGGCGAGGAAACGCCTGCCGTGACGTAGGAAGACTCAAGGGGGAGAGGGAGGGGAGGGGGAACTCCACCTTGCCGCATGCGCCCCCCTGTCCCGCAGTCGGCAGCACTGTTGGCTTACTCCCTCCTTACACCCCTTCCCTCCGTTGCTTCACGTCTCATTCATTTTCCTCACGCCCGTCCCTCCCCGCCTCCCTCCCCCTCCGCGCCCCGCCAGGCCCGCGCCGCCGCCGGTCTGTCGGAGACGCACGAGAGTCGCGAGCACGACCGTGAGAGGAAGCGGCTGGCGGACCAGTACGACGGATTCGACATGCGGGTGGGTGGGATAAAGAGGAGGGGGGAGGAAGATGGAAAGCTGAAAGTTTCACTGCCCTAAACACGTGCCCGCTTGGGATGGGTGCTAGCTGCTAGGGAGTTGCCAAGGGGGGGTTGCGAGTGTGTGATGGTGTGCATGCTCGTTTCCTACAGTAGTTCCCCGCCTCCCCTCCCCCCTCCCAGGTTGAGAAGCACTGGAGTGAGAAGCCGCTGTCCGCCATGACGGAGCGCGACTGGCGCATCTTCCGCGAGGACTTCAACATCGGCTACCGGGGAGTGAACACCATCCTGCCCATCCGCAACTGGGAGGAGAGCGGGCTGCCCAAGCTGCTGCTCAAGGTGGGGGCGGGGAGGGAGGGGGCAGGGAAGGGGGGTCAGTGGGGTGGGAGGGAAGGAAGGAGTTGGGAGGGGCGGAGTGGAGAAGAGCAGAGGAGCGACGGAGGGCGCGACTGTGTCCCACGAAGGGAGCCTAGAGCCGCCCACCGCACCGTCCGCCGCATGCCGCTTGTGTCACGCATGTCACCTCATGTCAGCACACATGTAGCACCACAGAAGGCGCGATGATGACCAAACCACATGATCTTAGCTGTACGGCGCCGCCCCGGACTCACCCGCCCCCCCCCCCTCCTGCCCGCCCGGGTGGGTGGGGGGTGGGTGGGTGGGTTCGGCTGGTGGCGTGGCGTGTTGAAACCCGAGACGTGAGCGCCCCCCTCCCCTGCACTGCACGGCACGGCACTGCATGCCCCACTGCCACCAACACACATCCCTTGCCACACAGCTTCCCCCTATCTTACGGGACCTGTTGAACTGCCTACGTGCAGCATGCACCCGCAGCACACATCCATCCATCCACGCCTCTGTGCCTCTGCCAGTTTTCTTAACACATACCTGTATACCATCCCCAGGCCATCGAGCGGGTAGGCTACAAGAAGCCCTCCCCCATCCAGATGGCCGCCATCCCCCTGGGGCTGCAGCAGCGCGATGTGATCGGCATTGCGGAGACCGGCAGCGGCAAGACGGCGGCGTTCGTACTGCCCATGCTGTCGTACATCGCCCAGCAGCCGCCCATGACGGAGGAGAACGAGGCGGATGGGCCCTATGCGGTGGTGGGTGGGGGTGGTAGTGTGGGGTGCTGGGGAAAAGAAGAATCCCAAGGTTTTTTTATGATGCTAGCAAGCAAGATGACGAGCTGCTGGTGACCTGAACCGAATTAGCCGAGCCTAAACGTTGAAAAGGGCGGGAGTGTATGGGATACGGTAGGGTGGGGGATATTAACAGACGGGATGCGAAAGGATGATGGCGTTCCCCTTCCTTCTCACCCCACTTCACAGCTCTTCCCATCCTCTCACCACCTCGCCTCCCTATACGCTAACCCTACTACCCAGCGTAACGCGGAACACGTATCCCCCTATTAATCCCCCCCTCCCCTCCCCTTCCCCCCACCGGCAGGTTCTTGCCCCCACTCGTGAGCTGGCTCAGCAGATCGAGGAGGAGACCATCAAGCTGGCGCACTACACGGAATACCGGGTGGCGAGTGTGGTGGGCGGACAGAGCATCGAGGAGCAGGGGGCCAAGCTGAGGAAGGTGGGGGGGGGGCGCGAGGGGGGGCAAGGGGGGGGGGGGGAAACAGAGATATACCACTACCACATGTCAAGGGAGTGGGGAGCCAGAGAGAAATGCAGTGGAATTTAAGTGGAAGTTAGTTAGGGCAAGGCAATGTAGGTAGGAGGCACGAGACAAGTGACGGGGTAGCGTGTAGTGGGAGGGAGGGTAAAAAGAGGGAACTGACGAGCTCCCCCCACCTCCTCCTTTGCCCCCCCCCTTCTCCCAATCCTAAAGGGTTGCGAGATCGTGATCGCCACCCCGGGTCGACTGCTGGACTGCATCGACCGCCACTACGCGGTGCTGAACCAGTGCAACTACGTGGTGCTGGATGAGGCGGACCGCATGATTGATCTGGGATTCGAGCCGCAGGTGGGGGGGGGGGATGGAGGGAAGGGAAAGGAAGGGACGCGGGGAAGGGAAGGGTACTGCCTCAGGGTTTGCCGCATGTGGCCCCATTGCTCCCCATGGCTTTACAATCCGCAAAAGCAACCCTCTTGAACAACCCTGTGCAACTTGCCCCGCTACCCCCCGCGCCTTCCCCCCCTCCCACACACACACGTCTCACTCGTGGCCACTTTCTAACCGCACGTCCACAACCCCCTCCCGCCTCCCCCCCCTGGTCAGGTCATCGGCGTGCTCGACGCCATGCCTTCCTCCACCCTCAAGCCCGACGAGGAGGGCGCTGTGCTTGAAGCCAACCGCACCTACCGCACCACCTACATGTTTTCCGCCACCATGCCACCAGCAGTGGAGCGCCTGGCCAAGAAGTACCTGCGGCGGCCGGTGGTGGTGGTGATCGGCGCGGCAGGGCGCGTGACGGACAACGTGTCGCAGCGGGTGTTCGTGGTGAAGGAGAATGAGAAGCCCAGACTGTGAGTGTGTGGGGGGTTGGGGTTGAGGGTGGGGTTGGAAGGGGAGAGGGGTGAGATAACGCGGTGCATGGGGGCCTAGCCGCCTAGTGCCCCCGATCCATCATCGGTGTGGAACTTGGAAGATGGAAGCCGAAGCCCCTTCTCCCTGCAGCAGCTTGCGAACGTGTTACCCCTTCCTGACCCCCCCCCCCTGCCCCCCTACCCCTGCTACATCCCCCCCGCGTCCCGTTCTTCAACACCCCCTCACATTGCTTTGCACTAACCTGTGGTCTTCTATGGTTTGGTCATGTCTTTGACCCTCCTCCCTCCTTCGCTTCCCCCCCCTGTCCCCTCCCCTCCCTCCCCCTTGCAGCCTGGAGCAGGAGATGGAGCAGGTGGACGAGGCGCGTGTGATCGTGTTCGTGAACACGCAGCGCCAGTGCGACAACGTGCACCGGCAGCTGGAGGAGAGCGGCTACCGCTGCACCATCCTACACGGCGGCAAGACGCAGGAGCAGCGAGAGGCGGGGATCAAGGGATTCAGGTGCGGGGTCGGAGGGGAGGGGGAAGGGGAGGAGGGGTGGTGGGGTATTAGGGTTTCGCGAGTGCAGGTGCTTCGCTTTCCTCCCTGCACGGCGACGTGCACGTAAGCGGCCTATCAGTGTTCTTTGCCCTCGCCCCTTCCGCTTTTGCCGCCCTACTTACTCGTAGTAAACACCAACTCTGACCGCTCCATCACCCTCCCCTCCCACCCCCCCCCAGGGACGGCACCTACAACGTGCTCATCGCCACCGACGTGGCAGGTCGCGGTATCGACGTGCCCGATGTGGCCAAGGTGGTCAACTACGACATGCCCGGCAACATTGAGAACTACACGCACCGCATCGGCCGCACCGGGCGAGCGGGCAAGAAGGGCGCAGCAGTCACCTTCCTCACACTGGGGGACGCGGGTGAGGGGAGCGGACAGCCCGCGTGACACGTTGCGTTGGTTGCTCCAACTGTACTTTCATCGCACTCCCGCCATCCCACATCTACCGGTATACACGCCTTTCCCTGCCTTGAGAACCCAGCCTTCTGCCCCGCTCCTCGAACTCACATCTCCTCCTCGTTCTTCTCTCCGCTTTCCCGTCCTCCCAAGCTCTTTCCCCGTCCCCATTAACCCCCTCCCTGCTCCCCCCCCTTCCAGCCTTGTCATATAGCTCGCCAGTTGCCTCGTCAATGTCTCGTTATTTTTTTCACCTCCCTGCCCCCCCAGCTGTGTTCTACGACCTGAAGAAGCTGCTGGAGGACAGCAAGGCCCCGGTGCCGCCCGAGCTGGCGCGGCACGAGGCGGCGAAGGTGAAGCCGGGCGGCGTGGAGACCAAGAGGAAGGACCAAATGGTGTTCGCGGCGTGAGGGGGAGGAGACGGGGTAGGAGGAGGGCAAGGGCTAGACGAACGTGTGGAAGCGGGCGTTACAATTCTTTGCCGTATGAGTCGGAGAGGTTGTGGCGGCGGAGGAGGAGGTGTTTGGGAGCGAGTAGGCGAAGAGGCGACAGGGGGACGTGGTGGGATGTCCAGTAGGCACGCTGCCGCACAGATCGCGCGTACGACGTGTACTGCGTATACGGCAGGAGGTGGCGGGGGCGATGTAGCCATGTGCGGTAGCTGGGGAGCGAGCCGCTGGGACGGACAGCAATAACCGCACATGCTCTGTGTAGACGGCGGTGCAGCGCTCTTAGCACAGACGTTACTCTTATGGGTAGGTGCAACACTCTTTGCGGGGCCCATGTGACCCATGGGTCACTACCGACACATACCGCGCGGTTTTACAGGATTACATGCGTATATGCTGAACAACATACCATACATACCACCCGGCTAAAGCACACACATGCGGTGGTCAGCAGTAACCGCCATTTGCCTATTGCGCACACGACAACCGCACAACACACAGTTAAACCGGGAAGTAATGTACCGTACCGTACTACAAGCCGCAACGAACAGGCTGCCCATCAGGAAGCAACAAAGGCAGGTCAAACCAACCAGCCAAACAACGAGAGCCAAACTCGGTACTCGCTTGTTGCAGCTGCTGTCCCTCTGCGGGCTCGGTGGGGGGGGGCGCATGCTGACACCTGCTAGGCACGTTGCCACCCCCTCCAAAGCCACCACCAGCCCACCAAGCGGCCAATAGCGCCAACAACAACAACAGCACATACACTGAGGTCATCAATCCTTCCCTACTCATCAGCGGCGTTACATGCTCACATCAGCACCCACCAGCAGCACAAACCTTCCCTCCCCTTCGTCAGTTGTTTCCCCCCCCCCTCAGTCCCCCCTCACAAGCTCATGCAGGGCCTTGCTGGGGAAGCGCTGCTCCGCGGGCCGGCTAGCCACATGCGCAGCCACTCCCAGCGCGCAACCCACCGCGGAACCACCCACAAGCGCCATGCCGTACGCTTTCGCCGCCGCCGCCGCCGCTGTCGTACCGCCGCTGCTGCCGCTGACGCCGCCAATGAGGCTGCTGAACCCGCCGCCTCCGCCGACGTACGGCAGCAGCGCCGCCGCTGCCGCCAGTCCTAGCAGCGCTCCGGCGGAGGCAAAGGTGTCGGTTCGCTGCTGCGCCTCGTTGTAGTGCAGGCGGTAGCATCGGTCCTCGAAGCCGGCGGGGTCGATCTGGAGGAACTTGATGCCGCCCAGGGTGGCTGCAGGAGGGGGAGAGGGAGGGGGAGGGAGGGAGTGGGAGAGGAAAGGAGGAATGGGTGCGGAGAGAGAGAGTGGGAGGGAGGGGTCAGAGAGGGACAAAACCACGCGAGGGGCGGCGGGGCAGCAAGCTGCCGCAATGCACCCCACACCCTCCTCCTGTAAAGGTCTTCGCATAAACGTGAACCACCTCATCCTCCTCCCGTCCGCCCTCCGCCCCTGCCGCCCCCCCAGCCGCACCGCACCTGAAGCCGCAGTGCCCGCCAGCGCGCTGTACCCCGCAGCCTGCAGCAGCTGCGCGGGGTCGCGCAGACCCCTGCCCAGGGCCAGCGCGGGCAGCACCCCCGCCAGCCCCACCACACTGCCCGCCTGATAGCCCTTCTTGAGGATGTGCCAGAAGAGTTGGAGCGCGGGGCGGGCGGGGGGAGTGAAGTCGGGGGCGGTAACCTGGGGCTGCTGCTGCTTGGGGGGGCTGAGGATGAGGTGGCGGTTGGGTGTTGGGGTGGAGGAGGGAGGAGGAGGCATTGGGTGCGTTGTTGGGAGGTAGAGAACGAGCGGAGGAGTTTAGCAGGCTTGTTGTTGGTTGGGTGAGGAGGAGGAGGAGGAGGAGGAGGAGGAGGAGGAGCGAGGTTTGAGAAGAGGATGAGACTGCGCTGTGTTGCTGTTTTTTGCGGATGTAAGATGGCGCTGGGCGCTCGGATTGGAGGTTGTGAGGAGCGAGCTGCTGGTTCGGATTGTTGACTTTTCGGAAGAGCTAGGAAGGTTGGAGACCGCGTACGCCGTTCAGATTTCCTGTGAATGTGATGTGCAACCAGTAAGGAAAGGACTGCAAAGAAAAACTACGAGGCTGTGTGCTGCGAGGCAAACATATACGACTCCGAAACGCCCAATGCCCGATGCAGCGCCCAAGGTCCCATTGAGGGCCGATCTCTCTCGCCCATACCTGCCCGCTGAACGATGCTACAAATGGTTGTATGTAAACATCTGCATTTGAAAGACCCTAAGTACAGACAGGAAGACCAAGTATGTGCGTAGCTGAGTGGGAAGCGGCAAGGCCACGTGCCGGCAGCAGTTGGGCGGGTTGCGATGCTTGGAGCCGAATCGCCGCCTCGGGCGCTGCCTGTGCTGTTGAAATTGCCCTCCAAACCTGCCTGCCCGTGTTGGCACCTGTACAGCCGCGGGAAGGCTTAGCCGGCCTTGCTGGCTCTGTGTGTGAGGCATGGGCAAACAGGAAACACCAAGGCAGCATGCACAGCTGTAGGGGAGCCTCAGTGTGGGCTGGGCAGGGCTGGAAATACCGGTGCACGTCGCGCTGGCGTGCATGACCCACGGGTCTCTCTGCTCCTCACCAACCTAACTCTCACTAGTAAGGCCCGCCTTCGGGGGGAGCTACCCGTAGCTCGCGGGAGGGAGCTGGATGGGCTAAGAGTAGGAATGGGAGGGTAAAAAGAGGGAACTGACGAGCTCCCCCCACCTCCAGCTTTGCCCCCCCCCCTCTTCCCAATTTAAAAGGGTTGCGAGATCGTGATCGCCACCCCTCCCCCTCCCCTCCCCGGTCAGGTCATCGGCGTGCTCGACGCCATGCCTTCCTCCACCCTCAAGCCCGACGAGGAGGGCGCTGTGCTTGAAGCCAACCGCACCTACCGCACCACCTAGCCGCGGCCTAGCGGAGCGCCTGAAATCAAGGGCAGGCCAAAAAACGATTCAGTGTTTTTACAAGTTTCCCTGCCTGCCTGCCCAACATAGCCCCTCCCCAAAAAATCCCGCGCAGGCAGAACGGGCAAGTGCAAGTTCATGGCGCAGGTGCCTATATTCATTCATTTCGTTGATGAGCGACATGTACTGCTGCAAAAGCACGACAGCGTCTGGTTGCTTGACGGTCCTGCGCCCCGACCGTTCTGATTGCGCCGGGCTGGCTGGCTTTCAATGTCTCTGAAGTCATTTTGCTGCGGTTGAACTGCATCGCACGTTGCTTCAGGCATGTGATGCATGTCGTCAAGTTCCAGCAGGTCCACTTCGTCTCAAATCAAGCCATCTCCTTGCAGTTACACAATTGAAACGGCCTCAAACTCTTGACTATGCCGCAGGCCTCACCGGCGAGCTCTCATGGCACCAACTGTGAGGAGTGCGGTTCCCTAAGGGCTCCAGATAAGGCTCTGGAACCACGCCGTACGATGCTGTAGCGCGTAACAGCATCGTACGGCGTGGTTCCAGGGCCTTATCTGGAGCCCTTAGGGAACCGCACTCCTCACATCAACAACAAAACAATCACATGCGCACATGTTGTGCATTCAAATGCTCCCATCATCCACGATGGCATCTGTCAAAGGGTCCCACAACACATTCTTGTGCCTATGCTTTCCCCCCTGCCGGCTGTTGTAACCCATCCTTTCAGGTGTCTCGCCCGTGGGCATTCGCTCAACGACGAACACTAACATTGTCAGCTCACACGGTGTGATAGGTTGGCACCACATTGGTCTATCCTGGTTGGTCGCCATCAACTACAAAATTGCAACCAGCCGACGTGGCCCACACACGCAATCGACCCATCTTTCTCCTCATCATAGCTCCATACATGTTACACATTTCATACATTTCACGTTTTGAAGGGCACTGACGCTGCCCATCATGTTCAGATGGCTGCCACATCGGCCTCAGTAGCACGCACAACTTCAGGGACCTCCTTTTGCTGGGCGTGCTTACACAAACAACATGGGGAATTCTGGAGCCACATGAAGCATGCACGGTGCCACTCGCTTGTCTCCATCCTAAACCCTCGCCGGCCACCTAGAATTCCAACCTTCCAGCCAAACAAGGGCAGGCTTCTATCCTTCATAGAGCGGAAATGCTGGGTGCCGAGCGAGAACATGTTTCCGGGACTGGGGCTGGGGACGGGGTGCCCCATCCCCCATGTCCAAGGGCCCATGTGTATTGCAACAACTGCGCATCTTTTCTGTGATTGGCATGCACCAGGAAAGCTTTGCTTCGAAGGTCATTGTATACTGATCATTGTTCTTTAGTGTAGAGTCTTTCAGAAAAGCGCCTATATGGACGCGTGTTCCGCAATGCTTTTCCCAGAAACGAACAACAAACTTGCTTCGCTTTTTAACTTTGCGTGGTTTCCTTGACCACATGTATGCCGACTGTTAAATTTGTGTTGAATATGTTGTGATATAGACGCATGGCAGCATACATATGGAGTTTAGTATGCAGTGAAACTCGTGACTCGTGACGACTATATTCTTGGGTCACAGAATCACCTGCAGTACAGCAGCTCTCATGTCCTTGTCTATAGACGCACTCTCTTGAAGAAACTGTTGGCTTGGGGGCTGCAGTGTTGGCGACCATGGTCGGGACCCATTAGCCAAAGTGCAAGCAGACGTCGCACAGCCGGCGCCGCTCAATATGCTTATGTCCAGTGTAAGGGCGGGGGGGCGGGCATTTGAAGTTCCCCGAGGTGCGTACAGGAAGGCCAGGTGCGTGCGAGGCTGAGTGGGAAGCAGCAACGGCACGTGCCGGCAGCAGTTGGGCGGGAACGCGGGTTCATTATTTGGAGCCGAATCGCCGCTTCGGGCGCTGCCTGAGCTGTGGGAGGTGCCCTCCAAACCTGTGTGCCCATGTAAAGCCTGAACAGGCGTGTAATGGGCTGGTCAGGGCTGGAGATGCCGGTACACGTCTTGCTGGCGTGCATGACCCACGGGTCTCTGCTCCTCACCAACCGAACTTCCGCGGTCATTTGCTTAGATAGGTATATGCTTACCCGCGAAAAGCAACTCCATTCTCCATTCCCCATTCAGCAGCACAGGGCAACAAGAAATGAAACCTCCTCCACTTGCACACTCCCCTGCACCTGTTCCGCAATGCGTGGTGGCCCTCCAAAGTGGATGCCTGCACTCGCCTTGGGACAGCACCTCGTCCCACAGCTCCGCGCCATGCTCCCCCCGTTGGGCCTCCGAACCACCACGATCACAGATCTTGAGGAGTCCGGACTTACCCAATGATAAGTGCAACCCGCTGATAAGTATACGATAATAGCAGCAGACGACGGGTACGGCACCGTACAAACCGGGAGGTTGTCGGCACGTCGGGAGGCCTCCTTCCCGCCGCACATTCTCAGGCAAACGTCAAGGTCAGCAAATAGCATGTACGAATGACCGGGAGAAGGTGCTCGGATGGTAATGACAGTCCCAACTCGACACCCTTTTAACAGCAGAGCACAACGCAACCGGACGTCAGCAACCGCCGTACGACCCCAGCACTCCATAACACGAGGACATACACAGGGCCCAGGTGAAGCAGGGAAGGAGCTCGTGTCGTAAGCCCGTAAGCCCATGTCAGGTCTGGTCCAGCAAGTCCTACCAGTGTATATACCCGAACATTACGAAACGGTACGGCGCCGTATGTCAGCGGTGGCGCCACATGCACCTTCAGCACCCCCAGCATCCTCCTCCTCCTCCTCCTGTGGGCCTTCACGTCAGCCACTGCAACCCATATCCTATCTTCCTGTAACAACCTAGACACCATGTCCCGAGCTCCGCTCAGCCAATCACATGCGCCACGCGTCCGCCGCAGGTACCCACCCACCGCTACCGACACAACAGCTGTGTACCCAAACGGCTCCTGTTACCACCACCAGATGGGGGGCTCAGTCGACGATGGATTCAACATGCAAGGATAGCGAGTAAGTAGCCAAGCTATCACAAAGTGAATGCACCGTGCCATGTGTAGTTCATGTGTCATCATGCATCACCAGCAGCAGCAGTAGCAGCGGCTCATACACACCGTGTATCTGTGTCAGGCGGTCACATCACACACCACTGACACACAGTGCTGCCCCTCGCGCTTGTTTTGGATCACTGCTCATTCAATTACCCCCCCCCCCCCTGCAAGTCCTCCTAAGGGGTCCGCAGCTCCGCACACACCTCCTCCCAACACCCTTTACCCCTCCTCTCCTGCTATCCACCGCAGCCCATCAGCGCCCCTACAACCCCAAGCCAGCTATTGCTGGTGTCCATCGACGGGCCCAATCATCCCCCCAAAGAACCCGATGAATGTAACCGTCCCGCCCCCCACGTACGTCTTGGAGGGAAGCGAATAAGTAGTGCTCGTGGTCAACATACAAAATGCTGTTCACGTTTCTGCAGTGCTCTACATGTCACGATACTTCACCATACCTAACAGCTTACCACTGTCAGCGTACAAGCCGTACAAGATCACCCTGAAACCAGCGCACATCACATCACAATGCACCCTATTTGCACGAACCAGCACTGCACCTGTAGCCCAGGGGTCAGCACATTGCCAGCACACCCCTCGTGCGGGTACGTGTCCTTGCACCAGCCGTATCCCCTCGCACGACACCGCCTACTTGCGCTTGGCTCGCTCGCCATCCCCTCTCCCCTCCCAGCCGCAGTTGCCGCCGCACCGCCCACTACGGGGCTGCTCCCTCACTTGAACTGCTCCCACAGCTTGTTGAACTGCGCCTGGAAGGAGCGGATCTGCGGGGAAGGAGGGGAGGGGAGGAGGGGGGTAGCAGGGCCGAGGAGGAGGGGGGAGAAGTGGGGGCGGCCAGCGTGTGAGCCCAACCGCACGAGGGACAAGGCGGCCGGGGCAATGAGCGGGGCAGCAGGGCAGCGGGGCTGTTGTTGAGGGCTTGCAGCGGCCGGCGGGTGGCACACGTTTCCCAGTGCAGAGGGCCTGCTGTCCGCCCTAACCACAGCCGCAGCGTTCTTAGCTCCCTTCCTCTCCGCCCCTCTAACCCCCCCCTACCAGCTGCGGGTCCGCCAGCACCGTCACGTTCTCGTTGTTGCCCGTGACCGCCTGCCGCGTCCAGTTGAAGGAGCCGTTAAGCAGCAGCCGCCCGTCGATGAGCGCGAACTTGTGGTGCCTGCATGTGGGGTATTAGATAAACTGAGCCGCGGAAACACTGACCGGGTGGGGGGGATGAGGTGGGGTGCGGCATGGATCATAACCGTCTCGCGCCTCTTCCTCCTCTTCCCTCCGCTGCAGGGTACCGTGCCCCAGGGGTTGCGGCCCCCACCCGCCGTACCCGCTGTGAGCAGTTCTGGACCGCTGGAGGGAAAGAACCACTAGAGGGAGGAGTGAACCAGCTCTCCAGCCGCCTCTTACCCAACCGCCCCCGCCGCCGCCTCCCCACCCACCCAACCTGCTTCCCTCCCCTCTCTGCTCACAGCATGAGTCGGAACACGGGATTTTGCTTCACATCTCATTCATTTCTACCCTCCGCCGCCCCCCCCCCTCCTTCTCACATGTGCGCCGGCGTCTTGTCCCGCCGCACCAGGATACCCGCCTGCACGAACTTGACGATGTCGGAGCCCTGGGGGGCGGGGGGGCGGGGAAGAGGGGAAGAGGGGGGCGGAGGGGGGGAGAGGGGGGCGGGGAGGGGGGAATAGCGGGGAGGGAGGTGAGGCGGTGGGATGATCAGGATGCAGGGCGGGATCCAGTGGTGAGGGTAGGGACGGAGGGTGTGGTGGGGGAGATAGGGCGTGGTGCTGTCCGCAACACCCCGCCTTTTCCCCATCACCTGCTGCTGGTGCCGCTCCCTCGCTCCCACTGCCTCACTGCCGCCGCTGCACTCCTCCTCCGCCGGTGGCCCCAGCCCGCTGCGTACGGCCGCCATCACACCACCCCCACGCCCCTCTGACCACCTCCCACAGCACCCCACCCGACCCCACCTGTGTGGCTGCCTGGTCGTTGTCCGTTATGATCCGCACTCGTACCCCGCGCCGGTGCAGCGACAGCACCTGCGGGAGGGGTAAAATTTTAAATAAGTGCAACAACACAGTCAGGAGGGGTGGGGCAGCAGCAGCACACGGGAGGGCGGGATGGGGTGGGGTCAGGAGGAGGGATGGGGATGATGGGGGAAGAAAGGAAGCGTGTTGATTGGGTGCAGGCGGCCGCCTCAGCAGCCCCCCACCCTTCCACCGGGCCACCGGCCCTCTAACCACCAAAACCATGATGACGCCTAATCACACGGGCAGATATTTGTTTCCCTTTTACCCCACCCCCGCGTCCCCCCCTCCCCCACCACGTCGCTGATGTCATCGTTGGTTATGGTGAACACACAGATGTCCAGACTGCTGCGCGCACTTCCCAGATGGGCCAGGAAGCGGGTCAGGCTGGTGGGCTCGTGCGCGTACTCGCCTTGGTGGGAGGGAGTGGAGGGGGAGGGAGAAGGGAGGGGGAAGGGGAGGGGAGGAGGGAGTCGAGGGCGCGACAACAGCAGCAGCAGCAGCAGCAGCAGCAGCAGCAGCAACGCCTGGGATGCCAGCCAGCGCCCGCACCCGGCCCCCCAACCCCTCCCTGCCGGACCCCCTCACAGTGCGGTCTCCTGCAGCCCCCCGGCTTGTTCATGTTGCGGCAAGGCAGCTTGGCATCTGGGAAGAACAGCGTCTCGACCACTCCTCCGCTGCCACTGCTCACGCCGCCTGTAGCACCAGCAGCAGCACCAGCAGCAGCACCAGCAGCAGCACCAGCAGGGGGGCCGTACCCAACACCACCACCGTAGGCGTTGGGACCGCCGACGTTGGGGTAGGCATTGTTGTAGGCATTGCCGTAGGGTGGCGCCTAGTGACGGCAGTAGCGGGTAGCAGCAGGGGCACACAGACGGTAGAGGTGGATGGGAGCATTAGAGGTGGACAAACAACGGGGTGATACGGGTCCGTGCGTCAAGGACCCTTCCCTTCCGCCAGCTGCGCCCTCCTTCCTCCGTCAGGCCCAAGGCACCTGATCCCTGGCTAACCGTTGCCGGTGACCAGCCTGTCGATCGCAGCAACACCCGTTACCGAGCGACACACCTGGCCATAATTTGCCGAGGGAGCGTAAGCGGGAGGAAAACCGCTCTGGCCCGCCTTTGCTACCGCTAACGCCCTTTGCAGTTGGTCAACTTGCGCCTTAAGGTCCGCGACTTCTTTGCTTGTTTCATACTTATCGTTAGGTTTGCTTGTGCAACCACCCATTTTATTGTGGTGCAAGCGTGCCGGTGTTGCTCAGGGAATCGTTCGGAATACCACCCTAGCCTAGATGGTACAGCCCATTCCGGTATTCATTGCGGAATGAAGCTTCGCAAAGCAGGGACGCGCACATTTAGGCATTCATGGCCCTAACTTCTCTGTTGCTTTCCATTCAGGCTGGAACTTCCCTCCAGCTCGTCTTTTGTCGTACTACCTATCCAAGGGATGGGGCGACGAGCATCTCTTACGCAAACGCGCAATAGTGGATAGCCATGTTCATGGTTTAACGTCTCTCAAGCGGTCCCCGAGCTCTGCTACTGACTTACTCGTCCTGTAACCGCAATTTTAGTATCACGAAACCGAGACCCTGCATGCCTTGCAAAACGACACCACATTGTGATACTCGACCTGACTTAAACTTATTTGCCAAGTGGGTAGATTCAGACGATCACTTCGGTGTAGCTTCTAGCGCTTCCTTCAATCCTTCTGGTCGGAACAAGAACGTGCGTACTGGGAGCCAACCGCCAGCGGTGCACAGATCCAATCAAGGCATCGCGCCTTCTCAGGTGCGCGGTTTACGTCCTCTCACCTTCATGGCTGACGTCCTGTCCTGAGTTCGTTCTAGACGGCGACCCACGCAAACGGCAACCATAACCACGTTCTGCTCTACAGGCCTCTGCCAACGCGCCTGAGACCAGCCCGGCTGCCACCGATTCGCCTGCTTCTAACCTCACCGCTGACAATAACGCACCACAACAACAGCCCACTTCGACAGCGCTTCCTGACGTCTCCATCGCCCCGGTCCTTGAACCTGACCTTCCGGCTCCAGCCCCAGCCTCAACACCTGACCTGGTTCCCGCCCCGGCTGCGGCCCCAGCGCCTGCAAGCCTAGCCTCTTCCCAGTCACAGCCTCGCCGCACTCGGGCGCAGGTTGGGCGCGACAGCTACCAACTCCTGTGGCGGGAATACCTTGCTCTAACTGCGGAGAGCGACCAACAGCAGCAGCAGCGGCGGCCACAGCAGCAACCTCGCATAGACCGCAGGCGCTCGGCCAACGGCAGTGCTGTTGACCCGATCACACCGCCAGCCATCCTCGACCTCAGCCCCAGCACCCATCCTCTTCCTCCTGCAGGACCGCCTCCTGCCAGACCTCCCCCTGCAGATTCCACGCCCACCCAGATGGCCCACCATAGTGCCAGCCCCAGCACCCTCATGCAAGGGCCCCTGTCGTACGACAAGCCCAAGGGTGCGGCTGCCGTACTTTTGCCGCTGTTGTGTCCGCCAGTCGACTTCATCAACACGAGGCTGCTGACTCGGCACCTCATGCATGGCGTGCTACGCGCATGCGAGCTCATCCTAAGGGCCTCCGTCGTACTCGTTCCTATTTGGCTTTGGCTTGTACGGCATGAGTTACTCATTGGACACTGGGGAGATGCCGTACTGGTGCTGGTGGGAGGCGCGCTGCTGTTCCTCGCAGCGGACGCCATTCCGACGGCAGCGGCACGGGCCGCCGCAGAGCGCCGTGCCGGCGTGTTCACTGCCCGCGACAGGAAGGCCTACCAGATTCCGCCTGGGATGTGCGTCACCGACTCCAGCGGCCCCGGCAGTAGCGCCGCTGCTACTGCGGCTGCTACTGCCCCAGCATCCTCATCGTGCCAGCCTGCGGCTGCGGCTGCCAACCTCAGCACCCCTGCACCAGCTCCGCAAGTGGTGGGTAGCACAGCGCAACAGCAGCAGCGCACAGCTGCTGCGCCAGCGGCGGCGGCACCCTCCGTCCCCGCCAGCAGTACGACAACCGCTGCCGCCGCTGCGGCTGGCCCTCGCAATCAACCTCATCCGGGCCACCAGGGTCACCACCCAACCCCTGCTGCCCCCGGCCAGCAGCTGCCAGCCGCCTCCGCCAGCGCATCCGATCCGCAGATACGGAAGGTAAAGCAGCGCATCATTCGGCTGGAGCAGTTGCTGTTCGGCAACGAACTTACCGAGGCTGACATCAGCCGTGACGCGCTGCACAGCCGGGTGCAGACGCTGTGTGCCGAGGTGGGGGTGCCGTACGGCGGTCCTGGGGGCAGCAGCTCCCGGCCCACTGCCTCGGATCTGGACCTGCAGCTTCAGGCGGTGGAGCAGGCGCTGGGAGTGCAGTAAGGGCGAGGAGTGCCGTAAGGAGGCTACGAGGCTGTTGCAGCGGGGTATCCAGCACAGAAAGGGTGATAGCCCAACTTGAGTCGCTCGGCGCGGTTGCTGCTTGGAACCGTTGTTTTCCCAAGCTCGTCTCGCGCTGGTGTAGCGCAGAAGGGGAATGATGGGGCTTCCTCGGAGCTGGTGGGGCTGTGGGCGTGTTGCTTGGCGGGGCGCGTGCGGAGAACTGGGCATTTAGGTTGCATGTGACGGCAAGTCGGAACGTACTGTGGTTGCATATGTGTGCAAGCGCATGGTTGGGTGGAAGGTGACAATCGTACTTGAAGAATGTGGGAGGCTATTTGGATACCTTTTTATCCGCTTGAAAAGGATATGATTCCCATGGATGTGGAGTGGAGGACTTGCGTTGTTAACTGTAGCAACACCTCCTGCGTAGACAACACTGCATGCGTACTGATCTGGGTCACAGCTGTCGATACAATAAACAAGCTCTTCTCCCTACATCTTGGTCTATAGCGACGGCAACTTGGAGGGTCGTCGTTGCCAGACGTTGGTCATGTGGCGTGCAAGGCTGTTCAGCGCAGCTAATAAGGGTTTGGGGATCCAATTAGATTGGCGGGATCCGTTCGTAGGCAAATCCAGGCGATGGTCCATCTAGCTACAGGACCCAGTGCGCAACTGGTGGCCGCCCACAATGGCTGCGTGGTGCTTATCCTCAAGGAACTAGACTATCCTTCGCTTAGGTCTGTGCATGACATGGAGATACATGAAGACATGGGATTGCTAAGAGCACCTTTTGCTCTCTCCTTTCCCTCTCGCTTCTGCACGCCTGCCAATAACAATGCAACATACGTTACCGAAACATTTTCTGACGCGTGTTGGTTGTTGAGCAGAGACCGAGAGACCAAAGGCGTCCCGTCTTAACCCAAACTGTAGGCCTCCAAGCAAACGCCAACATTGCTACAAAGCTGTTACCCTACTACGTTAGTCACGATACCCGTGGGCACCATAACGTCGAGCATAGCAGCCTGCCCGCTATAGGAAATGCCACGACTACGCCCACAAGTGCTTTGCACATGTATAACAGGGCTTTAACCATCGGATGCTTAAACGCCAAATAAACTCTCTATCCACCTATGGTTCGGTTACATACAAAAGATCCGTCAAGACCGACCCGTAATTACCCCATAGGATCATCCACATGCCCCAGAAGCTGTCCCCCTACCCGCTACCCTTACGCGCGTTCGCACGCCATGCATGACGTGCCCTGCACCTGACACGGCTCCTAGCTTGCCCGGGCCGCGTTCCACGATGCCTCCCTCGACATGAATCTCGCTATCCACTCGACGTGTATCCCAATAGCGTGCGGCCATTTCGTGGCTCAACATCCCGTGAAGTCCCTCCTATAGATGGTGCTTTGGCTACATGGCCTGCTTAAATGGCATGCTGGGTAGGTCCAGCCGTCAGCGGGTTCCCGAGAGCGCCCCCCTGGACAGCCGCCATCTCCATTTTACGCTTATCGTCCTGGGCAGGGTCGTCTGCGGGAACAGAAAGGGGATTCAGGCCCTTAGGGGAAAAGCGTGTATGGTTGCACCCAACAGCCTACACAGTGGCAGCCGGCGGGCCCCTGACCACAATGCGGCAACCCAACACAACGCCCTGCTGCGTACTAAGGGTCTGCATGTAGGGTCCAGCACCCACATCGGTCTTTGTCAGCGCTCGCGGCTAATGCTCAGGCGTGTCAGCGATGTATCCGATTACGAACTGTCTGGTTCTAGATTGCGCGAACGGCACAAATCCCACATGCAAAAGGGGCAAGACCAAGCATTGTCCAGCAACAGCCCGGATCAACTTACAGAGGCCGGTTTGCTTCATGATGCCTCCCTGGAAGACCACCAAGCAGACGAAAAAGAACATGTAAAAGGCCGCGCAGATGAAGGAGAAAGCAGTCGTGCCGGCGTAGGCACCCGAGTCAATCTTTGACCATGTCGTGTCTACAGGGGGGATGCAAAGGGTACGAGGGTTTAGGTATACGGCAATCGTTACGACCCAACGCGCAGTTAAGCAGCACACCCAAAAAGCACAGGGGGAGTATGTCGTGCCCTGGGAGGACGTCAACACCACCCGCGGGCCACTGGCGTGCACTTACTAACTTCGAGCTTCTCCTTCACAACCTGCAACCAGGTGGGTAAGGTGGTAGGGCTGTTAACGGTCTTCCGGATGACTGCTTGTCAGCAAGAGAGCGACTCCCTCCCCCAAACCCACCGGGTAGAAGCCAGAAGTGACCAGGCCGCACAGGAGGCAGAAGAAGGACAGCACGAAACACCAAGCCATGAGGAAGCCATAACCGAAGCCGGGACCGCTCCGATTGATGGATTTCCGGATAAGGATAGCGCATGACATGATGTTGAACATAAGAACCATGAGGCCACCAAGGACGGTTGCGGCTATGGGTGCTCTCCAGGTGTTGTCGTGAAGCCAGCTCTCGTGGAGATGCCGATAGCTCTGCGAACAACCATAAGTCCATGTAACTGTAGGCCCCCTTCCTCTTTTGGGAAGCAACTTCGCCTAGCGCATGGCAAGTCATTAACCTACGTTGACAAGCTTATTCGATGTGGCGAAAGTCATGACAATGTAGGTGGCGTTAATCAACATATTAACAGTCCACATCATCCATAACACAGTCCGCTTGCACTCTCCGGTGGCTGGCATCTTGACTTTAGCCATTTTGCCCCAACTGAAGCAGCAGCCGGGAAACTGTCTTCAAGATCACCTAAATAAATTCCTAAGCTGAAGCGGACGTAGTAATTGGTGTGGTACGTCTCCTTTGTGTGGTGCTTGAACGATCCTACTGCTCGCAGGGCTTGCCGCGTTGACCAGAAACAAGTGCAAAAGTTCACAATAGCACAGTGAAGTCGATTATCAGGAAGCAGATGAGGACACTTACAACTATCAGATCAGGAAAGAGCATGGACTTGCTGCATGGAGGTCTGCGTACGACACGCAGGTAAATTTCGCAGCACGCAGCATCCGGGCGCATGCGGCAAATTCCTCGGCCCCGATCCCCAGCATGGCACAAAGGTCCCGCGGACCATCTAAGGGTTTCGAAAAGTATACCGCAAAACAGGATACCAAGCCTCTCGGCAACTCCCACACGGGGTTCTACACGAGCGCGCTCCCCATCGGAGGCTGAACACGAACGATGTTAGGCATCGAGCACCAACGCAGTCCGGGCTCCAAAGCAGTTGTGCAACAATCACAAAGTCCAATCACTAGTACTTCACCGTGCCACACTATGTAAGGGACGAGTCCTAAAAAGGTCTCGGCCATAAACGTTCGGGACAGAATACAGGAAATCTGCAAGTATGAAACGGTGCAAGCAAGAAAGTGGTCAAATACTAGTAAACGTTTAGCACGGGGCCAAACTTAACGTAAACTGGGGAAATAAAGACGCATAACCCTCATCCCTTCCACTTCGCCATCTCCGCTCTACTGCGACTACTACCGGTATCACGGCATGACGTCACTGCCAACCTCCGCAACAGGACCCCCTTGGCGCTAACCGTCAACCGTTACTGCGGCGATCAGGGCTGCAACTATAAAGAAAGGCAATGCGAACGCTACGCCGCAACTATGAGCATCCCGCTACCCTGCAACAGATATCACAGCCAACCCTCTTGCACTGCGTGCACTGCAACCATGAAAAGATGCGCAGACGTCGTGCAGGCTGCCAAAATCCCTCTCAAACGTTGTACGCCATGTTCCCTTTGTTTTATGTACGGTAAGACCCTCATTGTGCACACAAAAATGACCACGGCTCTTCGAGCGGATGCCCTTAAGGAAAAACACCGCCATCATCACCCGCAGCAACACCACCTGCCTACCCACCTGCATTCTCCTTCAGGTCGCCTGCGCATAGTTCCTTGCGCAGGAACCATCTGATGCGACGCCACGTGAACGAAGGGCCATCATAAGCCCAACTGAAACAAAGCAACCAAGCAACGGAAAACACCGTGTAAACCTTACGAAGTGAACAACAAAAATTACGGTACCCAGGTCAGAGGCATCACTCCAGACCCGCCCCTCTCCCGGCCTTCTCCCACAACTACCTCCACCATTACCACCACCGCCCTAACAGTTCCCCGCGTCCCAACCCAAATCACCTCGGCCACCGTCACCACACCCCACATGCCTACAACGGCGGTAGCTTCGGTGACATGCAGGTGCGCATGTCTACCAGCTCCGCAGCACTGCTCGCACCAATCACCTCGAACTCATCTTCCAACCCTAGTTCGCCGCACAGTGTGAGGATGGACGGGGTCAGTGGGTATGGTGTGAGCGGCCCCAGAGCTCCGCAAGCCTGTGACCGCATCAAGCACTCCAGTCTTAGGTTAGGTGGTGTCGTACAAACGCTGTCGTTACCATCTCCGTAGATTTCCTGGTATGCAGCGACCCGTGGGTCAAGGCAGCTCGCGCTGCTGCGTTGAATGCTGCGGCCTTCGGCAATTAAGAGCTGAGGACCGCCGGCTGCACCGGCCGCAGCGGCACCGCAGGCGCCCCCAGCACCCAGCGCGGCAGCAGCGGCGCCGCATGCTCCTGCATTCAACGCAGCAGCAACCACAGCGGGCGCAGCCGGCTGTGGCGGCGCCTTGCCTCCAAGGACAATGTGCGCCAGGGAGGGCCTGCCGGGAGGTTTCCCTGGCGCTTGCTGTGCCACTGCTGCTGCGCGCTCCGCAGCGCAGTGGTAGTCGAGGGGAGCGAGGCTGACTCCGCTGACGCGGGGCGGTGTCAAGGGCGCCATGGACTTCTCATGTGCCCTTCCTAGGTGGCAGGGACGTGCCTGGGGTCGAGGATGCGAACATCGTTAGCGGATGGTATTAGTATGGCGATATTTACATTACATGGGCAGATACCGGTAGTAGGCCAAGCGTGTGCTTGGCACTGGAAATTACCAACTTAGGTCAGGGTAGCAAAGGAAAATAGTCTAAAGAGGTATACGGGTACTTGAGGATATTTCCCGATATAGTCGGATGACGTGAGGAAAGTAGCGTGTTATGCAGTGATATGCGAGACGCACAGGGTCTCCGGGTGTCGATGAGGGTGTGAGTAGGGCAGCGAAGGTCAAATTTAAAAAAGAGCGAAGGATTCGAGACTGTGTTCATTGCACAGCCAAAGGTGCATTGTAAGAGCATTGCCAGAAATGGCAAAGCGCAAGAAGTGTAGAAACGGGCAAAGTAACGGCCACTGTAATTTGTGGATAGGTGGCATGCAATTCCAATTTAAGATAGAGAACAGGTAGGCTGATTCAATAGAATTGTACTTCTTGACTATCGCCACGGCCCGACTCACCGCGCATGCCTTTCCTTGCACGCGAACTGGACTCCGCCCGTCATCCTCTTTCTGTTGCCGGCCTCGTTGACCATCCAATGCCTCCAGCAATCTTCCATCTAGTGTTACTGTCGCAGTCGCGGCCCCGGCCAACGGCGGTGGCCCAGAAGCGCCATCCGAAGCCTGCCGTCTATGACGAACAACAGCGGCTGCCATATGGCCTGCTTAGGTTTGCCTATTAATGAACAATTGCTGGTCGACAGGGTCCAAAATTATCAGCGAGTTGGTTGGAGCGCTTCAGCGACCAGACATAAAGATATGAACCCTTTCTATTGCAAGTCGCTTCTTGGTAGTATCGCTCACGTTTACGAGTGTATTGGCTGGGAAATGGCCCGCTTCCCAGATTTCACTCTAGCCGGGCAGAATACGGGAAGAAACCATCTTCACTGGTATCCGTCGTCTTTTCCGCAATTCACTACAAAATAACTATGCTTCAAAACCTTTTGTTAAGACCCAACTTACGGCACGACCAAAACAGTCATGCGAAAACCTGTTCCGTAGCCGCCCGACCAGAGTTGCCCACCGGCGATGGATGCACCTGTGGGCACAGGTAGTAACTGCCCATCCCGTCCCCAATCCACATCTAGTCTGGGGCCTTCCAGCGTTGCACATCGACCTACTTGTGAGACCCATGGGTGGCGTTGGAAATGTAACGAGCACATACCCCTTAGCGACGCCAAAGCGCAACAGCTTAGAAGACGCCACAAGGACATAGCGGTGGTGACTCGGTCGCGTGGCTCGGGTGGCGGTGATATTGGCAGCAGCGAGGGTGGAGACGAATCCGGTACGGCATCAGATACCCTGTAGGGTAATTTTTAGTTGCTGCTACATGCTACCCGCACACCCATTTGCAACTTCCGAAACACAAAACTGCGCACTAGCTAGCTATCCCAACATTCATTCATGTGCTCCTTGTCGGCGCGATGACCCTCCTTGGTACCCCATATCTTACCTCCCATTGCCACGGCGCCATCCCTCCCATCCCTCCCATTCGTTCCACGCCGCCATGCGAATTTGCCGCTGTCAGTCCACGCATGGTTTGCCTTACTTCCTTACTGCCTCCATGAAAATCGCGGTCGCACGCATTCGCTCAAGAGGGACGAATCCGGCTCAGTTCCCGCGCGCTTAGCCCTTGCTTCCCCGCCCCGCCCCACCTCCCCACCTCCCTCCTCTCCCCGGCTCCAGGCGGGGGGCGGCACTGGCGAGCGCCCCCGCTCGGCGCCCCCACTCGCACCCCCTGCTTCCGCTTCTGGATAGACTACCAGGCAGGGCGCGTAGGGGGGTGGGGTGGGGTGAATAGGAACAAGAGAACAGCCATGCCATGGAGAACCAGGCCATGTGATGTGATAAAACTTGGGTGAAGGTTCCTGGCTGGCTGGGGTGGGTCCTGGGGTGGGGTATGCTGGGGTGGGATCCGGAGCGGCTGGGGGGTGGGAGCGGGGCCGGGATGGGGCACCCGGGGACCTAGACTGGGGAGGTGTGCTGCATGCGGGAATGTGAGGCGGGGCGGGTAGGAAGGGGAGTCCGGCAGCGCCGCGGCATTGCCGGCGTGCATGCATGCATGCAGGCTGGCTGGCATGCGGCCCACCTCTTGCCTGGGTATGTACGGCATCGGGCAACATGGGGTCCCGGCCGTGGACCCGGTAACAGGGGTATTGAGCTGCAGCCGTTACCCGAGTGGCCACTCTGTTGATCCTTCCCCCATCCCTCCATGTTGTGGCCTGACTGCGGTCGCGCCCGCCCTCTCCCTTCCCGCCTTCTCCCAAACACCCCCCCAACACAACACCCCTCCCCACGCTCCAAAGGTACCCGCATTGCCTACCCTCCGCCGCACACACTCCCTCCTCCCCCCGAAAGGCCTTCAGCGGTCGCGGCTCGGCGGTGCTCATCGAGCGGGCGCTGCGGGCTGCTGGCGGGCTGCGGGCTGGGGGGCCGCCCAAGCGGGAGGAGGGGCAGGGGGCCGGCAGGGATGAGGGTGAGGCGGGGGCGGGGGCGGCGGGGGGTGGAGGGACGGGCGGGAGGCGGGGCGGGGAAGGGTGAGGACCGGGTGCTGGGTTAAGGAGGGTCGGGGAGGGGGGATGCTGCTCACAGGGTCAGGGGTTGGCAGGGGTAGAAGACCCAGGAGGTGGGCGCTCAGGGCAAAGCACGCCCGCCTCCCTGTGCCTGCTGCACAGTTCCCTCCGCCCCTACCTTCCTACCTGCCCCCTCCCTTCCTCCCTTCCTCGGTCCGGCTCGCCTTGTGTCGGCACCCCAGCTGCCCACCACTCAGCCCCCTGCACCCTTGCCTCCCTCCTTCCCAGCCTCACCATCACACAATCCACGCACCAGCCCTAGCTGCCCTACCCACTCTGCGCCCCCACCCCTGCCCCATGCTTCCCCCCAACCCAAACTACGGTCAGGGTCAGTGTTTTCCCACCTCAGTGTATCTAATTCCCCCGCCCCCCCCAGGCGTGTACGGCTACCTGCACATGGACTCCTGGGACCTGCTGTGGAGTGTGACGGCCAAGGCCGCGCTGGCAGCCGACCTGCTGCGACCGCACCAGATGCTGGCCATCGTGCCCGGGCTGCTGGCGGTGAGGGGGGGGAAGGGGGAAGGAGGGGGGATGGGTGATCCGCATCGGGTTGGAATCTTGGATAGCGGCGAAGGGGGGGGTGGGGAGTGGGGTGTGGGGAGTGGAGAGTGGGGAGAGGGGTGTGGAGAGCGGGGAGAGGGGAGGGTGTTGCCTGGCTCCTGCCTGCCTACTGGTGCTCTGCCAGTCCGCCGCCGCCAGACCTGCCCCAGCGAAGTACCAGCGAAGTACCTAACTAGCTCAACTACACAACTACCTAACTTCCTGTACCCGCGCACCACTGCCCGCCCTCTCCCTCTCCGCCACGTCTTCCCTCCTGCTGACTCCTCGGCTCCCCCCCCCTCCCCCCACCCTGCCATTTCGGTGCATGGGACTGTGCTTCACCTCTCGTTTCCCTTTCTTCCCACCCTGCCCCCCTGCTCTGCAGGTGAGCCGCAAGACGACGCTGGTGCGCAGCCTGAGGGACACGTTTGGGGAGGCGGCGTGGGGGATCGTGCCCAGGTGTGCGGGTGTGGGTGTGTGGGCGCGTGGTGCGAGGAGGATCACGGGGCAGGTTTGTCGATGGCCATGATGCGGGTGGAAGAGTTGAAGGGCTGTGTTCCCTACACACACAGCCCGACTCGCGGCCAGGTTTCTCAACACTCTCCGCTGCCCTCTAAACCTCCCGCCTCCCCCCCCCCAGGTCCTTCAAGCTGCCGGACGAGCTGGACGAGTGGGGGCGCTGGGTAGCGGAGCACCCGGAGCAGGACACCGGACTGTGGATGCTGAAGAACAACAAACAGGTGGGTGGCCCACGGGGTTGGGATCACTTTTATATCATCTTACCCCACCTCCCCTTCCTATTGCTTTGCCCTGACCTGTGGTTTGGTACATCTCTGACCCCCCCTCCTCCCCCCCTCCTAATCCACAGCGCGGCACGGGGTTGCGTCTGGTTCGCACCCGCGACGCCTTCTCCGCGTGCTTCGAGTCCGTGAGCCGCCCCGACCTGCCGCCCGGTCTGCGCCTCTACCGCTGGTACCTGGCGCAGCAGTACATCACACGACCGCTGCTCATTGGTGGGTGCGGGGGGGGGGGGGTGCGGGGGGTACGGGGGCGCGTGTGCGGGGGCTGAGGGCCAGGAAGCCCAAGAAGACCAAGGGTCCACAGGTACCCACCGCAGCTTAACTCAGCAGCACCTTTACCGCACGATAAGCTGCACCGCCGTACCGCGCCTGCTGGCCCCGTAACCCAACACCGCGCCTGATGATTGATGACCCATACCTCTCCCCCCCCCCGCCCCCCCCCCATGCCTCCCGCATGCCCCCCCCTCATGGCCATTCAGACGGCCGCAAGTTCGGGGTGCGCGTGTGGGTGCTGGTGTCTGACGTGGCGCCGCTGCGGCTCTACATGTACGGCAGGGGGCTGGTGCTGTTCAGCTCGCACAGGTGGGGAAGGGTGAGGGGCGGGGGGGATGTAAGCATACCGTTCCCTCCCCTGCCTGCTGCGTAGTCACACACACAAAGCACACACACCTCTTGTGACGCACCCATGTCCCTGTCCCCCTAAACCCCTAACCCCCCTTCCACGCTCATACAGCTCGTCAGCTTCCTCTTTTTACACCCCCCCCGCCCCCCTACCCCCCTACCCCCCTACCCTCCCCCCCCCCACACACACGCTCCCAGGTACGACATGGAGCAGCTCTCAGCGGACCTGGAGGAGGCGGAGGGGGAGGGCGGTGGCAGGCAGCAGGACACAGGCCGTGACAGCTCGTCCGCGCGCGCCCCGCCCCCCGGCCACGTCACCAACTACGCCCAGAATGAGAACGGGGAGGTGTGGAGTCTGGGGCAGCTGGCAGCGCACATGGGGGAGCCGGCGTTTGGGAAGGTGAGGCTCGGGGGGCGGGGGGCGGAGAGAACCAATGCTAATGGGGGAAAATTATATAAGACATGCAAACAACAGCATGCTAAGGGGGGTGGAGGTGGCGCAACGGGCACCGCGCCGGGGGTTGGCCCTCTTGTATTGGTGTGTGTGTTGCTCTTAGACTAACACAGGCAGATGTGGATAAGCCATCGAAACACTTACATCCACGTAACCCCTCCCTCCTCCCTCCCCTCCCCGCCCCTCCCCTCCCCCCCCCCAGCTGTGGTCCGCCATGTGCCGCTCCGCCGCCGCCTCCTTCGCCGCCGCGCTGCCCCGCTGCGCGCAGGTGATGGAGTCCGTGCGCCCGCCGCCGCACGCCTGCTTCCAGTTCTTTGGGCTGGACTTCCTGGTGGAGGAGGGCGGCAGGTGGGGGGGGGGGCGGGCAGGGGACAAGGGGGGACGGAGGCATGTCCGCCTGTCTGGCTTCTGCTTGCCATGATTGTGGCTGGAAGGGCGGTTTATGCACCATTCAATGTACCATGTGTGTGTTAAGAAAACTGGCCGCGAGTAGGAACGTACTTACGTACGTAGGTACGTACCTTGTGTGTGCGTGTGCGTGTGCTGTTACCCTGGCACTGGGAAAGGGTTGTGCACTAGTGCTGTGAAACCCGCTGGACCCGCCCCCCACCCATGCACCCGGCCACCCTCCGCCCCCTCCGTCCCCCCTCCGCCCCCATTCCGCCAGGCCCTGGCTGCTGGAGGTGAATGCCACCCCGTCTATGAAGGTGGGGTGGGGTGAGGGGGTGACGGGGGGACAGGTGCAGGGAGCGGGTTGGGGTTGGAGGCCGGGGGGGAATCGGTTTACTGGGGTTGGCCGACAGTAGGCTGGCTGGCTGGCTCTTCATCGAGGTTTTCGTTTGCATTGTCTGTGCCCCCAACCCTTTTCCAATGCTGATCCCTTGCTGACTCCACTCCCGGGTACGGTATGCCCATTTTATTCTGTGCAAAATCTCCTTCCCCACTTCGCTCTTCACTACTGCTACTCCTGCGCCTGCTGCCACTGCTGCCACTGCTGCCGCTGCTCAGGTGGAGCACAGTGACCCGCGGGTCGCTGCCCTCATCCACGCCCAGAAGTGGCCGGCAGTACGAGACATGGTGGCGCTGCTGGGGCTGGGACCCGAGAGGTTCAGAGAGGGTGGGTTAAGGGGCATTCAGAGAGGGTGGGTAAAGGGGAATTTAGAGAGGGTGGGTTAAGGGGCATTCAGAGAGGGTGGGTTAAGTAGGGTTGCAAACTGTATTAGAATTTTAGGCGTTCTATTCTAACACTAATATTAGTTCTAATTAGAATCTTAGGATTAGGATTAGAACAAGGTCCCTAACTTTCTACAGGGGAGGTATTTCGACATCGGAATTTCTCTTATGGAACGGCTCATACTAATCCAGGCGTTCCCAGCAATTGTTGAGGCGGTTGGATGAGTGCTTGAGGGAGCTACCAGCCAAACCCAGGCACCGACAGTTCGCACGGCCAGTTAACGACGCGCCAAATCATGCCAGGCTCCACAGGGACAGCTAGAGGACCGTTTGCTCGCTGTAGATGATGCTTTTCGTAGGGCCGGGTGACGGTCAACGCAGCGGATGGATGTCAATGGATGTCCATTGACCATGCCTGCCGCCAGCACGATACGCTACAAGGACCGTCAAACGCCTTAACCCTGCAATGTATCGGTTCCTTACAGGCTTCGGCACGAGATTTCCGGTTGTGAGGCCGTCGCTTCCAGCGTTTGATGTTGACATTAACAACCCCAAGGCGGAAAGACGTATTAGAATTAAGCGGAAGGCATTAGAATATTCTAATGTGTTCTAAACGGCCTGTTCTAAATTCTAATATTATTTCTAATTAGAAATAATATAATATTATTTCTAACATTCTAAGGTCCTTGCAACCCTAGGGTTAAGGGGCATGTAGAGAGGGTTGGTGGGTGGGTGGGGCGGCGACTGAGCGGGGCAGGGAGGACATAGGTGCCTAGACTAAGCCGCAGAACCCACCGCTCCTTCCAGCTCCACTCCTTTACCATGCATCCTCTGACCCGCAGCCACCCTTCGGTCCTCCTCCAACGCCAACCCCCCAGCTCATGCTTCTTCGCGGCTTACTCCTAATCCTTAGATCTAACCCCTGTCTTCCCCCTCCCCCTCCCCTCACAACTACAATAATTTGCTATCCCAACTATCCAGCGTAATGCGGATTCTGTTCCCAAATTAACCCCCTCCCCCCCACCCCCGCACCCCATGGTGAAGCCTTGTCATACAGCTCGTCAGTTGCTTCGTCAGTGTCTCATCATATATATTTTTTACCCCCGCACATGCAGGCAGCCGGGCCCCCGACCGCTCCTCCCCCGCCTACGCCCTTCAGGAGCTCGGGCGGCGCGGCGGCTTCATCCCGCTGCTGCACCTGCTGCCGCACCCCGCCACCTCCAGCACACCCCAGGCGGCGGCGGCGGCGGGGCTGCTGCAGCCGCTGCCCTGGAGCCGGGCGGATAGGGCGCTGCGGGAGTGGTGCCGTACATGCAGGGAGTACCAGCGGGCGGCGGCGGAGGTGCCTGCAGCAGCGGGTGCGGGTGCGGGTGCGGGGGTGGGGGCGGGGGCGGCAGGCGGGAGTGATTGAGATAGATGGATGAGTGGGGCTAGCAGTGGCACGGTGGTGAGGACCCGCGCGGGGAGCAGGGACTGTGATACATGTTGCATGTTTTAAGGAATGGAATGAAGGAATGAACGGCTAGGGTGAAGGGCGAGCGTCTGAAATGCAGGTTGCCTATGTGAATGGCATTCCTTGCTTTTGGCCTCTCCTGGCACCCGAGTATTACCCGCATGTGCAAGGTAAGCCTGGTAAGCTAGTTCCGGTATAGGAGGGGGATGCAGGTGCTGCTGTGATGCAGTTACATGAGCGCATGAGGGTCTTGTTTGCTTCCCCATGTGCTTTATGGGCACATGCAGTTACAAGCGTGGGAAAGTGTCAAGCCAGCTCCGTTCTGCTGTTGATTGAAAGGGCGTACGGTTGCGTACGGGACGTGCCTGTTTTTTGTCTTTCCGTCCTGTCTATGTAACATGCCACATCGGGGAAAAAAGCACGGCGGTTAACCCTGAAGCAGACTCGTGGGTGCATGAAGGGCGAGGCAGTTTGCGGATGAGGTGGCTTAACTGGTTGTACAGGAGACATGTAGCGCGGCTTTCGAAGCCGATGGACGTCTAGGGTTTCAATTCTGCGAGATGTTTCGTTGTTGCGTTGACGCCCGGGCTGAAACCCCTACAGACTTGTTGTAGGTAGGTATAGGGCGAGCGACGGTAGACAGAGTGACAGCAGGCCCCTATGGTATCCTATGGGTTTTTTTGCTGAATACATGCATGGCTGTATTTATCTGCCGAAAGGATACCTTGGGTTGCTGTAAGGCGACTACAGAAAAAGAGCACCTCCCAACGGCACGGCCGGTTGGACGGATGGCGGCAGATGGGGCGGTCACGTGCTAGGCCGTATAGTCTGACGAACCCTTTCTTCCTAGGCATCAATTCTTGCCGCTTTGCGCATGCCTGCCCATGGAGGGCACCTGATAGTTCTTTCACATTTGTAGGCATGCATGCCGAAATCCGATCCCTACCAACCGAAGGCACAACCAAGATTCCGCTTACTAAGTATCAGTTGATTGAAGCGCGTTACTCCCTTAAATAGGTAATCCCGGTGCAAAGGAGAGCTTTTCTGTGGCGAGAGCGTGGGGACGTGCATAGAGATTAGGCGTGCGGATTGGCCCAGATGTTACTAGCTGCGAGCGCATACAACAGATCTGGTGACGCTGCACTGTATATCTGGGCCAACTGTCGCCTGTAAAAGGCCCAACAGCGACAGTCTATGTTGTACAATGTCACAAAGGTGTACCCTCTCATGGGTCTGGTCTATATAAATAGCAGAGCTCAACTTCGCTTAAATATTAAGGATTCGACGTAGCAATTCAGACGTAGCACCTTGCCTGACGCTACCCGGGCCTATCATTGTTCCACATTACGAGGCCTACATAGGCTTCAAGGTCCCGTCATCCTTAGTTTCTCCGCGTGGGGACAAGATCGGTTTCCTTGCAGGCGCTGAGCCCTGTTAACCTGCTTCTCGTAACAGCTTGCTGCGTCACGTCAGCATTGTAGCCTAGAGGGCCTTAAAGCGGAATGGATGTTATACAGGAAGACGGTGCTAACAGCACAAATTACGTTGATTGGGCTTTCCTGCCCCCTACTGCGCTGCATGTGAGTCACTTTGTTTGTTAGGCAATTGGGACCGCTCAGAGCGGCCCAGTTTGCCCTGCATCCAAAATCTCCTAAATCTTGCTGATCTAACCTTCAGTCAGTCAGGGATACCGCCTTAACGGCGTCCGCAGCGCTGCATTGTCAGGACCTTTCTTACTTCATTTCCTTGCTTTATGTAGGTGATCGGCACGCTCCTGCAATCGCCTTCGCTTCTAAGAGCAAGGCTTGTAAACAAGCACTGGGCGAGCTGTCTAGCTGGAGTAGTGGACACACTCTACATCGTACCCGAGTACTTCCTGGCCGAGGATGGCATTAAGGAGGTGCATAGCGCCTTCCCGAAGGCCAAAACAGTTCATCTGGACGTGCAGGACACGTTTATGGCAGTTCCCCAGGATGTTAAAGAAAGCCTAGACCGCTACGCGTTACAGCGCAAGGGACAGCAGTTCCCACGGCCCAACCCGGCAAGTGGTGATGACAAGGGGTCGGCGTCGGGCCAGACAGCGGATCCGGGCAGCGTTGCAGCAGGAGGCAATGTTGCGGAGGCGCAGCAGGTGCCGGGTCAGAATGCACCCGAGCAGCAGCAGCAGCAGCAACAGCAACAACAGCAGGGGCAGCAACAGCAACAAGGGGAGCAGCCGGAAATACAGCTGCAGCAGTTAGAGCAGCAGCTACAACTCCAGCTTCAGCAACACGAGCAGCAGCAGAACCCGATTGCTGCGCTTGCTGCCGCCTTCGCCGCCGGGCTGCTGAACCCCGTACCTGGCCAGGCCGTGCCCGCCCCCGCGCAGGCGCCTGCGGCAGTCCCACCACCACCGCCCACCTTCAAGATGTCAGCCATTCCTGCAGAGCCCTACTCCGGCATCGTCCCATCCAGCACCACCCACCTCCGCGTGCGCATGCCTGACCCCCCCGACGTCACCGCGCACCATGCCGACATGCCCACCTCCTGGGACTACGTCTCCTCCCTGCTCTCCTCCGTCGGAACGCAGCTGAGCGGCCTCTCGCTCTCCACCGCCCCCGACGCTGCCCACATCAGCATGCTGGCCCCCCTCACGCAGCTCACCTCCCTTACCATGGACGAGGCCTCCCACTCCACCTGGTCCGTTGACCACCTGCCCATCGTCGGCTCGCTGACCTCCCTGCGCAGCCTGGCCGTCAAGATTCCGCCCTTCCGCAGCTCCCGTGTTGAGCCCGGTCCTGGCGGACAGCCCGTGCAGCACCCGCAGCAGCCGCCCGCGCTCTCCTCCTGGACGGCTCTGCAGCAGCTGACCAAGCTGCATGTGTCGGCGCTGCGCTACAGCTTCCACTCCTCCCTGGTGTCTGTGCTGCCCTCCCTGACCAAGCTAGAGTACCTGGCACTGCGGGCGCCTCAGACCCGGTTGCCGTGGCCCGGCACCGACAAGCCGCTGTTTGCCAACATTGGCCTTCTGACGGGGCTGACCCAGTTGAGCCTGGCGCTGGGGGACCACAACATGGCGCCGCAAGACTGGCAGTCGCTGACCTCGCTGAGCAGGTGCGGCGGGAACTGGTTAGGGGGTTGTTAGTCAGTGTAGTGAGGAGGAGTAAAAAATGACGTGGTACCAATTGTGTTATGGGTCGGCATGGAAACGGCGCAGTGAGGTAGGGCGAGTGAGGGACTCTACGCGGGATGTGGGTCGGCGTGTATTATGTCCATGTCCATTTGTGGCAACGCCGCGGACCGCGTTTGCCTCAGACTGTCCGCCATCGAGCTGAGCGTGGCGGAGGGCAGCGACGGCCTCAACGTGCCGGGCGGCCTGGACTTCCCCGCCCTGCGCGCCCTCAAGCTGCGCTACCCGAACAGGTACGCACGCGGCGTCAGCGCGGGTGTCCCGCTTTCGCATGTGGAAGGGTGTAGGTTGGATCATGCGACAATCCTGTAAGGGAAGGAGTTGGGCAATTAGGCACACGAGGCGCAACCCAATCACATATGCATGAGCCACATAGCCGTTTGCAGTACACGAAACGAGGGAACGTAGTGGCTGGGCATCGCCTACCCACAAGCTAATGCTGGTCTTGAACCCAAGCGGAGTAGCATGCTATTCCCCGTAGGGTTGCGTATCTGACCCACATCCGCCACGTTCTGCCTGTTCCACTCGCAGCGTCGACCTGGTCCGCATCGCGATGTGGACGGGCGTGCAGAAGCTTGACATCAAGTTCCCAGAGCACGAGAGGGAGTGGCACCAGGTCAGTTATGGATTTCTATTATGCCAAGTTGCAAACTAGACGGACGTTGTCGTATTCCTCCGACAATCCTCAGACGCACATTCCCCTCACCACTTCGGGTACCCAGCCACACCATAAGCTCTTACCCATCCGCCGGGCGACTGCGCTTATCTCCACTCTCACCCCAGGAGGACGCCGCTCAGGGCTTGGAGGAGCTCATTCCCAAGCTGCCTCCCTCCGCCGGCGCCTCCATCATCTCCTCGGTGCTGGACGCCTCCGCCTCCCACCACGTGGGCCCCGTGGAGGTGCGCTCCAGCGGCGGCGTGCTCACCATCGTGGGGGCTGCGGGTCACGCAGCCGTGCAGGCTGCCGCCTCGGGGCTGCCGCAGCCGCCCACGGGTGCGGACACCAAGCTGGCCTGGTGGTCGCCGCTGCTGCCGCTGCTGGCGCTGCCCAACATGACGGACTTCAGGTGTGGGCGGGGTGCTGCTTGCTGTGGCTCGCTGTGGGGGGAGTGGATGCAGGTTAGGCGTCTCTTGACGTCTGCAAGGCTGGGTCGGTTGAGCTTCACGCGCTGCAGCGATATGGGCATCTGCCTTGGTTGCGGCCTTGCCGCAATCGAGTAGGGCATTACTTCACCTTCCGTCCACTCACCAACCGCTTCCGCGCCTCCTGTCCACGTACCGTAGGTGTTCTGCCAAGGAGGGTCTCGCCAGCCACACCCCCATCCTGTTTGACAACATCCTGGCCGGCCTGTGCACCGCCTGGCCCGGCGTCACGCGGCTGTGCTTCAAGGGGCTGGTCAACGTGGTCAGCCAGTCGTCGGGCTGGGACTCCCTGCAGGCGCTCACCAAGCTGCAGCAGCTGGAGCTCAGGTGCGAGTGGGAGCGGGCCGGAGGGGTGGTGGTAGGTTGACCGAAGGCCGCGTAGGATGCACGAGACACTGTTGGTCTGTCTGTCGTGGTGTCGTATCTTGTGAGCACGACACATTTGTTTCCGTTCCGGTACCAGAAGTACACACGCCCCCTCCCCCCGAAGCGCTGGAGTACCTAACCCTGTTTATTACTGCGCCCGCCCCCGGCAGGCACCACCCGCCTAACAACGGCGAGAACCCTGCCGAGCATGTGGTTGACCGCAACGGCCGCAACCGCTACGTGCGGGTGGAGCCCATCAAGCTGCCCGCCACCAGCCTGCCCAACTCGCTGCAGGTGAGCCGCCAGCCTGCGGAGGCTGCTGCCTAGGTCATTTGTGCTGCTGGCATGCGGGTACCGAAGTAAGGGTTTCAGAACATGCGCCGGGCTTAGAGATGCAAGCAGCCTATGGAATTGATTTTGCGAAACAGGGTTGCACGCCAGCCGTTTGCAAGGTTTCCTTCCTGCGCTGTGTCCACTACTCGTGCGTGGCGCTGAGTCTAGTCGTCCACCTTCAGACCAGTACTGGTTCATGATGCTTCTCTGGCGGCTGTGGCCTGACGTTACCGTTTCTACGCAGGCGTTGCTTTTGGAGAACGTGGAGCTGCGGCGCAAGGAGGTGGGTCAGGTCAGCTCCGGCGGCCAATCCTGTCCTTCCGTTAGGCCGTCGTTCCTGAGTTAGGTCGGCACTTGATGCTAACTGCTAAACTCCCTTTCCAAGTGTCCACCATACGCTTATGTCCAGCGGAAAACCTGATCCCTTGTGCGTCCTTTCCCAAGCGGGCGTCCTAACCCTTGTTACTTCCTGAATGCTATCCCACACCCAGACCGACTGCCTGGTGAACCTGACCTCCCTGGAGCGCCGGACCACCTGCCGCCACTTCCCCGAGTTTGAGGGCATGCCGCTGCAGGTGGGGATGGGCTGGGGGCAGGGACGGGAAGGGTGTGATGGGGCTCCGTTGGGCCCACGTTGCCATCCTTGTCGGGTAGCTGTTGTCAGCAAACGGGTTGAGTTGCGCGCTATACCGGTATGTACGCCGCGTGCGTTTCAATTCCAGTTCGGGCAGCAATCACACGGTTCGTTTCTGGTAATATTTCTTCCTTCCTTACTCACCAACCGCGCCCCACCCATCCTCCACTTTCCCCCTCCGCAGCGCCTGGTGGTGTCCAACTGCTGCGTCAAGGCCAAGGGCATCCAGAGCATCGCCACCGAGTGCGGGGCGCTGACCCACCTTGTGTTCGCGGTGTACAAGGTGACGGAGCCCAACGACCTCAGGGAGCTGCAGGTGGGAGGGGGGATTGAGGAAGACGAAATGAAGCAGGGAGGAGGGGGGAAGGGGACCGTGGAGTAGGGGGGCTGCAGGCTGCTGCGGCCTGTTGGAGCGCGGGAGGCCAGCCGGCGATGTGCGCGGGCGTGTTCAGGTGTCAGGGGCGGCCGGACCCGGACCGACGCGGTCCCGTTGCTGCACGTGCGTGCTACTCATTGGCCTTTTTCTGTGCATTTCCACAACCCTGGCACTTACCCCGCTTGCCTATTCCCTGCCGCCATGCTGCCACAGAGCGCACTGAGCCTGATGGTGCGGCAGCTGTCGCAGCTGCAAGTGCTCAAGGTCCGGGTGCTTGCGGGCTGCATCACGCAGGTAGGTTTGATTGTATGAACCCTTTTGACAGTAGGACAGTAGGGAAACGTTGTATGGGTTCCGAGTACCGGCAATTGGGCATGCTTTGAAGTCGGAGCGTGTAGTTGTGCGGTCCACCAGAATCACGCCGGCGTGCTGCTTCCCATGCTGCCCGCACGCAGGATCTGGTTGAGGAGATGGTGGTGCAGCTGCGTCACCTGCAGCGCCTGAAGCTCACGAGCTCCGATGGCTGGGCCGACACCGCGCTCTTCCTGCCCCTCACGCGCATGTCCGGACTGCGCAAGTGCTCGCTCGCCTACTTCAAGAGCGTGGAGGCTGCGAGGCTGCTGCGAGCGGAGTTCCGAGCCATGCTGCCGTACTGCAAGATCAAGGCGAAGCACGACACCTAAATACACGCACATGCGGGGGTTGTGCGAGCCGAATGGTTGTGAGGAACGGTTTGTCGTACGGCAGGGTGCAGGGCGCTAAATGCATGGACACAACGGGCTATAGATGCATTCGGACTGCAGCGCGTGAGGGGTGTGTTGAAATGATGATACACCCTCGGTGCAAAGCAGACGCTAGGTGGCTGTGCAGAAACGGCTCTTGCGGTTTGGAAGGGTGGATACCTGGGCGTGGTTGAAAGATGTGGTTTCATGGCTTTTCCCTGGCTCTGTTGGGCCCTGTCAGTTTACCGGTATACGTAGTAGAGGTGCGAATCCCACCAGTCAGTTTGCCGTAAGGAATTCCCAATAGTGTTTTGTAATAAGTAGGGTACGTGCTGTAGGGTCCATTGTGAAATGCGCAGTTTACTTTCCAGCAGCAGCTAGCGCTTGATTGTGGCACCCGGAGGTCTAGCACCCGGTCACATGGAACGGCCGCGATATGGTGCACGATTTGTTGCGGCCGAGATGCCTACTGGCTTGCGTGCAACCAGGGCCCGTGGGTGCTGACCTTGTTGGAAGTGGGAATGCAGGGCAGTAGAGCTTGCATGTGGGAAAGGCATGTGACGGAGTCGTTAAACCGTGCTTCGGCCGGGTCAATAAGTAGCGACACAACCTGATACGAGGATGTGTGATAGCCCATACGGTAGCCCCACCGGCGTCGTAGGTGGGGGTGGGTAAGTAAGGCAGTTTCGTGCTGTTACATTGTCGGTTATGCTGCAGGCTATGGGTGTCAGAGCATGAAGGCTGGGCGGCAACATATTGATGCGGACAGTTCGGACAGCCCTGCATTGCAAGAAACTTGGAGAAGGTCTTCGTTACATGCACTGTGCTGGCGAGTTCAAAGTCTCTAGGCCTCCTCCATTCTTCCAGGTGTATCCGGGTGTTACTTGGCGGTATGTTTCTGGGGGGGGCCTGACTAGCAGAGGCTTGTCCGTAAGGGTTGCCCTTTTGCATGCGCAGGGCCAGTCCACAATATGATAAAACTGTGTGTGTGGGCGAACGCCCTTCCAACCCCAATCACGGTGTGAATAACTTTTTGTGGTACGTCCGCAGTCTTTGATGTCGTTTTGCATTGGCCACATAGTTGCACTACGCCATGCCCGCACCGAGGATACCGAGCGCAAGGTTTTTAATTGTCGCGGTGCAACACCAACATTTGCTGTGTCCGGAGGTGCTCGTTGGTACGGTTTGCTATGCCTGGTGGTGCCCTGTGTAGTGGCTGTTGCTTATCAACACCAGTGGGTTACTTGTGTGGCACGCGCGCCGCGTAGTCTATTACGGGCGGTTAGAACGAGTAGACTCTTTTGTATCGGCCGCCATGGTTTCCAGTGTTTTCGGGACATGTCCGTAAGGATTCTGGGGTGTTTTTGTTCAGCGTTACAGCGGACACTGCGTGTTGACAGCGTTTTGACAACAGTTGACTTGATACACCGGCTCCTGCTGGAATAGGAGTTCGGAAATGTAAGCATTCGTGACACTTGGCGCTATTACTCCAGTTGGGTTGAATTACTCGGTGAAAACCACATACCTGCCACCAGGACGATAGAGAAATTTATGCAGACAACAGGGGCGGCTTGCAATTCTTCAAAACTCGGGACATCCGTCAAGACACGTATTTCGTAAAGTAGGACTCTCGTTAATATGAGCCCGCTTGGCTAGGAAGAAGGCCAGCGGGAAATACGTTGCGTGGCTTTACATCCCACCTAGGTGCATTAGTAAGCTGCGGAGGTTACAGCAAGCTGCTCGCCACGCGCCCCTTAGGATTTGGCTTAAATCAGATTCCTATTTCAATCGCCGCAGAAGGCAATTCTAGCTCCAGATAGGCCTGTGATCGTGTGATGTATACTGGAGCGTACAACCTTGCCTGCACGACCTCCAAGACAATCACCCCACTACTATACCGGTTAGCATTTCAGCAGATTGGCTGAGGCGCTAGGGCCTAAGGGTGAAAGACAGAAGCACGAACCTAATTGTCCAACCTCGTGGCATGCTCCATTTGCATATCTAATCTAGGCGTCCATTGCTACATTCTCAATTTTTTAAAATTAACTAGCATTGATAGTAGGTATACTCCAAAGCGGAGGCAAGGTTGGTTCGCAGCTCCGTACAACACCAACTTTGGATTCATGAAAAGATGAACCAAGCGCGATCCACCTTGGGTACCAATGGTCATAGTCCATTGCGCGATGTGTCCATGATAAGCAGTATTACGAAGCTTTCAATGCTGACTGCTGTGACAGCTAACTGCGTTTTCTCAACCCATCGAGCCATGCACGCATTATCACATTATCCCCAGGGGAATTACTTATGCTACGCATATGTGCCTAATGTTGGGGCGATGGCCTTATGACTCGCTTAGAAGGGGCGGCTGCGAGGTAAGTGCTTGCTTGCTTGGTCATTGCGGAGCCTGAGTCGCACCATTGTGCGTGCGATACTTTTAAGTAGACTTCATAGTTGATAGTATGTGATTGCACATCGTAAACTGCGGTAAACGACTTGCCAGCCATTACGCGAATGCAAGCGTCGCAGAGTTCTAGTTTTTACGCCTTTCCTGCTGACGGCCACACCCTAGGTACCAGCGATGTCACAGTCGCGCTGCGTTTCGGCACCTCCACGGCGATCCAGCGGACCGGGGGAAAATGGCCCCCCTGTGAAAGCGCCAGCACAGCCCACTTCCTCCAGTCCTCTCGTCGTGAAGGGCAGAGCTTTTCATTCTACCGAAACCGGCGATGCTGAAGCCAGCACAGCCACATGCACCAAGCAAAATGCGCAGCAGCAATGTCAGCGGAGGCCTTCTTCAGCTGGCCAATACGGATACGGGCTACCGACAACGGCCCATGTGCGCCCAAATTCGGCCCATAATCGCTCGCCCCCCTACCACTGTAACCACCCGGACTCCGCCTTTCTCTTTGACAAGGCCCAGCACCCAGCGACTCCACATGCTGCCGGGCCCTCCGGCGGCAGAAATGCGTCCCAGGGTACGGATGCTTTCGCCCCTGCCTCAAACGGCTTTGTTCGACGTCCCTCCAGTGCCGGGCTCAGTAAGCCCCTGCCCCAGCGCTTTGCGCCCGCACCGCAGCCTTACCACCATCGTGTACGGGATCTCCTCGACGGAAGCAGAAACGCAGCCGGAGCAGGAGGAGGAGGTACCAGCAGTTATGGCAGCAGCAGCAAAAGCGGCGCCCACAAGGGACGGGAAGGAGGTCAAAGCTCTTACCAAGGCCCCTGCAGTGGTCAGGAGAACGCCAAGCCGCCTCCAATAGCAACCTCCACAGGACTGAAACACCCGTGCCCCGCCAGTTCATCCGCGGCTCGGCAACCGTTCGCGGAGCTGAGGCAGCCTGTACAAGACCAGGCGCCGCGGCCGCATTGCAACCACCAGCAGCCGCATTACCACCACCAACAACAACAGCAGCAGCAGCAGCTGCGACGACAATCGAGCTGCGGTGCGTCCGGTGACACTTGCGTCTCGCAGGCGGCTAAGGAAGCCCCACGGCACGATTTAATCAGCCGGTATGCGCAGTGGCTGCCACTAGCAGCAGCAGCACCTGCATCGCAGGATCGGAAGCTGTACGCCGATGCCGCTGGCCGGTCCCGGGGGCCTGCACCTGGTTGCAAGGAGCAGGAGGGAATGATGCGAGGAGAGTGCGGCGGAAGGCAACAGCAGCAGCCGCAGCCTGGGAGGGCAGTGGATGAGGCATCAGCGCAGCATGGAGAGCAGCAGCGGCGGGATGTACCTGCTTCCGTGGAGGCAGAAGGCAGGGATGGAGAGGAGCATTGGGAGTGGCTCCTGCGGGCACCACCCACACCGGAATCGCCGCATGGGTGAGTCTGGGTTGCTGCAACCCTGTTACCAAGCAGCCTCGATAAGACCGATCCTCCTGTCCGCCACCCCACCCCTCCGAGCATGCTCCCCTTGTTCAGCAGCATTATCACCACCAGCAGGCTAAAGGGAGGCCTCCTCCTCCAAACCACTCTCCCCCTCCGCAGCTCCGAAGCCCTCCGCGCACTGCTGGCCTCCATCAGCCCCAAGTTCGCTGTTCGGCGGCCCGAGGGCTACGTCCCCGCGACACCCTCCTCCGTCTCCTCCAGCCGCTACGTGCGCTCAGACGTGTGGGCCCTGCAGTCACCAGGCCCCGCCAGCCCCGCCGGCTCCGACCTACACAACGCCGGCGGCGGCGGCGGCGGCTTGGTTGGTGCACTGTTGGGCGCGGGTGGCGGGGCTGTGGAATCAGCAGCGGCCTCACCCTTCCAGTTCAGCCCGCAAGCGCACCATGCGCATGCGGGGGATTCGCGGGCACGTAGTTGCCGCCGCAGCGGCATTCAGGGGGGACCCGCGCCCGTAACCCCAACCGAGGCACTGCATAAGAAGCTTCTGATGCGGGTCGCTGCTGCAGCAGCGGCGGCGGCTGCTGCAGCGGAGGCGGACGCAGCAGCCGATGCCGGCTTTCGAGCTGCTGCGGGCCGTGCCGCCGCCTCCTACGATGATCACCGGAGGACCCATGCGGAGGAGTGGCAGGCCAGACATCAGGAGGTACCGGCCACGTACCATGCTAGCAGCGAGTCGGGCCACCGTGGAGCAGCGCATCAGCAGGAGCTTCGCAGTGGGGCGGTGTCTGAAGCCGGCCGCGCCAGCAGACCCCCTCAGTCACGGCAAGCTGGACAGCATCGGCAACACGAGGAAAGCAGCAGCCGGACGCATGTTGTTGATCAAGGGGAGCGCAGGCGCGAGCTTGGGGTGCCGTACAGGGACCCCTGCCCCCAGGCCGCAACACCAGGCAAGTCGCGTTTCTACCAGCAGGCCTCCCAGCAAGGGCAGCAGCAGCAGCGGCAGGAAAGTCAATCGCGGCAGGCCAGGCTGCGAGACAGTGAGGCACAGACCTCGCCGCGGCGGGACCAGCTGTCACCGGCGGCAATGCCCCTCTGGCGGCCGCTGCCCCTGCAGCAACAGCGGCAGCCGCAGCCGCATGAGGACGGGACGGGAGGGGCTCGGCGCCGCTGTGCCAGCGACGGCGGCAGCAGCGGGTGCTCCACTTCGTCGGCTGCGGTAGCTGGGAGCCAAAGCCGCGATAGCCGCAGCTGCAGTCGAGCAGGCCGCATTGCAACCCAGTGCGATGCTGCCACCTCGCCGCCCCCCACCTCCCGCCGCACCACCCCCGCCACCTCCAGCCAAGTCGGGAGCCATGGGGCACGCAGCACCAAGCGCCGGCAGGCTTGGGCCCCACCTTGCCCCTCCGCAGACACGGCCGTCGCCGCACGAGGCCACATGGGGAGTGCGAAAGGGCATGGAGCGCCTCGTAGGCCTGATGCCTGTTTGGAGCTTGACTCGGGCTCAGGCCCCGGCTCCCCGCCAAACGCCACTCGCATACACGCGTTCAGCAACGCCGCAATGTCGCCGCCGCCATTCTCGGAAGCCCACTCCGGGCTCCTACAGGGGCCGCAGGGGCAGCCGCTCTGCTACCGCAGCAGCCCACATGGCAATGTGCCCCGCACGCCGTCTAGCGTGAAGTGCCCATCCAGGGAGGTCCCACCAACGCCCTTTCATGACAGGACTGGCTCGCAGGCGCGGCCGCCGCTCCCTTCCCAACACGACGAGTTGGCCGGCGGATGTAGCGCTGTAAGAGGCAAGAGTGGCCGCGGCGGCAGCAGCAGAGGCGATGGCTGTGAGCCTAAGCCGAAAGCGAGGGGGGAATCGGGTGGAGGCGGTGCTGCAACGACTGCCAACTCCCAAGCAGCAGCAGCAGAGGTGGTCAGCGATGACACCTTTAGCTTCCGGCGTGGCCAAGCCGCACTAGTAGCCGCTGCTGCTACTGCTGCCACCGCCGCCGGACCAGCCAGTAACAAGCCTCCAGGGGCAACTGGGTCTGCAATGGCGGCGCCGGCACCGCTGTTGAAGGTGTCTCCGGCGGCAAAAGCGGCTCCTACGGTTTCACGGGACTCTGGGAAAAGGCAGCGCCGGCGTTGGGCAGTGTCGGACTCGGCCAGCAAAGGCGGCGGTGTAACGTCGCCCAACTCACGGGTAGCCAGGCAGCTAGTGGCGCCGCCATCTCCCATGCAGGACACCGGCAGTGGTTGCGCTGCTGCTAGGGGGCGCTCGTCCGCGCCCTCAACTACCGGAGCTGCAAAGCCCCGAGCCACTTCCGCAACCTCCACTTCTGCATGCAAGGGGGCGGCTCTAAGGCTCGCGGCGGCCAGCTGTGGCAGCAACCAAAGCAAGGCGGCAGCAAAGTCATCAACGTCCTCATCGTCCGCCTGCTGCTCCTCGGCCGGTTGCGGCGCCTCTGACATGGGCGCCAGCAGCTCCGACTCTTGGAGCATGGCGAGCCTTGTCGGGCTGCTGAACGCCCCGGGGTGCCCAGAGCCTCCGTCGCCTTGTGCTGCGCAACATCGCAAGCAGGCTGCCAGCAAGGACCGCAACGGGGCACCGGAAGCGGGCAGCACCGGGCGCTGCTCAGGCGGCTCCGCAGGCGCTAGGACTGCCAAAGCGCCGCCCGGGAGTTGCCGCGCAGGCGACTCAAGCCCGATCGTGCAGGGGACCTCATGCCATGGAGGTGGGTTCTGTCAGCTCACATTACTTACCGTAGCTGTGTCTGATCATCGCGCACCAAGAAATTTAGGGATTATTTTAACTTAACGCGCAGCCGTGTAAGGAATTATTATTTTTAACGCGCAGGGGTCTGAGCAATTATTTTTCACAACGCGCAGCCTTGAGGCTAGTATGTAAGCAGCCTGTAATTTAAGTTATAAAGATCGGAAAGCAGAGCGGCACCCGCGTGTCTTCTTGTCACCTTCTCGCGAAAGCTCAGTAAGCTGCTAGCAAGGAGGCGTAGGTATGGATGGGGTCGGGGAAACTGTGAATCCCTACTTTGGGGGCGGCACAGCGACGGGGTGGGCAATTTTTTTTAACGCGCAGGCCTTAGGGGAATTATTTATTTTTAACGCGCAGGCCCCGGAGCAATTATTTTATTTTGCGCGTTAATGCACACTTTGCCAAATAATTATTTATTTTTGCGCGATGATCACTGGGAAGGACGGTATAAGGCTTGTACTGCGCTTGTAATGTTTCCGTTGCCGTACGCAGGTCCAGGGCGGCAGTCGAGGCGCAGCAGTGGCAGCTGCGGCAACTCCGCTGCGGCTGTGGCTGCTGTGGTAAGCGAGCCGAGGTCCGGTGGACGCACCGTGTACGACAGTGGTGGGGATGGTGGCAGCTCAATGGTGTCGTACGAGGCCGCGGAGAGTGTACGGCGGAATCTGCTGGTGTCCTTCAGGCATGTGGGCGCGGGACCAGCAACCCCTCCGGACTGCTCAGCGGCTGCTGCTGCGCCTTGCGCCCCCTCCTCATGCGACAGACGGCCCTCAGTGGCTGCGGCCGCTGCTGAAAAGGGTAGCGGCGCTAGCTGCAACAGCAGCAGTGTCAAAGCCAACTCCTGTAAAGGCGTCAGTCCGCAGCAGCAGCGGCAACCGCAGCAACACCGGCCGGCCTCGCCGCAGCCTCATCCGCGTCGCCGGCAGTGGGAGGTCCCTGGCGCTGCACCCCCACAGCATTCGGACACTCGACACCATGGCTCCCAGGATTGCGACAGGGGCCACGGGCTGGCCCGGGAGGATGGCGGTAGCAGCCGGGAAGCTGGAAAGCCGGCGGCAGGGGCGGGGGCAGCAGCGGCAGCATGGGCGCCGAAGCCGCCGCCAGCACCACGTGAGGGAGCCGCCCCGAGGCATCATCGCTCGTCGTCGCAAAGAGATCCGAGCGCAAAGGGGTACGTGAAACAAGGGTGTTCTTGGCACGACTGGCAAACTACAAATGACTGGGTTGAAACACCGCGGCGCGCTTCACGGGAGGGCATGTCCCTAGGGTGGGGACGTTCGAAGGACATTCCGGTTTGCATGGAAACATTCTGCTTCCCAACTTCCGCCTTTCTGCAGGCCCCAAGACGTCTTGGACCCTCGCAGTCCCATCGCTCGCACCACCGCGCCCACCTCACCCGTCGTGAAGAAGGTCCCTCCCAGTCCACGTGGACACTCACATCGGGTTTCTCATCGCAGCATCCTGGAGTCACCTATGTCACCTGACGTACGCATTCCAAAGACCCATGGGTCAGGGACGTCCGGCGCTGAGGACGTGATACCAGCACATGGCCTGGCGGGACAAAGAAGCGCTTATAGCTGCAGCAGGCCTTCACGCCCGCAGTCCGCCGCGTCATGCAGCTCCGAGCGCAGCAGTCGGAGTGGTTCGGCGCAGCGGCATTGGAGCTACAGCCGTAACCGCGAGCGAGCTGTTGCGTTGAACGGCATCCTGGCCGCAGCTGCAGCAGCGTTTGGAGGGGTTGGAGCAGACCATGGCAGGGTGGGCTAGGAGGGGGCATGCTTCTCTATTTGTATTTGGTTAGCAGGTTGGCTGTTTGCTGGTTGGTAAGGCTGGTTGCAATCACCTAGAGCCAGGTTGTGCGTTTTGGGACTTGTAATTGTTAGCCCTTGAGAACTGGCAGGCTGGGTAGCGCGACGATTCCAGGATGGGAAGCGTGGCTGCAGAGGGGCTGCAGGCGATGACGCCTGTTCCGTGTGCTACTGGTACATTCCCCGTTGACATTGCAAGAGCAGAGGGGCCTTGGTTCGGAGGTCGGACAGTGGGTGGACTGTTGTAATTGCATGCTACGGCGGTTGTACACTATGGTAATTTTGCTATCATTTGCTCCTGTCCACCGTGATAGTACATGTAGGGTACGGTGGCTGGGGAAAATCAGGCTATTCCTGGTGCACATGTTGATCGGCGAGGAAGCCCCACACCGTTGTCTTGTCACAATGCATGGCGTGCGGTTCTCCAGCGCTTTGTACATGCTTCCGTGTCTGCCACGAATCGACAACCGGCAGCATTATTTGTTCCTTACATAATTTGAATGTTCCTACTACAAACTCCAAATAAAACGCCCATAACCGGGCAGCTCTGTCTGTTCCACTGCCATGGATCCCCCGGTACCACGCAGTCGTTCCATAATACGCCCCGCATAGGTCCCCTCTCCCTCTATTGCAGCGGGGCCACCGGCATCTCGTCTCTATCTATAGATCTGAGGCCGTGACTACGACACGCGACTCAAAACTGACCACACGACCTCGCGGCACACGCGCAGCCACCACAACTCAGCATTAACCGTCAGCCCCTAATACGCTTTGAATCTGCCATCCCGCACCCTCTTTAGGCCCGGGAAGCTGGCGCATTGTTGGACCCCAAAAGGCAAAACACCTGCACACTTTATCCCACCGGCAGGCCCGCTCTCAGCATGCAAGCCCCAATTGGTAGCTCGTGCTTCTTAACAGTAGCTAACCAACAAGGTCAAAGCGAAAGCACCAAGACCAAGAAACGTCAAATAGGCGCAGCCACAAGCGCCAAACAATAAGTGTTGATGTGGGAGTTTAGCCAAAGGCATCACTCTCCCCTAAACGACAAACGTGTGTTCTGAACAGTTCTAACCTGGTCCCCAAAGCCCAGACAGCCACAATACCGAAACCCACCTCATGCCCACCATACTGTGGAATCGCGAACTAAACCAAGCACAACGACCTACGACCTTATCACTGTTATCCACAAATTATTTCTCCACCAATAAGCTACCCATCGATGCACATGACGGACCGAGTCAGACGCACAGCACCTTATACGGCAACCGGGGGCCGCTCGGCAGCCACGTTCGACATGGGGGCTCCGGACACATCGAAGATGCCGCCCTGCACCTCCAGCGGTTGCCCAAGCAGGTTGTCGCCCGCCTGCTTCGTCAGGTACCTACACAATGGAGGCAAGTGTGGACGTCAGCAGCAGGGCATGGCGCAAAGATCTGCAGGCAGAAGAGCAGGCGACATGTACACCAAGACCAGGACAGCAGCTCACCTGTCAACGGCAGCGGCAGCATCGCGGCCCTCGCGGATAGCCCACACCACCAGCGACTGGCCACGGCGGCAGTCACCAGCCGCGAAGACGCCGGGGATGCTGGTGGCAAAGTCGCCGAACGCGGCCTTGAAGTTGCTGCGTCCGTCCGTCTCCACGCCCAGCGAGGCCGCCAGGCGCTCCTCGGGCCCGGTGAAGCCCATGGCCAGCAGCACCATGTCGGCCTCCAGCACACGTGCGGTGCCGGGCTGCTCAACAGGCCGGAACTGGCCCGTGGCGGCGTCCTTCTCCATCCTGCGGAGATAAAGGGTAACGCAAAGGTTCAAATTTGCAAGAGTGGTTACCAGCGGCCATGGAGGATTGCTTAGCGTGTGGAAGTACAAGGTCATGTAGAAGCCCAGTCGAGCCCGGCAGGTGAATACTTCGTAACGTGACCAGACCAGATGATCCAGAGAGCGGAACTTACTTGACCTCGACGATCTCGACACCCTTGAGGTTGCCGTTGTCGTCGCCGATGAAGCGCTTCGTCATCACGTTGTACGTGCGCGGGTCCTGGCCGTACACCAGGGAAGCCTCGGCGTGGCCGTAGTCCACGCGGAAGATGCGCGGCCACTGCGGCCAGGGGTTGTTCTTGGCGCGCGTGGCGGGCGGCTTGTCCAGCAGCTCCAGGTTGATGATGCTGGTGGCGCCGTGGCGCAGCGAGGTGGCAATGCAGTCCGTGCCGGTGTCACCGCCGCCAATCACGACGACCTTCTTGCCGGCAGCGCTGATGTACCTGTATGCCACATGAGGGAGCACATACAACCATGGTTAAGACCAGTACATGCACTCACAAAATCAACAGGGTAATGCAGGTCCCCTTAACATGGTCACCACAAGGCGGGCGACCACGCCAGCCAGTGGAAGTTACTCACTTGCCGTCCTTCAGGCCGCTGTCAAGCAGCGAGCGCGTGTTAGCGGTCAGGAAGTCCATGGCGAAGTGCACACCCGACAGCTCGCGCCCTTGGACAGGCAGGTCACGGGGCTTGGTGGCACCGGCAGCCAGCACCACGGCATCGTGGCCAGCCATCAGGTCCTCCGCAGCCACGTTGCCGCCCACGGCAGCGTTCATCACGAACTTCACGCCCTCCGCCGCCATCAGGTCCACGCGGCGCTGCACGACCTCCTGCTTGCCGGCCTTCATGTTGGGCACGCCGTACATCATCAGGCCACCCGCGCGGTCGGCGCGCTCGTACACCGTCACCTCGTGGCCCATCTTGTTCAGCTGGTCGGCCGCAGCCAGACCGGCGGGGCCGCTGCCCACAACAGCCACGCGGCGGCCGGTGCGGAGCTTGGGCGGGCGGGGCACCATCCAGCCCTCCTCGAAGGCCCTGCAGTCAGGGAGACCACAATCTTAAGTACGCGTTTGCATAAGAGCAACGTCATCGCGAACCATGCATGCAGGGGCAGAGTAGACGGAACCTAGCGGCACGCCCTTCCTCCCCATGCTCGACCTACTTGTCGATGATGGTAGCCTCAATCGACTTGATGGACACGGCAGGCTCAATGATACCCAGCGTGCAGCTGCCCTCGCAAGGAGCGGGGCAGACGCGGCCCGTGAACTCGGGGAAGTTGTTGGTCTCCAGCAGCCGGTCCAGGGCCTCCCGCCACCGACCCTATCAAGAGGGACAACAACAACGTCAGCAAAAGCGCAACAGAAATTCCCAACCGCTATATAACGCGTGCTGCTTTTAGTGCACCTTAAGAAGACCCATGCTGCGCTTCCAGGGCTTACCTTGTGCACTAGGTCGTTGAACTCGGGGATCTTGTTGCCCAGCGGGCAGCCCGTGGAGGAGGTGTGGCAGAAGGGCGTGCCGCACTCCATGCAGCGCGCAGACTGCGTGTGCAGCAGCGCGGCGTGGGAAGCGGTGCCCGAGTGGTCATGCACCTCGTCCCAGTCCTTGATGCGCTCGGCCTCAGGGCGGTACGGCAGCGGCTTGCGGTCGTACGACACGAAGCCACGGACCTTGTCGGCGGCAGGGCCGGCAGGCACAACCGGCGAGGCGGGCGCCTTGGGCTCCACAATGGTGGGGCGGTTGGCCTCCCAGGTGGGGGCAATGCCCTTGACGGGCAGGCCCTCGCGCGCCAGCTTGTTCAGGCGGCGCTTGTCCTGCTGCGGGTCGGCCGTGGGGATCATGTCCAGGGTGAGGGCCTTGGGCGGCTTGCCGGCCTTGACGGCGGCGGCAGCCATGGCCTTGAGCTCCTCAAAGGCGTCCTTGGGCGCCAGGCCGTGCGAGTCAGCGGATGCCAGCAGAGCAGCCTCCGCCGCCTCGGCCTTGGCGAGGGCCTCGGCCTCCTCCAGGGCGCGGCGGTACTCGTGCGGGTAGACCTTCTTGAAGTGGGCGCGCGAGCGGTCCCAGCTGAGCAGGATGCGGCGAGCCACGTCCGAGCCAGTGAACTTCAGGTGGCGCTGGATGAGCGACTTGAGGGCGCGCACGTCCTCGGTGGACTCCACTGGCAGCAGGTCGTTGGCCACGTCAGCGTTGCACAGCGACTGCAAGGAAGGATACGGGGAATAGTTAGATGCTGCTGCATGCGTTGTATCACCAAATTCAACCTAGGCCACACGTCCCATGAATTTGTTTCCCTTCTCATGCCCTCTGCAGGCATTACAAGCGGGATTCCACCATGCATGGTATCGCACCTTGAACTTGTCGTACGGGTCGTACACGTAGGCAATACCGCCGCTCATGCCGGCACCGAAGTTCTTGCCCGTGGGGCCCAGAACGACGGCAACACCACCAGTCATGTACTCGCAAGCGTGGTCGCCCACGCCCTCCACCACGGCACGGGCACCCGAGTTGCGCACGCAGAAGCGCTCAGCGGCGATACCGCGGATGAAGCACTCGCCGCGCACAGCGCCGTACAGGGCGACGTTGCCCACAATGACGTTATCCTCGGCGCGGAAGGTCGAGATGCGGGGCGGGTACACAGCCACCACACCACCGCTCAGGCCCTTGGCGACGTAGTCGTTGGCATCACCCTGTAGCAGAGGACACAGGACACGTGTTGTTCAACAAGTTGACTTTCAAGCAAGATGTGTTTCCTATTGTAAACGCATCATCTCCTTGGCTGGCTGGTTCCCTAGTCAACACTCACCTCCAGCTCCAGGGTGATACCGCGGCACAGCCAGGCGCCCAAACTCTGACCGGCGTGGCCAGTCAGCTTGATGTGGATGGTGTCGTCCGGCAGACCGGCGTCACCGAAGCGCTTCGTCACCTCGTGGCTCAGCGTCGTGCCCACAGCACTGCGCAATAGGGTACGCGGATAGCTATGTTAAGGATGGCTTCATAGCGGGAAGGTTCAACTAACGTGGCACAGTACAGAAACGGCGACATGCAGCAGCCCACATCCCAGTGACCACCAGGGCATTGCTTACCGGTGAGTGTTCTGCACCTCCATCTCGATGTAGACCGGCTCCGCCGAGGCGTTCGGCTCATCGGGCAGGGCAGCCTTGCACAGCGGCACCAGGTGCACGTCCAGGCCCTCATCCAGGCCGTGGTCCTGCTTCTGGATGCAGCGCTGAGAGGCGCCGGGGCGCAGCGAGGCGGCCGGGGTGAGCAGGCGGCTCAGATCGATGCCCTCCAGCTTGGCACCGCCCTCCGAAACGGCGGCGCGGTCGGTCTCCAGCAGGTCGGCGCGGCCCACCAGCTCGTCCATGTTGCGGAGGCCCAGCGAGGACAGGATGCCGCGCACCTCCTCCGCAACCATGAAGAAGTAGTTGATCACGTGCTCAGGCTCACCAGCGAACTTTGCGCGCAGCTCGGGGTCCTGTGCCGCAGGGATTGAGGTTGAAGTGAGTAAACGGAAACGGCAGGACTTTGCATCCGGCGATCGGAAACACGGGGATATGCGCCATGCTTCCCAAGGTACTCAAGGCTGGTCGTCCCGTCGGAATACTGTGCTGTACTAGCGCTTACCTGGGTGGCAATGCCGACAGGGCAAGTGTTGGTGTGGCACTTGCGCATCATGATGCAGCCCAGAGTGATGAGCGGGGCGGTGGAGAAGCCAAACTCCTCAGCACCCAGGGCGCAGGCAATGGCCACATCGCGGCCCGTGCGCAGCTGACCGTCGACCTGCAGCACCGTGCGGCCGCGCAGGTCGTTGGCCACCAGCGTCTGGTGCGCCTCTGCCAGACCCAGCTCCCACGGCAGACCCGCGTGCTTGATGGACGACCACTTGGCAGCACCGGTGCCGCCATCGTGGCCGCTGATCAGCACGTGGTCGGCGTGGCCCTTGACCACACCGCTGGCAACAACACCCACGCCGTTCTCGGACACCAGCTTCACGCTGCGTTGGGAAAAGAAGGGAAAAATGATATGGTAAGTGGCCGATCGTTTCGAGAAAGCAATGGTGCCGGAGGTTCAGATAGTATGGAAGAAGGCAAGGGCGACCAAGAGTGTTCCAAGACTGTTCCAACAACTATATCCCAGCGTACCTGACGCGAGCGGAGGGGTTGGAGCTCTTCAGGTCGTAGATGAGCTGCGCCAGATCCTCAATCGAGTAGATGTCGTGGTGCGGGGGCGGGCTGATCAGACCGACACCGGCAGTCGAACCACGGGTCAGGGCAATGTCGCCCTTGACCTTGTCGCCGGGCAGCTCACCACCCTCACCAGGCTTGGCGCCCTGCGAGATCTTAATCTGCAGCTCATCGGCGTTGGTCAGGTAATAGGCCGTGACACCGAAGCGGCCAGAGGCGACCTGCTTGATGGCGGAGCGGATGGGGTTCTTCGAGCCGTCCGACAGGGGCTCCAGGCGGCGCGGGTTCTCGCCACCCTCACCGCTGTTGGACTTGCCGCCAATGGTGTTCATGGCCAGCGCCAGGGTGGTGTGGGTCTCCAGGGAGATGGAACCGTACGACATGGCGCCCGTCACAAAGCGCTTGACGATGGAGGCGGCGGACTCAACCTCCTCCAGCGGCACGGGGGCAGCAGCCTCCGTGCGGAACTTGAGCAGGCCGCGCAGGTGGCAGGCGCGCGACAGCTTGGTGTTCAGCTCAGAGAACTGGCGGTACAGCTCCACGTTGTTGCCGGCGGTGGCAGCCTGGTAGTAAGGAGTAGCAAGAAGTTGGGGTTATGACGAGCCACAATGGTTGAGCAACATGGGTTTTTTAAGGAGGTGAAGCAAAGCTGTAGTGCCTTTGGGCACGCCACACGGACATAAGGTTTCCCCTTCATGCCCCATACAGCCCTACTACAGCAGAAATACAATGGCAAGCCCACCTGCAGCTTGGCAATGGCCTCGGGGTCGTTCATGTGGCGCTCAGCGTCGGGCGAGTTGCGCCAGTGGTAGTCACCGGCGTGCGGCACAGCCTTGGCGTCCGCCGAGCCCTCGGGCAGGCGCACGGAGCCAAAGGCCGCGGCGTGCATCGACAGGGTGTCGCGGCCCAGCTGCTCCCAGCCGCTGCCGCCAATGCGGGTGGGCGTGCCGCGGAAGCACACATCCACCACCTCGGGCGCCAGGCCCAGGGCCTCAAAGATCTGCGCGCCCTTGTAGCTCTGCAGCGTGCTGATGCCCATCTTGGCCATGGTCTTGAGGATGCCCACGCCCACGCCCTTGACGAAGCGCGCCTTGAGCTCCTTCAGGGCCACGCCGGCAGGCAGCTTGCCGTCGCGCTGCATGGCAGCCAGCGACTCGAAGGCCAGGTAGGGGCAGATGGCGTCCGCGCCGTAGCCCACCAGCAGGCAGAACTGGTGCACCTCACGCGGCTCGCCGCTGTCCACCAGCAGACCCACGCTGCTGCGCAGCTTGAGCTGCACCAGGTGGTGGTGCACGGCTCCAGCGGCCAGCAGCGAGGGCACGGGCGCGCGGTCGGGGCCGTACTTGCGGTCCGACAGGCACACCAGGGCGTACTGGCCAGACTGCACGGCAGCCTCGGCCTCGGCGCACAGGCGGGCCAGAGCAGCGCGCATGCCTGTCAAGGTGAGGAAGGGGAGATCGGATTTAGTCATGGCCTGACAACCATGCGGGGTTCAGCGGTGTCGTTTAGGATATTCCTTTGCGATGGCAGTTACCGTGCTAAGGTGAGAAAGCGACCTACAACTTACCCATGGGACCCTCGGAGACGGGGAAGGTGCTGTCCAGCACCTTGGTGCGCCAGCCGCCGGGGAAGTCCATGTTCTGGAACGGACGGAATGGACGGGTTTTCCGGTCAGGTTTTGCAACGGTGATAGTAAAGATGCTTGGAATTGAGGCTCAAGCAAAGGAATGGCCCATACTGCTAGCTCCCCATTTCCACCACCGTCCCAATCACCTTCAGCGCCTCCATCTCCTCCACATCAATGACGGGCTGCGGCAGCTCCAGGCGCGCGCAGTGGCTGGGGCCGGGCTCGGCCGTCAGGTCCACCTCGGGGCCGATGAAGCAGCGCAGCGAGGTCACCACCGCCTCACGGAAGGGGTCGATGGCGGGGTTGGTCACCTGCGCGAACAGCTGCTTGAAGTACTCGAAGGGCAGGCGAGCGCGGCGGGACAGGGCGGCCAGGGCAGCGTCGTTGCCCATGGAGCCCAGCGGCTCAGCGCCGGTGCGAGCCATGGGAGCCATCAGCAGCTCCAGACCCTCGCGGGTGTAGCCGAACACCTGTGCGGAGAGGGAAAAAGCTGCAAAGTAAGACCGACTGTCTTAAGGACTCGGGTAAACCACTAGTTCCATTCTTTCGTCTTAGTTGCGCCTAGCGTGATAGTGTCCACGCGCTGGGTTTGCTTGCTGCACCTTACAAGCTGCATTTTACAGTTGTGTAATTCGAGGTTAATGAACATGCCCTTTCATGTTATGAATACGCGGTACGCATGGACGCCAAGAGCGGCGGACCTTGAGGGGCTTCAGCAGCGACTGCAGACCAGCATCCAGCTCGGACGCAACCTTGCCGTTGCCGTTACCATTGCCGTTGCTGCTGGCGCTGGTCAGCACCGCCTGCACACCGGGCAGAGGGGCAGGCACACGGGCCTCCGGCGGCACCGAGGCCGTCAGCTGCTGCATGGTGAGGGAGTGCTCCTCCACCCAGCGGGAGTACGGCCTGCAAGTCAGCGCAACGGGGATATATGCGTGTTACTGCCACGAAACAAACCAGCAGCACAACCCAAAACCAGTAGTGTACTATGCTTGATAAGCCCCGACCTGACAGTCAGCCAAAGCTGACATTACTTAAGCCAAAGCTGACGTTACTTTAGGACAGACGTTACCGGCATGCATGCTCACCTGCGGTTGGCGTAGCGCTCCTTGAGCTCCTTGTCCTCCACCAGGCGGTGCTCGTCGAAGTCCACCAGCAGGATGTTGCCGGGCATCAGACGGCCCTTCTTGACCACCTCCTCGGGGTCCACGTCCACCACGCCAACCTGCATAAGAGTGGTGTTGCAAGACGTCAGTGGGGCGGAAAAATAGCCGTGCAACTTTTGCCAACACTAAACAAGTGATGCGCAGGCCTGGCAATGCCGAAGCGTCTTCACCCTGATCCCTGCAAGCCCCTTACCTCGCTGGCCATGATGACGCGGCCGCCCTTGGTCACGTAGTAGCGGCCGGGGCGCAGGCCGTTGCGGTCCAGGGTGGCGCCCAGGTAGCGGCCATCCGTGAACGACACCAGGGCCGGGCCATCCCACGGCTCCATCACGGCGCTGTGGTAGCGGTAGAACGCCTTCTTCTCCTGCATAGGATGAACGGGGGGCGACATAGCGAGCGAGCTTCAGGATTACAAACGATAACGTAGGAAACGATCGACTTGCCGCTGCTTCACACGTTTGGCAACACCAAACTAGTGCGTACGCGTATGTTGTGCAAGGGGTCCAGCTTCATAATAACCTCGACATCGTACTGTGCACTCTCACCTTTGTAGACCCGTGCATGTTGGCTATCAAGGGCGTGCTAGCTTTCTGACTACCGTATCTAACCGTATCACCAAGCTTCCACTGCAAGTGGCTGCCGTGCAAAACAACTTTGCCACTTCTCTGCCGTTCGCATGCTTCGATAGAAAGAATACTCTATCCCCTGGCTGCATACGAAGATGTTGCTGAGGTAAAGCCGTGGAGGGTTCCGTTGCGCACTAATTGCAGAACACGATCCTTACCTTGCTCATGAGCGGGTCGTTCTGCCAGGCCTCCGGGATGAGCATCATCATGGCCTCGGGCATGTCGCGGCCGCCACCGCGCGTCAGCAGCTCAAGGACGCTGTCGAAAGCGCCGCTATCGCTGCTGGTGGCGGGGATGATGGGCTCCAGCTGCGAAACGAAGCCCATGCGTAAGTGAAGGAGAACAAACACTATTAGGAAACGGCGAGACGAATTATTTACAGCTTCGCTATGCCTGCTTACCCGCCGTCTGTCTCCAAACCCAAATGCCAATACTCAGGAGCCAGATTGCCCCTGACCCAGATGGCGGAGATATGGCCAACGCTCTCACCTGCTCAACCACCTCCTTGGGCAGGCCCAGCTTCAGGCAGGCCATGGCGCCCTCACGCGCGCGCATCCAGTTGGCGTTGCCGCGCAGGGTGTTGATCTCACCGTTGTGGCCCAGGTTGCGCATGGGCTGAGCGCGGGCCCAGCTGGGGAAGGTGTTGGTCGAGAAGCGAGAGTGCACAAGGGCCATGTACGAGCGGAAGTCCTCGCGCTGCAGGTCCTTGAAGTACACGCGGACCTGTTAAAGCAGAATCGGTTCGAAGGGGCGTACGTAAGCTTGGTTGTGGGGATGGGAGAAACAGATATGTCCATGCGTGAAAATCCGTCTAAGAACCCCGCAAGTATGCGTCTGCTTGGCAGTGCAAAATACCTGCTCAGGGGTCAGCTGGCCCTTGTAGACGATGGTCTTGGACGACAGCGAGCAGAAGTAGGCGTCGTCATCGCCAAGGCCGTTGGCGCGCAGGTTGTGCTCGATCATCTTGCGCAGGATGTACAACTGCAAGGCGAAAATGGGGTGAGGGGTCCGGTAAGAATCCAGGATGGACGGGGGGGGATAAAAGTGCAGCAACGGAGTCCCACGAGGCGCAACCACCATGGCGATGCATGCAACACACGACATCCGCGAAAGGTGATGTCGTGAGGCCCGCACACAACAGCGCACCTGCTGCTCAGTCTCGAGCGCAGCATGGTTTCCGGTTGAGGTCAGGAACCACTGCTCGATGACCGGCTCGGTGTTCAGGGCCGACTTGCCCAGCGAGCGGTTGTTGGTCGGCACCGGACGCCAAGTGAGCGAGACATGGCCAAACTGCGTCGCCACGTCCTCCACAATCTCCTTGACCTTCTGGCGCGCCAGCTCGTCCTGCGGCAAGAACATCTGGCCCACCGCGTAGGCGCCCGCTGGCGGAAGCTTCAGGCCCTGCTCCTCCATGAGAACGCTCTGGAAGAAGCCGTCCGGCATCGCCACGAGGATACCGGCGCCGTCACCTGTAAGAGACGCGGAAAGAAACGTCACCAACATACCATCGACAAGGGTTGCGGGTATCGAAAGCTAGACGCCTGTATATTCTGGAAAGGGTTGTTAAAAGCTATCGTATTTCTATCGAAAAGGTAACCTGCCTAAAAGGTGCACGGTAGTAAGAGGCATGTAACATTTGGCAACGCGACTTCACTGGTAAACCGCCTGAAAAAAGGTCCTAGATTTCTGGAGGAGAAGACGATATCGAAAACGAAAGGACTGTTTGGCTTTTATTAGGCTACTTCCTCTTTGGCAGAAATCACATGGTGCCGGCTTACCAGTGTTAGCCTCGCACCCACAAGCACCGCGGTGCGTCATGCGCTGAAGCATCATAAGGGCATCCTTGATGCACTTGCGAGATGCCTGCTTTGATAGTTCTCCAACGAAGCCAACGCCGCAAGCATCCCGGTCGTTTTCGGGGTTGAACAAGCCGGCAGGCTCCGGGACAGCGCTATGGGCGTCGCAAAGGACGAGCCGGCTGCCAAGGCCAGGGCCCACAGGAACCCAACGAGGCTGAACGGTGGGCCGCGACCGAGAAGAAACAGCGCTCCGAGGCACACCTCGGGCGATGCCGGCGGCTACGGTCCTTCCCGCCCGAAGCGGCAAGACCCTCTGCTGCTGCTGAACGGCGCCGCCGGCGTGGGCACCAGTCTGTGCCCCCGGCAGAGCCATCTGCCCCACTAGTTGGGGCATAGCGACTGACGGTCAGGGGCCTGCCTGTCGATTGATGTCGGAATATGAAGCGCAAGCCCTAAGCGTAAAAAGACCGTCAACGACTATAGCAAAGGTGAAAGGCCACTCGGCTTGCACAGCCGCGGGCTTAAAGCTGCGACGACTGACTGTTGCCCTGAAAAAGCAAAATTCACCCGTATCACGCCCTAGCCAACCCTGGAGCTAACGGACCTGATTCAATCACGTTGCCATGCGCATGCCTGCCCATGACACGAGTTCTATTGTGACAATTTAACTTTGCCAATCAAGGGCGCAGAATCCTAAACCCGCAGACGGCTACATGGAAAAAAGCAACAGGTGACCTTGCTTGGGGCTTACTTCTCGCAGCTTATTTTATGGAAACTCAGTGGAAAGTGCACGATTCAATATGGCAATACATTTCTGGACGCGTTAGGTTCACTAATGCTCAGCATGTAACTAGGGCTCGCTTTCTTCTGTTAACGTCAAAAGCGCCATGCAGCTTTACGCGTGTGGGTACAGTTGCGTCACGCGAAACAAATTCGCGTTAGTCACCGCATTATGGGGTGGGGGAAAGCACCGGTACACGAAGGCCCAGCCCTTGGTTCACAGTAGCAAATGCCGGGGTGCTAGGCCTTGGAGCACTAGCACGGGGTGGGGTTCAGGGCACAAGAACTAGGCGTCCAGCTTGTATGTAGAACCCTGGGTTTAGCTAAGGGGCTCTTGGGATGAATACACTGCTCCGTGGAGCAGCGGCTCTGTGCATCCGAAGCCGTTCTCGGGTAGTTTGTTCCTGATATCAGCACGAATCGCTAGTTTACATAACCCAATTCACCGACGTATCATCATCCAAATACCCATCTACACCTGATGTGTGGGTTTCAAGTTCTACCCCTCCCCCAGCACACACACACAACGCGAACAGCTTTGCACTCGATCCCCCAGGAATGCACAACGTGGTTAGGTAGTGCGAGACCTGCTTCAAGTGGTTGGGGGCACTCACCAGTTGTGAGCTGTGCATACTTTACGGTCATCATATCACTGAACTGCAGAAGAGAAGAACACTTCCCAAACAGGATCCAGGGAACAACCTCTGTACGGCGGTTTCAGCGAGCATAGGCAACTATTTAGCGGCAGCCCGCACTCCAAATCTACCTCCTTATGTACATTTTATCACTTCACTCCAACCCCAAAACCTACATTCCCCATTGATTGCATTCAAACTCCCTCAAAACATTCTGCCACACATCAGCCTACTCTAGCTCACGACGCTTAGCCTACGAGCCGTTGGGCACATCAGGGTCAACTTCCATGCCCTCCACGCCATCCCGCCCCAACCCGGACGACAAGCCAGCCGCCGCAGCCGCAGCCTCTTGCACGCCAGGTATCCCAGCAGCCATACTAGCGCCAAGCGTCCCCGCATCCATAGCGGCCTCCGCGGCTTGCGGCGGCATCTGGCCCAGCACCAGTTGTTGTTGCAGTGGCTGAGGCAACGACAACGGTTGAGCACCCTGTGCCTGGCCCGCAGCCTGTGGTAGCGCCGCCAACTGCTGTTGCTGCTGCTGCAAGGCTAACAGCATGTCCATGGGTTGCAAGCCTAGCAGCCCTGCTGAGGTGTGGCCAGACGGCAGCGGCGGCGCAGCTGTGGAACCGTTGCCACCCAACGCCGGCGGCGCCAACACCGGCAGCCCCAACTGCTGCGGGAAGAGCGGTGGCTGTTGCCCTTGCTGTTGCCCTTGCTGTTGCATGGCGGTATCAACCCCCGAGTCCAGCTGCCCAAGGTTCATGATAGCTGCTAGCGCCGCCTGCGCCTCAGCAGCGCTTACCGGGCCCCCAGACGCACCTCCAGGAATGCCGCCCAGTCCAGCGTCCCGTGGGTCACCGCCGCCGCCCGGCATTAGCCCGGGCAGCACGAGTGACCCCTGGAAGGACCCCAGCCCGACCTGCTGCACCAGGCCATGCGCTGCGCCGTTGGCCATGGACATGGGATCTTGCAGCGGGCCTGCCAGGGCGGCACCTGCTTGCTCGTGGTTCTGGTGGGGAGGCGGTAACAGGGGCTGCTGCGGGTGCTGCTGCCCCTGTACTGCCTGCTGTGGATGATGTGACGTGGGTGGCTGTGCCGTCGGATGCGAAGCTACAGCCAGTGTCTGCGGCTGTAGCATGGACTCCTCACCAAACAAGACTTGCAACCGCTGCCGGTGCCGAGAGAGTTTGGCTCTTCGTACGGATTGGTGGTATTGCCGTACAGACATCCAGTGGTCCTTGAACTTTCGCAACGCCTCCTGCATGATTTCGAGGTTCCGCACGGCCGCTGGGGCATCGGTATACATGTAACAGACGCGGCGACTGGGAGCAAATGGGAGCGCGACGACTGGAGGAAACGTGAGGTACGAGTGCCTAGCCGCCCTTACCTCCGGTTCCCGGGTTTCGAAATCGTCCCAAGGGTAGGTAGGAGCACATGTGTCGGTTTCAAGGCTCGTGGGCGGCAGCGGCGGCGGCAGGATGCTCAGCAGCCCGCCCTGTTGTGCCTCTTGCTGCCCATGGGCCTCCTGCTGCGGAGGGGGCCCCTGCCCTGCCTGCGGAGCCGACAGACGGAAAGAGTGTTGCAACTAAGAGGGCCTTGAAGGGGAAGCCACTAACTCTCTTGACCAAGAAGCGAGGGGACAATGAACAGCGTTTACCCTGTTTCCTAGTGAAGGTGCTACCATACCGTGCCGCATGTGGGCACACGCCGACATTTCGATTCAGATACTGAACCAATGGTATCCTCCTATTGGTCCTTAAAGCTATGAACCGCAGGGCAAATAACCCGATACGCAACCGGAACGTACCAAGCCATCGCCATTAGCCCGGGCTCCAGCTCCTTCTCCCAGCCGCACAGCTGCCTCCTTAGTGTCCCGCTGGGTGGGCGGTGGCCCATCCGCAACGAGGGGCAGCGAGGGGCAGTTGCGAACCCACGAGCGGCACAGCGCGTACAGAGAGACCTGCGCCTCCTCGTCACGCGGTACGGGAACCTGCGCAGGAGCGCGGAAACGGCAGCGGCTTATAAGGCAACGTCGCTACCTTATACCTTTGTCTGCTAAACGGTGCAACGCTGCTGTATGTGCTACGTCGCAGGCCCTCGTATAGAGTCCCGACTCGCCCATCACCCTAGCCGTTGACTTGCCACGCGGTCTGCCAGCTTCGCCAACGCGTATGGGCCCGTATCGTCCCAGCACTCTTCCATCGTAAGGAAATATGCGACGCCTTTCTATATCGTTGGTGGCGTCCTGGGCTATCTTTGCCAGTTAGGAAAGATGGAGGCACTAAGCGCCCCTGTTGCGTTCAATGGTTAGGCCCGATGTCTATACCAGGCTTCCAAGCATAGAATTGACGCTTTTGGGGCTACGCAACGAGAGCGCAAACCGCAGCGTATGGATGTCAACGCAGGCAGCAGTAAGATGTTACGCAAGGCCTAAGAGCCCGTTGATCGTCTACTGCATTCTGCCACTGGCCATTGAATGTGCTTCGTGAGAACGGGCATCGCTGTCGTACATCTTCGCGCCCACTTCGGTACCCAATTCCCAGCGGCACTCTGTCCCCACGGTAGGCGGCTATCTTAATTACCAAACGTCTCGCTCGCGTACACTCATAGCCTTCCACTCCGTTCATGAGTTAGCTCGTCGACATGGACTACAACGGTAAACTTGTTCTTGCGCCCATGGTACGGGTGGGAACGCACCCGATGCGTCTGCTGGCGGCAGGGTAAGCGTTGTCGGCGTATGCGATTAGGTTTTCGGCGGCGGCGACGGCGTCCCGTTAGCGATGCATGATACAGCCTCATGGCTCTCTGGGGCCAACGCGGTGAAACCGGCCGAACCGCCGCCCCCCTCCTATCCCTCGTCAAACCCCTCCTTTGGATCTATGTTATGGTCTCAGGTTATCCGAAACCTGTATGGAAGTCGCCGTGGTCATCGGTTGTCTTAACCTACCAGCAGCCGCAGCCGTTGCAATCGCTCGCCCTGTTGCCCCAGATACCTTCACGCACAACCTCGCAACCTATCGCCGACTTGTAGTTCTGCCGGAACCTTTCCTTTCATGGCAAGCAGCCTGTTCCCATGTGCGTGAATTGTATGCCCGCTCCGAATCACAGGTACGGTGCTGACATTGTGTACGGCGAGGAGTTGGTTGACAAGCGCGTCATCGCCTCTGTACGACGAGTCAACGCTGCCCTGGGCACTGTTGACTTCCTGGACAAGGGAGGGGAGCAAGGCGGCAGGGTGCGTACGGGAAAGGGGTGGGGGCTGTTGCCCCAAGCCCGGGCAGGTTGGGTGCAGGTTGAGACGTGTACGAAGGATAAGGAAGATTGGCGACAACATGCGGAGTCCGTGTTCCGTGTCTCCCTTCTCTTCTCTCCCTCCGCCGTCCCCACCCCTCCAGCTAACCACTCATAGTGCTACCACAATGCCTGTGTCGTACATACCCCCTTTCCTCCCCTCCTGCTTCTCCTCCTCCTGCACTTATCATTTAATTTTCCCTCCTCCCGCTCCCCCGCCAGGTCATGTTCCGCACCAGCCCCTCCGAGGCGCCCCGCCTGGTGTTCCAGCTGGGCACCAGCGACCCGGCGGCGGCACTGGCGGCGGCGCAGGTGGGGGTGGCGGTGGGAGGGGGGGTGTAAAGAGGAAACAACTAACTGACTGCGGGATAAGGCGTCAACATGGGTGGCGGGGGGGGGTGCGGTTTGCGGAGTGAGAGTGGGGCACAGCGAGGTCCCTCCTGGTCCTACCCGTGTGACCACGCGACAGCCTCCCCCCCCCCGCATTCCCTCAGGGCTTGTCAGCTAGGTTACCACTATTACACCACACTTTGGAGTTTCTTGTTTTCCCCCGCATGGTACAAGCGCTCCCATGCATGGGTTGCACCCGCTCATGGCGGACACATTGGCATGATAAAGCCGCGTGTCCCCACACACGCGCGCTTGTCCACCTGCTGCGCCGTGTGCTGTGGTGTCGCCCGCCTGCATGCAGGTGGTGTGCGGCGACGTGGCGTGTGTGGACGTCAACATGGGCTGCCCCAAGCAGTTCTCGCTGCAGGGCGGCATGGGCGCAGCGCTGCTCAGGAAGCCGGAGCTGGCGGAGGTGAGGGAGGGGAGGGGAGGGGAGTCAAAGACCATACCAAACCATAGGAGACCACAGGTTAGGGCAAAGCAATGGGGGTAGGACGGGAGGGGAGGGGAAATGAAGAAGCGGAACTCGCAGGCAGGCAAGCGTATGTGATGTACCCAGCGTTTTTCCCGACACAGGGCCGGGTACGCACGCTGCAGGCTGCGCGACGGGCCGCATGCTCAGTCGCACGCGGTGCACCGCCCTCTGTGCGCCATTCCCTTCTCAGCCGCTAAACATACCTCTTTGTGTCGTCCCAGGCTGCACTGGCAGCCCGTACGGGACATGAAGCGTGCTGCCTGCCCTCTGTCCCCCTCTGTCCCCCTCTGTCCCCCTCCTTCAGGACATCTTGAAGACCCTCCGCCGCAACCTCAACCTGCCCGTCAGCTGCAAGATACGAGTGCTGGGTGGGTGGGTGGGTGGGTGGGTGGGTGGAGGGGCGAAACACGAAGCATGCGGGCGGGGCGGGTGGACATGGTATGCCCCTTATTACCATACCGGTAGTCAAGGGCTTCGGGTAGGTCGTGGCGTCTGTTGCTTGCAATGCCACCACGGAACACCACCGCGTCTCACCCGCCGTGCCCGCTTCACCCGACCTTCCTAACTCACCTCTTAACTCCCCACCACCTCACCGAGCCCCAAAACAAGCTCCCCTACCCACCAAACACCCCTACCCCACCTTCCCTCCCCTCCGCTCCCAGATGACCCACGGGACACTGTCGAGCTGGCTCGGCGGCTGGCCTCCTGCGGCATCTGCGCGCTGGCAGTGCATGGCCGCACCTCGCAGCAGCGGCCTCGGGACCCGGCGGACTGGGGGCACATCCGGACGGTGGGAGGGAGGGGGGAGGAAACAATACGTGAAAAGAGGGGAGGAAGGGAGGGCGGGAGGGAGGGAGGAGAAGACTTAACGTTCCATGCTGTTAACAGAAGTGGAGGGAATGGGAAAGGGAGGAAGGGCAGAAGGTTCAAGGCTGTACGGCGGCTCCCAAGGAGGAGGGTGGAGGGGTGAGAAGGAAGGAGGCTCTGAGTTGTAAAAGCACGTGTCCTGGTCGTTTTGGAGCGCAGAATGCAGCAGCGCTAAACTGCCCCGGTGACATGTCCCTCTCCGCTGTACGGCAATCGTATAGAATTTCTAATAACGGCCGGATGTACTGCTGTACGTCTCTTCGCTAACTGTCATCATCCAATTGCCAACTGCTAGGTGGTTGGAGCGCTGCCCGACCTGCCGGTCATTGCTAACGGTGACGTCATGTCGTACGAGGACGCAGTACGAGTACGGCAGGAGACGGGGGCGGCAGCCGCCATGATAGCCCGAGCCGCCATGTGGAATGCCTCCGTCTTCCGACCGCAGGGTGCGGGGGGGATGGGAGGCTGGGTGGGGTGTGTGTTGGAGGTGGGATATGGGTTACCGGTAAGCGCACAAACCAATCTGTGTTCGTGCATTATGGGTGGAAAAGGGTCCATCACGCAGGGTCAGGCCTTACCCCTTAAACCCTCCCCTCCATGCTCCATGTTTGCACCCCATGGTGAAGCCTTGTCATACAGCTCGTCAGTTGCGTCGTCAGTGTCTCATTATGTTTTATCCCCTCCATGCCTCCCTGCCTCCATGGCCTCCCCTCAAACCCCCCCCCCCGCCTCCGCCTCCGGCTGCCAGGATTCCTGCCACTGGATGTCGTACAGCGGCAGTACGTGCGGCTGGCGGTCAGCTGGGACAACGCGCTGCCCAACACCAAGAACTGCCTCAAGGTGGGCGGGTGGGGTGGGGATTAATTTGGAGACGTAATCCGCCTTAGGCTGGATTTTAGGGATAGCAATTTATTGTAGTTAGTAGCAATAATCAATAACAAACCGTATTGTAAGCTCCATGGCGGCTGCCAAGGTGATTTGAGATCACTCTGTATTGGCGAATAAAAGGCGGCTGCTACTGTGATAACCGGCGCCGCTGCGCTGCACCTGCTGTCTGTGCTGCAATGCTGTCAGCAGCATCACGTATGTAAGCTCCGCTGCTTAGCTGGGGCTGTCATGCGGCTGTGTGCACCAAAGCATCCCACCCTGCCCGACCCTCGCAATGACCCATGGGTCTAACAAAGCCCAGCCCACCCACTAGTGCGAACCCTGACTAACCTGCGTAGCAAGGGAAAAAGTGTGCAACGAAGACGTACCAAATTTCGTTAATAGTGAGCGAAAAGCGTCCAGAGACACAAGAAGGCGGCACGACGAGCGAACTGAAGGCAGGCATGCGTCCCTGTGCTGTGCTGGTGCTGCAAGCTGCGCTGTATATCGACGCAGGCTGTATGACGATGAAGATGGCTGGCTTATCATGATGAAAGAGACGGGACTATGCCGAGAGTTAGTATTTATGCGAAAGGCGGCGATGAGAAGTACGGCATGGGACGAGCATACTAAATTAAGCGCAAGCGCAGTATGGGTATTATGATCTAGATATGCAAAAGGTGCAAAACGTGCGGTTTCAGTGAAATGACAGTGTAAAAGCTCAGTTTTAGGGTTAGGATTGAAGCGTTTAAAGGTTGCAAAGATTTCTTCAATAAATTGCGGTGGGGTGGGGAGGGGAGGGCAGGAGGGCTGGGGGATGGGCTGGAGGGGAGCAGGGTAACACTGAATAACGGGATCGGGGTAGCCGTGAAGGGCCGTAGCCGCAACGTAGTACGCTGATTAGGATAACGGTGAAACGCACAGGCGCCCGGGGTTCAGCGCGTGCTCCCTCTTCCCTCCTCCCTGTTCCTTCCTTTTCCCTCCCATCAACACCGCCGGAACCCGCCCGGGTTTCCGCACGCTCTGAATCTTGGCACCCTTTGCCGCCTCCTACTCCCATTGCTTTGCCCTAACCTGCGGTTTCCCATGCTTTGGTATGTGGACTTTGACCCCCCCAGGAGATGGCCGACGCGCCCGCCTCCTTCCCCGGTCGCGCGGGCGGCCCCCGGGTGCTGCAGGGTCACGAGGGCAACGTGGCGGTGACGCGGGTGAAGGACAACACGGGGCTGCTGGGGCTGCTGGGGCTGGGGGGCCAGCCGCCCTACCAGGTGAGCTGGCGGGCGGGCGGGCGGGGACTCCCATACCGTATCATACCGTAGCAGTGGTGCAGTATGTGTAAGGCAACCAGGAATACGGCAACCGGTGCAAAACAGCGCGTACCGGTATCTTGGGTCCGTAACGGTGAGAAGAGGCGGTAGCTGCCGCTGCGACCTCTGCAGCCCGGTGTGTGATGGGGCCGCATGCTGTTTTGCCACCCGCAGGAGCCCCAAGATGCCAGCACTGCAGCAGTCGGCGCGGGCTGCGGGCCACTGCACCGGGACACTGCCAAGCAGCCCGCTAGCAAGCGGCCGCAGCAGCGGCGACAGCAGCAGCAACGAGAGGAGCAGCAGCAGGACCGGCGACAACCAGGCCTGCAGCAGACGACCGGTCAGCCGCCGCAGCAGCAGCCGCAACACGAGGCGCATGGGGGGCGGCAGCAACAAGAGCAGCAGCAGCAGCAGGGGGGGCAGCAGGAGGTAGCAGCAACGGAGGTGGAGGCAGGTGGTGAGCTGGGCCAACTCGCAGAGCAGGTGCAGCCGCTGCCGCAGCCTGGGGGTCTGGATGCAGCGGTGGGGTTGGTTGCAGTGGTGAAGTCGGCGTCATGTGGGGGACCGGGAGCCGCAGCCAATACCAGGGTAGCGGGGGGCGAGGATGCGGCGGCCAGGGGAGCCGCCAGCAGCAGCCCTGAGGACGGCTGCGTGCCCGCGTCTCTGAAGCGGAAACGCGAGGAGGAAGAGGGGGAAGAGGGGAGGGCGGCAGCGGAGGAGGCGGAGGCGGATCAGGGTGTGTGCGGGGCGGCATGAGGGTCGGAACTGATGTGTTGCAGGAGCGTCACTCGAGGGAGGTTTCGTGGTTGCTTTTTGACCTTGTGTTATCCTCCTCTGTTTACGGTACGGGTACCCCTGAAATCTAGCCGTCGATACAGAAAGGAGAGCGTGGTGTGTGCTGGTTGGGTAGGAGTTTCTTGGGGTACAAAGAGCATGTAGAGTAACGGGCGTTAGTTCCCAGATGACAGTATTTTAACATGCAAAGAGTCTAGTAGTTGAAGAGGGCCTACTGCTGTGGCGGTGGCAGGATACTGAATGCGGCGACCACGTTTGCTTGCGGCGAAGTGGCCTGCGCAGTGAACCGCCGGCTAACGGTGACTAAAAACCAGCAACAAGAACGGTGTGACGTGGCGCACGCTCATTCCTGAGCCTGAGGCATGCTGAGGATGTGTTGAGGAGTTACGTTTTATGTATCTCCAAGCGATCGCCTGCGTGTAGCGTGAACCCGTGGTATGTACCTAAACGGCTTTCGCACTCCCTTGGGTGCCTCTATTATTAACCCTCTTGGGTGACGACGAGATGAAGGGCGCACGACTTTCCTGGTGTCGCAAAGCCCGCACTTGGCGACTGGGGAGCACTGACGCAAGCAGCGCATCGGTTGGCGTGACTCATTCAGGAGTCCCAAGGTGCGTATTGCCGCTTGGCAGACAGGCGGCGTGGCGGCAAATGGAGGGATTGATGACAACTTGTGATGCCTAGCCCGCTTTCACGATTTGCTGGGTGAAGTTGAGATTCCCGACCACCCCCTGTCTTCTTTGTGCTAGTGTACCGATATACGGTATATACGGTACGTACAGTATTCTGCTGGGCAGAGCAGCTGGTGCATGCCGTACGTGCCCGCTTCCTCCTCCACTTACTTCTGGCACCCTCCACCTTGGTTGCCCTTTGCGTCACCTGTGCCTCACACCGCATCTGCGCTGCTTCACCATGGGCTTATGTGCACGCGAAGCAGCCCTCGGCAGCAGACGCCTTTCATATGTTGTTGCTTGTTGTTGGCTAAATATCCCATTTCCCATTTGCGTTCCCCTGCGCAGATCCCGGCATGCCCGTACGTGCCGTCGCGCAAGGCGCCAACACCCGAAGACACACAACGGCAAACTCAAGGGTACAAGTCGTCGGGCACTTAAGATCACTGGCGAATTTTGACGTTGGCTTGCGACCTGTGAAGCGTGTTATGAACCACGTGTTGGCTGTCAAACCATTCGATTCTGTCATGGGTTCCGCAGTATACCTATCATGCTTTGCAGTGCTCTGTAGCGTTACGTGGAATACCGGGTATGAACACGGTGTGTGCCTGGGTTTCACTTTAATGACCCGGTGCGTGGGTGTAGCAGTGGCTGGAGTGTTTAGTTGCCCCAGATCATTGCGTTCAAAAGATCCTTACCCAATGACATATTTTGCGTGCACACACAGGTGATGCTGCTCGGGCAGCAGCAGGCTAGGACTGTTCAAGGCAGCCTGGCTGATGTTTGCAGAGAGAATTAAATGCGCATGCATATGGAGTAGGATGTCTAGGCGCATAGACGGAATAAACCGATTTCATACAAGTGGCCATTGTGTGTCGTGTTTATGGCTTGCGTAGAGGCTGTTCGCGGCTTAAGGGCCATACACAAGGGCCAAGTAAGGGTCACCTCATACATCTCTAATCCACATGCATCGCTGTAGTTCTACACCGCCCCGTCACTTCTATCTGCCCGAACATGCTTCCGTTTTACACTAATAGCACCTTGCCCCGGTTGCACCTTGCCCCGTGGGAGCCCCACGGATCCTCGACTTCCTTTGTGAACCAGTGACGAGCTTGAGGCTTGACGCCCCGTGGGACCCTTGACACCTTCCATAGTTCCATTAGCATTACGCACATGCCTGTGCAGCGGCGACTGACTGCATTCGGGCTACTACTACGAGCCAACTCCGACGCCGCTTCTTGCGCTTCTGGTTGCTGCTGCTACCTCCTGGACCACTAGCGGCGTTATTGCTCCTGCCGTTGCCCCCTGCAGTATGGCTGTTCCTGCTGCTGCTGCCAGGACAGCAGCCAGTAGCCCCTCCGCTCCAGCCACTACAGGGGTCCCGTGTTGCTACCGTATTTATGTACCATGCACTTGCCAGCGGGAAATGCACTAAGTTTTCATATAGATCCTTCCAATCACGGCATCGGCTTTGGTATATGCTGTTGGCGAACCGGGGGTAAATGTTACGCTTCTTGAACGCCAAGTAGTACAGCTTGTTGAGCCGTTTTGCTCAACATAGTGTCCAGATACGCAAAGACAGCACGAGCTGTGCGTCTAAATGTGTAGCCGGCACGGTCAGCCCCCACACTGCATGGACAGCCCCTGCATGGCACAGGAAGCCCTCGCACAGACCGGATAGTCCCCGCACAGCACGGACAGGCCCCACATGGCATAGACAGCCCCTGCACGGCACGAAAAGCCCCCGACGGCAGCGGTGTGTGGTATTGCACCATTGCTAGCACAGTAGCTAAATGCATAAAAGGGCACACCAACAATAGGGTACATTGTGTATTGCGCCAGTGCTAAAGAAGGTGCTGCTTTGCTTGTGCCAGTATTGGCAAACAACAATGCTGCTGTGGTCTGCTATACCTCCTTCTCACACCCCATCAACCCCTTGCTGCATCACTTTCTGCCAACGCAATGTAAGGTAAGCAGCCCCCATGGAAGTCCATGAAGCTGACTGAAAATGCCGGAGTCAAACCCTAACGACCTACGGAGCCGTATATTAAATTTCCTTTGTGGTCGTGCTCCCACCCAAACCTAACACCTCTCCGTTATGCTTGTCATGTCATCTTGGCCTGCTGGCCGTGGCCGGTGCCACAAACATCTTCCCCAGCCCCTGCCACGCCCTAACATGTGTCCGTTGCTACAGCAACGGGCGTGACAACCCTCCTGAGTCTCTCCTGTTCCTCACCTACGTTACCATCTTCTCAAATGGTGGCGCCTTCTTCCTCCTCCTTCTCCTCCTCCCCATTCTCCCACTTCCCTGTCCTCTCTTCCTCCCCACCCGCCCAGGTGGCTACGTCACAGTCAGACTGTAATCCTTGCACATAAGCCAGCCATCCTAATTAATTCTACCATTTCCGCTACACGTACAGGTCCCCGCCTAGCTTTACAGAATGATCCAGGAATTCCAGGAATGTCTCCTTGCCCTTCTCCAAATTCCCGCTGAAGATGGTGTCCGCCTGTGCCTTGAGCTGGTCATAAGGCAGCGCGTCATAGCTGCCCACGTGCACGTACTCGTCTAGGCCGGTCTTCCCGAATTTCAGTTCCTCCCAGAGATCCCGTGGCGTGCGGTGCTGTGGCAGGTCCAGAACCTTGAGGAGTGAAGGCCAGTGGGCCATCAGGTCTGGATGCCTCTCGATTGCACCGAAGTTGCTAACCTTGAAACGACCCCAGAAGACCTTCTCGGGCAGTTTGGACATCTCTATCAGCTTGCGAAGGACCTTCTCGTTGAAGTTGTGGAGGACCTGGCGGGCTGCCAACCTGCTCCTATCGGTTGCAAGAAGCTCCGCCATTTTTGCCAACTTGCTCCTGTCGGTTGCAAGAAGCTCCGCCATTTCTGCCAACTTCACCTCGTTAGCCTCTTGCAGTCTACGCAATTCTTGATGATTAAGGCTGCTCTCCAAGAGCAGCTCCAATATCGCGTCTATGCCCTCCAGCAGGACAGAGTGCTCAGCGCTGTTAGCCAGGAAAGCCCGCATACTGGCTACCTTCGCAACTAGCTGCAGAGTCATCTTGTCATCTTTGTACATAACACTGAGCATCTCCAGGCGCTCCGTGGTCCCTCGCACCTTCGCGCTATACATACTACGTGAGCAGTGAAAAAACAGGCACAGCCAACGCTCTTGCAGCTTTGGTTGAAGCGGAAATACATCCGGATGAGAAGATAGTAGTATAACGGATAGTACCTATCTTTTTCGGTATGCCAGTGCACTCGTCCGCGGCGTACGGCACCAATCCTGCTGGTCTTTTGCTCTCGCAGTGATCCACGCGCCTTCCGGCTCGTCCAGGCCTTACATGCCACAAGCTCGTAATTAAGCTCTAGTATCAGTTCAGCTATTTTCATTGCTTGCCAGGCCAATGAGGGTCCAATTGGGTGTTGCCCAGTAGGGAACTCGCAGCCAGAGCTGGAGGGCCCTTGATTCCAGGCTAGAGCGTCGTGGATCCAGCGGCTGTAGCATCCGCGCACACGTCTGCGGTCAGGGCAAGAGGGCATCATGCACCCTGACGCAGCAGCAGCCGCATGGCTGCCTTGCACCAACCATCACCCCCTGCATTACCACCATCCCCTGCAAGCCTGCATCACCGCCGCCACCAAACCCCTCCTTCCCTGCCTCTCAGGTGCCGCTGCTGTCTCTGCGCTACTGCTGTCACCGCTGCCGCCACTGCTATCGCAGCCAGCAGCACTGGCCCCCTCGGGCATGCGGGCGGCCGGCAGCAGATCTGCCACCAGATCCGCCTGCTCGCCACCAGCCGTCTGGCCGGGGGAAGGGAAGGGGAGTCAGAGAGGAATCAAACTAAGAGGACCACAAGTTGTGGGGAGGGGGAAAGGAGTAGGAAGAAGAGGTGGTGGAGGGAGAAGCCCAAGGGGACGTCAGACACGGAGCCCCACGGGGCCCTCAGGAGAAAGCTACATAACATCCCATGGACCGGGTCTCGGGTTGTGCGGATCATACGATGAAGGGTACTAAGAGATCTAAGAGGAGGAGTACGGAACGTCAGAGCGGCTGGGCTATTCACGTTCATGGTTAGACTGTCAAGGGACAGCAAAATAGAGTTACAGGAAAGTGCATTAACCCCTAAAGTGGCTGATGAGCTGATACGCGATGTGGGTCGGAATCCACCCAGAGCACTGGCATGCTTGATTCTAGGCAAGGCGATGTGGGTCAGCGCAGCAGCGAGGAAGCTGGACAAGGGGCAACGGCGCATGGCCAGCCAAGATTCGGCACGGCCCAGATCACAACGGGCTGTGATCTGGGCCGTGATCTAGGGGGGCCAGAGAGCCCCCCTAGCACCGTAGCCCCAAGCCGCCAGACCCAAGCCGCTGGCTCTTAGGCTATTAGCCCCCCGCCCGCCACTGGTATAAAGACGTATCCGTACGTACGTATGTGTGGAAGGTCTGCATGCATGCATGGATGATGGAGGGCAGACTGGGGTGGCGGTATGGGGCAAGAATATTGTTGGCGGTGCACGTGCAGCACACTTTGGAGGAATCGACGGTTTCCTTGCAAGTCTACCAGCAGTATGTAGGTTTTGGCACATTGCAATTGTGCTATCTTTTCCAAACTCCTCAATACTCCTTGGAGGAAATCGAACCTCCTAAAGCGGCCTGACTGCAGGGAGTGGGGTGCAGTGGAACACTTGGCCGCAATCATGTAAGCAAGGTCTACATGCGGGTTTGTGCCGCTGAACACGGTGGAAGTAGTGCAGCGGGGGAAATGCATCCACACCTCCTTCTCCGGGGCGAACGGTGAGTACTTTGGTCTCAGCAGCGATGTGGACACAGCGGTGTACTTCAAGCTGGCCAACACGCTGCTGCACGAGGGGGGGAAATGCCGGGCCTGCAGGTGGGAGGGGTTGGCAGGGAGGAGGGAGGGGTTAACCTCCCTGCCCACCCCACCTGCAGGCCCGAGGATCCTCGGTGGCCTAGTAGAACCCTGCATTCACGCACTGGACTTGCAACCTTAGCCGCTGGGTTCTCTTCCCACCACTTCCACCCTGTCGCTCACATACCTCCCCTCCCAAACCCACTCAACCCCCGGGCCATCACCATAGCCGAGGACGTGTCAGGCATGCCCGGCCTGTGTCGCCCCGTGTCTGCGGGCGGGTTGGGTTTCAATGCATGACTCACCATGTCGGTGCCAGAGACGTGGATCCAGCTGCTGGAGCCGGGGTGAACAGTGGATGATGGTGGACCTTGTGGGGGAGGGGTTGGGGGGGACGAAGACCATACCAAACCATAGGAAACCACGGGCCAGGGAAAAGCAACGTGGATAGGAGACGGAAGGGCGCCACAAGACAGAGTGCTGGTTAGTGTTTCATACCGATATCGAGTCTGCAGTGGTGATGAACTGTCAGACTGGCGAAGGAGGGAGGAGGGAGGAGGGAGGAGGGAGGAGGGAGGAGGGAGGAGGGAGGAGGGAGGAGGGAGGAGGGAGGAGGGAGGAGGGAGGAGGGAGGAGGGAGGAGGGAGGAGGGAGGAGGGAGGAGGGAGGAGGGAGGAGGGAGGAGGGAGGAGGGAGGAGGGAGGAGGGAGGAGGGAGGAGGGAGGAGGGAGGAGGGAGGAGGGAGGAGGGAGGAGGGAGGAGGGAGGAGGGAGGAGGGAGGAGGGAGGAGGGAGGAGGGAGGAGGGAGGAGGGAGGAGGGAGGAGGGAGGAGGGAGGAGGGAGGAGGGAGGAGGAGGGAGGAGGGAGGAGGGAGGAGGGAGGAGGGAGGAGGGAGGAGGGAGGAGGGAGGAGGGAGGAGGAGGAGGAGGGAGGAGGGAGGAGGGAGGAGGGAGGAGGGAGGAGGGAGGAGGGAGGAGGGAGGAGGGAGGAGGGAGGAGGGAGGAGGGAGGAGGGAGGAGGGAGGAGGGAGGAGGGAGGAGGGAGGAGGGAGGAGGGAGGAGGAGGAGGAGGGAGGAGGGAGGAGGGAGGAGGGAGGAGGGAGGAGGGAGGAGGGAGGAGGGAGGAGGGAGGAGGGAGGAGGGAGGAGGGAGGAGGGAGGAGGGAGGAGGGAGGAGGGAGGAGGGAGGAGGGAGGAGGGAGGAGGGAGGAGGAGGAGGGAGGAGGGAGGAGGGAGGAGGGAGGAGGGAGGAGGGAGGAGGGAGGAGGGAGGAGGGAGGAGGGAGGAGGGAGGAGGGAGGAGGGAGGAGGGAGGAGGGAGGAGGGAGGAGGGAGGAGGGAGGAGGGAGGAGGGAGGAGGGAGGAGGGAGGAGGGAGGAGGGAGGAGGGAGGAGGGAGGAGGGAGGAGGGAGGAGGGAGGAGGGAGGAGGGAGGAGGGAGGAGGGAGGAGGGAGGAGGGAGGAGGGAGGAGGGAGGAGGGAGGAGGGAGGAGGGAGGAGGGAGGAGGGAGGAGGGAGGAGGGAGGAGGGAGGAGGGAGGAGGGAGGAGGGAGGAGGGAGGAGGGAGGAGGGAGGAGGGAGGAGGGAGGAGGGAGGAGGGAGGAGGGAGGAGGGAGGAGGGAGGAGGGAGGAGGGAGGAGGGAGGAGGGAGGAGGGAGGAGGGAGGAGGAGGAGGGAGGAGGGAGGAGGGAGGAGGGAGGAGGGAGGAGGGAGGAGGGAGGAGGGAGGAGGGAGGAGGGAGGAGGGAGGAGGGAGGAGGGAGGAGGGAGGAGGGAGGAGGGAGGAGGGAGGAGGGAGGAGGGAGGAGGGAGGAGGGAGGAGGGAGGAGGGAGGAGGGAGGAGGGAGGAGGGAGGAGGGAGGAGGGAGGAGGGAGGAGGGAGGAGGGAGGAGGGAGGAGGGAGGAGGGAGGAGGGAGGAGGGAGGAGGGAGGAGGGAGGAGGGAGGAGGGAGGAGGGAGGAGGGAGGAGGGAGGAGGGAGGAGGGAGGAGGGAGGAGGGAGGAGGGAGGAGGGAGGAGGGAGGAGGGAGGAGGGAGGAGGGAGGAGGGAGGAGGGAGGAGGGAGGAGGGAGGAGGGAGGAGGGAGGAGGGAGGAGGGAGGAGGGAGGAGGGAGGAGGGAGGAGGGAGGAGGGAGGAGGGAGGAGGGAGGAGGGAGGAGGGAGGAGGGAGGAGGGAGGAGGGAGGAGGGAGGAGGGAGGAGGAGGAGGGAGGAGGGAGGAGGGAGGAGGGAGGAGGGAGGAGGGAGGAGGGAGGAGGGAGGAGGGAGGAGGGAGGAGGGAGGAGGGAGGAGGGAGGAGGGAGGAGGGAGGAGGGAGGAGGGAGGAGGGAGGAGGGAGGAGGGAGGAGGGAGGAGGGAGGAGGGAGGAGGGAGGAGGGAGGAGGGAGGAGGGAGGAGGGAGGAGGGAGGAGGGAGGAGGGAGGAGGGAGGAGGGAGGAGGGAGGAGGGAGGAGGGAGGAGGGAGGAGGGAGGAGGGAGGAGGGAGGAGGGAGGAGGGAGGAGGGAGGAGGGAGGAGGGAGGAGGGAGGAGGGAGGAGGGAGGAGGGAGGAGGGAGGAGGGAGGAGGGAGGAGGGAGGAGGGAGGAGGGAGGAGGGAGGAGGGAGGAGGGAGGAGGGAGGAGGGAGGAGGGAGGAGGGAGGAGGGAGGAGGGAGGAGGGAGGAGGGAGGAGGAGGAGGAGGAGGGAGGAGGGAGGAGGGAGGAGGGAGGAGGGAGGAGGGAGGAGGGAGGAGGGAGGAGGGAGGAGGGAGGAGGGAGGAGGGAGGGAGGGAGATCCGGGACGGGAAAGGAAAGGGAAGGAGAAAAGGCGGGGAGGGGGGCAGAGCGATATGGAGGCTGCTGTCCACACGGCAGTCGCAATGCGGTAACACGTAACAAAGTGTCAAGAAGTTGGACCCATCAGCCCCACCACCAACTCATCCTCTCCTCCTACCACCCCCCTCCTGGCTCACATGTTGCAAGCCATGATGATGCCTTATCACACGGTCAGTTAGTTGTTTCCTCTTTACCCCTTCCTTCCCCATACCTCTCCCCCCGAAAGGTATCCTGTGCAATCGGGTGCCGTATCACGTATGCGGAAAGTCACAACCAGGTGAGGAAGGGGGCTGGGGTGAGGGGTTGCGGGGGGGCCCGGGGTGAGGAGCAGGGGCTGATGTGTCGTGGTGTTATTACGGAGTTAGCACGGCACCACGGCAGGGTGGGCAACTGAGCTGAGCTGCGACTGCGGCCGCGGGCGGCGCCCGGACTGGCTGTGATAACGTTGATGGTGGCGTCCGCCCCATTCCGGTGCCTGACATGACCCCGGCACCTGCCGCTTCCCTTGCAGGCCAGGCAACCGCTGTCTGCACTGCTGAAGGTGACCTGTTACAGCACATGGCTGCACTACTAGATACTGCCAACTGCGCAGCTGCTTCAGTACGCGCTGGGGCCCCAAGCTGGCGGGGGTGAGCTTGTGGGGCTGCCCTTGCTGCTGGCCTTGCGGCTGCTGTCGCTGCATTGCATGTCGCCTGGCCGTGTGCGCACGTCGACGCCTGATGCATTGGCTGGCTTCCCAGCTAGAGGTGGCATGCAGCGGCCCAGGTATACCAGTAGGATACCAGAAACTGCCATGGTCTCGGCACACAAGTTGCATAATGTTTGGGCATTTTACACACCTTGGCGAAAACCTCATTGAAGATGACGAAGGACTACCTATCTGAAAGGGTTTCCTAATTGGTCTAATTGGCCTAATTGGACCGGGAGCCGCAGCCAATACCAGGGTAGCGGGGGGCGAGGATGCGGCGGCCAGGGGAGCCGCCAGCAGCAGCCCTGAGGACGGCTGCGTGCCCGCGTCTCTGAAGCGGAAACGCGAGGAGGAAGAGGGGGAAGAGGGGAGGGCGGCAGCGGAGGAGGCGGAGGCGGATCAGGGTGTGTGCGGGGCGGCATGAGGGTCGGGCATGACGTGCTGCAGGAGCTGCACTTGAGGGAGGTTTCATGGTTGCTTTTTGGGCGGAGCCCCCGCCGCGAAGCGGCTTCGGGGGGGCGAGCCCCCCAGGATTGCCCCTGTCCGTGTGTCCGTGTGTCCGTAACGGCAAAACATACAATCTAGACAAAACTATTTATTTCACCTAATAGGTATTTGTTATCTGTATTCAGTAAAAATAACGGGAAGCCAAACAAACTTAATTTCGCAACAAACGATTTATTGACCAGCCATTGAACAAGGACCACCTCGGCAACACCGATTAGCACTCCTCTATGGTTTGTCCTGGTACCGTAAACAGTATTTAGTGAATTGGTAACAGCGGCGTGTCGCCAAAGGGCTACCTGTGAAAGTCGGCGGGAGCATGCTCGCATCTACTGTGCTACTCAGAGCCCACACAATCCTTTGGGACGATGTTGCAAGCCTTTGCTATGGGTTTATGCGTATGAACTGTAACGCAAACGGGTACGGGGTACCTCGCTTATAAGCTAACATGTCATGTGACGGCGCAATGGCTGAAGTCCTTCTGAGCAAGATGCCGAGATTGACGAGCCTGACCTTCTCATCATGTTAGTAATGTAGGTGAAACTCTGCGGGACCCTGAAAGCACTCCCATGTGGCAGTTACGCCGTCGGTTTGGGTTCTGTAGCCTAATGCGTGGGTGTTATCAAGCATGATAAGACGTTACTAAGTACTCGATTGAACAGGTGTAACCTAACAATGTGTGCATTGAGTGAGGACACTATGTACGCCATGGGTGAACAAGGCGTCCGGCCTCGGCTGGACAAGGGTCTCTGAGCCCGTCTAGCCATGCAACGAGCACTAAAACTACAGTAAACAAGGGGGTTCAGCGTCCGTGTAACAAGGTGTGTTAGGTCAACTGGTGCCGTGGAGTCACAGGAGCGCATTCCAGGTCTATAAGGCCCATAGGGTTGTGCGTCGCACTTGAGTCGTTCCACTCCCCTGTAATAATCGCAATCATTCCAGTGGTAATAATACGTTCCTGTACTGAAGATGAGGGGCTCCGCCCTTTTCCAGCTTTGAGGAAGCTGAACCCCCTTGTTAGTCTTGTGATGTGTGTTTGTCCTCCTCTGTTTACGGTACGGGTACCCCTGAAGTGTAGCCGTCGATACAGAAAGGAGAGCGTAGTGTGTGCTGGTTGGGGAGGAGTTTCTTGGGGTACAAAGAGCATATAGAGTAACGGGCGTTAATTCCCAGATGACAGTATTTTAAACATGCAAAGAGTCTAGTAGTTGAAGAGGGCCTGCTGCTGTGGCGGTGGCAGGATACTGAATGCGGCGATCACGTTTGCTTGCGCCGAGGTGGGCTGCGCAGTGAACCGCCGGCTAACGGTGACAAAGAACCAGCAACAAGAACGGTGTTCAGATTTATGACCCATGGGACGCACGCTCATTGCTGAGCCTGAGGCATGCTGAGGATGTGTTGAGGGGTTACGTTTTGTGTATCCCCAAGCGATCGCAGGCGTGTAGCGTGAATCCGTGGTATGTACCTAAACGGCTTTCGCACTCCCTTGGGTGCCTCTAGCATTAACCCTCTTGGGTGACGACGAGATGAAGGGCGCACGACTTTCCTGGTGTCGGAAAGCCCGCACTTGGCGAGTGGGGAGCACTGACGTAAGCAGCGCATCGGTTGGCGTGACTCATTCAGGATTCCCAAGGTGCGTATTGCCGCTTGGCAGACAGGCGGCGTGGCGGCAAATGGAGGGATTGATGACCACTCGTGCTGCCTAGCCCGCTTTCACGATATGCTGGGTGATGTTGAGACTCCCGACCACCCCCTGTCTTTTTTGTGCTAGTTTTCCGGTATTCTGCTGGGCAGCGCAGCTGGTGCATGCCGTACGTGCCCGCTTCCTCCTCCACTTACTTCTGGCACCCTCCACCTTGGTTGCCCACTGCGTCACCTGTGCCTCACGCCGCATCTGTGCTGCTTCACCATGGGCGTATGTGCACGCGAAGCAGCCCTCGGCAGCAGACGCCTTTCATGTTGTTGCTTGTTGTTGGCTAAATATCCCATTTCCCATTTTTGCGTTCTCCCTGCACAGATACCGGCATGCCCGTACGTGCCGTCGCGCAAGGTGCCAACACCCGAAGACACACAACAGCAAACTCAAGGGTACAAGTCGTCGGGCACTTAAGATCGCTGGCAAATGTCAACGTTGGCTTGCGACCTGCGAAGCGTGTTATGTATCACGTGTTGGCTGTCAAACCATTCGATTCTGTCATGGGTTTCGCAGTATAACTATCATGCTTTGCAGTGATCTGTAGCGTTACGTGGAATACCGGGTATGAACACGGTGTGTACCTCAGTTTTATTCTATGAACCGGTGCGCGGGTGTAGCGGTGGTTGGAGTGTTTAGTTGCCCCAGATAAACCGATTACATATAAGTAGCCATTGTGTGTTGTGTTTGTTGCTGGTGTAGGGGCTATTTGTGGCTTAAGGGCCATACACAAGGGCCAAGTAGGGGTCATCTCATGCATCTCTAGTCCACACACATGCATAGCTGTAGTTCTACGCTGTCCTGTCACATCTATCTGCCCGAACATGCTTCCGTCTTACGCTAATAGCACCTTGCCCCGGTTGCACTGGGAGCCCCACGGATCCTCGACTTCCTTTGCGAACCAGGGACGAGCTTGAGGCTTGACGCCCCGTGGGACCCTCGACACCCTCCATAGTTCCATTAGGATTACACACGCGCCTGTGCAGCGGCGACTGACTGCATTCGGGTGCAAACTCATCACTCCCGCCCTCCAGCGCATCAAGCACTACCAGCCAGCTCTGACGGTGCTTCTTGCGCTTCTGGTTGCTGCTGCTATCTCCTGGACTACTGCTGGCGTTATTGCTCCTGCCGTTGCCCCCTGCATATGGCTGTTCCTGCTGCTGCTGCCAGGACTGCAGCCAGCAGCCCCCTCCGCTCCAGCCACTACATGTGTCCCGTGTTGCTACCGTACTTATGTACCATGCACTTGCCAGCGGGAAATGCACAAAGTTTTCATATAGATCCTTCCAGTCATGGCATCGGCTTTGGCATATACTATTGGAGAACCGGGGGTGAATGTTACGCTTCTTGAACGCCAGGTAGTACAGCTTGTTGAGCCGTTTTGTTTAACATAGTGTCTAGATACGCAAAGACAGCACGAACTGTGTGTTAGAAAGTGTAGCCATTCCACCGAAGGCAGCGGTGTGTGGTATTGCACCATTGCTAGCACAGTAGCTAAATGCATAGGAAGGCACACCAACAATAGGGTACATTGTGTATTGCGCCAGTGCTAAAGAAGGTGCTGCTTTGCTTGTGCCAGTAAGATGGCAAACAACAATGCTGCTGTGGTCTGCCACACCTCCTCCTCACACCCCATCAACCCCTTGCTGCATCACTATCTGCCAACGCAAAAAAACCTAAACTAACTAACACTAAGCACGACCATAAACGCAATTTCATAAAACGGTGTAAGGGTGCAACGCCAGCAAGGAGAGTCCCGTGGGTCGTTTGGGTTTGGCGCACGGGACTCTCCTTGATGTGTTGCACCCTTACGCTGGTTTATGAAATTGCGTTTGTGGTCGTGCTTAGTGTTAGTTAGGTTTAGGTGCTTAGTGTTCCCACCCAGTTTAGGGGTTTCGGTGAAGTTAGGTTTAGGGTACTTACGTTGGGGTGCTTAGTGTTCCCACCCAAACCTAACACCTCTCTGTAATAATGCTTGTCATGCCATCTTGGCCTGCTGGCCAGCCACACAAACATCTCTGCCAGCCCCTCCTCAGTCTCTCCCGTTCCTTGCCTACGTTACCACCTTCTCAAACGGTGGCGCATTCTCCCTCCTCCTCCTTCCCATTCTCCCACTTCCCTGTCCTCTCTTCCTCCCCACCCGCCCAGGTGGCTACATCACAGTCGAACCGTAATCCTTTGCACATAAGCCACGACACAACAGCCAGCCGCCTCATTAACTTCTACCGTTTCCGCTACTCGTACAGGTCCCCGCCTAGCTTTACAGACAGCTCCAGGAAGTCCAGGAATGTCTCCTTGCCCTTCTCCAACTTCCCGCTGAAGATGGTGTCCGCCTGTGCCTTGAGCTGGTCATAAGGCAGCTTGTCATAGCTGCCCTCGTGCACGTGCTCGTCTAGGCCGGTCTTCCCGAATTTCAGTTCCTCCCAGAGATCCCGTGGCGTGCGGTGCTGTGGCAGGTCCAGAACCTTGAGGAGTGAAGGCCAGTGGGCCATCAGGTCTGGATGCCTCTCGATTGTACCGAAGTTGCTAACCCTGAAACGACGCCAGAAGACGCTCGCGGGCAGTCTGGACATCTCCACCAGCTTGCGAAGGACCTTCTCGTTGAAGTTGTGGAGGACCTGGCGGGCTGCCATCTTTCTCCTGTCTCCTGACGCTCCGCCAACTCTCGCAACTTCGCCTGGTTAGCCTCTTGCAGTCTACGCATTTCTTGCGTATCAAGGCTGTCCTCGATAAGCAGCTCCAATATCGCGTCTGTGCCCTCCAGCGGGACAGAGTGCTCAGCGCTGTCAGCGAGGAAAGCCCGCATACTGGCTACCTTCGTAACTAGCTGCAGAGTCCTCTCGTCATCTTTATACATATCACTGAGCACCTCCAGGTGCTCCGTGGTCCTTCGGGCCATTCGCGCTATACATACTACATGAGCAAATAACAGGCACAGCCAACGCTCTCGCAGCTTTGGTTGAAATCGAAATAGATTCGGATGAGAGGTGGTAATAGTTTCTAATGGGTGGGTCTTTTTTGGTATGCCAGTGCGCTCGTCCGGGGCGTACGGCACCAATCAATTCGACGACCTTAAATGGTACCAGGATACTGGTGCACCACCCGCACCCTCCACCTGCACTGCTTCCCAACACTTCTTGCTGCTGCACTGTCGCAGCGGCACCCTCGCAGCTAGCATAGCGGCGGATACCAACTGCCCAAGTATCCGCATCGGGTGCCGCTTTAGCCGCTGCCGCAGCAGGAAGAGGGCTGCACAACGGCAGCTGCTGCCGTGGCGGCTGGGCCCGCTCCCACTTCCGCCCGTACCTCCGGCCCTGCTGCTGCTGCTGCTGCCCCGCCGACCTAGCCCCTTCCTGACACACCACCACCTGCTGCTGCTGCCGGATCATTGGGTGCACTTCCGGGGAGGTTGGCGCAGCAGCAGCAGCAGCAGCTGGCGGGCTAGCGGGAGCGGGCTCGCCTTGTTCCCGCCTCGGCCTTTTGGTCGGGCAAGGGGCAAGCAGTGTCGCCGGGTAGGCATCTGGCCCCAGCCCCTGCTGCACCGGCGGCGGAACCAACCCGACTTACCCCACACCAACACCCAACGTACCCGCTAAACATCGGTCACATGCCCCCATGTAATTAACCACGGGCCCGGTAAACATGGCTTCGTTCCCTGTCAACTTCACACAAGTACTGACAGGCTTTCACAGGCTTAGTCCGCTCAGACTGCCCATGACTTTAGAAGACTCATGCGCACGGAACAAGCTTTTCACGGTTGGTACGCAGCCCGAATGCGGTTTATCACAAATCTCTAACCGAATTACCCCACCACAACACTTAACGTACCCTGTAAACATCGGTTACATGCACCTACACAATTACCCACGATCCCGGTAAACATGGTTTCGTTCCCTGTCAGCTTCACACAAGTACACACACACACCCTCGCGGCCAGTTATTTTAACACACCCCAACACGCGTTTACAGGGCCAGTCCGCACACACAGCCTCAGACCACACAGGACGCGCGCGCACCCAGCGCGCTTTTGCCCACCGGTACGCAGCCCGAATGCGTTTTATCACAAATCTCTAACCGATACACCCCACAGACAAACCCTACGTACCCCATAAACATCGGTCACATGCCCCCATGTAATTAACCACGGACCCGGTAACACTGCCTTCGTTCCCTGTCAACTTCACACAAGTACACATGTGCCTACCAACGCAGCTGTACAGGCTAAGTCCACTCGCGACGCCCCTGAGTTCAGAAGGCTCACGCGCACGGAACGGGCTTTTGCCTGCCGGTATGCAGCCCGAATGTGTTTTTATCACGCGGCGCTCACCGGCGCCGTGTACACCAACACCCTACGTACCCCATAAACATCGGTTACATGCCCCTACACAATTACTCACAAACACCATTACAACGCTTACGTACCCTGTCAACTTCACACAAGTACACACACAGGTACTATTATGGGTTTACAGGGTTAGTCCGCACACCGTGAACACCGTCCACATACACCTACACAATTACTTTCGATCCCAGTAACATTGCTTTCGTACACCGGCGCAATGAACACAAGAACAGCCAGGCAGGTACTGACACGGGCTTAGACAGGTTTAGTCCGCACACACAGCCGTACCTCCACTCCCTGCGGCCGTAAGAACAGGAGCCTTGATGGTCTTCACTACATTGCCGGCTGCTGTGCCCGTCATAGGTGGGGCTGGGGCATTACCAGCAGCTGCGGGGGCAGTAGCATACTGCTGCTCCAGCTCAACCCCTGCCGCCATCCGCACTTGTGCACTGCCCATCTTGTAACCCTTTCCATCATCGTCATCCTCGACCCTACCCGCCCTCTTCTGACTCCTTCCCTCCATGCCCGTCATCCCAGCCCTCTACCCCCTTTTCTCCCACCCACCCTTTATCCCCCTCCCACCCTTGCTCCCCTTCCTCCCGTTCTTCCCCTTCCATACCTTTCACGCCTTCCTCTTTGCCGCCCTCCCAATCACCATCACCCCACTCCTCCGTCTCATCTTTCCCGTTGTAATCCCAGTCACCCTCCTCCTCTCCCTCGCTGCCGTCCTCACTCTCCTCCGCTGTGGGCGGGACGCCCAGAGAACTAAGAGGGGAAATACCCGTGCCATGATGGGCCCGTACAGGCCATCTTAACCTCAAATACTTGCGCTAAGTGTTCTGGCCAATCAATTAGGTTTACACCTATTGATGCCTGTTTGATTCTTGGTGCTTCCCTCAGCCTCCACCAAGCTTCCGCAGTGCAAGGTATGACATTGCAGGGTATTGGGTAGTTATCCTGCTACATCCGCACCCTCACCCTCCTCCTCGCTGATTCCTGAGAGCCTGAGTGCTGGCCGCACAACCGGTGGCGACTTGCAGTTGGCTTACAAGTGCAGCCCAACACCAGATGGTTGTGTCAATTGTGTGCCACATCAACCAGACTGGTCCCACTCACTTGTCTCAGACTCCATCATGCCCAGTGTAAGGGTGGAGATAGCACCCCAGCACTGGCTCTCAAGCCGAAGTGCTAGCCTCGTCCCCCCCCCCCTCTCGCAGCTCAGCCTCCGCCTTGACCTTGTTTGACCTCTGTGCATGACAACCCCCCGTTCAGCCTCTCCTCAACCACCTACCGCCGTCCTGTGAAGCCCACAACCGCACGCATCTTCAAAGCTCTATCACATCCCTGCTGGGCAGCGGTCCCGGCGGGGCAAAGGCAGGCTCACATCTCAATTGAGCCGATCCACTGTAGGAGTAGCAGCGCCACCTGCTCAGGCGGCGGCGCCATTGCTATCAGCGGGCTGCTGCTGCTGGCGGGGGGGGGGGGGGCTGCACCCAGGGACTCGTGGGCGCACCTTGCATCAGGGCGATGGGAGGAACACGCAGTGGCAGGGTGGAAATGGGGTCAGGACGCTGCAGATCGGCATTAATCAAAGGCGCTGTTGCAGGCCAAACAACTGCGCCCTGCAAAACGGTGCCACCACCCTACGGGCAGGCACGCCGGACCCGACAGGCCGGACGCCGTAAAATCCCCCCCCCCGCCCCCTTGCAAGATTCCCGGTGGAGCCTTCCTGAGTCATATAGCCAGACGCTGGGTGCAGTACTCCTGCAGCTGCTCGAGGACGGCGCTCTGCAGATCCGCCACGAGGCTGAAGTCCACCGGCACCTGGACCATTTCCCAAGACTCCTCGTGCATGAACTCGCCAGCATCGGCGTTAACAACCGCGCGGGCCTTTGCTGCCGCGGTCTGACGGTCCGATGGAGTTGGCCACGCGTTACGCGGCATCCGTTGAAGCTGAGAGCTAAGCTTCTTGGATGTTTCCTGCAGAGCTTCTTGGATGCTCCCTCCAGCCGCGGCCGCGTCCTCCACGTCCGGAACAATCACTCCGTAGAAGCCCTCCGCAAAGCGTTGCTGGCAGCCCCAGAACGGATCAATTTTAGACGTTGCAGTGTATGGACTTGAGCTGAGCAGTCGCGAGCTGCTCGACGAGGGCGCCTCGGCGACGTGGAGGACTCTAGTTGTTGCCATGCTGTGGACCGAGCTCCTCGGCTAGTCTCTTCGCTCTATTATAGTAAACTGGATGTACGAATTTGGCGTGCGGGCTGCTGTCCGTGAATGTTTCAGAGTGCCCCGGTCGCCCGAAAACAGCGTGGCCGTCTGCGGTGAAGTGCAGAAGCTGCACGCCTAACCCTTCACAATAGCCTGTCGGTTTTCCGACTATGGCAGCTTCTGCTCCTAGGAGGTCCCATTACCAGGATCCAAAATCGGACGAGCCCTACCATTGGAAATTCGCTGTGAGACGTTGTGAGGCACTGGATTTGCGGTGTCGCATAGGAGTCAGAAAAACAGATATCCCAACCCAAATGCGCAGCATTAGGATAACAGTTCCTCGGTCGCTAGTCAAGCTGGTACGGGCTACATTCCGACTACGTCCTCAGTCAATTGCTTGCGTCAAAGGTGGTTACGGGCATCGCAATTTTGCCCATGCATGTGTAAGGGGTAAAGCCGGACAAGGGTGGGGAGCTAAGGCGTACAAGTACCGTTGTACACAACAATGAAAACACCGCGCTCTAAACACATGCACGTGCGTGTCCAACAACCTGCTGACGCCGGGAGAGCGTCAATGAGTAAAAGTAAAGCCATCCATGCAGTTCCTGATCCTCTTGCAATGTTCCCTCAAGGGAACCCCAACGTGAACCCATGATTTGCTGTGCAGTTCCGGGTGACAGTTGAACCATACCGTGCGGTCGTGATTGCCTCATCTACCGGTACCACCGGTATACGCACGCGCCTTTGCAGCGGCGCCTGATTGCATTCGGTCTACTCATCACTCCCGCCCTCCAGCGCATCAAGCACTACCAGCCAGCTCCGACGGCGCTTCTTGCGCTTCTGGTTGCTGCTGCTGTCTCCTGGACTACTGCTGGCGCTGCTGCTCCTGCCGTTGCCCCTCCTAATGAGACTGCTTCTGCTGCCGCTGAAAGCAGCCTCCTCCGCTCCAGCCACTACAGAACCGCCGCAGGCACCGCCTGCCGCCACCCCCGCCCGCACCAGCTGCTGAACACCGCCTCCACCCACCGCCCCGTCGCAGCCACCCTCAGCATCAATCCCGTCGTACAACCGTCGCCGCTTGGCCCCACACAGCACCGGTGGGGGGCTGACGTGCTCGCTGCCCGCTGCTACGCATAGCCCTCTTGAAGGCGGGACTTCTCCTTGTAACCAATCCAGACCCCTTTCTGACGGCTTTAGTGCTGCCACTGCTTGGAGAGGCTGCTGCTGCTGCCGCTGCTGCCGGCGTTTCTCCCCGCTATGCTCCCGTTCCTGCGTTAGCTGCGGGTGCGGCTGTGGCTCCCGGATTGGCTCATGACGGGTTACGCCCCTGTGCACCGACACCTCACCTGCTTGCCTCGCAGGCAGCGGCGGCGGGGGCTTCCTGGGCAGCCGGCGGAGGGGCAGCGGCGGCGACACCGCTGCAGGTGCTTCAAGTGCCGCTGCCACCGCCACCGCTGCGGAGCGTGAGGCGCAAGGGGAGAGCTCGGCAGACGTAGCGGTAGCAGCAGCAGCAGCAGCGGCAGGAGTATGAGGAACAGAAGCAACAGAGCCGCCTGATGTGGTGTGCTGCTGTGCACGGTCGTCCACTGTGCTGCTGCTGCCCAGCTCAATGCTGGCTTGGGCCTCCAATGCTGTACGGCACTGGGGTGTACATGTAGGCCACAGTGGCAGTAGCGAATCCCGCTGCTCATTAACCGCCGTGGTCGTCACACTAACAACCTGTCCCGGGGGGCAGGAGTTGGCGGGAGGAGGTAGCAGCGGCGGTGGCAATGGGGAGGTGAAAGCAGCCGGAGGCAGCTCATGTAGCACCGGTAACAGAGCTGCGTGGGAACCGCCCTCCCCTTCCAGGTGCGGCAACGGTACCAGGGGGGTAGACTGTGACGACGCCAGGGAAGCAAGCCGCGGCGACGATACTAGGGATCCACCGCGGGGCAGCTGCAGGGCTGCTGACGGTGGAGGCGGTGGAGGCGGCGGCGTGTGAGGCCGTCGCGGGTGCGGCGCCTCAGGGTGTGCACACCGGGGTTGCGGGACGCCTAGCTGCCGCATGCCCGTGGATAGCAGCGGCCGCCGATGCAAGGACCGCAGAGACGGCGGCGATGTTTCCATCCCGGGCCCTGGGGCCTCCACTGACGCAGCACCACCACCTGCCGCCGCTGCTGCTGCTGCTGCTGCTGCTGTGACGGCTAGAGCTGGAGCCGGCAGCTGGGGCAGCCCGGGCTGGTCGTGCGCAGGGGCTGCAAGGCCTGGTGGGAACCACCCGCGCCCTCCACCTGCACTGCTTCCCAACACTTGTTGCTGCTGCACTGTCGCAGCGGCACCCTCGCAGCTAGCATAGCCGCGGATACCAACTGCCCAAGTATCCGCATCGGGTGCCGCTTTAGCCGCTGCCGCAGCAGGAAGAGGGTGGTAGACACGACAGCAGCCGCTTGGGTGCGCATCGCCCTCGGACACGCCATCCGCATCCCCTTCCTCCGCCAGCAGACGCTGCAAGATGGCCCGAGTGGGGCTGCACAACGGCAGCTGCTGCGGTGGCGGCTGGGCTCGCTCCCACTTCCGCTCCCACCTCCGGCCCTGCTGCTGCTGCTGCTGCCCCGCCGACCTAGCCCCTTCCTGATGACCCACCACCACCTGCTGCTGTTGCTGCTGCCGGGTCATTGGGTGCACTTCCGGGGAGCTTGGCACAGCAGCAGCAGCAGCAACGGCTGGCGGGGTAGCGGGAGCGGGCTCGCCTTGTTCCCACCTCGGCCTTTCGGTCGGGCAAGGGGCAAGCAGTGTCGCCGGGTAGGCACCTGGCCCCAGCCCCTGCTGCAGCGGCGGCGGTGGAGACTGTGGCAGCAGTGGATGCGGCTCCTTGGGATGCTGCTGCAGCTGTTGAGGCCGTCGAGGCTGCTGCAGCGGCAAGTCGACCCCTCCAGCGCCAGCAACCCCATCCCTACTACCGGTGCTGCTGCCGCCGCCACAGCAGCCACCGCCATCCTTCCCAAGCGCGCACGAGCCATGCGTTTCCAGTTGGGGCACTTGAGATTGCAGCTGCTGTTGCCGCACCTGCTCCCCGGTTGCCAGCCCTTCAGGAAGCGTCCGGGGCAGGGGCGGACGCTGCTGTGGGGCCTGCGTTGTAGTCGCCAGCTCTGCCGTCACCCTAGCCACAGCGTCACCCACATCAACATTGACACCCACACCCACAGCCACCCGAGGCGGGTAGAGCTCCTCCGGCAGGCGGGTGAGGTCGGGGCGGGGGCAGCACCGCCGCCGCTTCTTGTGCCGTACCTGCCTCAGCGGTGAGGCCGGCGAGGCACAGAAAGCGGCCGGTGGGGAGGGGGCAGCTCCCAGCCCGCATGGACAACCGCTGCCGCCCTCCCCCGGCTCCTCCTTCACCTCCTCCTCCGCTACCTCGCCTACAACCCGCTCCTCGGCCCCCTCCTCCCAGGCTGCGGCGGCAGCAGCCTGGTCCCGCCTCGCTAGGATGTCCCGGATCCACCTGCATGCGGCCGGCAGCGACACGGTACACAGCAGTGTACGACATGCATGGGGGGGAGTACGTCAGCGGACGGATACGGCCGAGCTGCGTACGGCAGCTGCATGACGCGGCCAGCTAGCGTTAGTCATCCCAATAAGCAGCGGCGGTGTTCAGCACCCCGGGTACGCTAACCAACCCACTCCCTCCAATGTAACCCCGCCCAGAGTGCCATGCTGCTCTGATCCTGCACACGAGGCCAGGCGCCGCGCCACCCACCTCCAGTCCACCACCCGCGGCCCCTCCGGCTCCGGCTCCGGGCCCAAATTCGGCTGCTCCTCGCCGCTGCCGCCCTTCTTCGCCATCGCCGCCGCCACAGCACCCTGATAAGCGGCATCCCCAACGGTAAGATAGGCAGCGCTGCCGCCGCCTCCGCAGCCCCTGTCACCGCCGCCGCAGTCCCGGCTGCTGCTCCCCCAGCTGCGGCTGCCCACCCCACCTCCACCTCCTCCACCTCCACTACCTCTACCACCCCGCAGCCAGCACAAGAGGCCTGCCAACCGGCGCACTCCCCCCTCATCTGCCGCTCCCTCCTTGTGCTGCTGCGACCGCTGCCGGGGCTGCTCCTGAAGCCCCTCCACCCTCCCTACCTTCACCTCCTCCGCCGCCTGCTCCTCCGCCTGCGCCCACTGCCGGCTGCTGCACAGTGCCCGCAGCGCCTCCAACACTCCGCCCGCGGGGACCACTCGCGACACCGGCCGCCCACGCAAACCGACTCCCTCCCTTCCCTCCTCGCCATCCACACGCCCCTTCTCCTCCTCCTCCTCCTCCTCCGCGGCTGCCGCTGCCGCCCCGTCACACAGCACCACATGCGTCACCTCCGGCCCCCACCTGCGCGCCAGTCGCCCCCCGCCCGCCACCACCCCCGCCCGCACCTCCGCCAGCAGCCCACCCGCCGCCTCCGCCAACCGCCAGCGGGCTGCCGTACACTCCACCTCGGCAACACCGCACAGCAGCGGGGGAGGTGGCGGAGGTGACGGCAGCAGTGGCGGCCTCAGCGTCAACGGTGAAGCGTCGGGCTCATCGGTCGACGGAGCTGATCCAGGCATTGCCGCCGGCGCTGCTGCTGCCCCTGTTGCCACCCCCTCTGCCGCCCCCTCTGCCTCCTCAGCTGCTGCTACCAGCCCCCACGTGACGTCCAGCAGCAGCATGCAGGCACCTCGGAACAGCCGCTGCGGGGGACCCGGGTGCAGGTGCGGCGGCACACCCGCACCCCGCATCTCCACCTCCAACCAGTCCAACAGCCGCTCCTGCTCCTGCTCCTGCTGCTGCTCCTGCTCCTGCTGCTTTCGCTGTCCTTGCTGCTGATGAACCCCCGCCAGACCGCTCTCCTGCAGCTGCCCTCGCTGCCGCTGCTGCCCCTGCCCCTTGCCCTTCTGCCGACCAGCTGCTGCTGCCGCCACACCCTGGTTGTGAGGAAGCGCTACTGCTGCTGCAGGTGCTGCATGACGTCTACCGTTCATGCTGACGTGGCGTTCTAGTAGCGCCGCCAGATCTCGCTCGTCCAGTGGCTGGTAGTACGGGTCGCCGTACGGGTCATGCGTGGCTGCGTGTGCGGCCAGGGTGGAGGGGCTGAGGCGCCAGGCGAGGGAGGGCGGAGGGGGCATCAGCAGCCGCCGCTGCAGGGAGAGGAGGGGCGGGGTGGGGAGGGATTGGATTGTGAGCTTGAAATGCCGTTATGGGCGGGGTGGGGTGGGGATGGAAAGGAGAAAGCAAGTTGAAGTGGAGGACGTGCTGCGAACTGGAGTCCAGTATGAACAGATGTAGCCAAGGGGGCTTTGCCGTCAGCCGTGTCAGGAAAGGAAAAGCGGCCCCCTTCCCCCTTCCCCTTCCTCCTCCCCCACCTGGCGCCAGCACTCCTCAAGCCACTCGGGCCGCAGCAGGTCTCGGCACACGTCCCCCGCGTGGGCCCCCTCGCACCAACGGTCAACAACCACATACGAGGTACGACACCTGCCGTACGGCACCTTTACATCGGGGCGGGAGCGCAGGCGGGCAGGAAACACGGCGCGTCAAAAGAGGCGCGTTAAGAGCTGTAGTGCTACACACAAGAGCTTTGAGAGTTATGCATTGCTCCGAGCGGCCATCCCTGGCCCCCTCCTGATCACCCGCTTCTTCTCCTCAAGCCGGACTCGGTACGCCCCGCGGCCCCGGTAGCTTGCTACGCACCCCTTTCCCCCCTTCCCCCCTCCCCCTCCCAACTCCCCTCAGCCCTCACCCCCCAGCCGCCGCCACTCACCCAGTTGGCGCTCACCCTGCCCCCCAGCTCCCCCACCAGCCCCCCCAGCCGCCCCCGCCGCGCCGCCACCTCCCCCCCGCTGCCGTACAGTCCCTCCAGCGCCACCCAGCCGCCCCGCAACACATCGCACCGCACCGACACCTGCAGCACCAGCAGCGGGCACCAGCAGCGGGCAGCGACAGCGGGCACCAGCAGCGGGCACCAGCAGCGGGCACCAGCAGCGGGCAGCACGTATTGGGGTTAGGATGCACAGCCCCAGTAATACGGAATCACCTGCGATATCTCGATATGACAAAGCTGGGGCAAGGCGTGGTGCAGAGCCCGCCAGCTCCCCATCCATCCCGCCCGTCTCCCCGCCTCACCTCCCGCACGCTCACGGGCAGCAGGTCCCGGGGCACTCGCACAGCGGGGAGCGCGGCAGCACCGGAGCGGCGGGGGGGCAGCAGGCGGGGGGGCTGCAGGGCGGCGGCAGGAGGAGCAGCGGCAGGACCCGACCCCTGCTGTCGCTGCTGCTGCCGCTGCTGCTGCTGCAGGTCCGGTTGCTGCTGCTCCCCGTGCCCCTCCCCCCACCCCAGCTGCCCCCCCTGTGCCTGCCCCTGCGCGCATGCAGCGCTGAGCAGCTCGTCTAGGCTCGTTGCCTGGTGCGGGCTCTTGTCGGTGCGGATGCGGGTGATGCGCGGGAAGCGGAGGGTGAGGCCGGTGGAGAAGGAGCGGGTGGGGGTCAGGCGCACATCGCCGGTCACCTGCAGAGCGAGGGAGAGGGCGGAGGCAGGGGGGGGGAGGGTTGGGTCGGGCAGGGGGGGGGATGAGGTTGGGGAGGATGGGTGACGGGCCGGGGAAGGGCAGCTGGGAGGGAAGTGGGCGGCTGGGGAAAAGGGACGAGGTAGGGTTCAGGGTGCAGGGGACTAATACGGCTGCAACCCCTCATTCCGTCTGCTCGCTCTGCCACTCTGTCGCATGACGCCATCCCCCACCCACCACCACCCAGCCGCACCACCATCTCCCCCCTCCCCGCCCCCCCCCCCCTCTCGCTCCCCCCCACCTGCACCACCACGCTCCTGCTGGGGTCCACCACCCACCAGTCCGGCCACTCATCCCGGCTGCCAGTGGTACGGCACCAGGCGGGGGCGGCGGCGCGGCGGGCGGCAGCAGCCGCACCGCACCCCGCCCTCCCTCCTCCTTCCTCCCTGCCCCTCCCGGGCCCCCTTCCGGCCCCGCCCCCCCTACCCGCCGCCCGCAGCAGCTGCCGACTGGGTACCAGGTTGCCGGACAGCAGCGGCTCCAGCAGGGCCTGGCGCTGCTGCCGGCTCACACCGCTGCCAACACTGCGTGGGGGAGGAAAAAAAAAGAAATTCCAAAGTGTGGTGTGAGGGGGGGAGGAAGGGAGGGAGGCGGGTTTTCAGCCGGCTTCATTGGAGGAGTATAATTGCACATCCCTTACATCAAACCCTTACAACTCCTCCTGAATGTGCCAACGCATTCACACCGCGCAATCATCTCTTCTTAGTCTCTGCCTGTGGACGCCCACCACCCCGCATGCTGGCATCACATGCATGCAGCTGAGGCTTCTCCCCTCGCCCTCCCGCCCTCCCCGTGCAGGTCTCACACGGCGAATGTGACGTAGGTGGTGGTGGTGGTGGAGGTTGGGTCCGACTGCTGCTGCTGCTGCTGCTGCCGGGTATCGGCGGGTGTGGGGGAGGGCGGGGGGTGCAGGGGAAGCCCCAGAAGGTACACCCCACCCACACTGGTGTGACTGGGGGGGAGGGGGGGGTGGACAAGGGCAGCAGGGGGAGGGGGAGGAAGGTGGCGTGGGTGGGCAGATGAATGGGAAGGTGGGATGGATGCTAATGCGAGTGGAAGGAGCGATACCAGAAGTATGCAGATGGTACACCTACCAAGCAACCCACCTCTTGGTGTGGTCATACAGCTGCCCCAGCACCACCGCATCCCACTCCCCCGCCCCCCCGAGGTAGTCGGGCTTCAGCTTCAGCCAGCTGCCGTTGCGGCTGCCGGGCTGGTAGGGGGAGCGCAGCGCCTTCAGCACCGCACCCTCCTCCTGGAGGGGAGGGAAGAGGTGAGGGGAGATGAGGGGAGGCAAAGAAAGAGAAACCGACTGACTGTATGAGGAGGCTTTGCCATGGGTTACCGTACTACAAGGGGAGGTTACTACAGTTGTGGGACTACTTGCCACGGGGAGGTCTGAGGTGAGGGGCAGGAGGGTCAGTGCGGGGGTGAAGCGCCACCAAGAAAAACCCACACGCCCCTCCCACACTCCCACGCTCCCACCCTCCCACCCCAACTCACGCCCGCTGCCACGGTGCGGTCGTACACCTCCCGCGCCTGCTGGGGCGTGTGACACACCCAGCTTTGGACCTTACCGTCTGTGCGTCGTGGTTAGGGGTGGGAGGGGAAGGAGGTGGCAAGGGGTGAAAGGGGAAGCCGCGGTGGAATAGAGCTGCCGCTACGTAACTGAGCAAGCGGAGGTAAGCACCACAAAGCCCGTGCGGAGCAAGTCCCGCTTCTTGTACCCCGAACGGCACAGCGTACCCCCGCCCGCATTCGGGCTGGGCGGGTTGGGCTGGCTCAATTGTTGCAAACCATGATGACGCCTTATCACACAGTCAGTTAGTTGTTTTCTCTCTTTACCCGCCCGCATCCCATACCCATATCCAACCCTCCCGCCCTCGCACACCGCGGCCCACATAAGCCCCCGGCCCCCCATCCTGCATGCTTTCCCCCGCCCCTCACCGCACATCCTGCGCCCCGGCAGCAGGGCCTCCGCTCGGAAGCCCACCGCCCCGCTGCGGGCGCCCAGCGGCACACCGGGGTCGCCCTGACCCATGGGTCGCAGCAGACCCGCCAGCAGCCGCTGCCGCTCCTGCCCGGGAGCGCGGGAAGCGGGGTGGGGGGAAAGGAATTAGGATGGGGACGGCGGGAGGGGAGTAGCATGCAGCCTTCATGCTTCTTCTTACCCAAGGAGGCAGTAGTGCATCGGTCCGCCGCCTCATGCGCTAGGAGGGTAAGGGGAGCCTGGTACGTAGCCAGACTCATACTGACATGATCTAAAATCCCATTGTATCCTCACCGGCCCACCCACCAACAAACCCACCCACCCACCCTCAGCGGCAGGTGCAGTGTGCTCTCCTGCCCCAGCAGCAGCACGTCGAAGACCACATACACCACCTCCAACTCGGAAGCAAGCGGAGGGGCAGGTGCTGGGGACGGGGCTGGTGGGGGCGGCGGTGGGGGCGTTGCTTGCAGTGCCGGTGTACGGGGGGGCGTGTGTACGGCAGCCGGGTCGCCTTCTCCAACCCCACCACCAACATCCTCCTCCTCCCCACCACCACCATCGTCGTAAATATCACCATCATCATCACCATCATCGTCATCATCATCATCCCCTGCAGCAGCGCCGGCATCTTCGCTATCGGCTCCTTCCGGGCTGCTGTTGCTGCTGCGGCCCCCATGTGGTTCCGCATGGGGGACCGCATAGGCTGCGGCGTCCTGCAGGCATAGGCACAGCGACGGCGGGTCCACAGGGGAACAGAGGGGAGCAGCGAGGAGGTTTGGGGGTGCGAGGGGGCAAGGGCAAGCGTGCTTGGGTGCAGGGAGTACAGACCCCCCCTTTCCTATTTGGGCTCTTCCGACCACTTGCTCAAGCATGTGCGCGCATGGAGCACCTTGCGAGCGCGCGGAGAGGACCACCCGGGTTGACCGGCTGCGCCAAGTCATGCGAGGCTCTTGTCTGGCTGATCGCACGACCGGTCATCAGCGTGCAAAGGTGGACGCAGATGCAGTGAACGCAGCGCGGAGGACACAGACGCATGGATGGCTGGATTGCATGCATGCATGTACGATACGTCTGGCTGGCTGGCTGGATTGCGGGTGTGGCACTCACCCTGCCCTGCACTACCTGCCCAGGCCCCCAGCCCTCCGCCGCCGCCCGCACTGCCGCCTCAAGCAGGCCGAACGGCTCGAAGCTGCGCCTGTCGTCAGGGGGGCGGCAGAGGGCGCGGTAGGTTGGGGTAACAACAAGCGCGAACCAGCCGAGGTTGGGGGCTGTGCTACGTTGTCGGACCGATTCCCTCCGTGTCCAATCATTCATGCATGTCGCTCAAGCCTTGGCCAACTGAAGCCCCTATCCGAGGGATATGGGCACGCAGGTCCTCATTACTAAGCAAGCTGCCCCCTTTACTATATACTAAGCAAGCTGGGCCACTTTGCGACCCACGGGTCACTCTTGAGCTCCTTCTCCTCACCTCCTCTTGTTCCACACCACCATCTCCCCGTCCAGTACCACTCGCGGCAGCACCACAGCAGCTCCCGAGCTCCCGGCTGGCCCCGCTGCTGCTGCTACTAGCAGCCCCCAACCCCCAGCAGCCGCTGCAGCCGCCTCCTTCGCGTCCCCTTCTTCCCTCCCTTCTTCTACTGTTGCTCCTTCTCCTCCTCCATCTGCTGCCGTCCCCTCCCCTCCCCCTGCCGCTGCTGCTGCCCCCGACAGGCACCACGCCACCCCGGTGTCCAGCACTGAGAAGCCGGAGCGCGGCCCGTGGTCCCTGCAGTTGCGGCTGTAGTAGTGGAAGCGACAGCGGGTGCTGCTGTCCCCCGCACTAGCAGCCCCGCAGGTGGGGGTGGCGGTGACCCGTGGGTCGTACATGCCGCCAGTCACGTGCAGCTGCACTCGGAGGTTGTGTACGGCAGGCAGCATGACACGTGTTAGTGGTGCTCTGTCAGTTTCTATCGGGGATGTTCCGGGGAAGTCACCACCCAGGGATGCTAGGGATGTTAGGCGTGACGTACGGCAGCAGCTAGTAGGTATCGGTAACCGGTGGCAGTCAACTGGTGGACAGCGGTAGGCTAGCTCAGCAGCCTGAGTGTGACTGCCCAAGGACGCTGAAGGGGGCTGGGGAGCAGTACACGTGGCAAGTGGCGGCAACGGCCGCCGCTGGCGCACCACTACGGCCGTCGCAGCCGATTGCAGGCGGCAGGATGTCCCTACCTACCTACCTACCTGGATTCTCCAGCCATCAAACTTGGTTTCCACCACGACCGGCCCGCCCCCCCAGTCTCGCATCAGCCCCTGCGTCGCCTCCTCCGGCCCGCCCCCGCCTCCGGCCCCGCAGCGGGCGGCCAGGTGGGGGGCCACCAGCACCCCCGCCTGCACCCGGGGGGGCTGGTGTGCGCATGCGGAAGGAGGGTGGGTGGGAAGGTTGGTGCGTGGGCGAGGGAACCCATACGGTGGGATGCAGGAGACAGGCCATGCACACACGAGCAGACGCAGACGCCGTGTGCGGTGCTATGTTGATGCACCTAGGGTCCGTTTCACCTTTGGTCAGCACAGTTCGTGTTGCTGTGCTGTCATGCCTGCTGCCGGTATGTATTACTGCCCTGCTGCCCTGCTTCCCTCTCTATGCATGCAGCTTTGCCTCCTCCTGCTCTCTCTCTCCTCCCTCCCTCACCCCCGCCTTCTCGCTCTTTCCCTCTTTTACCTTCCAAGTCGCACACAGGCTCTCCGGTCGCTCCTGCTGTCCTTCCCGCTGCTGCTGCTGCTTCCCCACCTCCTCCTCCTCTTCCACTTCCTTCCCCATTCCCTCCTGTTCCTCATGCTGCCCCTCCCTCTCCCCCTGCCCCACCAGCTGCTGTAGCACGCGGCGCAAGTCGCAGCAGCCCGCCAGCTGGTCGGGCGCGGCGGGGTGCAGGCAGGCCAACACCGCCCGCTCACCCAAACCAATCTGGGGATGGCCAGTGGAGGGAAGGGGAGGGCAGGAAGTGAATGCACAGCCATTGGAGCCATCCCTCTCTCCCTCCCGCCCTCCTCCCTCCCTCTTCCCCCCTACCGGCAGCTCCTGTCGCAGCAGCATGCACAGCAGCCAGCGCGCGGAGGCGGGCCGGCAGCGCAGCAGCAGCCCCGCCAGCACCGCCGCCTGCTGCTGGTGCGGGTGCTGCTGGTGCTGCTGCTGCTGGTGCTGCTGCTGCTGGTGCAGGTGCAGTGGGGGAGCAGGCGGCAGCGGGGGCGGCTGCTGGGCTGGATGATGCGGCGGAGGGTGCGGCGGGGGACCAGCGCCAGCGCCAGCAGCAGCGCCAGTAGCAGCAGCAGCAGCAGCAGCAGGCACACCCGCAGTGCCCGAAGCGGCGGCGGCGGTGCGGATGGTCGTCTCGGGCTGCTGCTGCTGCTGTTGTTGTCCGCCCGCTGCTGGGGCCGCTGCCAGGGCAGCCAAGCGGTCCAAAGCGGCGTTTACCTACCGGGGTCGGGTTGGGGTGGGGGGCACGGGTCCTGGCATGCATCGCCTGTTCGTCTCTTGCTCTGCTTCCTCTCACCGCACCCCAGGCCTCTTCACCTCCCCCTACCTCCCCATATTCCCTCCCCAGATAATCTTCGTTTACCTCCCCATTTCCCCACGCCCTCGCTCTCACCTCCCCCACAGTCAGCCCCTCCTCCCCGGGCGGCAGGTGTGCGGGGCAGTACGCGTCCAGCAGCACCTGCGGGCGAACCGGGGAGGCCGGGTGGGTGCGGGCGGCAGGGGCAGGGGGGCAGAGGCCAGGCGGGCAGGTGCTGCTGCGGAGGGATGAAGCCCAGGCAGCTCCCTGCCAGTCTTGATGCGTTGAGAGCCTCTGCTGTTAGCAAGACGGTGCGGGGAGGTGGGCCGGACTCACCCCCTCCCTCCCTACCCCCTCGCTTTGCCTCGGTCCTCTCATTAAGCTCTCATCTGCACTCCGGCCCGGTCCCGCCCGCCCGCCCGCACTACCTGCTGCATGACGTCGGGGAACTTGCAGCGCCCGCGGTGCGCCAGCTGGCGCCAGTGCTGCCGGGCGGTGCGGGCGCGCGGGTGGGAGGCGCCCAGCGCGGTGGCCAGCAGGGAGGCGAGGCGGTACTCCTGGGAGGGGGGAAGCAGCAGGGGGAGCAGTGTGGGAGAGGGAAGGAGCGGATGAGGGTGCGTCGCGGCGAGAGGCCATGAGGCCATGAGGAGGGCGAGAGGAGGGAAAGCCGGCCGGGCCCGAAGCGGGTACCAATGCTGCCCAGTCGTCTGCAATGTTCCTAGACGAAGCAGGGTGCTGGCACTGCCCACCTTAATGCCGTAGAAGCCCCGCTCGTGATCCAACTGCGGGGCGTTGTATGCAGGGGGTGGATGAGGAGTGGGAGGGGGCACAGGAGGGCGTTCACGAGGGACACGGAGGGGAACGGGGGGTCAAAACGGGGGGAGCAGGTCATGCAGCAGGGTGAGGTGGCGGCCGAACGGGGTAACCTTGAAGGCGGAGTGATGCACTGGTGTAACAGTAATAGTGTCATCATTTTGAACGTGCCTGCCCGCAGGAGCCGGACTGACCAGATGCAAGGGCACTACGCAGTTCACGTTGAGACCATGCCCAGCTGTTGTGTGACAGTCTTCAATCCGGGAGCACGGGACCCTTTAACGCTGGTAAGTTAATGCAATGCGAAGGGGGCATATTTTCTCACAGCCTTCACCATATCACCTGAGGCCGTCATCATGCGTTCAGTGCAGCAGAACGGCGTACGTCGTTCTACCTTCGCAACATCCCTCGCCACGCACCTTTGGCAACAGCAGGCGGAAAAGACCGTAAAGGTCATCCCCGTCGTTATTCTTAGATAATGCTGTGAAGAAGCGCTGCAGTCGCTTTACCTGGGTGCAAAGCCATTTTTGATAGGTAGGGTACCGGACGGAAAAGTCGACGGCCGTAGAATGTTGCAGCCTTTAGATAGCTTCTACCTAAATACTCAGACGCGCTTACCTTTGCCGCTCGTTTGCGGCCTTTAATGTCGTCAAGAAGTGTCGTCAAGGCCCCAAAGCGAATGTCCATTGCCCGCAGAGGTTCCATTATGTTGCGCACTGTCGACTGCTATTTCTCGCTTTAAAACCAAAAGGCTACATGTTTAATGAAGGCGACTCAGTGTGCTATGCTATTTGCCGTCGCATCATGTGCAAAATGCCCCTGCTGTCTCGGCGATAATTTGGGCCAAGGCGATGCCTTAATATATGGCGCGAAACCAATAACATAAAGAAAGTACAGCCAGAAAATTATGGTCTTTCTGGAATTGGGATGGCGACAATTGCGCGTGCTAAGCGTACATGCTTTGCCTGCTGTGCTGTGCTGTCGTACATGCTGGAGGACAAATGGAGCTTTCCGGCAGTCGCTGGCATGCTCTTCTTCTAAGCTTCCAGAGCGCTGCCTGCGGGGCGTGCACACGGGGCCTACGCAGTTGGCAATGCCGTACAGGAATGCCGGCGTTTGGTCGCCAGGAACAGTGACACTAGCATTGCCTGAATCGCCTTTGTTGAAGCACGTGACCATGATGGCAATTTAAAGAGGTTAATGCAAGTTGTATAAGTAGTACGGTCTTTAGCCTCTTTACTTGCATGTGAACATGGCAGGAAGGCATACCGTTACTCCGGCAAGGATAACGCGCCGCTTGCCCTAGCGAAAGCCCTATAAGTAAACTTGTGAAGCCATTTGTTGCTCAGAAGTCGAAATGGGTGGAGGCTGCAGCTCTCTTGCGGATGAGGGCGTCTTTCGGCCCTTGAAGGAGCGAACAGGCGCAGAGGATGGGGCTACGACCGCTACTGGGGAGATAGAAACACAAATGCTCATTGGGCATCTCGATGCAGTTTCTAGAGCAAAAGGCAAGTCCAGCGGCTACGCCATATAATGTCGTCGTCCCGTGCGGCCCGGACCAACCTTGCCGCGGTACCCATGTATGGTTCTGCCCTCGTTATTAATTGCAACGCAGAAAACCTTGCACCCCTTTGGAAAGACCAGTCGCTGACGCCTTTCACCTCTCACCGAAGCCCACACAACCAACGTCGTGCCAGCACGGTTTCCTGCGGGGTATCGCTGGCTGCACTGAAGGCCATTGCGCTTGCAGTGCCCCAAAACTGGACGACTGCGGAAGTCAAGGAGCACTTGGTCATGCCGGCGACACAGGCTTTGGGCTGCCGTTTTGTGGACGTCCCCGGGTTTATCCCACCTACACACGTCCGCCGACCAAACTACTTTATCTCTCACCACTGGCGCGGGTGTGTGGGCCAGACTAGTCGCTAGTTACTTGCGCGTGCTTGGGCACCCTTCGTGGCCTGCGTGCATTGCGTCATGACCTTAATTGTTGCTCATGCCGAGTGTCTATGCTGGGTGTATGCTGGGTGTAGTGCTAGGTTACGTGGCAGTGACCTAGGGCCATCGCGCTTTACTCTATCGTAAGCACGCATACGTCTGGCCCCCCATCCCGCACAGGAACTTCCACGAGCTCATAACAACCCTAGCCCATGTGCTCAAGGATGCAGTGCCTGAGGAAGTGACATGCTGGCTGGACATCCTAGCAGGTGCGTGCGGTTTGGGTTCTGGAGTTGCCGTAATTTCTGGCCTACCTGCCCCCATCCAGCAACATATAGGGAGCCGCTCAAGGGCCCAGCCCGAGGGCATTGGCGGTATGGAGACTTACCTGTGACGTTAGTTCTTAGAGCCGCTCGGCCGTACCTCCGCAAGCGAAAATATCTTTGATGTGCACGGACGGAAAGCTTGCCCCGCCTGCCTTGCTCGTGCATGAAGTGAACCAGCATGACTGCTCGGAGGACCTGGCCAACCTGAAGGAGGCGGTGCGGGCAGCAGATGGAGGCACGCTGGTGGTGCTGGGCCCCAGCGGGGGACCCCTGGGGCGAGTGTGGTGAGTGCCAGCGGGGAGGCCCTACATGCGGTGCCGGCTGCTGGCTAACAGCCACTTAGTATAAAGGACGCCCGGTCTTGCAGCCCGTTGTCCGCTGTCGCAGCGTCGTACCCTTGTTTTTGTCTGGTGCGCCATGGCACTTGCATAGTAACTCTCGCCCAGTTCGCAAGCTACTACTGCTTCGCCAGTTACGGACACCTCCAGGCGCTCTTCCTCACGGCACTCCCCTCCTCCACCAATTGCTCCTCTGGGTCAGCACCCTCGTGTGCGCTCCCAGCGTAGGTGCATCTATGCAGGGGGGCACCAACCGCTCACGATATTACAATCTTGCTGCAAAGCACCTTGATACGACCATCACGCACCTTGATAAGACCATCAGGGCGCACTGACGCCCTTCTCGCCCTTTTTCGCCCTACCACGCATCGCATGCAGGTGCCTGTATGAGTTCTTCACCACCGTGAAGGTCAAGGGTCCCGACTCTCTCCACATGCTGCTGCCCTCACAAAACACGGCACTGGACGCCCTGCGTGACATCATAGTCCGTATAGACGTCGTAAGTGCTGGCTACACGCTGAAGGCGGATCGAGATACGATCCTGGCCGACATAAAGGTAGGTATGGAGCAATCCTGTTCGTCCAACTACCGGTACGATACTCTGCATACAGCCCTTAGCACCATACTCAGCAGACTTTGCCTTCCTAACCCACATATATACCACCGCCGAAGTACGGTATACGTGTCCTAGCATAGCATTCCTGACGTGAATGAGGCCAATCGTTGCGCCCCTACCGGAAATGCCTATTGTTGTGACCCGTGGGTCCGCCGTGAATGCTCCGTGCATGCAGGCAGACTTTGGGTCGACGGAGGCGTTCAACCTGCTCCTGAAGCTCCTGTTGTTGCTGCAACCCCTCGATTACTCTACGGACTTGGCCGCTTTGAAGCAGCGTGGAGGGGGCAATGCCGCTTGGAGCCTGGGTGAACTGCAGGCATGGTTGGGGACGCCGCCGCAAGCACTTATGTTGATGCAACAACAGCAGCGGGGCGCACAGGGCGGTGAGACGTCCTCGGCAGTGGAGAAGCCGCAGCAGCCCCGCTGCTTTGCTGTGTACGGCGGCGCAGGGCAGGGTAAGTCTACATTGGCCGCGGCGATGGTGGAAGCCAGCGCTGAAGCTCTGGCGGCGTGGAAGGTGGCGTGTAAGGACGCCGCTGGGGGGCACCGCGCACCTCCCCCTCCTCCGGCAAGGATACATGTAAGGCTTTGCTGCTGCAACCGTAGCTAGCTGACTGGTTTTAGAAAGTACTCTTTCCCTGTGCAAGTCTGGTCGAGCCATGCAGCAGCACAGGATGTTGGGTCAACCATCCTTGCATGTTTTCAGGGACGTTGCAGTACATGATCCAAAACGCGTTACAACTAGCTTCCTCCTTCTTCTGCCACGTGTTAATGCATGCACCACCACCTGCTGTGCGGCCCCCTGCAGGCCCACCACTTTTGCAAGCACAATGACGTGCGACGGCAGGACGTGCTGCGTATCATCAAATCGCTGGCCTATCAGCTCGCCACTGCACCGGACCTGCCGCATTTCCGTCAGGGTAGGGTGGCTCCTGAAGTTGCTGCTGTGTGCCGCAAGCGGTTACGCCCTCATGCATGGTTATTCCCCGTCCAAACCCCTACTGCATCGGTTACATCCGTTGCATCCGACAAACCGCTGCCGACCTGGCACCTATGCACATCCTGGCTGCCATTCTTGCTGCCTCCAGCGTACTGCTTGTGCTTTGGTCGTCCCTCACTCTCCCTGCATCTTAACTGGCCTAGCTACTTCCAACACGGCCGCCGCCTCACTCTGATATGCCCACCCGCCCTCAGAGATGATTGCCATGCTTGAGACGGTGTTCCTGTCGTCCGCTGGCGTGAAGCAGCCGCCAACCGCACCAGCAGGAGCAGACCTGCAGCAGGGTGCCACTACCGTCACTGCGGCTGCCGGCGTGGAAGAGGCGCTGGTGGTGGCGTCGGCGTATGGAGGGGAGCTCCTGCAGGACGAGGCAGGGGCCATGGAACTGCTGCTGGCCCGCCCGCTGCGCAACCTGGCAGCTAAGCGTGCCGCCGCACGCAGCATGGCCGTCCAATGTCCGGACGGTAAGGAAGGCAGCAGCGAAGGTGGAGGCAGCGCGCGGGGGGCCAGCAGCTGGGATCAGCGGGGGGACATTGTGGTGCTGATAGACGCGCTGGATGAGGCTGATGGCAGCGAGGGAGACCTGCTGGGCTCCAATCTGGTGCTGCGCTTTGTGACGGAGCGGCTGGCGCAGCTGCCGGGGCTGCGGGTGGTGCTGACCAGCAGGTGGGTGGGCAGGTGGCGGCGTGAAGGCATCGGGTGGTGGTGGTGGGGCGGCGTACAAGGGGGGGGGCCAGGGCAGGGCGGGGGGCTAGGCTTGCTTGGCAGAGGCATGTAGGCAGGTAGATGGGTAGATGGGTCGGTGGGATGGGTGGGTTATGCGGCGTGCTTAGGGAAGACATGCAACGTGAGAACGTACTGTAGATAGTACTTGCTGATCATGTGCTTTAGTAAGGCGTGCGAGAAGTGGCTGTACCGTAGCTTATCATGCTGGTGACCACCACCAGGCATGAGTGTCCTTCATACCTTCTACCGCACCTGCTGAGGATACGCTGCCATGCGCAAGTCGGATGCCGTTCTGTTGCTGGTGGAGACGCTTGGGAATGTGAAATATCCTCATTCCAATTTTGCTGTGCAGGCCTGAGCAATCCATCATGTACGGCATCTCCACGGCCTTTGGCGCCGTACTGGCGGTTGATCCTGCCCAGATGGCATCCGGGGCTGCCGTACAGGCACAGCTGCTGCGGCGGCTCAGCGGTGCAGTGGAGGGCAGTGCACTGACACAGGTGGGTGCATCGGCGTTTTGCGGGCCACATCGTGCAGGCAGTGTGACTCGAATGGATTGATTCATAGTAGTGTTCCTCCCTTAGCGGTTGCTAGTGTCTAAGTTGCTTAGGGTTGATTATTTGTATATAACATACCGTGCTTATACCGGTACGTGTCCGGACGGAGGTCCGTATACGAATGTCAGGTGTGTCCAACCGTCTGCATGTTGGTATGAATGCTATGCAGGTGGTGGGCAGCCTGTTACAACTGAGCAGCGCGGTGCAGCGGCACCAGCAGCAGGGTCCGGTCGTCGGCAGCAGTGCTGATGTCGGCAACAGCAGCAGCATCGATTCCGGCATTGCCGGCCCCAACCAAGGAACCCATCCGTGCAACCTAGTCTACCTGGCAGTGGTTTCAGAGCTCCTGGTGCGCCGCATCATCACGCCTGACCGACTGCCAGCCACGCTGTCGGATGCCTACGCTGCCTGCTTCCATGATCTGCTGTTGGGGGGCACTGCTGGCATTGCTGAGGCTGATGCGGACGGCGAACAGGACCGGCAACAGCAGCAGCAGCAGCGGCAGCAGCAGCAGCTGGTATGGCAGCTGGTAGCGGTGATGTCTGTGGCTCGAGAGCCGCTCTCCCCCAGTCACCTGCATGAACTGGGCCTCTTCACGTGCCGTACCAGCCTGCCTCTGTGGGGGCTGCTTTTCTACGAACGCGAGATGCGGCTGTACGGCCTGCACAAGTCGCTGTTTGAATGGCTGCTGACAGCCCAGCTAGCAACAACCTCAACCTCACAGCCCTCATCGTCATCATCATCAGCAGCAGCGGCAGCAGCAGCAGCAGCAGCACGAGCTGACGAGGCTTGCAGGAGCCCTGCAACAGGACTGGTCCTGCCGCACGTGCTGCGGGCAACAGCACATTACAGCTTGGCATCACGTCTAGACGCCGCTTGTCCCTACGCCCTGCAGCACGCGCTGCACCACGCGCTTCGGGCTGCCGCAGCTGGGCTTCCAGGCGCGTTGCAGCTAGCGGAGCGTCTGTCACTGGATTTCAGCCGTTGGGAAACGGTGTTCACCCATGGGTACGGGCTGGCTGCGGTACGGGACTTTGTGCTGGAGGCTGCAGCGATGGACGCCTGCCACACATCATCTTCGGCGCAGGGCAGCAGCAGCAGCAGCAGCAGCACCAGCACCAGCAGCATTATTAGAGATGCAACCCGCTGGCTGCAACGCGAGGCTGCTGCCCTGGCTGCACACGCACCGTGTGTGCTGCAAACCGCCCTGGACTGCCCCTCGCACAGCAGCGTGCATAGGGCCGCACTACTTGCTGCTGCCCAAGAGGGGGCCGGTACACCGTTGGTGGGAGCCACTGAAGAGGAGCTTGCTGCCCGGCAGGCCTGCCGCCCACCACGGCTCCTCAGCCCCGGCAGTAGCTCCTGGCCACCGCTGGCTGCTACCCTAAAGGAGCGCACTGCGACTGCCTCCGCTTGCTGCCTATCCGCAGACTGCAGCCTGTTTGCCGTGGGCTACGTGGACGCCTCCATTGCGTTGATGTCCGCCCAGCGTGACGTGATGCTGGGTGGACCACAGGCGCCGCATGCAGGATTGGGCGGGGCTGTCAGTGTCGGCGGCCCGCCATCCAAGCTGATGGCAACCTTGCAGGGACACGGTGGCACAATCACGTGCTTAGCCTTTGCGGAACGCCGTGGGGAGGGTGATGAAAAGCTGCTCCTAGCAAGTGGCTCCATCGACTTGTCTCTGCGGCTATGGAGTGTCACCGCTGCCGATGGCAACAGCAGCAGCAGCAGCAACAGCAGGGGCTGTGGGTGTGAGCAGGTCGCTGTCTTACAGGGCCACGGAGGCGCGGTGACGGCGGTTGCTTTTTCACCTCCAGAGGCTGCCGGCGTGCGGTTGTTGGCGTCTGGCGGGGCGGACAGGTCGGTACGTGTGTGGTGTTGTACGACAATGACGCAGCTGCGCGTCCTAACTGGCCACACCACCACGGTGAGGGGTCTAGCGTTTGACGCGAGCGGCATGCATCTGGCGTCAGGAGCGGAGGAGGACGCAGCAGTACGGATTTGGAGGCTTGACAGCGTCATTGCAGGAGCAACAGCAGAAGCAGGAGCAACAGCAGAAGACGGTGCTTTACCGATCACATCAAAGGAAGGCACCGGGCTGCAGGTAGGCGTGGCAGTCCTTGATGTCGGCGCAGGCAGCTCGGAAGGCGTGTCGAGCCTTGTCTTCCTGCAGCAGAGCTTCCAGCAGCCCGTGTCTGGTGAGGGCGACCCTGCTGATGAGGATAAGGATAAGGAGCGCCGCCTGCTGCTTGTTGGTGGAAGCCACGGTGGCAGCCTTGCTGTGTGGCACGTGCACCGGGATCAGCTCATCAGCTCTGGACAGCAGGCCGGTTCTGCTGAAGCCGCTGAAGCTCTGGAGGTGCTCGCTGTGCGGCCAAAGGCGCACCACGGCCCTCTGTCAGCCCTAGCAGTGCTTCCAGGCGGCGGCAGCTTGGTCGCCAGCGGGTCATGCGACCGGGTCATCCGCGTGTGGAGCTTAGCCTCCCTAACGGGGGTTGGCAGCAGGAATGCCGCTGCTGCTGCTGCTAGAGGCGGCGCGGCTGTTGGATTGGATGGAAGTGTTAGCATGGATAGCAGTTTGGTCTGCGGCAGCAGCGCCAGCAGCAGCAGCGGGCTTATCCTTGACAGCAGTTGTGCAGGGCCTGCGGCACCCGTGTGGTGCCTTGTTGCCACGTCAGGGTACGGCCCCAGTGCTTCCAGCGGCTCCAGTGCTTGTGATGCCGCAAGCGGCTGGTCCTGCCGACTGGCTGCAGGGCTTGCAGACGAGTCCGTGCGGTGGTGGACCCGCGCAACATCAGCGGAGGAGGATGAGGGTGCAGGCGGCCCCCTGCTAAAGCCGCTCGCAGCACCGGTCACGAGTGCTTGCATGGCAGTTAACAGCGTAGCGCTATCCACCGACGGCCAACTGGTTGCAGCTGGGACAGTGAGTGGCAGCACCCTGGTTTACGACACTCGGACTGGAGAGCGGAGGGCTTGCCTCAAGGCGGCTCCAGCAGAGGCGGCTCTGGGGTGTTCCGCGGTGTGCCAGGTGGCGTTTTCCACCTGCGGGACGCTGCTGGCTGTGAGCTATGAGAACGGGCAGATTGTACTGTTCGACATGAAGACTGGGGAGCCGCGTGCAGTGCTGTCGGGGCACAGCCGTGCGGTGTGGGGCTTGTGCTTTGCTCCCGCGCTGGGAGCGCAGCAGCTAGCATCAGGCTCGGCAGACGGGGAGGTGTGTGTTTGGGACGTGCAAGCAGCCTTGGCGACCCATGGAGACGAGGTGTCGCGGGAAGAGCCGTGCATGCGATTGTCAGGTGCGGGCTTGCAGCTGGACCGTTGCAAGATGACGCCCGTCAAGGGCGAGCATAGCACCTCGGTTTGCAGTGCGGAGGGCGCTGTTTGGGCGCTAGCTTTCTCCGCTGACGGGCAGCTGCTTGCGGCCGCACACCACGCTGGACATATCGCGTTGTGGCATGCAGCGACAGGTGAGCTGGCAAGTACCCTAGGGCAGGGCTCTGATGACCCGGTCTTTGCCCTGGCAATGTGTCCTCACCGCCCGCTGCTCGCCGCCGGCTGTGCTTCTGGTGTGGTGCAAGTTTGGGACCTTGCTGCAGCAACGGTAGCAACAGGGCAGCCCAGCCAAGGCGGACGGAACTGCTGCGTGCTGCTGGAAGCCAGGCAACAGCAGGGCCCACAGCAAGGCCCCATGGCGCCGGTTTGGGGCCTGACGTTTTGGGGATCCACGCAATCCGACAAAGTGGCGTTGGTGCTGGCAACAGGAGGCAAAGCCATCATTGTGATACCAGATCTTCTGGCCCAGGCCGACTACCTTGGGGAGCACAAGGATGCTGGGCAGCAGCTGCAACGACCCGTACGTATCGCACCTCGGCTGCAGCAGCTGCTGGAGGGGCACACTGCGGCCGTACATGCTGCTGCCTTGTTTGCGCAAGTCGAGCATGGGTTTGAGTCTGCTGGAGCACTGCTTGCCACGGGGGGTGCGGATCAGACGGTGCGGCTCTGGCGCCTGGCGGCGGATAATGGTGTGGCCGATGTAGCTGCTGTAGCGTCCTTAGCAGACAAGCAGCGGGACTGCCGGCAGCAACATGAGGGGCTGCAAGAAGACAAACAGCCAGGGCAGCAGCAGCAGGAGCATGTGGAGCAGCAGCAGCAGCAGTGGGGCCATAAGGGGGCTGTCTGGGGCTGCGCCTTCTCCCTTGCAGATGGTCGAACCCTGGCAAGCGGTGCGGACGACCGAACGTGCATGCTGTGGGATGCAGACACGGGCGCAGCACGGATGACAGCATCCGTGCATGATGGGCCCATCTGGGGTGTGGCTGTGTCGCCAGATGGCAGCATGGCGGCCTCAGCTTCTGATGACCGCTGCGTTTGCTTGTACGACATGCAGGCTGCGCGGCATACCCGCACTCTGCGAGGCCATGAGGGCACGGTGTGCTGTGTCCAGTTTGCGCCTAACTCACGTCTCTTAGCTTCCGGCTCCGCTGATCAAACCATTCGGCTGTGGTCCGTCCCCTGTGCTGACGATGGCACCGTGGCAGCAGCAGCAGCAGCAGCAGGCGGTGAGGCAGCAGGAGGTAGCAACCTGTGCGGGGGTGCCACCCTTCCACCCAAGGGCGGTGTTTCCACCCTAACCGGCCATGGCGGTGCAGTGTACAACCTCGCGTTTTCACCATGTGGACAGCTGCTGGCAGCCGGCAGTGGCGACAACCTGCTCCACCTTTGGGACGTGGGTGGCCGGGAGAGAAAGGCCACATTTGCAGGCCACGGTGCGGCGGTGTACGGAGTGGGTTATTCCCCTGATGGCTTGCGGGTCGCCTCGGGTGGCGGGGACAACTTGGTGCGCCTGTGGGACGTGGCCAGCCAGCAGCAGGTGCAGCGGCTGGAGGGTCACACGGGACCGGTGTGCAGCACGCGGTATGCTCCGGACGGTGCGCTGCTGGCGTCGGGCGGGGACAAGACGGTCCGCCTGTGGTGCAGCCGGTCTGGCAGGGCCTGCGGTGTGCTGCGGGGCTTTGCGGGGCCGGTGTGGTGTGTAGCGTTTGGCTCGCAGCCGCACCTGTTGGCTACGGCTGCTGACGATCATTCGGTTCGGCTCTGGGACCTTAGGGCTGTTCGACGACACCTGGCGGCCCTGCCGGACGTGGAGGTGGGGATGGATGTGGAGGTGGGGGTGGGGGTGCGGGTAGGTGGAGGGGAGGCGGGGGCGGCTTGGGCATCAGAGGCGGCGGCGTTGGCTGGGCCCTTGGAGTTGTGGCACTTGAAGTCCTGGTGAAGTCCTGGCTGAGGCAGCATCAGGGTGGAAGCGCTCCCTTGCCGGCGGCTTGGTAGCAGCCATGCCTGAATGTGTGTTGAGACAACTGGCATCGAGTGGGAACGTACTGTGATTGCCGGAAGATGAAGTCCCCACGGAAACGCCACAAATGAATTTGAGTATGTATGGCTGGTGCTGTTATGCCAACAACACTTGCTTTCGTGTGTGGGCTTCATTTCTTCTTTAGACGCAATGGATATGGTAACGATACTGGAGTTTGGGGTGCGGTCTACCGTATTCCCTGCACGCGCAGTTTGGGGCTGCAACCTGGATGCCTGGCGGGTTTATGTATTTGCGTAGGTGTGGCAGGCTGTGGTAACGCACTCAAATTAAGAAAGCAAGGAATGTGCGTGCGCTGATGACCCGCGGGTCGCGAACAACACATCCCGCCAGCCCATCCATGTAACACCGTGGTAGCATAGAAGGCTGTTTGCGAAGGAGAATCGGCGCACCCTGAGCCTTTCCATGTGTACATATGTCCTTCTGTCCGTGGGTCCTGTGCCCCGCAGCGCGACCCACGCATGATGACGTCAGACCAGCGCATTCCCAGCTTGCAGCTGCTTCCGCCGTTTCCCACCCGCCTCTTCTTCTTCATCCTCTCGCCCCTTCCCACCTCCACCCCCGCACACCTCCCCATTCCCACGTTTCCGCAGCTTGCCCTCCTCCCCCTCCTCTACCCCCCTTTCTGCACCCTCCTCCCCCCTCTCGCTTCCCTGCCCCTTCCTTATCTCTCCCTCCTGACCCTGCTGCTCCCCGTTCTGCTGCTGTCCCTCCCCTTGCCCCCGCTCCTCTCCCGGTTCCCCCCCCTGTCGCTCCCCCTGTTCCTGCTGCCCCCGCCCCTCCCCCCGCCGGCCCCCCGCCGCCACCCCCTCAAGCAGCCGCTCCAGCACCGCCGCCGAGCCGAAGGGCGCCGGTCGGCCCCACTCCGGCCGGGCTAGGCTGGGGGCCTAGCAGTAGCAGCGAGAGGGAGGGAGGGAGGAAGGGGAGGCGAGGGGGCAAGCGGAAAAAGGCGGGGCAGGCAAAGGGTTGGTCGTAAGTGTTGGTCTTCACCCTTCCCGAGCGTACCACCGCGGTCAGCATGCGTAAGACCATCACGTCTTCAGAAGAAACACGGATAGTGGGTAGGAACGGTGCTGGTGTTTGCTCGTCATAAGGGTGTTTGCTTGTTTTAATGAGAAACAGGCGGGGGACAGGCGATGGGGAACCAACAGGATTAGGCGCCATCACAGCTCGGGCCATCACAGTTCGGGCGTACAGCCATACCTCGGTGCGGTGGCTAGCTACAGCCCCATGCCGCGCAACACCCCGCGGCAGCTATTACCCCAGCAGCTACCCCTACCCCCCCCGCCCGCACCTGCCCCGCCCTGCGCGGCAGCAGCAGCAGCTTCCACACCAGCGAGTAGCGCGGCCTGCCCCCCGCCACCGCCGAGGGGGGCGACAGCCGGTGCAGCACGTCCTGGTCCAGCAGCACCGCGCGGTAGGGCTGGGGGGCCGGGGGGGGGGGCCAGGGGGGTAAGGGGGGGTTGGGGGGCGGGGAATTATATATAAGTGCAGCAACGGACAGGGACAGAGGGGCCAGGGGGGCGGGGGCAGGGGGCGGGGGGAATGTAATTGAAAACGTGAAGCAACAGGAAACCCATATCCCGACTCATGCAGTGAGTGCATATGCACCCCTTTTCCGCGCCCTCACCCCCCCGCTCCCGCACCCCCTTGCCACCCACCCTGGGCCGCACCACCAGTCCGCAGTCGCTGCGTCCGTCCAGGAAGATGGTTTCCGCGTCCCACTCGCGCTCCCAGCGGTCGTTCAGGTAGAGCAGCAGGCTCACGAACAGCGGCCGACCGGGCTCCTGCGGGGGGGGGGGGGGATTGGGGAGGCAGGGGGTTACAGACCATATCGGACAATAGGAAACCACATGTTGGGGCAAAGCAATGGTGGGGGGGAGAAAAAGAAAACGGAATTCCATGGCGGGGAGGGGGGAAGTTGGTTTTGTTGGCGGGAAAACACACAGCGTGGGCAGTGGTTCAGGCACTAGGAGCCCTGCTTGCCTCAGTACCGTACCCTAAGTCAAGGGGGAGCAGGGGAGGGGTGCAACATACGGTGCCCGAAGCCGGGGTGCCCCTGCTGCCCCACACGGGGAGGAGTGCGAGCCCCGCGCTGCTAGGACCTAGGAGGCCCCAGTTGTGTGTGTAAGCCCCCCGTGTGAGGTGGTGGTGGTGGTGGTGGAGATGGTGGGGATGGTCAGGCGGCAGTCAGCCTCCGCCCGCACCGAATCGCATCCACCCCGCCCGCACCCCACTCCATCACACCCCACTGCCCCGCCCCTCCACCCCGCCTCGCACCCGGTTGAAGTAGTGTCCGAAGGCGCGTGTCCAGGGGGAGGGCAGGGGCAGGGTGGAGGGGTCGGCGTCCACGTGCCAGGAGTAGGAGTCGCCCTGCATGGCCGCATTGGCCACGAACCTGGAGGCAGAGGCAGCAGCGTTGGCAGCGGAAGCGGTGGTAGCAGCAGCAGTGCGAGGGATAGTCGCAACAGAGCAGGAATCGCATTGGCACACAGAATATTGTAGGGTAAGAGCCGGTCGGGCGGAGAAGGCGGTGCAAACAGATGGCGACCCGGTTGGGCTGCGTATGCGGGGCGGCCGTTACTCCAACCACCCCCGCGGCGGCATGGCACCCCCTTCACGCCTTCAGCCCTTTTGCTCCTCCTCCCGCCTCCCTTCCCCAGCGCCCTCCCTCCCTCCCCTCCCACGCCACCCGCTCACTGGTTGCAGTCAATGGTGGCAGCTCCGTCATCGTCCTCCTCCTCGGACCCCCCCTCCTCCTCGCTCCCCTCCTCCGCTTCTGGATTGTCCTCCGCCGCCACCGCCGCCACCACCTCCTCAGAATGATGAGCCGCCTCAGCAGGGGCCCCTCCTCCTTCCACCTCGCCCCCATCTACGTGCATCGCTGCCTCCTCCGTCCCATTCCCCTGCCCCTGTCCGCACCTCCCCCTTCCCCTCCTCCTCCTCCCCGCCCCTCCGCCTCCCCCTCCCCCCTGCTGTATTGCCGCTGAGGGCATGTGGGCGATCAGGTAGTCCGGGTATAGCAGCGACAGCCGCGATTGGATCTCCAACAATGCGGGACAACTGCTGCCGCTGCCGCTGCTGCTGCTGCTGCCAGTGCTACACCCCGCACCAGCAGCAGGAGCATCTGCTCCGCTGCCAACCGCTCCTGCTGCAGCTCCGTCCTCCCCTGCATCTGCCGTTTCTACCCCTGCTGCTGCTCCCGGCCTCGTCTTCACCCCCTCTACCCCTCCCTCCCTCCCCTCACCCCCCGCCCCTGCCGCCCCCGCCGCCCCTGCCGCCTGCGCCAACCGGGTTAGCCAGTCCGCGCGCAGTCCCCAGGTGGGGGCGGCATCGGGGCGGTCGCGGGTGGCACGAACCCACTTGGAGGAGGGGGGCGGCGAGCAGGGGTCCCAGCCTGGAGGCGGAGTGGGGAAAAGAGGGAGGGGAGAGGTGGGAGAAGGGGAACTTAGGGGAAGAGAACATGCCATGGCTTCCTATGGCATGGTGCGGTCTTTGCCCACCCCCTACCTGGTTCCGCCTCTCGGACCCCCCCCCCTACCTGGTTCCGCCTCTCGGACCCCTCTCCCCCCCTACCTGGTTCCGCCTCTCGGACCCCTCTCCCCCCTACCTGGTTCCGCCTCTCGGACCCCTCTCCCCCCCTACCTGGTTCCGCCTCTCGGACCCATCCCCCCCCCCTACCTGGTTCCGCCTCTCGGACCCCTCTCCCCCCCCTACCTGGTTCCGCCTCTCGGACCCCTCTCCCCCCCCCCTACCTGGTTCCGCCTCTCGGACCCCTCTCCCCCCCCTACCTGGTTCCGCCTCTCGGACCCCTCCCCCCCCCTACCTGGTTCCGCCTCTCGGACCCCTCCCCCCCCCTACCTGGTTCCGCCTCTCGGACCCCTCTCCCCCCCCTACCTGGTTCCGCCTCTCGGACCCCTCTCCCCCCCCCTACCTGGTTCCGCCTCTCGGACCCCTCTCCCCCCCCTACCTGGTTCCGCCTCTCGGACCCCTCCCCCCCCCTACCTGGTTCCGCCTCTCGGACCCCTCCCCCCCCCTACCTGGTAACTTGTATCATTATCCTACCACACTTTGGAATTTCTTTTTTTTCCCCCTACCTGGTTCCGCCTCTCGGACCCCTCCCCCCCCCTACCTGGTTCCGCCTCTCGGACCCCTCTCCCCCCCCTACCTGGTCATTGTTTTTAGTTGTCATTTCACTGGCATCGCACGTTTTGCACCTTCTCCATATCTAGATCATTATACCCATACTGCGCTTGCACTAAATTAAGCATGCTCGTCCCATGCCGTACTTCGCATCGCCGCCTTTCGCATAAATACTAACTCTCGGCATAGTCCCGTCTCTTTCATCACGATAAGTCAGCCATCTTCATCGTCATACAGCATGCGTCAATATACAGCGCAGCTCGCAGCACCAGCACAGCACAGGGACGCATGCCTGCCTTCTGTTCGCTCGTCGCGCCGCCTTCTTGTGTCTCTGGACGCTTTTCGCTCACTATTAACGAAATTTGGTACGTCTTCGCTGCACAATTTTCCCTTGCTACGCAGGTTAGTCAGGGTTCGGACTAGTGGATGGGCTGGGCTTTGTTAGACCCATGGGTCATTTGCGAGGGTCGGGCAGGGTGGGATGCTTTGGTGCACACAGCCGCACGACAGCCCCAGCTAAGCAGCGGAGCTTACATACGTTATGCTGCTGACAGCATTGCAGCACAGACATCAGGTCTAGCGCAGTGGAGCCAGTTATCACAGTAGCAGCCGCCTTTTATTCGCCAATGCAGAGTGATCTCAGATCACCCCAGCCGCCACGGAGCTTACAATACGGTTTGTTACTGATTGATGCTACTAACTATACAACAACTACAATTATATGCTAACCCAAATATCCAGCCTAATTCGGATTCTGTTTCCAAATTACCCCCTACCTGGTTCCGCCTCTCGGACCCCTCTCCCCCCCCTACCTGGTTCCGCCTCTCGGACCCCTCTCCCCCCCCTACCTGGTTCCGCCTCTCGGACCCCTCTCCCCCCCTACCTGGTTCCGCCTCTCGGACCCCTCCCCCCCCCCTACCTGGTTCTGCCTCTCGGACCCCTCTCCCCCCCTACCTGGTTCCGCCTCTCGGACCCCTCTCCCCCCCTACCTGGTTCCGCCTCTCGGACCCCTCTCCCCCCCTACCTGGTTCCGCCTCTCGGACCCCTCTCCCCCCCTACCTGGTTCCGCCTCTCGGACCCCTCTCCCCCCCTACCTGGTTCCGCCTCTCGGACCCCTCTCCCCCCCTACCTGGTTCCGCCTCTCGGACCCCTCTCCCCCCTACTTGGTTCCGCCTCTCGGACCCCTCTCCCCCCCTACCTGGTTCCGCCTCTCGGACCCCTCCCCCCCCCTACCTGGTTCCGCCTCTCGGACCCCTCCTCCCCCTACCTGGTTCCGTGATGAAATCCAGCAGCTGCTGCTGCTGCTCCTCCCCGAAGAAGCCATCCAGCACCACCACATGCGACACGTCCACTCGCGCACCGCCACCGCTGCTACCGCCACCGCCCCGGCTGCCGCTGCTACCACTGCCGCTGCCGCCTCCGCTGCTGCCGCCGCTGCTACTGCCGGTATTAGCGCTAGAGTAGGGCATTTCGCTGTACGGCACGATGCAAGCATCCAGCGTGGCGTTGAGCGCAACGTTGAGGGAGCTGGGCTGCCAGGAGGTGGGATGGGTGGCGATGGGGGTGAGGGGGAAGGGAAGGGAGGTGAAGGTGGGAGGCGGGGTGCTGGTTTGTGTGGCGGGGGCGGCCAGGGAGGAGGATGGGCCTGAGAGAGGCGGGCGCTGCTGCTGGGCCGGGCAGCCGGACTGGAGGGCGGGCGATGACGATATCTGGCTATCCATCCTAAGCTTTGATGGAGGTAGAATGTCTTATGCCACTATGGAAATGAGCAGGAGCTAGATCATTATCGTGTTGTGTCGCAATGGGCTGAAGGCGCAAATGCTTGCACAGGCGCCTGAACTGAGAGAACCGTATGAAGGATACAGTTTAAAAGGCTATATAAAAGTTGATTGGAAAATGTTTACTTGCTAGGCAGCAAGTAGCAAGATGTCGCCATGGTGTCTGTCGTTAGCGGTTGTACCTCCCGAAGTTTCACTCGCACCGTGGAAGTAATCCACGCACTGCTCGTGCTGATTGCGTGTTATCATACTAGTGTCTGGGGTTACCGCTACCCCGCATCAGCGTATCGCTTAAGTGTACATCCACCTGCGTTGGGATTGAAACGGCTGCTCGTGGCGGTGTTGCAAGCTTGACAGATTGCATAAATCACCAAAAAGACGGTACTACGTCCAAGATGGATATCCTACAGCAGATCGACGACTTACCGGACCCGGTCGTGGCTGAGAAAGCGCGCAAAGCGATCCTCGTTCTCCGTCGAACGTGCGCATTATATCCGTAAGTATTAGTCTGCTTTGGCAATGCCTCGTTGTGCGTACTTGCTGCATTTAGTCTAACGGCCACGGCATCATGGGAACGCAATGTCGGTTTTCCTGCCCATCAGGCTTGACAAAATTGCGTTCAGCTTCAACGGTGGAAAGGACTCGACCGTAATTCTGCACCTGCTGCGAGCAGCGGTGGCGCAGCTGCAGGGCCCCGAGGCGAAAGGTAGGCAGCAGCGCCCATGCGTGTCCTTGCAGAGCTACTTGCGTCCGATTGACCCTTTTCACTCGTCCTGTCCAAGCGATTAGACATCTGAAGCACACCCACATCGGCTACACACCGCATGACATCGCACCTTCCTCTTTCAGGTAGTTAGCTGACCCACGTCATGTTGATTGACCAGCCTATTCATCGCTCATTCACTGCAGGTCTAGGCGGCATTCAGAGCTTTTACTTCCGCAAATCTGATGATTTTCAGGAGGTCATGAAATTCGTGGAGAGCTCTGACGCCCAGTGAGTAGTTCAGCAACGCACCCAGCCCCAGAGTTGAGGGGAAACAGACATCTTGTACGCGGGCGCCAGTAGCCTTAATGTGAAAACAGACCAAAGCCTGATCCTGACAGGGATGCATTGTCACCCTTAACCATCGGGCCCTTTTCCTTCCCAAACACGTGCGCAGGTACGGCCTGAATGTGTCGTACATAGCCGAGCAGGACTTCAAACGCGGCCTCACGGACTACCTGGCCCGCACGGGCGTCATGGCCATCGTGCTGGGGACCAGGAGGTGGGAGGCTGTGGGGTTAGGCCGTGGGGCTCGGAGGGTTATAGGGTTTCGGAGTTGCACTCCTAAAGCAGCCCCCACTCGGGTGCCCGCCACTCTCCAACACCATCGCATGCCCCATGCATGCCCGCGCTCCGATAGCTCGTACACCCTTACACCCCTTCCGCCCTCCTTCCCTCAACCCCACCACCATTGCTTGGGTTTTCCCCGTCGCCACCTCCCCCGCCACCTCCCCCTCCCCCGCCACCACCATCAACCTCCCAGGGGCGACCCCAATGCCGGCGGCCAGGACGTGTTCTGTCCCTCCTCCGAGGGCTGGCCGCCCTTCATGCGCGTCAACCCCATCCTTGACTGGACCTACCACGACGTGTGGCTGCTGCTGCGCGCCACCCGGGTGCCGTACTGCGGGCTGTACGACCAGGGCTACACCTCACTGGGCGGCACCGGCAACACGCTGCCCAACAGGTGGGTGGGAAGCAGGAGGTGGGGGGAGCGGGGGCGGGGGGCGGAGGGATGGTGGAGGAAAGAAGAACAAAACTGCGGAGGGTGGGTTCAGGGCTTCTTGGTTTCCCCGCCTACCGCCCCACCTCTCCCCCGCTCCTCCGCTTCATTCCTCATTTACTCCCCCCCCTGCTCCCCGCTCCCCCCCAGCGCGCTGCTCCGCTCCGACGGGCGCTACGAGCCCGCCTACCACTTGGCGGACGGCAGGCTGGAGCGGGTGGGGCGGGTGCACCCGGCCAGGGGCGGCAGCGGCAGCAACAGCAGCGTAAACAAGCCTGCAGGGGAATCCGCAGCAGGGGGGGCGGCAGCAGGGGCGGCCGCACAACGCCCCCCACCACCACCAGCTGCATGTGCCGCAGCTGCCGCGGGTGCCACTGCCGCAGCTGCTGCCGCCACCGACGCTGTGCTGGCGGCCGCACTGCAGGGGACAGCGGTGCACCATTACCACCACCACCAACAACAACAACAACAACAACAACAACAACAATATCAGCAGCAGCAACAAGAAGCAGCAAATGGTATCAATCCGGCGGGTGCGGGTGCGGATGCCGCGGGTCCTAGTGCGGCAAACGGGCAGGACGGGCAGAGCCCGGTGCTGCATGCCGGTGGGGAAGCCGGCGCGACAGCAGCGCAGCAGCAGGGGGGGCAGGCGGGGTCGTGTTGCCAGGCAGCGGCGCAGCAGCAGTCTGCTGTGGCGGCCGGCGGCAGTGCTGCGGGAGGAGGAGTCATTGGAACGGGATCAGCAGCAGCAGCAGCAGCGGCTTTGGAGGAGCGGGCGGAACCCGGGGGTGATGCTGTGGATGGGGGAGGCCGCGACGCCGGCAGCACTAGCAGCAGCGGTTCCGGTGCTGAGGCTGAGGCTGGGGCTGCTGCCGCTGTGGCGCCCCCAGCTGGCCCGGTCTCTGAGCTGACCCGCAGTGCCGCCATTGTTATTGTGGGGGACGAGCTGCTGTCGGGGAAGGTGCGGGGGGCCGGATGCAGGGCGAGGGCGGGGTGGGGGTCGGGTAGGAGTGGGGGTGTATGTGTTGAGAAACCTGGCTGCCTGTGAGTGTATGTGGTGCGCGGGGAAGTGGGAATGGGAGGAGGAGGAGGATGGCGGGAGGAGAAACGGAGGTTACGTCTCCTGCATGTGTGTTAAAATAACTGGCCGCGAGGCGAAACGTACTGCATGTGTGTGTATGTGGGGGTACCGTGTGCTAGCCGGGAGCTGCGACCGGCCCTTCAGGTCGCTGCATCCGCACCTCGGGTCTCTGACAGACGGCACCCCATGTGTATTAAGTGTTTTGAGTCCTATCAGTGCCCCACCCCCTCCCCCCTCCCGCCCCCTGTAAGCCAGGTTGAGGACGTCAACGCGCGCTTCCTGTGTCGGGAGCTGCGCTCGCTGGGCTGGCAGGTGGGTGTGGGTGCCCTGCATGTGCGCGTGGTGTTGGTGGTGGTCTTGCTTCTGCCCGCCCCTCATCCCCCGTCGCGCTGGGCAACCCCTATCACGCTCGGCAGCCCCTTTACAACCCTACTCCCCTCCTGCGGTGCTGCTGCTGCTGCTGCCCGGGTGCTGCTGGGCTGCTCCCCCCCAGGAGCTCGTCGGCTTGTTTGCCAGCCTCATCCAACACATTGGGTATTCTTCTTTCCCCCCCCCCCAGGTGCTGCGTGTTGTGTTCGTGCCGGACACGGTGGACGAGATCTCCAGTGCGGTGCGGGCGCTGGCGGCGGTGGTGGAGCTGGTGATCACGGCGGGGGGCATCGGGCCCACCCTGGATGACGTCACCATGCAGGTGAGGTAGGGGGGGGGGTCAAAGACCATACCTTACCATAGGCAACCATAGGTTACGGCACCATGCAGCATACAGGTGGGGGGGGTGCAGCACACACGGGCGCCTTCACGCCCTGCGTGCTGCCCGACGCACTGCCGTACTCCAGCGCTGTGATGTGCCCTCTTGCCGCCGCCCTTCAACATACCCCTCCTCCCACATGGCGAGGCCGGCCCCTGTCGCACAGCTCGCCAGTTTCCTCCTTAACACCCCCACCCCCGCTTCACGCCATGCAGGGGATTGCTCTGGCGGTGGGGCAGCCGCTGGTCAGGTAGGGGGGCGGGCGGGCGGAGTGGTTAGGAGTGCGCAGGGATATCACAACCAACAGCTGTTTCCGTTCCCGGCTTCGCCCCTTCCCTCCACCCCCTGCACCCCCTCGTATGGTTTGGTATGCTCTCTAACCCCGCCCCCGCCCCCTCCGCCCCCTCCAGGCTCCCCGCCATGGTGGAGCGCCTGTCCAGCTACTTCGGCGCCTCCCGCCTCACGCCCGCGCACCTGAAGATGGCGGAGGGCCCGCAGCACGCCGAGCTGATCGACTACGCGCTGCCCGACTCCGGTCTGCCCTCCAAGTTCCCCATACTGCGGGTCGACAACATATACGTGCTGCCGGGTGAGGGGCGGGGCGGGAAAAGAAAAATACCCAATGGGGCGGGAGGGAGGCAGGGCAGCTGGGAGAGGTGTAACAGGGCGGGAGGGGATCCGCTGGGGAGCATGAGGGTGCACTGCGCATGTATGACGGGGTGTGTCTTGTTTGGAGGAGGAGCCCCGCACGCGCGACACCCGCAGCACCCAGCATGTCCGTCTGAACTGTGCTCGCCACACCTCCTCCCTATGATGGCATGGAGGCAGCCAACCCCGCCCGGCTTTTACCGTAAGCACATTGCACACCGTATCGCTACTTACTTCCCACACTGTTGGTGGTTCCCTTTTCCCTTTCTCTTCACCCCGCCCTGCGCCGCCCCGCCCCGGCCCGCCCCGCCTCCCCCGGTGTCCAGGTGTCCCCTCGCTGCTGGTTCAGAAGTGGCGGGCGCTGAAGCCCCGGCTGGCGGATGCCGCCATGCCGCCCTTCCGCAACGCCACTCTGCGCCTGTCGATACAGGTGCGCGGACGGACAGGGGTGAAGAGGGGGGGAGCAGGAGGGGGGGCTTGGGTGCGGAGGGGGACGGGGCGCTCGCTGCGCAGCGCGCATGGCAACCTTCCTTCGTTTGCTTCCACGCTCATGATTCCCTCGCTCCCACCCCATGTTTACACCTCTTCCCCCCCCCCCGCCCCGCCCCCGTTGTATGCCCGCTAGGACGAGACCCGCATCGCTCCCGCACTGGACCAGGTTGCCGCGACCCACGGGTCGGATGTGGCGGTGGGCTCCTACCCCGTGGAGCAGGGCATCATCGTCACACTGGGTGAGGGGGGGCTGGGGGGCCGGGGGGGGGCTGGGGGGGTAAGAATGAGGAAAAAGACGAGGCAAACGGCGAGCTGTATCCTGTATGGCAAGGCCTGGGGGCGGGGGGGAGAGGTTATTGCTGTCATCACGGAGGGGGACGTGGACGCGTGCGTGCACCGCATGTGGCTGGGGGTTGCTGGGGAGGAATGAGGGTGCAGCCGACCTGGCTCCAGGTAGGGCCGTCTCGATGGGCCTTTCCCTCGCCCCTCCACCTGTCCCGACCTTGCAGCTGACCTGTCCCGACCTCTATACCCTAGCCTCCTTCCCAGCCTCCCCTCCTCTCCTCTCCTCCCCCCCCCTGCAGACAGCAAGAACCCTGGCGCACTGGCCTCCGCGGTGCAGCAGCTGACTGGGCTGCTGCCCGGGGAGCAGCTGGTGGCGCTGGAGCGGGATGTGGACACACTGCCGCAGTAGGAGCGGAAGGGGGGGAGAGGGGGAGGGGAGAGGAAAGTGTTGGTAACAATTGTGCAGACCCGCGGGGCGGAAAGGGGAAAGGGCAGCAGGATGGAGGGAAGCGGAAGTGGAAATAAAAGCAATTGGTCTGAAGCAGGAGGATGGGGAAAGGGCAGCAGGGTTGCTACTGGGGCTGCTGTATGATGTGCGAGGGGAGGAGGGGTCACAACCAGCTGGTCCATAGAGGCGCCAGGATGGGAAGCACGTTGCGAGCCGGGCTGTGCTGTTCGTGGTATGGGGATAGGGGCAGAGATCAGGGGCGATGTCCCAGTGTGATGTCCCAAGCGCTGATTGGGTGTTGGGATTGCAATGTGCCGTGGTGGCTGTAAGCTTCCTGGTTGGCTGGGGAGCGATGACTGGGCACACACAACTGCTGCGCTTGGATTATTAAGTGGCATGGGTATTGGTGGGGAGAGGGGAAGGACGGATGAGGGGGCGTGGCAATGTGGTTGCTGCATGGTTTGCGGATCAGCACAGGCAGGCAGGGGAGGCAGCACTGCAGGTGGCCGGCCGGCTACAGAGGCGGAGGGTGTGTTACGCCTGGGCGTCAAGTGCTGCTTGCAGGTGTGCGGGGGCCTGATTGCTGCTTTTCCAGCGTGGAAGAGGTTACCGAGCCCCGGTCCTGGCAGATGCGGGAGCGTGCAGCTTGCAACGAGGCGGTCGATGTAGTCGGGGGACAGAATTATATCAGAATCCACAGGTTGGGGCAAAGCAATGGGGATAGGGGGAAGAGGGAAGGGGGCCGCTGCCGCGGTGAAGCCCACGGATGGCTGGGACAGGTGCCGGCTGCCGCGCCGTTTCGGCTTCTGACATGCTCTCATGCCCCGTCTCCCCGCACTCCGCTAAATGTAAGGAAAGCAACACCAGTCCACCACGCAAGCAGCAGTCGCAGTCGCCTTGGAGACCCAGTTCTAGTGGGAAACGCATGCGCGCCCCGTACAATCTGCTTGTCTCCAAGTCACGCTCCGCCCGCATTGGATGAATGAGGGCCACATGGGGCCATCACCGCAGCAGCAGTGGAGGCGAGGGGTGCTGGGAGGGTGGCAGGCAGAAGGCCGGTTGAGGGGACAGATTGGTGGGGAGGAACGCCCGCGGGGCGTGTTGTCGCATGGTGAGCATGAGCAGCACGGAAGGGGCCTTTTGTGGTGACTCGGCAGGAAGTGGTGCTGCGAGCAGCCATCCATGTTGGGCGGTAGGTGGAGCCGAAACAGGAGGGGCAGGAGACACACGCGAACAGGCTCCAGATGGGTACTGCTCGGCATGGGAACACAGGAGGGGGGGGTGGGGGTTTCAGGATTGAGCGGGTGTGAAGTACTGTGGTCCCCTTTGCATTCCTTACAAGCAGTGGGCCCCGTTGCTGTGTGACATGGCTGTGCGGTATGAAAAAGGGGCATCCCATGGGCTCTTCATGCTGCGCAGTGCGCACGACTTCTTTCTGTTTGTTGTATACGGGTGAGCAGGATGATGAAGGGGGGGTGCGACACAGCTATGCCTGCTATGGGGACAGCCGTACGGCATGGGAAGGCGAACCGTACGGATACAGGAGCTTTCACATTAGGCAGCCTACTCATGTTAATTAGTCCGTTTGCCGCTTGTGGAAGTCTTGCTGCCATACATTAAGGCAACCGAGACTTAACGGACTGACATATCTTTATAGGGGCGAAGGGCCTTTAAGCTTCACTATGGCTGACTTGCTGTTTAACGTGCGAAACCTGTTCTACCTAGGAGCATATAACACGGTGATCAACGAGGCCGCTGATTTGGACAACCTCTCAGATGCGGAGACGATTGAACGGGACTGCTTTGTCTACCGCTCATACATTGCTCTTGGCAGCTTTGATGTGAGGCAGAGGAGCTTGTGATGTTCTAGGGAACTGGAAAAGGGCGCCTTCAACGTTACACCCTATTGCTTTGCGTACTCGCGCGCAGCTGGTGATCAGCGAAATTCGAGACTCAGCAGCAACAGGTCTATTGGCAGTAAAGCTTCTGGCGCAATACCTCTCAGGACGCAAGTCGAAGGCAAGCACTTGGCAGTTGCAATCCCCCAAATGGGCCAGGGAACGTTTTAGAGACTGGTGCGGAACAACTGCCCGCAGGATGACGTCCTTGCCACTCTTCAAGACTGGCTCTCGGACTCAGCGTGCAACCGGAATACGACCGTGTTGCTCGTGGCAGGCATGATCCACGCGCACGAGGGCAACTACCCTGAGGCGCTGAAGTGCTGCCATGGCAGCAACTCTCTAGAGCTGTAAGCTTTGGAATGTGTGTTGCGGCCAAAACCGCTATGCCGTTTCCTAACCTCCATTCCATCCTGCTGTGTAGGCAAGCGCTGTGCGTCCAGGTATACCTTAAGATGGACCGGGCGGACAAGGCGGAGCAGCAGGTCAAGGTAAGCTGTCGATTGCTTGCATCTGAAAGGGTCCCGGTCTTGACAAACCCTGCATAGCCCTTCCCTCGTGTGCTTCTGTTCTTACTGCTCCATCCGCCTCCCCTAGCAAACGGGTTCCATGGGATTGCAGGTTGGCAGGCCTGAATTGTGTTGCAGCCCCCCCCCCGCAGATGTACAGCGTTTGCTGTGCTCCTGTGCTCGCTCGTCCTTTCCTAACGTGTTCACCCTGCCCTGCCCTGCTCCCGCCCGCAGGCCATGGCAGGCGTCGACGACGACGCAACCCTCACGCAGCTGGCCACTGCCTGGGTCGGCCAGGCGCTGGTGGGTGTGGGGATGCTGGTGTGCGAAAGGACAATGGCTTCGTGGCTCCCTGTGTGCATGTGCATCCGGCGGGGCTGCAGCAGGCAGCTGCTCAGGGCAGGGTTGGCTTGCGTAGCCTTACCGACCTGCGTAGATCCCGCAGGGCTTTACTAGTGGGCGGCACGCTGGCCCCAGCCTAGGTTGCTCAACGCATGCCCGCACGGGTGGAAAGCAGCCCAGCTGACTTTGTTCTTGAAATGGTAGGCCTTTCCCTAACAGCGCTGCATCCCTGCGGTCTCTCCCTCCTCCCCCTATCCCAGGGTGGTGCGAAGGTGCAGGAGGCGTCCTACGTGTACCAGGAGCTGGGCGAGAAGTACAGCTACACGGTAGGGGAGGGATGCTCTGAGAAGATGATAAGCAGGAGGGGTGCTGGGGCGCAGAGAAAGCAGGAAAAACTTGCATGGCAAGGCGCTGCGTTTGGTGGTCTGCCTCCTTGTTCCACCCCCAGTCCGCTGCCGTTCACCCATGGACACCCGTGGCTGCATCATCCCAACATAACGACCATCAACGTAACCACCCCGTCCCCACTCCACACCCTCGCAGCCCTCGCTGTACAACGGCCGCGCGGTGTGCTACATGAAGATGGGCCGCTGGGAGGACGCGGACCGCGACCTGCAGGAGGCGTTCAGCCGCGACGCCAAGGACCCCGACACGCTGTCCAACCTCATCACCGTGGGGCTGCACCTGGGCAAGAACGTGGCGCGCTACCAGAGGTGAGCTTGTGGGGGAAGGCGTGTAGTGGGGCTTGGCGGAGGCTTGGGGAGGATGAAATGAGAGGTGAAGCAACCGGAACCCCAATCCCATGTCTGGTAGCGGGGCTTTAAGAGGGGCAGGGGAGGCCGCGTCTTAAGCAGGGGTGAACCCTCCCTGCGTCAAAGGGGAGTGGTATTGAGCGCAGGACTCGTATTCTTGGATGCTCATGCACCTCTCAATGTCCTCTGTTTCACCGTTGCATCGCAGCCAACTGAAGATGATGGCGCCCAGCCACCCCAACGTGAAGCGCCTGGAGGTTGCGGAGGAGGCGTTCGCACGGGCAGCTGCGTCCATCGCGTAACCGCCTTGCATGACATTTTGCAGCGTCTGGCTCCTCGGCTCGTGCTGACAGATGTGGTGTGCATATAAGTTTTTCTGATTTTCAGGATCTGGCGAGCGCAGAAGAGGGGTTCGTAGTGGGGTGACTTCAAACGGGGTGTTGTGGAATCCTGGCCCGTGGGCCCTTTCCGAGCCCATGCGTGACCTTTAGATCTGGGCAGCATCCATAATAAGTACCACTGCCTAGCTACTGTATGTTACGGGGACGGGGTCCTGCTTATCTTTTCCGAAGTGACCTGGTGTAGGAGCGCCTATGTGGACGCACCTAAATGTAAAAACCCTGGAGTAAATTCTGCACTGCCCTTAACCGGAGCCGAACCAGCTATGTACCATCAGCACCAGCCGCACACCGACAGAGGTGCTTATCACAAGCACCAGCCTACCACAAGCCGGCTTGCGGAACGGATACCTGCATCTGAACCGATACGCTGAAAGCATATATCGATATATGCTTCGCACGCATGCATGAAATGCGATATGGGCTTCACGACCCAGATCGTCCATGCGACATGCATTGCTGCTGCCTCCCAGTGCCAGCCAGCCTGCGTCAGATGTCCCACAGCACACCAACACCAGGTCAGACGCTGTCAGGGCCCTGGAGATAACTCGCGCCATGAGCAGAGCGCCCAGTCACGGCTGAAACATGCTACATACACCTGCCGATGGCTGCAACTAGGGTCGTCATTTGTGCATCCCCCTCTCTTCCTTGTTCTCATTCTTCTTCATTGCGAAAGCACTCTGGTACCATATAAAGCGTAAACCTCACCATTGCCCTCCCGCCTACCGTATACCGCCAATCCCCTCCTCCTCCAGACCCCTTAATCCCCTTGCCCTGACAGATCTCCGCTCTGACGCAGGAACGACAGCAGCGGGCCCAATGCCACCCGCCGTGCACCGCCCCGCGGCCTCACCGCCCCTGGCGCATTCACCCCCGCCGCCGCACCGCCTCCTCCACCTGCACCTCCACCACCAGCAGGGGGCTCTGCAGACGCGGTGTTAAACCCCGGTATGGTGACCTCTGGGGGGCCGGGAAGAGCGGCTGAGGCCGGCAGCTGCTGCTGTTTGGCGGCATTTGCGGCAGCAGCACTCGCCGGTGGCGGTGTGCCAGCTGGTGTGGAGCCAGCAGCTCCCAGCTGCTCGCGTCTCTGTCGGAGCTGCTCCGCTATGTCGGCCCAGCCGCCCTCAGCGGCTACCACTGCCCCCGGCGGCGGCGGCGGCCGCTGCTGCTGTTGCTGGGGTGGTGGCGGTGGCAGCGGCGGCGGCGGCGGATACCGCAGCACACGAGCTCCCGCACCCGCACCACCGCCACCAGCAGCAGCAGCAGCAGCGCCAGAGGGACGCGACGAGGAGGTCGCCCCTGCTGTTGTCCTCGCCGCCGCTCCTCTCTGCGGTGTGGTCGCTGGCGGCGGCGCTGTGACGGTTGCGGAAGATACGGAGGGCTTGGCGGCACTGCCGGGCCGTGAGGGCGGCAGCGGCAGCAGCGGCGGCGGAGGGGCGGAGGCGGTGGGTGTGGCGGCGGCGGAGCGGGCTGGACGCCGCTGGGCCGCAGTGGGGTTGCTGACGGGCGTGCTCGCGGTCGGGCGGGAGGGGCGGGGCGGCTGGCCGGTGGGGGGAAGCTGCCGGCCTGACGCGGCGGCCGCCGCCGGAGCTCCTGCAGGGGTTGCGGGAAGCGTGGTGTGCATGTATTGGTGAGCAACTGAGCCGCGGTGTGGGGGAGGGCTAAGCGTGGCTTAGTGAAGAGGAGGAACCCCATGTACGAAAGTACCGGTACGTGTGTGGGGCGGTCATGACAAAACAAAACGCAACTCCTCCCACCGCTACTGCTGCTAACCATACTCCTGCTGCTCACGTTGCTGCGATACCGGAGTGGACGCGCCTACATGCGCCCTGCCCCTGCCGGCGGCCACCCCAGCCGCAGCCCCCCGGGGTCCCTGCGGTCCCCCGCTGGAGGCAGGAGCTGCAGCCTTGGCCGCAACCGCCTTGCCACCGGCAGGCGCAGCCCTGGGACCCGCGGGGGCTTTGGCTCCAGCCCCAGCAGTCTTCGTAGGCGGTGCTGCTGCTCCTCCCGGCTCCGCGGCGGTGACGGAGCGGATGTCCGCGAAGTTGGCCAGCGGCAGCGCCAGGAAGCCCTTGGGGTCGTACTCGGTGGGGAAGGGCAGCGCGTCCCAATCCAGCTCGACTGTGCAGGGCATGGCAGAGGGGAGGAGGCGCAGGTAGCGCGACAGAGCGTATGTTACGGCGTTTGGGCGGTGAGGAGGATAGATGCACTAAAGAAGGAATCCGTTTGGGGCAACTAGGACAACCTAGGGCAACCAGGCCATCTGGCCCCTCCCCCTGCCCCACCAGGCACGTCCGAGGCGCCCTTCCCTCCAACCCGCTCCTCGTATCCGTCCTCCTCTTCCGCCTCAGCTGCCGCCTCCGCTGCCAGCTTGGCTCGCAGCGCGTCGAGCTCCGCCCGAAGCGGATGGACCCCTGGGTCGGGATGCGGCTGCAGCACCACCTCACCCGTGGCGCCGTACCATGCGACGACCCGGCCCTGACGCCATTCGGACACCTGCCGGCGCAGCAGAGGGCAGAGGGACAGGAGAGGATTACCTTCGTTCCAACGAGATGGCAGCCATGATAGGCCAGCACGCCGGGGATCCCAGAGCGTGTGGACTCCCCCCCACATGCGACCCACTTGCATACCGTACCGCAATCCATACACACGCCGTATCCCATATAAGCGTGTTGTGTCATGCGGCCCCTCGCTTACCCTGGGGCACATGTCGGCGCCAATCTCCAACAGCTTGTAAGCCAGCACGTGGCCCACGGCAAAGCTCCCAGGTACGGCAGCAGGCAAGGTGTCGTACGGAGGTAGGGCAGCACCCGACGATGTTAATGGAGCCCCCGCCGCCCTTGCAGCCGGCGGCGGGTGTGACGTCGCCGCGTCAGCGTGCTTGCCAATGGGCGCACCACCCGCAACCCCTGCGTCTCTGTCTGCCCCCTCATCCTCGTCCTCACTGCTGGTGCTACTGCTACTGTCCTCCTCCTCCTCTTCGTCGCTGCTGCTGCTGCTCTCCTCACTGCTTTCGTCTTCACTGCTGCTGGTGTCAGATTCCGCGGTGGTGGCCGCCAGGGCTTTCCCGTTGGGGACCTGCGGCGATGCGGTGGCATGAGCGCACACTAACCAGGGGTGCACGAGGAACACGAGGTACAGCCCATGAGGTACAGCACGAACCTTAACATGTAAAGGCAAGCGAGCATGAACCAGAAACGAGGTTGCTTATCGCGTGTCGCCGACCAAGGCGTCACGCCTCTTCATGGGCAGCGGCATCAACTCACCGGCTTCGCCACGGTGCCGTCGGCCTCTTCCTCGCTCTCAACTCCTTCCTCACTGCTAGTGCTTTCCTCACTGCTGCTGCTGCTTTGATCCGTACTGCTCTCACTGCTTCCGCTGCTGCTGCTCTTCTGCTTCTTCTGCTCCTTATCACTCTCGCTGCTCTCCTCGCTACTGCTGCTCTTACCGCCACCGCCACCGCCACCACCCGCTGCCGCCGCCGTCACCTCAGGAGCACGCCCAGGGGGCACCGCAGCCGTCCCAAGCGCTCCGGAGCCGCCCCCGGTAGCACCTCCCTTGCCCGCACCCCCACCAACCCCAACAGGCCTCTTTCCTGCCGCCCCTGTCGCCGCAGTCGCCCCTACCCGCGTCACAACTGCAGCAACAGCAGCAGCAGCACCGTGCCCGCCTACACCTCCGCCAGTTGCCGTCCTGGCGGGTGCGGGTGCGGGGCCGCGAGCTACCCGGGCAGCTGGGGCCGCAGCAACGGCAGCGGCCCCCGATGCTTTGCCATTTGCTTGCTGCCGCTGCTGCGGCGGCGGCCGCTGGGAGGCTGAGCCGCCTGCAGCAGTGCCCGCCTTGGCAGAGGGTGCTGCTGCGGGTGCTGCTGCTGCCGGGGCCGTAGCAGCGGGATGGGTGTTGTCGTGGATGTGGAAGGAGGGGTGGAGGCTGTCAGCCGGCCAGGTGCCGTTGGGATCGAAGGGCGAGGCGGCCAGAGCAGCCGCCATCAGGCCTGCAAGTGTCAAGAAAGCGGAACTGCGTTCAGAGGGATTGATTGAGCAACGCAAACGAGCAGTAACCAAGGTAACTTAAGTGCGCAGCGTCCTTAAAGCATCCCATGGCGCCCCTTACCTGCGGTGCGCTCTGCAGCGATTGAGGCGCCCGCCCCCGCCCCAGATGCCGGCTGTAGCTGCTGGCCCTGCCGCCGCTGCTGCTGCTGCTGCTGTTGTCTGCCCTGGCCGCCACCCGCTCCTCCTCCTCCTCCAACGGCGGCTGCGGCGGCGACTTGCCCTTGCGTCTTACCGCGCTTCGCCGCCGGCGGCGCTGCGTCTGCCTGGCCGTTAGCCGGCGCGCCCGCAGCACCTCCGGCGCCGCCTGAGGGGCCGAAGAGGGACAGTAATCCGTAAAGAACATGACGCGCCTGCACACCCCCAAGTGCGTTTCTTGCTTAACCGCGCTTACCTTTGTACGGCAACACACCTAGACGCCTCAACCGCCGCTTGGCAGACTTTCGGCGCGCGCTGCGGCTCCGCTGCTTGCCTGCGGTCGTTCAGGAGGGGTGAACCCCGCGGTGAGCTGCTCGAGGCATTCAACCTAGTCAAAACACTGAAGTCAACCACTGTGAGCAACCACTTTAACTCCAGCAACCCTGTAACAAGGCATGCGCAAGGTACCGCACTAGCGAGTTCAACCTTCCCTAACACGCTGCTTCCTCCCTTCCTTCCTTCCTTCCTCCCTTCCTTCCTTTCTTCCTCACAGCACCACGCCCACAGCGGTACCCTGCCGCTGCAGCAGCCCCGCAGCACCCACCACCCGTTATACCACCACCCAGCTAGCAGCCAGCACCCTACCCGGCCCGGACGCTGCATCCCCTGCTACAACCGCATCGCCGACCGCATCCTCATCCGTTGAGCCAGGCTCCTCCTCCATGCCGTCCGCAGCTGCATGCTCCTGCTGCGGCTGGCTTCCGTCACCGCCACCGCCCAGCCCACCATCATCTGCTGCGGCCGCCGCCGCTGCTGGGTGTACTGCTGCTGCTGCTGCGTCTTGCATAAGCGCGTCTGCTCCTGACGTCAGCAGCAGCAGCTGCTGTTGCTGTTGACCCGGGTGTCCGGTGCGGCGCAGCTTGCCGGGGCCAGCTTCCTGCCGGCCGCCAGCACGACCCCACGTCGCCAGCTGCAACTCCCCCTCGGCACCTGCAGTCCCAACAGCACCTCCTGCAGCAGCAATGGCAGCACCTCCTGCACCTCCCGCAGCAGCGCCCGCCGCTCCGCTTCGTCTTCGTTTGCGGCGCTCGCCCGCAGCAGCCCTGTTTGCTGCTGCTGCTGCTGCAGTCGGGTTGCCGGCTGCTTCTGCCGCCGCAGCTGCTGGCAGCAGCAGCAGTGCTGGAGATACAGCAGCGGGGAGTGCGGAGGGCAGCGCCTGCGCAAGGCAGTGGCCAGCAGGGTAGGGTGGGTAATTCAGCTGACCTGACGAAAGAGTAATGCAGGCAGCGCAGGAAGGCCGAGAGGTCGCAGCCATACGCTCCTGCCCTACCTCCCTCTTCCAGCACCACCTACCGCAACAGCACCGCCGCCGCCGATGGTTCTTAGGGGAGCATGCTGTTGTACGACAATCAGATCGCCGTCCCTCAGGACTGCGATGGGAGCCTCAGGCAGCAGCGTGAAGCCGTCTAGCAGCAGCCGCAGCGCCGAGGGTCCGCCGGGACAGCCCAGCTGGAAACGGTTGAAGACCTATAAAGGGGGGCGACCAGTGAGAATAGAGGGCGCGGTGATCTGTCTGGGAACACGTAGGAGAGAATTTCGGGGCTTTTCGGAAATGCAGGTGGCGTGAGGGGAAGGTAGGCGAGCGGGCCATAGGTAGAAGCAGCACAGACCGTCGTGCGGGTGTAACAAGGCGGCAGGTAAGCAGATGCTTTCTATTCACAATCGCGGGAGTGAACATACTTTTTGGGGGGATGCAAGCCGCAAGAACATACCTCAGCTGCGAAGTCCGCGATGGTAACGGCGGCTGGGCTTGGGCAGAACCTGTGCCGGGGGAGTGTTATCAGAGGCCCGAAGCGTGCCAAATCCTGCTTTACACCCGTTGGCTTTGGTGTTGAGCTATTATTGGCTAGCCAGCGTCAACTCACCAGCTGCGGGCCAGGCCGTGCTCCCTGAGGGCATGCGGCAGCAGCTCATCTGCAACCTCCAAGCGCACTCGCTGCATGATCATACTTCGCGGTCGATAGTAGGTTCCTCAGGGCGTAGACTGCAATGTCTAAGCACGACTGGAAGGCAGGTTGTCCGAAAAATCCACTCCGACAATCGCCATGAACTTGGGTAACGTTGTTAAGTCGCAAGGGAAGCCGAGTCAGTCCATCGTATGCAGCTTCTCGCGCTATGCCGCCTGAAGAATGAAAGTAGGCTGTCTGTCTGCAACACTACGAACTAGATCCATGTCACCTTGTACAACAGAAACGGGGAACAGCTGCCGAAATTGCCATGCACATCGACGGCCACATACACGCAAACAGCACATGACAGCTTATACATATATTAGATTAAGCTTGTCAAAGTCCTCTGAATCGACCGCTGTGGGAGATTGCCTATAGTGCGGACACGGTCGCTGATGAAGGCCCTTAGCTTGCACGGCCCCTGGGCCTACTATGAACGAAAAGCTGCTGAAAACGAATGTCGGATTGTTGACCTGGAAGCAGAAGTCCGGCGCTGGAAGATAGCGCATGATGACCTGCAGAATAGGCTTGCTCAAGCAGAGGCTGACCAAAAGCGGCTGCAAGAAAAACAGCTTCCATCGCTGTTGTCTGAGAAGGAACGAGCCATAGGCGTCATCGACAGCCTACAGGCGGAGTTGGCTCGGCTACGGTTGGAACGCACAGAGGAGCACAACCAGCTTACGGCACAGGTCTCGACCCTTACCGATGAGCTACAGAAACTTTCCGCTGAAAACACGGTTCTGCGCTCAGAGCTGGCTAAGACCGTTCACCAAAAGCAGCTGACATCGAGCAAGCTGGACCAAATTCGCAAGAAGCTTGGACTCACCGAGTCCGAAGCTAAGGCATTCATCCAGGTATGCCATAGGTCCTAACGCGACACTGCATGCATGAGTATGGGTACACCCCTTGGAGCAAGGCAAGCACGTCAGTCCATGCTCCACTCCGCTCATGGCATCCTGCGTCTTGCGCTGCGACACCCCATTAACCCGCACAGGATAGTCCACCCCCCTGCATTAAGATGACCCTTACAATAGGCTCGCCCCTTCTTTTAACCATTTAAGGTTACATACGTACCACTTTGCCGGTAACAGGAGCTGGACGAGGCGCGCGCTTCAAGCAAGGTGCTGCGAGAGGAGAACAAGGGTAAGGCCCATTAGGAATATAGGGCGTGCGCCCGCCACTGAAGGCGTATCATACGATATGAACCCCCCCCCCGTCCCATAACAGTCTTGACCCACTTAGTTGAAGCCTTACCTCTTCGCACGCATTGCGCCCTGTGCACTCTCACAGAACTGGCCGCGGACAACGCGCACCTGAAGGGGCAGGTGGAGAGCCGCTCGCAGCACTGCATGACGCTCATCGGGGAGAACAAGCGGCTGCTGGAGCAGGTGAGGGGGGCGGGCGGCTGTCTGGGGAGAGAGGAGAAGAAGGGAGGGGTGGTAGCGGAGATCAGATCAGCGTTGCTGCTCCACCTCCTGTCCCTGTTCACCCCTCCGCGCATACCGGTATCCCACATGGTCTCAGATCCCACATCTCACATGGTCTGGCACCGTCGCCCCAACCCGCCCTGCGTGACACCACCCCCGCACTGCCACCTCTCCCTCGCCTCCAGGTGGCCGAGCTGCGCCTGCAGCTGCAGCGGCAGCAGGGGGAGCTGTGGGCGGCCAAGACGGAGCACCACACGGCGGCAGCGGCGGTGCGGCAGCTGCAGCAGACGGCCACGGCGGGCGCGAGGAAGCAGCTGGTGGTGCGGGAGCGGCCGCCGCAACAGCAGCAGGGCGCAGAGGGGGCAGCGGGGACGACGGGTGGAGACGGAGGGGGAGTCGCCACAGCGCCGGCGGTGATGGGCACGGCGGCAAAGCGCGGGGCAGGCGGCAGCCAGGTAAAGGACGTAAATTGGCTAGACTTAAGAATTACCGCAAAAGCACTTTTATAGAGAACAGATGCTATGTCCACTCTTGCCGTGTCTCTACCAGTTGGATATACAGGTGCCAAAGGCAGAGATTATGTTCCCTCCTGCCTATGCTTGTATTGCGCAGAACCGACCGCCCTGGACTGATTCCGCCAGCGGGAAAGCAGGTGGCGCGGGGGCAGCATCCACCAAGACCACGCACGTACCTGTCGGCGTCGCATCTGTCGTGGGTACGGACGCTGCAAAGGCTGGGATTGTACGGCAAGCCCTCGCGGTACGGCAACAACGCCTTGTATCCGCGCAAAAGCAACAACCTTGATAGACGGATGCAATAAAAGCACGGTAACGAACGGTACTGTACCGTGCGTTTATGAATGGGTGGTAGCGTTATGCTGGTTACAGTGAGGCCCCTAATTGCCGCCATCAACGGACAAGCGGTGCCCATTGGCTCCTGGTGTGCGACTGACTGTTTGACCCCAGCGAATTGACAGATGAGGCTTGACATATGAATGTAAACGGCGTGGATGACGCCTTCATTTGTTATCATATCGGCGCATGCGCCTAAATGACTGCAGGGCGTGATGGGCACGAGGGGCCCCGCTGGTGATACGCTTGCGTGGCTGGATCCACCTCGCACCCACCTGCGGGATATGTACCTTGTAGCATGGCGACTGGGGACCGAGTGCTGCTACGCCCATGCACCGTGATGTGCGTGTTGTGCTGTAAGCAACACAGTGTTTACTTGCGGGCATTAGAACCTGTGGAGGACTGGGGGTTCCCCATCTGTATTTGTGCGGGGCAAGGAGCCAATCTGATAAGACATGCAGTTATTAGGTTATTCATTCAGTTATCAGGCGCCCTGTCCTTATATGTCCATGCATGCTTCCATGCAGCCAAGGCTTCCACGATTGATGGTATGCATGATCTGATACTGGCGCAAGCAGACGATGGCTCCGAAAGTCGGTCCCCACGAGCTCGTCAAGTCGGGCACGTCACGTCGACCCCCTAGTGCTGCCCTTGAGTTCACTCGCCAAGGTCCCTGCCAGCCGCGTGCCTTAGTCCGCATGCAGCCCATTGCGCTGCTGGCAGCATGTTGCAAACAAGCACCAGGAAGCGACCAGCTGGTTACCCAATCCACTGTTGTTCCCTGGTTGGTTGTCACGCGTAGCCCGGTCCAACGGTTGTCACACAGCACGTCGCTCCTTCAGAGCAATGCCATGCGACCAGGGCAAGAAGATGTGGCATGGACACCCTGTGCCTGTTTGGGGTGGCCAAGCGCGGCCAACCTCGCAAGTCCGTGTCAATCGGCCATGCACTTCCAGAACTGCTTTCCCTGCCTTTCGTGCGGCCCTAATTCCACAGTCATCCAGCTCTGCCAACGTCCTAAGCATCAGGTCGCCGTGAAACGTGCATTGCTTCCCGCGATCCAAGCGGCTCTCGCACGCGCTGGCATGTCGAATCACTCCTCGTCCGACCTCAGGTGGTCGGGGATGCCCTCCAGCAGCCGCCCGTGCTCGTCATGCGCCAGCTCCGGGTACAGCAGGGCACTGCGTGCACGGCAGTTACATACCGGTAAACCACGAGTAAACGAGGATGGAATGCAACTTTGCAAGCGATATTCGCCTGACATGTCAAGTGCACGGGGCAGCTCTGTAGTGAGACAAACAAGTGGAGTCCACCCGGGTAAGTCCTCAACAACGGCAAAGTGTGCAAAGGCAGTGGCGGCATGCATAAATGATACCCGGACCCCGGGCTCTCACCTGGGGTCATCGACCCGTGGGTCATAGAAGACCTCATGCAGGCACAGCCCCCTTGCGGGCGCCACGTTGTAACCCCGGTGGGTGCCGTTGCATCCCGGCGGCGCGGCGCTGCCCAGCTCCAGTAGCCGCTGCAGCGCCCCCGCCCGCAGCCGCTCCTCGCCCACCGCCACCAGCGCCCCCGCGATGTGGCGAACCATCTTGTACAGGAAGCCGTTGCCCTCAACCTGGGGAGGAGGAGGAGGAGGCGGTAAATGGGGTGGCTGCCTGCATCTGAACTGACTCGCTGTAGAGCTATATATGTACCGTATGCATGAGAATGAGGAGGGGGGAAACAGGATGACGGGGGTAGGAGAGGTGCAAAGGGGGGTTCGCAGGAGTCCCCCGTGCGGAGGCGGAGAGGGCAGCAGAGAGAGAGGAGGGGCCACGGGGCGGTGCGTTGTCATGCTACTTGGGTTTGGGTTTGGATGCGGTAAGCATGTCAGAGCAGAGTTGGGGTTGTAGGTTGGCAAGCAGCTAGGGGCTCGGGCCAAGCCCGATCCCGAACCGCGTATCAGCCCCAGCCGGCCAGCACCAAGCGCGGTTCGGTCCCTCTCCCTACCTAACCGCCAGCCACGACCCCAACCCCAGCCTCGACCCCCCCTCCCTCCCCCCTCCCCTCACGCCCAAGCTCCCACCACCGCACCTCAATCCTGACGCCCCCCGGCGCCGCCTCCCCCAGCTCCACCACATCCACACGCCGCAGCGTCTTAACCGGGTTGCGCGGCTTCGGCCGGCCCTGCTGCCACCGCATCCTCCCCTTCCTGCTGCTGCTGCTGCTCCCCGCCCCCTCCACCTCCACCTCCTCCTCCTCTGCCCCAGCAGCCCCTGCTGCCCCCGC